TTTACCATATTGTTTGTGAGCGCTCCAATAACCAGCTATTTCACCAGGAATTCCGATAGACAAACCACCTGAAATAGATCTGCTAATAAAATTTCAATTTCGCCACACTTTTCGATCTCTACCTGATACAGATGATGGTGGTGGATTTCCATCAACGAACATACGTTGATGTGCGTTCGACGGTGCTGCTTCACGAGCATCAATAGCTACGCATTCTTTCTTTGCACTTCATATAATTGAATCATCATGTAAAAAGATAAGAAAAAAGACTCTTTGTTTACTTACACATCATAGATGTTCATAAGAAATCCTCCACCAATACCAGTCGAATGGCAGTTGTGTATGCCAACGCACAGAAGTACAGCTATAGCTGCATCAACTGCTGAACCACCGAGATTTAGAATACGTCTTCGAGAAACAATGCAATAGATGGTTATCGAATAATTGATACAAGTACCTTCCGACTTTTGATGCTTCATCCGAATCTGACGCAACTGCCCCATGTTTACAAATCATAAACGACGATTCACCTTCAAAACCGTAATTCTCGATTCCGGGTAGATCGATTTGAAATTCTAGATTATACTATATTAAGTTTCATGTTCTTCGGTTTCTCATCTTACTTGGTACAGCAATATTTGAGTAGGAAACTTTCGATGACAATGAAAATAAGCGAGACGATACATCATAAAGTTTGATCTGAACAAGAAGAAATCTCATCTTATATTTTTTTTCACAACATTGAATCTTTTGATTTACCCTTTTTAAAATTGTTCCTGTAGATTTGGCTGTTGTAATAAAAAGATATTTGTTAAATAAAAATCTATTATTCATCGTCAACCTTAATAAATAAAAGTGAGTAGATTCTTTCATAAAGTAGATGTATCGTGTAATTAATGTTTCCTTCTCTGTTCTTCCTCTTTGTATGTTCCTAGAATAATTTCTCTTCTAGTCTAGCCATGTTCTTGACAAGAAACTGATTTTCTCTTTTCTGTTCATAAATGTGTTTATTCCTCTTCGCCCACTCGGTCTTTTTCGATCACAAATACGTTTTTCTCCATGCTCTTCTTGGGCGAATAAGTTTTCAGGAGGAAAAGAGAACTACTTTCTCTATTAGAAAAATATGTTTTTCCATTCCGTATACGAAGCGAGGAAATCACGATAATAATAAAAGGTTAATTTCTAGTCAGTATTCTACAATCGTGCTAATAACTTTTAGAAATATCGTCAGATAAGAAGATAAGTCGACTTTTGTTATTAGAGTAGAAGTCATTCGTCTATGCGCTTGTAATTGAACACGGAAGGAAAGTCGAAGTAGATACATTGGCTTACACGCCAATCATCGGCATGCTATGAATTAATTATAAGAAAGACGCCTATCAATGTTGCCATTTCTTCACTTGCTAGTTACAGTGAACGATCCTTAGAGTGATATGTGACAACACTTTTTTCTCTTCTCTTTCTTTCTTTCGTTCTTGCTTTCACGGCTTCGAGGAACGGAACGTTCCGTTAACGAGAGAATAAAAAACTCCATTTGGATGTGAACATGCATCAGACTCTGATCCGCTTTTTCAAAATCTGCCATGACAGCGATTTAATTGATAACTGTCAACAAGAGTTTTTCTTTGATTTAAAGCAAGAATATAATTGTAAAAAACGTATCAATAGAGCGAAGAGAAAATTCAATTAACATTTGCAATGTTCATTGTGAAAAAAGTAACCGCATGTATCTGTTTATAATATCATCTAATCAAACTATTAAAGTCGACAATTTTGAACACGATTCAACGATGTCTCTGAAACAATACTTCCACGTGCTGCCGACATTCGACGTGCATAAATCGATAATCGTTGTTGCATATTTTTCTTGTCATTATTGTCAACATCATTGAGAGCATGAATTTCATCGATATGCAGTTGATTAAGGAAAGCTTTACGAAAAAAGACAATGGTTGGATTTCGCACAAGAAAGACTAGTAGTTTCCATTTACGAGCATATCTCGAGGAATGATTTGACTTCATTGGAGATTTTGCATCTTTCGACAGATCATCAAACTGCCTTTCCTCTACTGCCCATTGTTTTAATTTGATTTGTGTATATAGATGTGAAACAAATACCAACATAACCGGATGTCGATGAGCACATTCTGTGTGTATGAAACCACAATAAGCACTAAAACCGCCATCCATGGTTTCTAATTTACGACCTAATGGCGAATAATCCAGTCGACACATGTAGACAATTCCACCCACAACACTTTTGACTAAACGCATGATCGATGAAATAAAACCGAGAAATGCATCGAGGAAGAAGTTGAAATAGATAAATATCATTAAAATTCGCCGATTATTCAAAGCAAGAACGTCGCCTTGATGTTGCAAGAAGACATATTGTGCGAGCAGTTTGTTTAAGTACTGCTTGAACAATATGAATAATAAACTTGGTATAATAATCTTTAGAATCTTTTCAACTAACCGGACACTTCCGAATGTAATGAAGGCATCGACTGCAATGCATATTAAAGCCGAAAAAACTGCAGCAAGTATAAAGCCCCAAATCAAATAACCGATAAAGTATCCAGCGAAATGAATGTTTCCAGCTGCGTATGAAATATATCTTGAACGTTGTCGTCGAGGAATCTCGGAGTCGTCACCACGAAATGATTGGAATAGATTTCGGCGAATATTAGCAAGCATAACTAACAGCTGAGTAGTGATGATGCTTAATGTCATGAAAACTGCAACTATATACGGTCGAGTCAGTCCTGGAACAGGAAAATTCGACGTGAGACTATCGATAACTTTATTCGAAGTATCAACTTGTGCTTCTTCTGTATCACCAGAAGGACTTGCAATAGCTATTATAGATATCGCATCAAGAATGCTTTGTACTAATTTTTGGACGAATTGTAATTGAGGTATAACGCGTACGCATGCTTGAATGGCAACAAAATACAGGAGAAGGAAGATCGAAGAATAAACACACAAAACCCGAGCTGAAAATTGAAAATCATCTCTCCATTCGTAGATTTTTTTCGGTATTAATCGAGCCCACAATGAGCGACTTGGTGGTCGTTGATCAGCCGATGAACAAAAAAGATTTTGTACATAAAGCATTTCCACTGACATTGGATTCGAAATACGAAAGAAGTTTCTTTCCTCGCGAGTTAATTTTTTCTTCATTCGTTCTTCGAATGACATATTCTTTCTAAGTCTTCGACGAATTCTTTTGATCAGCAACATTGGCAATTTCACACTGATATAAGCTAAACATAAATACCGGGGAATGTCCGTACATAGCTGAATTGCAACTAAACTTGATCCAGTACCGAAGTAGTTAAGATTATCAGAAATAGTAGTTGAATTATCCAATGAATCTTCGTATCTTGGATAGAAATCCGGTCGACACATCCCTTGATTAACTATGGTCATAGAATAATCTAGCCAAGCGTAGATCGTACCGCAAGCTAATGTGAAGACAGAATTAATGTAAACTGCTGCAAGCATTGGATAATAACGAAAGCCCATAACAATGACTTGTAATAAACGTAGAAGATAGGAAACGATGACACCGTCACCTTTAGCTCCCCCTCCGTTGAATGCTTCTTGTAAGATTGATATTAATTCATCAGCACATACAGCAAAAACAACGGCAGCAAACTTCCGATCGATATGCGAAAGGAAATCTACAGGTACTGGAGGTGCCCCGTACCCGCGAAGTTTGTCACGTAAACAAGATACCCGTTGACTTCGTATAATGAAGAGAAGAATGACAAAGCATGAAACAGGAAATGTTATAACATTAAAATTCTGATAAGTTGTAATGTCACAGAAATTATTTGGTATAAAATAAATCGATTGATTGTTTAAATATTTCGTGACGATCCCGTCGTGTATAGGTTGAATGATCGCCCATTTCGATACTAATCCCACCGCAGCAACAATCATCATGCAAATAGCAATGATACATGAGGATAAACGTGCCGATCGTTTCGCATTATGTATAGCCAGGTCAACTAGTTTCGTATTGTATGGAATTTCTCTAAAGAAAACATGTCACATGCAAAACAAAACAACAATTGTTTGTTAAATACTTTTTCTCCGCTTTCTTCGGTTGTTTTCTTCGCCTTCGAATCATATTTCCAATCTTTAATCCATAAAAAAGTATCATTAATCCACCTAGAAGACATCCAAGCACGATCACTTGTATGCCACTGTTTGTCTGATGATCGCACAATGTTCCATCCCACCAAAACTTACACTCACAAATAATGGAGCCAGTTTTATCACGACTATACCCATGTGGACCACATGGATTATTTAATGAGCAATCTAAATCAATTTTGGTATTCAACAATCGATCCATTTCCCGTAGAGAACTGCTTACTTGCTTGTCCACTTGCCTTTACAATGGATGCAACAAGAACCGACATCAGCATACGCGCTTCTGTTGTTTCTTATTTCAGAAAGTGATTCGTTTTTTTGTTCTGTCCAAAGTATGTTTTCGAGACATTATAAACCGGAGAGAACCTTTTTCCTGTTGTCGTCGTTGTTACATGTTTTGTACTATATAAAAAGAAAAATTTGTCATATCGAACCCATAGAAGTATACCTAATCTATTGGAGTTTATTAACGTTGTTTTCGTCGTTATTGACGTCGATTAATCATTACCTCATACTTGCCAATGGCAGCAGCAATAATTTTATAATATTTATACTTTACAAAAGAAAATCTGGTGGCATTTTTTCTCCTTTTCCCTTTTGATCGTAGATCGATGAAAATAAGGTCAAGTTAAACTGCAACCTCATTGGTCTTATGGCAGAGAAGTACCCGTTAGAGCCTACGTATTCCTTTTCAAATAGTTTATTTTTACCTAGCAATCACTTATTGGATGAAGGCTACAAAATAAACATTTTTCTTCAATAGCTTGAGATGTTAAGAGATTCATTACACGGTCAGACAACACGAATACAACATAAAAAGGTCATTAGCTTGATGACTAGAGCTGAAATCGATGATCGAACTTCATTGTAGTCGATCTTTTCTTCGTAGAAGAGCGACTTGATGCATGTCGATGTCGGTTCGTTTCTTTGAATAAGAAAAAAAGTTTAAAATACAGTTAAAGTTATTTATTCATACCACTGTCGTTTGAAATTGAACAATTACTACTACTACTAGTCGATCGTGTTCGCGATGAGGATCTTTGCTAGAGAATGCAATTACATCAATCACAAGATCGTTCATAAATTTACCTTCTTCTGTCGAGCTCGAGTGTTCTGAAACCAAACTTGAATAACCCGTTTACTCAATCCTAGAATATACTACTGCTATGAGCACAGCTTATCGAACAAGTCCTATACCTATTATTTGTGAAATATGCTCCAATTCCTGTCCATCTGGATTTTGATCAATCTCAAAACTTGCTTGTAATACTTGTAATTGTTCTTCGCTAAATGCCGTTCGGATTCTCTTCGTTCTGTTCTGTTTTTGATCTACACACACCATTCAAAATAGAACATACACGTTTCTCTCGACCTTTTACCGTCGTTTTTGTCATCATTTCCATCGATGACATGTGTTTTACATAGAATATGACCATTGTCTAGTGAATATTCTTCACCTGTTGATAGTTGTCGTTCGCACGTGTAACAGGCGAAACATGTTAAATGATAAACATAATCGCATGCACGACGGATCCAATCATTCGGAGATATCAAACGATCGCATTTAGGACATTTATGAACAAAATATCTCGAAATGAGAAGAGGAAAGATCGAAGCATTAGTTCGTTATTATCCTGAATTGTACCTGTAATAATCCTGTCGACAGACAATACGCGTTCCTTTGAAAAAACATGTAGATTGCTCATCGAGATGTTGTTGACACACTGAACATTGTAAACATGCTTCATGGTAGATTTTCGGGCCAGCACGAAGATAAAACTCATCCGTGATACCTCGCCGACAGACATTACAGTAAAAACATTCTACTTCTTCTCGATACATCTATAGATGAAACAAAACGAAGGATAGAATGTCAAACACTGTATTTCGGTGATTTACTTGTCTATTGTAGGACAATTGTTCCGTTAGCTAAAGTAAAAGCTCAACTGAATACGTTTTTCTTTCATAAATAAAATATTTACTTTCTTCACACGTCGTTCATCCATCATTCAAAGTGAACGCAAAAGTTTTTTTTTGGATTAGCTAGAAGAAAATGAACAATACACGTAATTAAGGATAGATTGTTTCTTTTTCTCTGCAATAGCGTCGCAAAGATCCGTACTGATCCAATATCCCACAGTGATGTGTCCATTCAATTATTTCATGCATATGAAATTCCAACAGGAAACTGATGAGCAGTGAACGAAGTTGAAGGATTTTTTTAGAATGAATTCTTTTGAAAATTAACTGCGTGAATCGAAATCAATGATGCGAAAGTAATTCATGGAAGACATGTTTTTCCATCGTCGGAAAAACTTCAAGTTTATGTATAATTATGTTCATTGTTAAACTATTTTTTAAATTCACATTCGATGAATTTAATTACTAAAATGCGTATAATGAGTGGAAACCAATGAAAGTAATAGGTTTTTCCCTGGGAACTTCAGTTGAATTGAAGAAAAAATTGTTTTTCTCTCCGAGTGCTACCAAGCAAAGCAATTGACTTATAAATACAGCGAAAAAACTATGAACAACAAGCAGAAGAACATGACTAGAACTTCAATCATCATTACTCTCGTGAGTTATTGCAGAAACTTTCTTTGCAAATTATTGGAACACAGAAATGATTTGTTGTTTAGGTGTGCGTAGCTGTTAGTACAGCTCTTGATGCGCATTACAAATCCGCCTATCAGAATAATGCTAATTATCCAACATTCATGCAGTATCGTAATGCAAGGTTCGATGGAAAAAGTTCCTGGACATCAAAAATATGTGTTAATAAAACAATAGCACAAGAATTTCTGTCCGAAACGCAAAAAATGATTGCTACTCTCGAAGCAGATCACGATTATGACCGTGTTCTTCAGAATCGCGCGACAGTGATCACCTATCTGAAAGACACTGCCAATACCAATACTCTTTCATCAAACTGTACGGAATACTTTAATGGTTTTAAAAATGCTCAAAAAGTGGATCAACAACTCGCAGCACAACAAATGAAATTCGAAGCAAATCTACGCAGTCTTTTCCATAAGGTTCTTGCACCATTAGTCGGCGCTGGTGCTTCTCTTAACGTTGATCTTTAGATCCTTGAAATTCGCTTTAATTCTTTCAAATAAAACCACACTTCTTTCCCTAACGGTTCGCCGTTTTCGTTCTGTGTCTAAGGAAAAAGAAATAAACACGAATATCATATTCGTTGATGACGACATCTTCACTCAGGACGAAAAATAGAGGTGTATTCACCCTACAAAATATCTTAATGAAGTAAATATAAAACGGGTGAAAGCATCAAAATCTGATTTACGTTGTTTAATTTATCTGGAACAACATGGTGTCACTTCAACGAGTCAATAATTTTATCAATGGAAAATTTGTACCGGCTGAAAATTATTTAGATAGTTTGAATCCAAGTACTGAAGAAGTTATTGCTCATATAGCGGATGGTTCAGCGGAAGATGCAGATCGAGCTGTGCAGGCAGCGCGACAAGCGTTTCCTTCGTATGTAGTCGATGTCAGAATGAGAAATAGATCGAAATCTTGCTCGTTTAGATGGAGTCGTGAAACTGCCGGCAGACGTGCACATTATTTAAATCGAATAGCTGACTTAATTCAAGCACGCTTAGAAGATTTCGCACGTGCTGAATCCTTAGATCAGGGCAAACCCTTATGGCTGGCACGCACTGCTGAGATTCCACGTGCGATTGAAAATTTCCGATTTTTTGCTACAGCTCTAATGCAAAGTCGTGAAAGGTAAGTTAACAGAAAACTTTTCCTGAATGACGAAAACTTCTTCGATTTTACTAGTTTCACTCCACATGGAACAGTACCGAATGTTATCAGTTACACAACTCGTACACCCATCGGAGTCGCATTGTTAATCAGTCCATGGAATTTACCACTATACTTATTAACATGGAAGATCGCTCCGTGCATTGCTTTTGGTTGTACCTGTGTGTGTAAACCAAGTGAATTCACTTCTATTACAGCTGGTATGCTTGCTCAAGTCTTCGTTGACGCAGGTATATTCTTGTTCTTCTTATGTCGAATGTCTAACTCGATAAATGGCTCTTAATTGCCGTGCAAGACGCTTTTCTACATCAGTTCGTGTTCCCTGTTCGTCTTCGAATGTTTCGAATTCGACAATATTTGTATAGGATGCGTTCGTATCCGTTACCATAACTGTTGGCAAGCAATGGGAGTGAACGACTCGTTCGTTCGGCGATATCGAGTTCGATAGAAACGAATTTCGTAATGGTAGCGTTTGTAGATTAGTATTTGGAAAGCGACGGATTTTAATAGCAAATATTTGGAATGGACTTTTCGAGAAGGTTTGATCAGTTCGATCATCGAAGAAAAACTTAGGTTGAACGGGTAGCTTTACTTCCTTCTAGAAAATACGAAGAAAAGTGATTGACTTTTTCGATAATTGTTCGAGATTTTACTGTCGAACAATGATTAGCCGGTGGATTCGATGTTTTGTGTTTATTTTCTACAGGTACTTTGATTTCTGTTGTCACCTGACGTTCATTAGGATCGAGTCTCGTGACCAGAATCGATTTCTGACGGAAACTCAACGGTGGTTTCGTCATAGCTGTAATAATTGCATGAGTATTATTCGTATTAAACGAAACTTTATTCTTTTCATTTGCCAGCGGAGGTTTCCTAACCGATGCTGAAAACGATTTTCGTTTGAACGATGCAGATGAATGATGCGGCGAACGACGTTTCGCATTCGTACTAGTTAAGTTCAATTTACTTCCATACATAGGATGATGGTGCGATTCATTGAAGTATTGCGAATGTTTCTTTCGTTGATATCGTATATAAAAGATGAGAATTATGGTTAGAATGCACCAGATGAGAAGGATGGATAGGATGATGAGTGCTAAACGAAGAAGAATATTTGTCGGCGATCCGCCTAGAAGGTAACTTTTGAAGAGACTCGGTGTGCCATTGGAATCTTGCGTGAGATTTTGCATTGCAATTGAAAGAAGTTTATTGATAGAAGAAAAAGAAGAACGAAGAGGAGGAGATGTATATTTTATAATTAAAAAGTTCTCCTTACATTTTTCTTTCCTCGTATTAGTGCAAGATGAATGGAAGAAGAAACACTTCTACTAATAGCATCCATGTGATCATAGCAGAATGACAGTTCACTGCGATGAATTTGTTTTGTAATTGAAAGAAAGAGAAAGAGACTTACAATTACGCATTCATAGGCATGAAAGAAAATAAGTTAAATTAACTGGCGTCTCCGCCTACATTCGTCAGGTACCTTATGGTTTTCTTCTTGCACGCAGAACTTCCTTCCGGGGTGGTGAATTTCGTGTTTGGTGTTGGTCCGCGAGCAGGCCAAGCGTTAGTTACACATCCTGAAGTGAACGTTATCTCATTCACTGGAAGTACTCAAACCGGTTATCATATAAAAAAAGCAACATCGCATTTATCGGTGAAATTATCTTTGGAAGTAAGTGAAAAAGAAGATTTCAAGTTATAAATAGATCTCATTTCTTAGATGGGAGGAAAAAACGCCGGAATTATCTTTAACGATGTCGATCTTGCCAAATGTATTCCAGTTTTATTGAGGTATTTCATTAGAGTAAATTGCTTTTTTTTTACAGGAAAGAAACATCTGTTTAGATCATGCTTTCTCAATTCTGGACAAGTTTGTTTGTGCACGAGTCGATTGTATGTTCAGCGAGGCATCTACGATGAATTTCTCCAGAAATTTCTACCCGAAGTCAGGTCTGTTGAGTGTAGGACATGACTTTTCTACTTTGATTCATTTATATCGATTAGGAAATTGAAAGTTGGCGATCCATTTGATGAAAATACAAAAATGGGACCTGTGGTAAGTAAAGAGCATAAGGAGAAAATCGAGAAATATCTCGAGTTAGCTCGACAAAATGGACATGAAATCGTTTCCGGTGGAGAAATGGATCCGAATGTAAAATCGACCAAGAAAGGTTACTATATTATGCCGACGGTGATTTTGAATGTTGATGACCGATCAAAATTAATGACAGAAGAAATCTTCGGACCTGTCGTTTGCATCGTACCGTTTGATACCGAAGACGAAGTAAATAATTTTGAAGAAATATCGTTTTCAGTGAAAAGTGATAGACTTTTTAGGCTATTGAACGTGCAAACAGTGTGCAATATGGTCTTTGTGGTTGCATATGGACAGAAAATATTGGACGAGCACATCGTCTTGCTACACGCATGGAAGTAAGACGAATTAGAATCATGTGAACATGAAATCTTCTTTTGATTCTAGTGTGGAACAGTTTGGATCAATAGTTGGCTTATACGCGATCTTCGAATGCCATTCGGTGGTGTCAAGGATAGTGGTATTGGTCGAGAAGGTTATCCGTACTCGGAAGAAGTTTTCACCGAAGTGAAAACTGTTTGCATTAACGTTGCTTAGACTGCCTTCGGATAAACATTCATATCAACGAAAGTACCATTGATTGAATCATATCGATCTATTTTATTAAAATATTCATTGATTAAGGTGTTAGATTCTATCTAAACGTGAAAATTTTGAATCATTCGAAAAGAAAAGTTCAAGGAAGATCATTTATTGCCATTCGATAAGGTTTCTCTATTGTTCCCATAAGAACTTCAGCATTCGAATTCAAATCGCCGATTAATTTTCGACAGTTCTCAGACGGGCTAATCATTTCGATACCGTTAACCGTTCTACGCAATACTACGATCGTAGCTAAATCTTGATGGCCATCATTTATCATTGCTGATATTGCACCTATATCTGCATCTATAGCTGATCGAAAACGAATGCCTGAATAAATTTCACCGGATGTTGTACGCAGAGCAGCAGCGTTTGTTGAGTCTAATCGATTCATGACATACCTTGCTTTATCAATTAACTCCCTATCTGAATATGCATCCTGCTTGGTATGTAAATTCATCGAAAGATTCAATGCTCGATCCAGATCTTTGATAATATCATGTACATTTTCTAAACCGACAGACATTCGAATCAACTGATCGGACATTTTTTCATTCGTTTCTGCTTCATACAGTGTTGATCGGTGTGTCATAATCGAAGGCGATTCGATCAGAGTTTCGCATCCACCCAGACTCACAGCAACCGTACATAATTTCAATTCACGAAGAAATCTTTTCGTATCAGCAGCCTCGTGTAAGACATAACTACACATGCCCGACGCTCCACCTTGTTTTTTGTAGATATCATGTTGAGGATGCGATGGTAAAGCTGGATAGAATACCCGATCAATTGCAGGATGACCCTCGAGAAATTGTGCGACTTGTAAAGCATTTTTCATATGCTGTCGCATGCGTATAGGAAGTGTATTTATACCTCGACGAACTAAATAACAATCAAATGGCGATAGATTCATATGTAATAATGATTGGCTTGTTTTGAGTATATCATATAAATCTTTTCGATTCGTTGATAAACATCCGCCGATAACATCCGTGTGACCATTGATGAATTTCGTCATTGATGAAAGGCAGATATCAGCGCCAAGCGTAAGTGGTGATTGATTTAACGGAGAAGCAAATGTATTGTCAACGACAACAATTATCGAAGAATCATGACTGTGAACTAGAGATGCTATTGTTTCAATGTCCACGAGACGCATCGACGGATTTGATGGAGATTCGAGCCAAACAAGACGGGTATTCGAATGGAGATGTTTGGTTATAATCGACGGTGTTTGCGATAAATTAATAAATGATGGATGGATTGACCAACGGCTCAGGCATGCTCTTAATAGAATAAAAAAAAACAGAATGAAACACAAACGAATGGAAATGGAGTCGTTACTGGAAAAGATTTGTTATTCCCGAATAGGCATCATCCACAATAACTGCATGATCATCCTTTTTCAAAAAACTCAAACAAACTGAAGTTGCTGCTGCTAGACCTGACGCGAATGTTAAACTTGGCTGTTGCGCTTTATCCAAACAAGTCAATGTTTCTTCTAAAGCTTGTCGCGTTGGATTTATCGACGGTTTTTCACCATCCGATAAATATATCGGCGGGACGACTCCATTCAGCCAGAGTTTGATTTCCTCATCGGAAATTCCATCCGCATCACGATGAATACAAAACGTGTCCATAGGCAAAAATGAAGATAAGATAACGATCGATCGTGAAATCGAATACTTGCTTTGGCAACTAGAGACATCTATCACGTGCTAATCATAATCAGAAGATTAGATTAAACCGTGCAGCAATTATCGAATTGAGCTTATCGCAAGTATCGTCACTTATTTCTTCGTCGGTATATATTATTTCGCGATCAGATTGGATAATCTTCTTCGTATGACTCAGTCTCATCAATTGAACAACTATAACACTCGTCTTCGTGTTCTTTTGTCCCGCGAGAAATATCGATTCTTCCTGTAAGCCTTGAAACCGAATTCAAACCGTCATTCTATTCTTCTAGATGGCAACGAACGGCAACAGTGAGGACACTGATTGGCAAAAATTACCATCGGATCAAAAAGTTCAGCATAAAGTAAATCAACAGAAAGTAAAACTTGCGACAAACTCTTTATTTGAAGGCATGGAAAGCTCGCGTGACTGGTTATGAAGAATGTGTCAAACTATTTCGTACACAAACTTCAGATCAAAGTCCTGAGTTCAATAAATATGTTGGTTTAATGAAAAAGTTCGTCATTGACTCGCACGACAATGCGCGTGAGAAAGCACTAGACGCTGTGTTTGCTTTCGTTGAAGAAGCGAGTATCGCTGGCAAGTAAGTGCAATGGAAAGATCTTTAGATATCGTACAAAAAATGATTTCCATTGGATAGAACTGTCAATGAAGTTTCTGCGGGTTTGATTACGAAATGTTTGAACGGACGACCGAAAATGAAAGAGCGAGCATTTGATATTCTGTTGATGTACATTGAAATTGAAAAGCAAGTTGAAATCGAAGAAGAGCTCGTGAAAGGTTTAGAAAATAAACAACCAAAGATCGTACAAGCTTGCCTGGAAATTCTTCGAAGAGGATTAGCGTAAGTAATGAAGTTTATCATGCGATTTACATTGAAGATGTTTTGTAGGGAATTCGGTTCGAAAGTTCTTCCGATAAAACCGTTCCTCAAACAAGTTATTCCATTGCTTGACGATCGAGACAAAGCTGTTCGTGATGAATCGAAGTTGTTATTAGTAGAAGTTTATAAATGGATCGGCAAACAAACATTAACGCCGATGATTCAAAATGTCAAGCCAATCCAAGTAAATTTTACTGAAGATCTACTCTTGTTCGATTACATTTGATTTAGATGCAAGAATTGCAAACTGAGTTCGATAAATTAGATCTGAACGGTGCTGATAAACCTCGACAGACACGTTTTCTTCGTTCACAACAAGATCTTAAACAAAAAATGGAAGATGCCAGTTGTGTACCTTCATCTGTTGTCATTGAAGATGCAAATGTTGAGAGTAAACAGTGCGGAGTACTGGAAAAATTTCACGTTGATTTGATGGATTTTAGTGCAAGAAGATCTTGATCCATTTGAAATGTTGGAAGCAGTGAATATTCTTGAACGATTGCCTAAAGATTTCTACGAAAAAATTGTATGTGTTAGACGAAGAAACAACAACGAAACCGATTGTATTGCTTCTATTTTTTCAGGAGTCAAAGCAGTGGAAAGAACGAAAAGAAGCGCTGGATGACTTGCTAACCCTGCTAACTCAAAATCCCAAGCCAACACCTGACAGTGATTATTCTGAACTGATGAAAATTTTGAGAAAGGTAGTTTGAATATAAATACAATTAATTTCTAGGAAAATCTCCCATGACCATTGTAGATCATAGCCAAAGATAGCAATATTCCTGTAGTTCTCATTGCTGCAAAATGTTTGACAGCATTGGCAAAGGGTTTACGAAAAGTATTCAAGAGTTATGCTTTAAATGTAAGCTTGCGTTGTTCAGAAGGATTTTTTCTTGTCATGTCGATGATCGTTTAGGTAATTGAAGTTTGTCTTGATCGATGTCGAGAGAAGAAAAACAATGTTATTGAAGTATTACGCGAAACATGTGAAGCTGCCTATCCTTCAGTAAGTTTCGAGGGTGATTTCAGTGAGAAGTTTTATTCGAATTTGTGATTAGACCAATCTGGAACAATTCTCGGAAGCAGCCGGTGCATTATTAATGCACAAGACTCCAGTCGTTCGACAATGTACTCAGCAATTTCTAACAAAGTGTTTTGCAATGGCGACTCAAGCAACATTGCCAAAGAAAGTTTTAAAAGTGTATTTACCGGTATTGATCAAGGTATTTGTCTTTCTCCATGAAGACTTGTGTGTTCGGATTGATATGAAAATGGTATTGATTTAGAATATAACAGAAGCAGATCCGACTGTACGAGACAGCGCATTTGAAAGTTTGGGAATGTTATGGAAATGTGTTGGAGAGAAGCATATTCTTCCAAATCTAACCGATTTCGATGAATTGAAGTTGAACAAAGTAAAATTAATTCAAAGTCTGAAACTTTTCATCAATATTTTATCCTTCAGATCAAAGAGTACGCGGAAAAATCCGTTCTGCTCAATCTCCGTGGTGAGCCACGTTCAGCTGCACCTATCGTTTTCCTACCCGAACCATCAACAACACCAACAATTGCGAAAAAACCAGATAGTATTGAAGTGCCTGTTATTAAATCTGTTCCATCTAAGCCTGTACCTATCGTGAAAAAGAAACCCGTCGTAGTCGTGAAACCTTCGACACCAACGAATGAATCAGTGGAAGAGAAGAAAAGAGATTCTCGGCCGCCGAAAGTAAGACCATCTTCTACTATTCTGAACATTAAATCTGTTCACTTACCGATCTGCTAGGCATCGGCACCACTTCGTGCACCACCTCCTCCTCCTCTTCCTCGCAGTAAACCAACAACTGTAAATACGTCTACGGCTAAATCTCGGCCAAGTACGGCTCCAATTTCAAAATCAGCGACAATCTCTACGATACAACCACGTAATCAACGTCTAGTTCCAGTTCTTCTTCCACCTACGGCAAAATCTCGCCCGAAACCACCTGTTCCTACTAATCGACGTTCATCCATCGATTCAACAGCATCAAATCTCCAACGGCAATCGACATCTACAGGCGGTTCGACATCATCACTAAGTAGCACCAATACTCAAGCATCAAATCCATCAACACACATGGAAACACCCACATCATCATCATCAACAACAATGTCTATACTTCGATCAGTGTCCAATGATATCATTTCCTCACCTATTTCTTCGAATTTCAATACAAAAAGTCGTATACCTATACGAAAACTCCCAATGACAATTGTTAAGAAATCTTCAGCTTGAAATCAGTCAGATGATGTGATAAACACGTGTATCCTTACATTGAAAGTCGTCTTTTCTCATTCGATGTGAAGAGAGTGATCAATTGATTCTGCAAGTTTTCTTTGTTCTTTTTCTTCTTTTGTACAATATCTTCCACTTTATTTATTTATTCTTATTCGAATCGATTTATCTTTTTTTCTTCTGTACCTATTAGCATCTAAGAAAATGAGAGAATTTATATATTTATCAGGTGTTGATTTTGATCAGTTCAGTACAAAAAAAGAAAGTATTTTTTTCTTGAATATATATTATATATTGATGCATTTGCTCCATCTTCGCACAACCCTGTCACTGTAATGAATAATCAAGACATAGTTCAGATGTATCTCCTTCGGATGAACAGTATCCTATTGTGTTATAGTTATCTAAGGGAATTTATACGGAAGATTTCGTTGAAAGGCTTTCACATAATTTTGGTATTGTAAAACGATAGATACACCATGACATCCCGTCAATATTAAAAGATTACTCGATATGTCAAAAAGCACTCTTGAAATGAGCTTCAGTTTATGTCAATTTAAGTCTCAAATGTGCTTTATGTAAAACGGAATTTCATATAAAGTCATTATGCAGTCGATAGGTCAGTTGATTGGAATAGAAAGCATCAGCTATTCTAATAATTATGTCTACATGAATGTTAATAGGTTTCACAGACATTATTCATCGATTAAGAGCCATTTCATTTTACTTCCTAGTCAAAACATATTCTGCTTATCTTCGTTTTGACATCGCCAGACTTTACACATTTGCTACGCAAATAGAATTTGCATAAATGTTTAAAAGTCAATTTCGTTTTGTCCTTTTTCATTCTGTTTATGCACTATTTATCTAATGAAGAAATAGGAACGAGATTGTTGCGTATAAAGTACTTTGATACTCACATTGATACTGCGACCTTCTTTTTCCACCTTCATGTACAAGAACAAAAAGGAAAAACAAATAAGCGAGAGGTGATTTATTTTGATGTTTCTTATTTATTTATTATTCACTCGAAAAAAGGAACTATCAACAGTTCATAAGAACATAACCATTATGCCGAATAACATTTAATTTCTACGTGCAGCAGGCTTGGGAGTGACTTTAGCTGGACTTTTCTCAGCTTTTGCTTCGGCCTGCGAGGCATCATGAGCAGCATCAACATGATCTGATGATTGTTTAGACGGATCACTTGCTTTTCCCACCTTGTCTTCTGCCTTCTTACTGTGAAACGCTGCTTTAAGCTACAAAAAGAAACTCATTTTCAATAACTACTGCTTCAATCTTTACTTTATTAGCACGAGCTTTGATTTCGTCCATGTTTTATTCGAAACACCAAATGAAAGTGTTTTGTATGAAAAACATGTTGCTTATGTATAAAACAAACAGCCGTTCCGCATGACTGCTACCACTAAGGAGGACTGTGCATACGAAGACGCAATTTATTCGTCAGATTGAATCATATTGCCTATTGACACTTCGCTATTGGAAGAATAGCTACTCTGCCGGACGAATTACTCATACATACAGGCGCATAATTGCGTCACTTGTAAGCTTCATTTCATAAGAACGACTTTCTGGCAAAATCTTGTGTCACTGTTAATCAGAAAAAAGATCCGTGCAAGCATTTTGCACTACTCGTCGTTTCGTATCAATTGAATTTTGTTTCTTTCATCGCATATGCTAGTCTATTTTTGACAGATGTTTTCAGCGTTCATATTTTTCTCTTTTCTTCTCTTTCATCCGTCAGCCTTGACCAATAACTTAAAGAAATGTGAGCTACGTCATTGTTTTCTTTTCCTTCAACGGACGAAACAATTCTCGTCGTGTTTTCTCTTCTCATTCAATTTGATTGAAGGTCAGTTCAAAACATTCTGCCGCACGAAGAATAAGAAGAAGAGAGATTCTTTGCAAATATAACCCCATCCAGTATCATCTATGATTAAAAACGAACGTATTTCATAATCAGATATTTATTCATCGAACATGTCAGATACTACGAATGAAAATGATGAAATTAAAGTTTTCTCTGCTTCGGGCACAATCAAAATCGAACCCGATAACGATATTGAAGAACGATTATCACCCGTGGTGGAAGAGCCAGTAAGTTCTATTGGAATTCATTGAATGCATTATCAAATTTCGTTGTGTAGGCTAGTCCAACTACGAATAATTCTACAACTCATAATAATTTCCCTGGATTTTATCCATTCCCATTTCTTTATCCATACTTTATGTCGGCAGCTGCAGCAGCTGCACAAACGAATGCTTCCAATTTATTAACAGTAAACAAAGACTTGTTAATTCAATCATTTTAGTATCTCCTTTTCATTTAGGTCAAATCACCGATCGACACACAGACAAATCATCTATTTGGAACACCCGTACCAATGTCACCCTTTCCTTGTAAAGTTTTTCGTGAAGCATTCTTGATTGAAAAATATTTCTCTCTTTTGAAGGCATACCCTTTCCTTCTGGAATGATGAGCCAACCTTATCCATCAAACTTTTTCAATCCCTTTGCTGCTCCATCTTCATCTTCACAACCGACACAAACGTAAGTCGAACAAAAATCGATCTCGTTATTGATGTATTTCGTTTTACAGTCATACGAACGTTTCCACGGGAAAATCGACGTCAAATAAGCCTCGTATAAAGAAACCGTTGAATGCATTTATGATCTTTATGAAAGAACAACGTGCACAGCTAATCGAAGATTCAACATTGAAAGAATCGTCAGCAATTAATAAACTTCTTGGTCAGAAGTGGAAAGAATTATCGCGAACTGAACAAGATCGATACTACGGTAAAGATTCGAGTGATTGTCTTCGATCGTTTAACGAAATCCTGATGAACTTTTAGCTTTGGCGAAAGAAGAACGAAATCGACATTTACAAATGTATCCGAATTGGTCGGCACGTGATAATTATGGTATGAAGAGGAAAAAACAAACTGGCCGAGTCGAAAAGCAATATGTACAGAAAGCGAAACCCTCGATTTCACATGAAAATGGTAAGAACTGATCATTAGATTGGCATTGTCGAATTTGGCATATTTATTTTTTTCAGATCCGAAAAAATGTCGAGCGAGATACGGTTTAGAAGGAATCAATCAATGGTGCAAACATTGCCGACGAAAGAAGAAGTGTACAAGATTTCTCGATGATGAAATAACAAGTTCACCAAGCACTCCTCAGTCTGACACTGACGACATTCTATCTCGACAAATCAATTCTATTGAAGATGATCACAACGACAGTAATGAAGAAAATAAACATCAAATTCACACGAAATCTGCCAGTGTGCCATCGTTTTTTACGTCTAGTTTTCTTTATTGATTGATAATTTGTTTTGGTTCTGAGAGGAAAAATAAATTCATTACTTTCATATTGAAAGACTACAAATTCTATCGGTCATTTACATTTGAGTGGAATAAAGCGTCGTTCACTCGTTTGGACTTGACGATAGGCACTGCAAGAGATCAATTGAAGAAAATGTTGCCGGAATATTTTCGAGATAATCAACCGTATGTAGAATTTACATGAATAGGTAAAAACGCTAAGTATCAGAAACCAGTAGCGTAAAATCAGGTAAGTATTCCATCGTTTGCCACAAAGTAGCTCTAGATGGTAAAGCCGATCTCGAACTGTAAAGATTTCTAGAATAACAAACGGGAAAAGTGAAAGAGATATTGCAATTGTCATGAAGAAAATCAAGATGGAATTTCTTTCCATTCGTCGTGCATTTGCACTTAGATTGTTCTTTGCGGCGCGTCGATGTTTGCAACGATTATGTAGTAGAATTATTGATGAAATATAGACTATTATTACTGGAAGGAGAACAAATAATATTGCATGTATATACGGCCACAAATGGATTCTCCACCGGTCGATAAAATGATGAAAATCACAAATAAATAACGTCATACTTTTGTTGTAATAAAAGTAAAAATGATGTGGAATCATAGCGATAATCACTAATACTAATACTAAGTATACACGGATCAGTACACTTCGACGGGTAATCAGTATACGATAACGAGATGGATAGAGTATCATTATACTTCGGTCGATCGACATTAATGCCAAGTATATATTCGAGAGTATAGTTGGGCCGATTACAAGATTGTAGAAGATTCCGCACGACAGGATTTCACGTGGATCTGTCTTGATTAAGGACATTTCAATGCACCACCACCAAAACGTACCTATCAACACAAATTATCATCAGAAGATAATGTCACACATCAGCTTATGTTTATTTCTTTCTATTAATTAGAAATCTGCGTCTTTTAGTGCCTAAGAGTTTTAGTGTCGCTTGAATGGATATTTCTCTCTAATTTGATGTTCTAATCCGAAATATGATCATAATTAGTTTCTATTCAGTTAATTTCTGCATTGAAAGAAGTCGAATGACGTAAACCTTGTTGTGCTTACATTTCCGCTTCCGATGAATTTTAAGTATAATTCATTGCGAAAGGTTCTATTGGACAAAAAAAAGTCGAAGGTAGAAGATATACAAACCAAGAAGGAAAATTAATTCGCAAATTGCAATTGCTGTGAAGTATAACGATCCAGGATCTTTATTACTTGATTTTTGTGTTGAAATGAGTATTGAAAATATATGACCAGGAATGCCGAATGCCATGAAAAACAGCCCACAGACATGCCAGATCGTGCTTGACATGTAAACAGCATTATTTGAATTTAAAATATTAAAACAAATAGTCGATGTTGTATTATTCATCGCGTAATTGATAGTAAAGGAAAGAAAGATCGATGTAGAAATCGCACGAGTGTACGCGTTTCTTTTTTGATTAACACGAAAGAACAATGTAGGAAGGGAGGGAAAAAGAAAGAAAGAAAGAGAGAAACGACGTTTTATTTGAGAGTAGTAAATAGAATTACTACGGTAACTTTAGAGATGGAAAATAGGAAGGAGAAAAGTAATAGATATTAATAAGCTTGGTTTAGATAATAGGATTGCTTCAGGGAACAGAATAGCTTTAGAATGTTCGACTTCTTTTTCCTCAAAAATAAATGAATCTTTGTAATGGGCAAAGATAATGACTTGAGAAGTTAGAAGAAGCTTGAGTGGCTGATATAGCCTCCATTACATGCTTAAAAGTTTGTGAAAAGATAATCTTTAGGGAATTGCCTTATTTTATTCTTTTTCATAGACGTTGTTCAACCATGAAAAACAAACGACATTTAGATAGATAGTTATTGAATCAATCCGTGATCGAATGGATGTTGAAGACAGTTGCTGAATGATTTCCCCGTAGAAATACATATCTGAAGATAATCTGCAATAGTTATCGTCGATGAGATGTCTTTGACTTCGTTTTCATTCGATAAATCACGTTTACAAGCAACTGGAGATATGTGACATAGGAGAAAACCACGATGTCCAGGTAGACGAGATGGCGGGTGAGCCTAAATACACGCATAGCATACATAAAAGCGAGAATGAAGACACAAACGAGAATCTTTACCGTAGTAAACGTTAAACAGAGAACCATAAGTGATACAATGAATAAACGTTGATACGACGAATTCATGATTTGCAAGGAAAGGTAAACGATGTTAGACTGAGATAAGATTATGTAGCAAATGAATGATGTTAGATTTATTTTCATTTGAATATATATAAACGACTGAAAGAGACATCATTTTTTGACAAGATAGTCACAATACCAGTTGATTGTTTCCTACGCATTCAATTTTGTTTAATACAACTGATGAGTAGGTGGCTGATGAATCGAAATCGTCTGCCTTTCAAAGGAAATTATCATGTGGATATATGGCTCATGAAGGGAGCATTGATATGATTTTATATTGTAAATTTGAACTATTGAATAGCAAAAGAGTATTCAACAATCCGAGTTTCTTTATTCTCCGACCTTCACATGATCCTAGAGGAAACATGACGAATATATGATGTGAACTTGATGGGTTGACATAGGAGTCTTTACCTTGACTCCCACGTTTATACCGTAATTTATGTACAGTAGAATGGAGAAGAAAATGAAAAATTTGACCTGAATACATTTGTTGAAGTTGTATGTTTTGTCATGATTCTCTTTTCTCTTCAGAGGTTTGAATAAATTCAATGCAATACAAGTAGCATATGTTATTCGGGGCTACCTTTCAAACGAACAGCATGAGAAGCAATTGAAATAAAATATAAAACCCTCGAATGTGTTGTTGAAAACAGGTCAGACCAAAAAAATACACTTAATTATCGATATGTGGGCGATCGAGTCATGAATGTCATAGGTTGTTTGAATGGTTTCCAACACAGTATATAAGGGTAGTCTTTTCTTTATAGCTAAGCATTCTTGTTCGGATCAAAAATCAGAAAACAAGTAAAGATCTCCAACCAATCAACCATGCAAACCGTTGTTGTGTTTTTACTAGTAAGACTTTTATTCCCAAAGCATACTTTTGATTTATTATCTCGATTTAGACGATTTTGGCTGCAGTGGTCCTTTCGGCACCATCACCAAAAAATCAACAAACACCACCAGCCGACGGACGAACCCCACCAGCTGACGGACGAACACCGCCAGCCAACGGTCAAACCCCACCAGCTGACGGACGAACACCGCCAGCCGACGGACGCACCCCACCACCCAACGGTCAAACACCGCCAGCCGACGGACGCACCCCACCAGCCAACGGTCAAACCCCACCAGCTGACGGACGAACACCGCCAGCTAACGGTCAAACCCCACCAGCTGATGGACGAACCCCACCAGCTGACGGACGAACACCGCCAGCTAACGGTCAAACCCCACCAGCTGACGGACGAACCCCACCAGCCAACGGTCAAACATCACCGCCACGAACGAATCAAGTTGGCCAAGGATCCGGACCTGGCGCTAATCGTCTCAAGCGATCCTTCTTCTGGAACTGAATAACAAACTGTTGACTTTCCTCTCTTTAGTTAGTCCGATCAATGTCAAAAAAGAATAAGGAATGAAATTTCGTCGTAAAACATATCAACTATAGTTCACATGAAACTATTCTCGTTTGTCCTATTTCAAAATGCGCTTCAATAAAAGCTTTCACAACTATTGAAATAGCACAAGATTTATTATTCTTAGGATACAGACATAGTTTAATTAGCAAAAAACCGTACTTTTTTTTCTTTCATCAAGTAATCTAACGTCTGCGACATTTAATAATATCATCTTAGATAATAGAGTTAAGAAACTTATATTTCTGCGATATAATTTATCATTATAAAGAAACGTCAGGGAGAAGCCGTATCAGACCCATCGGATAGTCTGACCTTGGAGTTGAATTACACCGATGTGCTGCTGTCCAATGATGATACGATATGAACCTGAATGCAACCATTTCGATGCGTTTCGTGCAACTAACAATGCTGTTTCAACTGTAAATGTGAAACAGACCTCTTTTGTTTCATTTACTTTCAAATGAACTCGTTCGAAGCCAAACAATTGTTTGAAAGGCGCGATTTGCTCCGAAGACACATTCGGTGGTGTGACATAAGCTAACACCACATCATCACCATTCATTGATCCCGTATTTGTAACGTTGATCCGGATCGAAGAAATGATCGTCTTTTCTTGTCGATTAATCTGCTTCATAACAGATTGAATGGAATAAGCGGAAATGAACGTTCTATTATCCCACGTGTAATTAAATGTTGTATAAGACAGACCATATCCGAATTCGTATATAGCTTTTCCAGTATAGAATTTATACGTTCGACCAGGACTGTTCGCTGATGGACGCAGTTGCATATTAAACATACTTACTTCATTGACATACGATGCTGGGTAGAAGGTTACCGGTAAACGACCAGCGGGATTGTATTGTCCGAAGACAACTGAAGCTACTGCTAAACCACCCGATTGGCCAGGATAACCCATCCAGATGAGGCTAGCACACCCTACCGAATCTCGAATATATGAGAGATCTAGGCTACTGCCTGACATAATAACGACGTGTAAAGGTGAACGAGTGACTTTTTCTAGTTCTTGTATGAGGGAAAGTTGAATATCAGGTAAGGCGATAGATTGTCGATCGACACTTTCTCGTTCGATTGTATGATCGATTCCACCGAAGAAAATCACAATATCAGATGATTGAGCTAAACGAACAGCTGCAGCGAAGTCTCGTTCACTGTGACTTGATATTCCACAACCGCGTGCATAGTCTACTCCTATAGGTTTACCTAGTAAAATCAATAAAGCACTATTAAAGAGTTTGTTCCTTTGCTTTTCGTTATACCTGCTGTGATGTTTTTGAATCCTCCCAGTGGATCAACGAGAAACGGTGCACGGCCATGATAAATACCTTGCATTTGTATTGTAGCATCGGCTGTTGGTCCAATTAGTGCAATTCTTTTATTTGTTAATTGATTGAAGTCCAGCGGTAAACTACCATTGATATTTTTCAGTAAAACGATACTTTCTTGTGCACTGACGAGCGAGAGTTGTCTTGCTTCTCCCGTATCGACATTATTCTTATTCAATTGTCGATAAACTTGTTGTTCCGGTGGATCAAACCAGCCGAGTCGGATCAGCACATCGTACGTACGCATCAAGGCTTGATTAATATCTGTTTCATTGATTAACTTTCGATGCAATGCATCATTCATATGAAATAGATAGAAAACACCACATTCGAGATCGGTACCAGCACGTAATGCGACTGCAACTGTTTGTTCAGGTGTTGATGTATAATGATGTGTATGTAGAATATCCGAAATCGCATTGCAATCACTGACCACGAAACCATTCAAATGGAATGATTCTCTAGAATTAATTATGTGAAAATTCTTCTTGATAAATACTTTTTCCTTACCTCGCGATGGTTTCCAATAGGAATTGATGAGCGCAGGCAGGTATGCCATTGATTGAATTGTAACTACACATGATACTAGCTACTTGAGCATCTTGAATGCAGCTTTTAAATGGTGGTAAATAGGTTTCAACGAGATCTTGATCGGAAACAATGGCGTTGAAATGGTGCCGATCAGTTCCATTCCAATTTTCTAAATCATACGCATCGAAATGTTTACAATTCGCCGCGATTTTCAAATATCGTTCATCATCACCACGTTGCAAACCTTGAATAAGTGCATAGACATATTGCGATGTTAAAAATGGGTCTTCACCCGGGGTTTCTTGTCCGCGACCCCATCGTGGATCGCGAAAAATATTGATGTTCGGTGTGAAGAAAGTAAGACCGGCCCGACCCTCATTGTTAAAAGCACGTGCTTCTGTTGAGATGATACTCGCGATTTGATGGATGAGACGCATATTAAACGTTGCACCGAGATTGATAGGCATCGGAAAGGAACTTGCGGCAGGCAGATCGCCACCGAAGAACACGCCGGGAGAATAGGCGAGACCGTGAAGAGCTTCTGACCACCATTCGTATTTTGGTAAACCAAGGCGAGGCACGCCTTCGGCTGTCGTAATCATTTGAGATATTTTTTCAAGAACAGTCATTCGATTGATTAGATCAGCTGCTCGTTCACGTGAAGTTAATGACTGATTACATATCGGAAATGATGATAAAACGCCCGCTTGACAATCAGGGAAACTAGGGTATTGTCCATTTATTTGGAGTATTACACTGAAGAACAGTAGAACAATGACACTCATGTTTGTCTTTGACAATAACAAAACTGAATGAATTTTATGTGACACACCTGAAGATAAGATGTTCGAAATAGTATTATCTAATCACGTATCATCCCGATAAAGAGAAATGCTCCTCTTTTTCTCTCTTCAGAATTCAATATTAACGACCATGACGAACGGTTGACGCAAGGTGTAGGTAGAAAAGCGTGTCGATACGACACAAAATGTCTTTCACTTTTATTTCTCATCAAAAATCAAGCAGATCGGTTAGTTTACGAAGCTCTCGTCGACGTTCTTGCGACCATGAACATCGACCGGTTGCTGGGCGATTGCATCCATTCTTAGAACAACATGTAACATCTTCATAAACACTCGGTACTCTTCGTAACGATTGACATGTACTTTTACCTATAATTACATAGCCCCATTTTTTCGTCTGTGCCGTTTGTTCATGTTGAGTACAAGCTTGATCGTTTGCCGTACATTGAAAACGGTATTTTGCACATACACATGTTTCATTCTCTCCACAGTTGTTTGTATTCGGAGATAAAATGCATTGTCGATCCGTACCAGTATAACATCGAATTGCCAGAGTATTGCCGACTATGAAGCAAAATACAACGAGTGAGGCAAGCAATTGACGCGTCATTATTCACCTGAAATAACAAATGGTAGAGGAGAAGAAAAACGTAACTGAAATTTCATATTTTAATAGTTTCTTTCTTTCTTCGTATGTATACCTATGAATGGTGCCATGCGGCCAATTATGTCGTCATTATGCGAAATAAATGTTTTTGAGTTTGATCGAACGAAAGAAAAACGGCGATGGTTGATTATTTTTCTTCTCTTGTTTGAAAATAGTGCATCAATGACGTGGAGCGTTTGATCAAATATTTGTGTTATTAGAAGAGGAAAAGAATGGCAACATTGAATTCATAAATAATCGATGTATTTGAAAGAACTTCTAAGGAAATTTCGTCAGCAAATGATAACGACGCAGAAAATGGATGTTTTCTAGTTTGTTTGCGTCCAGGAACATAGTTTGTAAAGACTGTCTTTTAGATAGATTGCTCGAAATCTGGATAAATGTCTGGGAAATTTCTTTTTTCAAAGAGAGAGAAGATATTTTTCATTGGTAATTTTCCGAAAACCAATGAACAATTCGAGAAAATCTCTCTTTCAGTTAGAGAAAAAGTCTATTTTTCACCAATGAGAAATGATCCCAAACGAGTCTATAAAAGGTGTGAGATTTTCTTGTGTGTTCATCACATTTCATCCCTGAACAAATTCAAAGGTGAGTTGAAAGTAATGCTACGTTTTGGAAACTTGGTCATGATCTGTTGCTGCTGCATTTCACATGCAGTAGCTTTTCAATCGTACTTTATTCTGGACAACATGGGAACTCAGTTTATGCCCATTCATATGAATGCTCTCCATCTTGCAGATGTTTCGGCTCAAACAAAAATTAAGTGTGCTTCTCAATGTAGTGCTCATCCGCAATGCCGCACATTTAATTTTGACACAGCTACACAGATATGTCAGTTGTTTCAAGGAGATACAATTGCGACAGGTTCAACCGTATCAGCTGTACAAACATCAATGTTTGGATCGGTCAGGTTGATGGAAACCTTTTTCACTGCATACAATAGATCATGTGATCAATGTGCAGATAATCGATTCCTTCGATGTGTTAACGATACCTGTCAGTGCCAGCAGAATACTTATTGGAATGGTTCATTCTGTTTACCTCAGTTACCACTACCGTGCATGGAATGTGAACCGAATAGAAGCATGTGCCGAGAGGATCTTAATTTGACATGTCAATCGTACAGTAAATGTGATTGTAAGTTCGTCACTGATTAATAGTATATATGTGAGAGTCTATTGACTTTTTTCTTTTTCCTAGATGCTAATCAAACTTGTAACATCACCGATGCACCTACCACGGATACGACGACAGAAGGTAGCTATTAGATTATATATCTTGATTCTTTGAAGGATTCTGTTTAGCGTAAGATAGAAGTACGTTAGATGAATTTCTCAAAAGACTCATAAGGTTTAGATAAATTAACGTCAATTCACTACTAAAATCAAAATGTTCTCTTTTTAAATTTACACATATTTTGGAAAAACTAGGAAAACAGCGTGATTGTTAGGCAAAAGTCAAATTTATTCAGAGCGATGAACGGATTGAGAGATCTATTACTAAAGTTTAGTCCTGAACTATCGAAATATCAACTACCAATGATTCATACGTGTATTTTAATAGCGCAGACTGTCCATACGTAGCATTCGGTAGTTGTTTCAGACGGAGTTGGTAGGTTAATAAGCATGTTCTAAAAAGCACTTGATTCCAAACAAGATACATAGTGAACGGTAATTTCTTTTTTTTGCAAATATGTTTTTCGAAAGTCATGTCACTGCTTATTCAACTATTTGTCGGTGTCAATATTAACAAAGTTTTCTCATAGTGTACTCGACTTCAACAGTTTCAACTGGAAAATGGGTGCTCGTAGGTAATATGAGCATTGGTCGGTCGTGTCACACGAGCACTTTGATTCCATCGGAAAATGATACGGTGATTATAGCGGGCGGAATTTTTACATCACAATCGACGGTTATCGATAAATTCGTTTTAAGCAATTTATCAATTTTTGCATGTGGTGGAATGTCCACGTTTCGTAAGTACCACGCAGCTGAATACCTTAACTCTTCTGGTTATATTATTTTCACTGGTGGTGAAAGCAACTCATCGTTCACGTTGGAGTCTGCTGAACTATTTAATCCTATTTCATGTACCGTTGTAAGTTCTAACCTCACCATGACTTCGCCTCGGCAATGCCATACAATTACTACGTTGCCAGTATCATCGAAACTATTTCTCGTTGGAAATAGGTCTAAAAGTCGCTCGGCAGAACTTTTCGATCCGAACACGCTTTCATTTTCAGTTGTTAACAGCACAATGAATGTCGATAGATATATACCTACTAGTACTCTTTTGCCAGGTGTCTTATCTTCAGAAGAGGGTATATTGATTAGCGGAGGCTTCACGCCGGGAAACCCTAATACAACTTTTCCAGAGTATTACAACGCGAGTTTCGGATATTTTGTTATGTCACCGACTAATATGGCAGCATCACGCTCTTACTATACTGCTACTCTGCTGTCTGATCCAAGGACAGTACTTATTTGTGGTGGATTTGATCGTTATGTTAACTATCTAGATAGCTGTGAAATTTATAATCATATTTCAAAAAATTTCTCCCTAATTACTAATCATATGTCTGTCGCACGTAGTTATCACACAGCCACGCTGCTTCAAGATGGTAAAGTATTGATTGTAGGTGGTTATGACGGTGGAACAGTATTTGACAGCACTGAGCTATATGATCCTGCTTCAAAGACATTCACGACAGGCCCATCATTGAATAACGCTCGCTACCTGCATACAGCAACGTTACTTCCATTATCTGGAAATGTGCTTGTTTGCGGAGGTGAAGATACGGCTAATGTTCTTGCAAGTTGTGAACTGTACTATCGTTAATCATAGAGACTTAAGAATGTTAAATACACCCTGAGGTCCCAAAACATTTCTTCATAGTGAAAATGAATTCTTTTTTACAGGGTTGTGGTTGAGTTTCATGTAAAAGAAGCTCACACTTCTGATGCACATGTTTACTTACAATAATTTTTGCAATGGGTTATCGGTTTTCCCTCTACTGAACGTATTCATTATGACCTGCAATCTTTTTTGAATTTTGTAAATTCTAATACCAAATTGTTGAAAATAAGGCATGGTGTAGCTTTATCGTCACGCTCTAACTCCAAAAAATGTGTTACAACAAATAATATCTCATTAACCTTCGAACGGTTTTTGTGGGTCCCAGCGAACCAACGCACTAGTTTGTTTGAATTCTCTGTTTCAACAGAAGGTTTTTTCGAGTGGATCTTTTTCCAATTATCAAAGACTAATGTGCTGAAAATTAATGGCTCGATAAAAACTTCTGCTGACATTGAAAATGCGAATACAAGCACTACGAAGATTCACTTAAAACTGAAGACGCCATTCGAGGGTTAATGTAAAACCATCGGTCATGTGAGAGCTTCAAGTAGAACAGCTCATGGATGAGATAATTTATCTTCCCAATTGTCTTTTTACCTAACATTAGCTACACATCAGTATCATATAGAATCAACGAAAGACTCGAGCGATATTATGCATATCACCGCTCATCCTGGGATTAGCTTAGACGAGTTTCAATATGACCTGAATCTCAGCATGAACGCTGATATATACACATAGATTTTTAACACATGTTATCAAACGATCTAAATTATTTTTCAGACGATATCCTTTTAGTCTATAGATAAGGCAACAATCACATAAATTCATTGATATGTGACTCTTATATCATTTCCTGTCTTTATTACTTTGTATTCATACGAGTATCTTTGAAAAGTGTGAATTATTGCACTAATTGAAATAAAATACTAATCCGTTTTGATTTTCGTAGCTTTACTTAAACCATATTATCCATATATTAATTTTAAACAATGAACTATCGGATACTTGACGGTAAAGAATAAAACACATAGTAGGTAACGAAATCAACAGATGTATCACTTGACTAGATTGTGAGCTATCAAAGTACCGTAATAAAACACTTGATATATTGAAACTACTACATATTCCAGCTAATTATAAAGATAGAATTATTATTTACTGTATCATTTATTGATAAATGAAGGAATAACAAAAACGGCGAAAATTATTTTTAGAAACGAAGAAGTTTTTAATATTTCTTATTGGATTAATAATTATTGAAATTCGACTTCGCTGTATTCAACGCTGTCCGAAGTTCCGCGCTTTGACGTAACAAGAAAACGATATGCAAAAAACATATTCGTTTTATTAAAAGTTACATATGACCCAAGTGTATTTTCACCTTGATCATCACTGAAACCTGTTGCTCCATTATATAGAAGCATCCATGCGGTGCCTACTTGAAGTATAGTAGCTGTTGTTTCATTGCTGCCTTCTATAGTTATTGTACGAGGACTGTACATATGATCAGACGCTGTTGCGAACCGCACAGCGCTTATTTTAAATGCACCTAGTGAAGACGTTAAATAGAATCCAGTGTTTAATCCTGCTTTATTTTTTGGAGACAATGATCCATAAGCACGATACGATGTGCTTGTATCACCGTCGAATAATTGCAGCGGTCCATGTCCAGGCTGATAACAACCACTTCCCGTACCTTCAGAAGCTAATGTACTGTTACCACCGGCAACTGTGTTCCAAATTGCAACTGCATTGTAGGTGGGCTTAACGGAACTAGTAGTGTCCGTGGTAGCTAAAATGAAGAACACGTGTTAGTACCTATCTTAATCATTAGTAAACTTTTGTTAAGCAAGCAAGATTATAGTATAAATCGGAAAATCCACGAAGGAATTCTATATTCAGCTTTCTAGCTATTATTAAATATATTACTTCTTAACCTCCCCACACTGCTTCATGCTTTATCTGGTAAAAAATCACCCATAAGACTTATAAAAGAACGTGTCTAGGCTATGAAATTCACTGAAACTAACCTATGCTATTCTTTTCATTTAAAATGAAGCAATAATGTTCCTTCATGATATGTTCAATATTATCGTATGCCTATGTAGCTCTATTCTCTGGTGATATTAGGCGTTAATAGAACGATAGTAAAATTGGTTGAGAATATTTCTCAATGCTCTTGTTCAGAGAATCTCCAGCTAAAGTAAAAAAAAAAGCAAGAGTTATCAGCAGAAGCGATAGGCGAATTAAATAAAGTACCAAATTTATAGAAAGCGATGGCTTACTTGTGGTAGTTGACGTTCCTGTTTCTTGGATAGTAGTTGTCGCATGGCTGCTTGAACTGTCAGTTACAAGTGTTAACATGCTCAATGTGTCGGCAGTTGTGCCACCAAAAGGGCCATTAGTCGGTGAAATAGTATCGTCGATATCTGCGGAGTTAAGGAACAAAAATATGAGTCGCTTAATATACATGAATAAAACTTACTAGAATCGGTGGTCGTAACCGATGTCGTTCGAAGATCATCAGTGACTTGTTCTGTACGAGGCGCATCTCCAATATCTACATAGAATCAAAATATATCTAAAGTTTTCATGGCTGCCTGTCGAAAATCATGCAAAATTGGTAATATTGAGGAGTGTGAGTTTAGTACGCAGAGCCGGATATTTAAAAAAAATCGCGCATGAGCTTAACAATTACATATATCGAGCGCAACGCAATAGTACAGTAGATCGGATTTCTAGCGGCGATATTCAATATTACGAGTTAAATTATCGATATGACAATTAATTTAGGCACTTACCTGTCTCTCTGTACTTTTAGAGAAAGGGGGAAAACAAAAAAAAGTCTGAGGAGAAAGTAGAGAGAATCAGCGACAGTTTTCTTTGTTTCATCATCCCAATATCTAAAGTAACAGTAAGATAAGATTACCAATATATATCACAGCCAAAATATCACTTACCTGACAAGTATTTAATTAGTAGATATAAATCGTCTGAATATTCAACGAAAAATCGCACGTCTTATATACGGCGAAGTCCGCTTAAATCTATCTGAATCGAATTAAGAGCTTCGAGTCACATATGTTTCCCTAATTCCCATCTCCGATACACTATCTTAAAACACAATTGTTCATGTTTCTTATTATCACATGGGTATATTTCAATTAAAACTCAACTGAAATCCATCTAAGTTGAAACCAGATTTCATGCTAATCAATTTCAGAAAACATAGACACTCTCCAGATGTTGGTCCTATCCACACAGAATCGTTCTCATTTCCATATATTCTCATCACCAATAAGATATTCTATTTTCAAATCTTCAAATCTTTATTTCATTGGGAATCTAATTAATATGACATAGAAGTTACGTCTTTAGAGAGTTCAATCCATCTGTTGCCGATGCGCGTATTTGGCTTTCATTGATTCGATATCGAAGATACCATCGAGAAGATTCTGATGAATGAACACAATCAGTTCTTTATTCGAGAAATCGGCTAAGCGTGGATCCGCACGCATAAACTTGTAGATTTCATACAGTTGTTGATTCGGTTTAATTGCTTGTTTGTCATTCGAAGCACTCGATGATTCGCGAACAGGTTTTGCTTCGATGACAAGAACAACGAGTACGAAGACAGCAAGTAGACTGCAGTTTAACATTGACAGCATGATCACTAGAATTAAAAAAGAAACAAGTTGTTACTGCGACTATTCGTATGTCTCGACAAAACAAGAAATGTTTCCTTCATGGAGATTTTCTAACATGAAATGAAGTATTCTCCAACGGAGTAGGTCTCTTCTAATAATGTCAATATAATTGATTAATCGCTTATGTCAAGAATATATTTTGTTTCGTTTCCGATGAAGGAAATTTCGACATAGAAAATATGTGATACTTCATATTTTATATTAACTCATCGACATCCGTTGACGTCTGCGAGACGGACTGGTTGAGAAGGAAACGATTTCCGTGGAACGATTGTTCCGTCTAATTGAATCGATGAGTTTATCTCGTTGTTTTTCTTATTCAATTATCAGCCATCAAACTCCACTAACATCGTCGTCGTCATCGTCACACATTCTCTTCTCGTATGGATGTCAAAAACATAGACCTCGAATCAAGTTCGCCTTGACAATCTTTATGAATATTGATTTCGACCACTATTTCACACTGATACATCAATCATAAAGGTAATCATCATTCAGACAGACCATAGCATTGGCTGATCGGAAAGAAAAGGAGTTCGATCAAAATCAATTTACGATTTTGAATGACACAATTTGTTATTCTTCTTTGTCTTGTCGCTTAGAAGATTAAGATATCAATCAATCATGGATGTTACTCAACGAAACGACGGAATTTCAATGCACAAATTCAATCGAGCCGATGAAAGATATTTGATCGTAGGTATTCTGTCGGTGTGTTTGATTTCATTATGGTTTTGTAATCGGAGACGGTGATTTGAATATTTCGATTTGATGAAAAGGAACTTTTTCATGCAGAGAGAGAAAAACAACAATATGGTATTATGTTATTGTATATACATATCATCTATTATCTCAGCGAGTAGAACGGAGAGTATTATTCTATTCTCTTGTTCAGCAGTGATAGAAACTAGTATCGTTGATGCATTTTTCTCTTCTTCTGCGCGTCTCTTTCTCTCTCTCGCTCTTTTCTTTATCGACGCTTCTACTCAAATTACTTTTCCTTCTTGCATCGTTCGCTCGAAAAAGAAAAAACCATTCATCCTATCAATAACCACAACGACTAGTCGATAGTGCCATTCAATTTCAATCAAAGATATTATCACTCATTAAGCACTCATGGTATAGTGGGAAAAAATTAATCAATGGGTGTAGCAAATTGTTATCCTTGTGCTAAATATCTTCTTCTCGTCTTGAATCTGTTCTTCTGGGTATGTTCGACACGAACAGTGAAATGTCACTGTTATCTCTGTTGTAGTTAAGTGGTTTAGCTTTGATACTTCTCGGCATCTATTCTTTGCTACTTCCTGAAGTTCAACATATAATTCAATTGTTTAACTTTACTACTCTACCATTATCATCGATTGAAATCGCCGTTTGTTTAATCTTACTGTTCGGTATCGTCATTTTCCTCATTGGACTTTTCGGATACTGCGGAGCGAAACGAGAATCGCGGACGTGTCTTATACTTGTCAGTAACACCTTGATTTCCATGATCTACTCGTACTCAATCGTTTTCGTCTGTTTCTAGTATATTGTTTTGATAACATGCGTACTTCTACTTGAATTAGCTCTATTTATATACATAGCCATGTATTATGATCAAGGTCAATTACTTGTGAAACAACGTCTTGTATCACAGATGAAAAAATACAATCACATGTACCCGAGTCAATATGAAAAAGCAATTGATTATATTCAAAGCAAGGTAGAAAATGATTGATGCGAAACAGTTGTTGGCATAGTTCGATTTCAAACAGGTTTTTCTCTCTTGCTATTCTTTGCGGTTAGATATGAGATAAATCATTTGATGATCTTCATGATGTAACCATTTGTCTCTTTCTCTTTCTCTTTCTCTTTGAACCTTGAGCATTCATCCTCCTATGAATACACAAACGAGTCAATCAGAATTTTGAACAAGGACATCTCTTTCTAGTATCATTGCTGCGGTATTGATTCGGCGTATGATTACAATGACTCTCATGTCCCATTATCATGTTGTTCGATGATCTCGACAACATCTTGCACGGTTCATCAGGTAGGATTAACAGGAACACCGGGATGCTATTCGCCTCTTACTCGAACAACGTTTTTCTGGGGCAAATTTTTTATTCTGCTGGAAATAGGCCTATGTGGTCTTTCGGTAAGACAATATTTGACATGTAGTTCACTCAATTTCAATTTCTTTTCTAGTTAATCGGCGTTTTTCTTGCCATTTGTGTTTGTCAGAACGCGATGCTGTACGATGAATATACTCAAACGCCTTATTACATTTAATCGTCATTTGAAAACTAATCTTTTCCTATTCATCTATCCTAAGTGATAAATAAAGAAATGTGTTCTCTAGACGCTCATTTTTAATATTCGCAGTTGATTCTTTCAAGAAGCCTTATCTCTCTAGTAAGTTGTTCCCTATGGATCATGTTGAATGGCATCCAAGGTTAAATGTCGTTGGCCATTTCCTCTCGAAAGAACCTTCGATGAAGCAATCAGATGTGAAGATAAAAATCTTCTCTAAGAAAAAAGAAAATCTCATTGATTACTTTCATCCACTGTGAATGAAGACAATCTTATTGAATGATCACCTACAGAACACAGCGTGATTACACACATCTCTAGCTGTTGGCGAAGCAAAATATGATTAGAAAATTGAAATTGATTTATCGATGAACTTACGAACAATTTAGCGTTGTAATTTGTAAATGACCTCTAGAAATGAGACGACACTCGAGAATAATTCAATGTTATTATTATCCTTAGGATGTGCTCGTTGTTATCCTTGTAGGAAACAGAGTTATTGATACTCTTGAAGCCATAAGTTCGCCCTATGAGTTATGCATTGCTTACATACAACTACGGTTAATCCGAACGATTGGGAGAAGCAGACTTCAATTCCAGACAACACTGCAAGAAGTTTGATTTATCAAATAGAACAGAACTGAATACAAGACATTTGCATCGGAAAGTCAAAGAAAGATTTATCACACTGAACTTCTTCGCATGGTATAGAACATTTTAATCGAATCGATCGAATCGGATTTCTTCGTTGTTCGGCTTCGCTCATTCAGAGTTTGTTTCTTCCACTTCGCACGTGCTTTTTTCCATTCACTGAATGTTTCCATACACGTACAAGAACACACAGATGTTTGACTTGAATGAATTAATAATGGTACTGTTTGCGGATGCGTTGGTCGACTCGCAGATGTCAACGAGGGTGTTTTCGATCGGGACTTGTTTGCGTTCGTTGAGCAAATAACATCACCTTTGAGAAGTACAGCTTGACTAGCAGCTTCTTCTTCGCGGAGTTTCTCAAGTAAACGTTCTTGCGAGTAGAACGCAACGATCCGTATGACTAATAGGTTCATTAGCGAAGCAACGACGGTTAAACCAAGAAAGATGAATGCTGTACAGAAACTAAAATATTTCGCATGTCGAATGAACGTTCGATCTTCGTCGGTTTTTTGCTAAGAAAAAAAACGAGAAATATATCACAAGAAAAAAAGAAAGATTTTTTTAATCGATTACTAAAACAACATAATCGCCGAAACCAATGGTTGTCAACGTAATAAATCCGTAATAAAATGAATCGAAAAAAGACCATTTTTCATATTTCGAGAACACACATGCACCAATTAGTAATATAACCATCGACAAAAACGATTCCATAATCAATAATTCTCCATCCGTCGTCTTAGTTTTCTTCATACGAAACGATCGTTTAACTTTCGAAAGTAAATGACTCAACAATGAGTTCAATCGTTCACCGGCAGATTGAAATGTAATTAACCACATTGGTATTCCTAACATGGCATATAGAATACAGAAAATCTTGGCACGTGTTGTGATCAATGTCCGATGACCGTAACCAATCAAAGCTAGGACAACAGTGGAAAAATAGAAGCTATCATAGAATTGCCATTTGTGACGGAGGGTTGTTTTATTCATAATTAAATCCGATAATTGACGAAAGGTTGCATTCGTCATGTTATGATCGAGTTTAAATTGAGCGAATTTCCGTTCGAAAAGATGTTTTCTAGAAAGAAAATAATGATGGTTTCTATTTCTCGAAGTTGACTTTTCTTTCTTACCGATCAGTTGATGGAGCATCTTCTAATGCATCAAAAATGCATGCTCCAATGATTAAATATGTAAATGTGCAAACAATGAGTGCGGCCGTACGAATATTTTTCTTTTGAACTTGGAATGGATCGTGAATATCTCCCGTTGTGTTCGACGGTTTGGCCATGATCATCGAGTGACTGTCGGTTTTAAAACTCATCACTAAACGAGGCAAAACGTTGAAATGAATTCTCCTTCGTTTGAGGTAAATGCCAGTAGTGCGTCGATTTCTTTTTCGATGTCTCTTACGCGTCTATGCTTTCCGATAAGAAACGGAAATAAATCGGATGACGTTTTCTTCGTCACTGGTGCTTGCTCGTTTACAAAATATATTAGAAGAGAAAAACGAGAACGTACATTATGATAAATAACCGCTCGTCGATTCTTTCGTGTCATTAAACAAGTTCAATTAATCAAATAATCAACATGTGTAAATCGATGTTCATACTTACGAGACATGGAGTGTAATTACTTTGTTAGAAAGAAACCTTCTGTTCTTCTCTCTATCGATAGCATCAACTGAAGAAAGGAGAAGTTTTTGAGAACATTCATCAAAGACAAAAAAAAGAGAGAAATTAGTTTAATCAATGTCGATCGGGCTTACCCAAATGAATGTCGTAGATGCACTTGCATACATACAAATGAACAGATCGAATTAAATGACATGTTTTTCCTTTGTATTTCAGCTATCTTGTCATCTGACGACAAAGACTATGATTACATCCTCATTTGCCTTTTTTTTGCTGCTTTCTTCTTTATACAACATCATTCGATATGCTTGACATGAAGGATGTCTTCCAGTATTGAAAATTGTCTATTTCGTAGTTAAAGGCAATAGATAAACAAATTTGATTTCCTCGAGTAATAGAAAGATTGGTTCTTCTCGGTAATCTTCAATAGTGAAATCATTATTATCGACAATCTCTTTTCTCTGACTGTGAAGCGTCATTGAAGAAATTTTATGTGTCAGTGTAAGAGAAAGATGAAGTTTAATCGTTGTAGCTTTGAGAGCGTGCAGAAAAAGAAAATATTTATTTTCGTATTGTTAGGGTGAGTTTGTATGCGCGATGTTTTTGCATACAAATCTGAATGTTGATTCTTTAGAATCGTTATCTGTTGTCATGAACAGAAAAAATAAAGATAAGACAATTTCTATTCTTCTTCTTTGCTTGATAAGAAAATGTATATATGTACGTCTTCAACACACAATCTCTTTCGATAAGAAGTGAAAAAACGAACTCCTTGAAAAAGTAAATAGAATTCGAGCGACAGATATTGCATCATTCATAGTAAGAAGTGTGCATCTGATGGATTGCAACGTCTACACATCATTTTTTTTACTTCGGTATCAACTGCTAATGTGAGTTATGATTATTATTTTAGTTTTAGAGTTATGGCTACTAGAAATAAATGTTCGGTGTGCACAAAAAACGCGGGTACGTCCATCTGCCCTGGATGTCAAGCATATTTTTGTGATAATGACTTCAAAGATCATCGTGGAAAGTTGACCAATGAGTTAGATGGATTGGTCATCGAGCGAAATCTTCTCCAGGAGAAGATTAACAAGACCAATATAAACAAAGCACAAAACAACACGTTTCTGCCGCAAATTGACGAATGGCAACGAACTACCATTGAAAAAGTGAAACAAGTCGCTGATCAGGCACGAAAACAAGTATTGGAACTTATCAATTCGGACCTTCGGCGTATTACGAAAGGACTTGAGGAACTAACACAGGAACTCAAACAACTCACAGATACAAAGGATGTTCTGGAACAAGATTTAGTCAAATTGAAAGAAGATGTCAACCGATTGAATAATGCGGTCGCACAACTGGCTCAACCAAGCACAATCACACTCAATGTGACAAATAGTGATAAAATTCAATGGAATCAAATGATATTTGTCGAACAAAACAAGATTCAGACGGATAAACAACCAACACCCCAATTGCAACAACAAAGTAAATAAGTGATTAAATTCTGTTATGAAGTTAATTTTGATATATCACTGAGATTACCGATTGTGAGCATCATTGAAATGAATAAGAGATAGAAGGACTCATGTTAAAAGGTCTATTGCAAAAGAATCTGATCCAGTCATTAACTCAAAAGTACTGCATAGAAATTTTTCAATAATTGAATAGTAATCGATAATCTCGTATATTAATTCTAGCTAACCTGATGTATTAGCGTGCGAACATGAGACTCTAATTCACTCAAAATTCGACATTTTTTTACCAGCTATCTCTATTTTTCTCCAAATATTTTTCTGAGACTTCAAATTACAGCTATAGAATCACTTTTCCATGCTAAAGGAATCTTAGAAAAAACATACTTATTATCAAACGTTCTCACACCACATTTTCCGATTCACACCTAGTCCATACTCCAAACATTTAATACAAATGCAGCGTACATGTTTTTCCACTTAGATGCCTCTTCCCAGATGCAGACGCTGCAATGTGGCGGTCATCCTTGCTCGTCATGTCACCTGGGTTCGCTTTTCACATAATTTCTCAACAATTAGTTCAAGCAATTGACTAAATGCAGTATCATCAAATAAAGAAACATATTTCTGGAAAATGCAATATTAAACGGCCACAAAATCTCGAACACCACATTTCTAATACAACGAACAAGCAGTGATTTTAAATTACATGTGTATCTGAACCCATTGTTGATATCACACTTTCAATACAAATCCGTGCATTACTGTTCCTCTTACTTTCTACATACCTACCGATATCCAACCAATTTAGGAATAGTCAGCTGCTCAACAATTATTCCGACTATTCCACTTATTCCAGCAATTCTAACACTCTTTCTTCCTTCCATTCGAGAACAAACAACATCGGCACAGAAGTTTCTTCGGAAACAACCATTTGTGATATGGTGGCGGCTGATGTGTTTGACCCAGTTTCCCTTCTATCACACCAAAGACCACATCTGAACAGAAGTATTGTACGGAAGATCCGTTTGTGATGTGGTGGCGAAGGATGTGCATGACCGAGTCGCCTTTCTATCCCACCAAACAGAGGATCGGAACAGAAGTTTGCTAGGAGAGATCCGTTTGTGATGTGGTGGTGCAGGATGTGCTTGACCGAGTCCCCTTCTATCCAACCAAACAGAGGATCGGAACAGATGTTTCGTTGAGAAGATCCGTTTGTGATGTGGTGGTGGATAATGTGCTTGACCGAGTTGCCATCTATCCAACCAAACAGAGGATCGGAACAGATGTTTCCTTGAGAAGATCCGTTTGTGATGTGGTGGTGGATAATGTGCTTGACCGAGTTGCCATCTATCCAACCAAACAGAGGATCGGAACAGATGTTTCCTTGAGAAGATCCGTTTGTGATGTGGTGGTGGATGATGTGCTTGACCGAGTTCCCATCTATCCAACCCATTACTAGGCCGGAATAGAAGTATGACGAGAAAGATCCGTTTGTGATGTGGTGGTGGATGATTTGCTTGACCGAGTCTCCTTCTATCCAACCAAAGCGAGGATCGGAACAGATGTTTCCTTGAGAAGATCCGTTTGTGATGTGGTGGTGCAGGATGTGCTTGACCGAGTCCCTTCTATCCAACCAAACAGAGGATCGGAACAGACGTTTGTTAGGAGAGATCCGTTTGTGATGTGGTGGTGGATGATGTGCTTGACCGAGTCCCCTTCTATCCAACCAAAGCGAGGATCGGAAGAGACGTTTGTTAGGAGAGATCCGTTTGTGATGTGGTGGTGGATTATGTCCTTGACCGACTCCCGTTCTATGCAACCAAACAGAGGATCGGAACAGAAGTTTTATTGAGAAGATCCGTTTGTGATGTGGTGGTGGATAATGTGCTTGACCGAGTTGCCATCTATCCAACCAAACAGAGGATCGGAACAGATGTTTCCTTGAGAAGATCCGTTTGTGATGTGGTGGTGGATGATGTGCTTGACCGAGTTCCCATCTATCCAACCCATTACTAGGCCGGAATAGAAGTATGACGAGAAAGATCCGTTTGTGATGTGGTGGTGGATGATTTGCTTGACCGAGTTCCTCTTCAGTGCAACCGAATACAAGAGCTGAACAGAAGGTTCGTTGAGAAGATCCGTTTGTGATGTGGTGGAGGGTGATGTGCTTGACATCGTTTCTGTTTTATTGAGGCAAAGAAGATAGGCGAGCAGAAGCATGATGGAAAAGATTCGTTTGTGATGGGATGGCGTTCGTTTGATAAGAATGGCTTGTGTTGCAGTGGTAGTTAGAATACTTTTGAATGGAATATTTGGGAGGGACTTGTTTATCTGGTTTGGTTAAGAGTAGTGAAAGGTGAAGAGATTGATGGGAATAGAGAAACGCAGTTGTCGCATGAATATACAAGATGGTCATTCGAGAGCTTTGCAGCTTTCAATTGACTGTAGAATGTGTTGATGAATATGCCGAGTGAGACTAGTATTTGGGCATGCTAATCAGAAAAGCGTTCATGGATGATAAGGTTGTCGGTAGCGTTGTCACTGTAGTCAGTCTTTGGAGGTGGTACGTCGTGGGTGAATTACCGTATCGGTGTAAGTGCAAAGAAAGCTAGGTGCAGGAAGAAACGGATGAAAATGAACATTTTCGTGCACTGTGTGTAAACAAATGCTTCAACTGTTTTTTTTTGTACGGTGCCGCCGGGCACCTTTTTGGGGGATAAGTATCTTTACAATAAATAAACTTTGATATTCGATTAAGAAAAGCGATATTTTTAATTGGCTTTGGTGAATAGTTACAATATAGAATGGTGATATTCTACCGTGACATCCAATTGAAGTATTGCTGACGAAGGAATCGGTCGTGAACATGGTTGAGAGCTTTCGACCCAGCTGTAAAGGGTTGAATAGAGGTGAATAAAAAGGGTAAAATTATCTTCGGAAACGCTGTATACTATGAACCTTATGTAAAGTGTCCTATAAAAGCGCGGATACTTGCGAATCACAATTTATTCGATTTCGAGAAAGTTTTTGAGATTTGCCATTGCGTTAGAGCCAAGTGTCAAACAGAGTTGTCAAAGTTGATGTATAGAACATTGTTTTTTGAAATTTGCAAAAAATAAGAATTGTTGTACATGTGGGTTAAATTCCATCTTATCCTATCTCGTGACATATACAAGTTGAATATTGGCGAATGAATGTTTAGCTCACAGCTCAGCAACGCACATACTTTCTCAGATTAATTACTTGATGAGTAGTATTCAAACTAGTTCCTGCGGATGTTTGAATCCGATCCTCTAACTGGAGACTAGACTCAGTTGAGGCTCGATCTGGTTTGAATGGAATCTTGATAGTCTGGAGCAAAGCCCGAGACTGTTGGATATCGAAATCATAATTACCATGACTTAGAATCAGCGGCAAAGTCGAATCTGAATACAATTGATACTTTTCAGGGCAATTTTACTTGGACTAAAACCTAGTAAATACTCACTGAGAGCACCGAACCCCAAGACGAACGGGCACAAGACTCTTTTGATTCAGACTGGCACATTCTTACGATAAAAAATATTTTTAGGGTAATGTTAGTTCAGTACACTTAAATATTGAAATAATTAATTTAGATTGAAGATGAAAACAAAAAATGAATAGTATAACATCTCTCCATTGTTTTTGCTTTAAGGACTATTTTCTTCAAAATGATATTTTGAGAATATACTTCTATCTGGTAGAGATTCGATTCTCCCATGATCATAACAGCATAATGGAGCAACCTAGAAATTTACTATTAGAATGAATAATCACACATTTCCGCGAAAATTCGACTTCGGTGTGTACGCAAACATTCAAAGTCTACTCTTGTATTACTTGCTCACCTAATCTTATGAATCATACTTTACTGTGTCGATAAGAAAAAGAAGAAAAAAGAAAGCTACAGAACACGATAGGTTATTCGTGTGCATTGCTTCTAATAGTTAAAAAGTAACGCGTTTTTTTTTCAAGTTACGTTGACGACTGAGAATTTGTTTTACTTTTCTATTCTTTTTCTACCTTCAACCAACAATACTACGTCTCATTCATCAATTTCAATTTTTTCCACGTTGAGATATGGCGCACTCACGCTTTACCGATGATATTTGGTGTACACCAGCACCCGGTGCTTCGAAGATTCCCGTACGTACAGTTGACGAACTACGTGACCATATATTTGTTTCGAGCCAAGACAACGAATTCAAGCAATGTTTACTTACAGCCGAAGAAATGAATTCGAAAGAATTATATGAAAAGTATCCTCCCAACTTCCGAGATAAAAACAAACAATTCATTTTCAAATATATCAACGAACACCGAAGATATTCGCCATCCTCTGATCGGTCAATATTAGTAACACGATGGAGGCCATTTATTCCTGAAGTTCTACCAGATAATATAACTACAACTTCAACAAAAATTACTTTTACACCAGATGTATTTCAATATGGAACATGTGGTGATGACCGAACTGTTGAATGGTATTTAAATTTTGCCAATCATGATCTATTTGCTTATTACAGTGGCCCATTATTAGCTCAAGATGAGTTACAAGTATTAGAATGCGTAGAATTAGCAGCACTAAGAGAATATTTTGTTCAAACAATCAATACAGTTGGATCATCAACCGTTGGTTCAGACAAAACAACTCATAAAACTGTGCCAACACCAAGTAAGTCACCTTAGTGTTTCTCTCTTCAGCTATTCCTATCATGCTTTCATTTCTTTAGTTCTGATCAGTAACACCGAACGAGTCATTGAAATGGACACCAAGAAAGTCTATGGCAATGCTTTTGCCAAAGCTTCTGAAAGGCAGCTTGTCCAAGCATGTCACTATCTTGATAAACCTCAAAAGGTAAATCTGATCGCTATCGAAGCACCCAGTTCTGGTCAAGGTGCCTACACTCGTGATCAAATAGATTATATTCTTGTCACATGCTACGTTGGTTTTAAAGCAGCACAACTTCTAGCGCATAAAACTCACGCATTGAACATTTCCAATAAACAAATATCTAGCCGAACTGCAAGTAGAAAGTTTCAAACTATTATTCATACGGGATGGTGGGGCTGCGGTGCATATGGTAATAATCGACAAATGATGGTCTTGACCCAAATGCTTGCAGCTTATTGGACCGGAATCGATGAATTAGTTTTTCATACTCAGACACGCGAACATGAGAATGATATTCGAGCGGCGAAAGAATTTGTTGATTCAGTGTTGAAAGAGAGAAAGCTCGATAGTGTCATCGATAGAATCTTTCAACTCAATTTGAAATGGGACCGATCCAATAATACGTAAAAGTGACATTATGTAATGTATTTCACTCGAGATAAACCTGTGATTTGACTTCAATCGAATAAACATATTTTCCAACAAAATAACATTGACTTATCATTGCAGTAGCTTTACATAAGTTCTATAGCAGCTGTAATGTTTGCCCCGCTTTCTTATATAAAAAACATTTATTAAGCTGCTACGCATTGCCTGAATAATCATATCCTCAAATCCTTTGTTCAGCACGCGAACAAGACTTTTATCGTTTTCATCAAGTGCTTGCAGATGTTTGTAGATTGAGAATTTTGAACATTTTATCCTTATCTCATCGACATAGAAGGATTATCGTGGATTGTGTAATAGCGTACGTTTTTTTTTCTAAAAGACGATGATATCAGTTCTAATGCAACTTATTTCGCAAAGAGTTTATTTCTGCATAAAAATGGGGGTAAAAAATCTTCATTGTAACTGTAACTAGACTTCCTTTGCTGAATAAGTTATACACACACTTTCCTATAAATATTCTAAAGAAATAAGAAGATACTTAAATATAAGAGAAAGATCGTCGAATCTTTTTCATATGCATACCGGCATTTTTTAATTTTATTTTCCGCTTTATTCTGGCTCTCGCCTTCCGGAGAGTTTCATTTGAGAAAATTCATATAAAAAAGTAAAAAGTCGTTCAGCTTTCTTTCCATTTTATCAAATATCGTACTTTGGATTAAGCTAACGAAGACATGTCAACGACGTTGATTTCATTTTACACAAATCTATCTCGTCAAATTACCACCTATTTCGGTTCTACTGTTCTTGTAGTCGGTGTTGTCGGTGGAATTCTGAATCTCATCGTCTTTTTAAGTCTCCGAACGTTTCGAGAGAATTCTTGTGCATTCTATTTAATTTTTATGTCACTTGCCAATCTAATCCATTTACTCACATCGTTGTCTGGACATATCATAATCTTCGGATTCGGATATGATTGGACAGTGATTACAACATTTCTTTGCAAATCTCGAGTTGCCCATATACAATTATGGCTATTAACATCATTTACATGTGCATGCTTCGCAATAATCGATCAATTTCTAAGCACCTCTTTCAATCCCCGTTGGCATCGATGGTGTAATATAAAACTAGCTCGCTATGTCATCGCAGCAACTATTATATTTTGGTCTATTCATTCAATTCCATCTGTAATCTATTACAACATAGTCACCTCACCACTTTATCCGAATCAACAGGCCTGCATAATAACGAATGGAATTTTTCAAGCATATTCCAGTTTTGGTTTTGGACTTGTTCTAATGGGTGTACTGCCATTGACTACAATGACCGTGTTTGGTTTATTAGCGTATTACAATATACAAAATCTAGCTTATCGAACAGTTCCATTAGTTCGACGAGAATTAGATAAGCAATTAACGTATATGGTGTTAATTCAACTGATTTATAACTTCTTCGTCTTGTCACCATACGTAGTCACCAATATCGCATCGTTTTACTTACCAAACGATGACCTGACTAAATGTCTAAAAATTGTATCTGTAGATTGGCATAATTGCTACTTTGCAGTAAGTAACAGCCGACGTTGCATTACTATTTGTATTCGATTTTTCTAGGGTCCTTTTTACATATATGTTTGCGTATCGAAACGATTCCGTCAACAATTCAAGCATGTCGTTTGTATCATACATTTCAATCGCTGGAAGCGAACCAATTTGATACAAAATAAAGTTTTACCCGAACTACCGAAAACATCATCTTTCTGATCGATATTGTACGCAGTTTTATTCTTTGTATGTATGTATTTCTTCTTTCTACTGAAGTCTAGGACGTCAGTTGAAATTAATAAATAAAGGTAATTAACTTTCATCAAGAAATCTCATGTGTAAAACTATCCGGTTTACAATAACATCCATACCTTAGAAATTCCATGGAGCTGTTTACTGCCGGGTATCATATATGAAAGCGATGAGCGGAACTCGTTTTGTGACATAGATTTTATTTGCTCGACAAAACCATGTTATTAACATTGTCATCAACAGATAGTTTTCAATAAATATTTTGTTAAGGAAAATAGCACGTAAATCGATGGCTTGAGGTAGACAATGGAACATGCATTTGACTTCATTTGAAGGATGCAAGGAGAAACTGGAAGGCTAATTACACGCTCCAATGTCATTCATATCGATCGACCGGATTCAATGAAAGTAAACGAATGAATTCTGAAGGCTTAGCTCATCTTTTGTTTAGCATGTTGATCTTCATATTTATATAATTCCGAAAGAAGTATGGAAAAATAATCAGAACCTAGCAGAAAATGATGCAATGACAAATGCGGTGTCTGTTGGCTTTGTTCGGTAAGTCGTTTCAGTACCGTACTAATAGCTATATACGTCGATGTGTCAAGTGTGCCGGACGATTTAACAATTGCTGATCTGCGTCGGCACATATTTGATATCAGCAATGATATGTCAAATTTCCCGAAGAAATTTCTTTACCTGAGAAGCGTGGGTCGATGTTTAACTAAAGTTAAACAACAACAAGAGAAAGAACTCAAGGTGAAAAATTATCGGCCGCCAATGGTTTGTTGACTTTAAATTTCATTCACATATTCATTTCTCTTTTTTAGGCGTTTGCACCAGAAGTAAGTCGGTTAGAGAAGAACAAGAACTCCTCTGAATCAATTCATCTTCAGATTTATCTACTCGAAGATAGTCGTAAGCGTGATGCAAATGCTAATTTTTTACGAGAATCACCAATCAATCGGTCGTCTGCGAACGATTACTCATGGGAACATGCCGACGATAAATCCCTACTACTTGATCCATTACCTTGGCAAAAATCAGCATTAAATCCGTAAATGACGTGCAAATCACATTCAAACTATCTCTTTTCTCTTTCTAGTACAAATCAATTGATAGTTTCACCAAAGGTCTCGCCACGGTTGTAGAACTTTCATGTTAATGACAAAATATATGTTCTTATCTGTTAGACGCCTAGTGAAAGTGCGCGAAGAACAAGAACGTCTTTATTTACAACAGGAACAATTAGCTCGAAAGCGTCGTCAAATCGAAGATCAACAGGAGAGGGAACAAGCGGCTGTTAAAATTCAAGCAGCTTTTCGAAATTACCGTCAACGGCGAAGTCAACCGCACGAGTAAGTCAATTTATCAAGTTTGCCGATGAAATTTATCCCTTCTTTTCCAGAGAAGACGTGGTGCTTGAAATCGACCGTTTGGAAGAAGAAGCGAGTAAACTAACCAGTTTAAAAGAAGCCGAGGAACGGAATGGTAAACTCAAGATGCTTTAGATATCTGATCGAGATGTTAAGGCTATGTCTTTAGTTCTGAAAGTTTCGCATCGTCTTGACAAATTGCGGACAAAACGTTTTGAACTGGAAACAAATCGCGATTTAGTTGTTCGCCGACTGCAGCAACTACAAGCGCAGGTTGCCCATCAACGAAGAAAAGGTTCAAAAGATCTTTTGACTTTACCTACACGCGTTCTCTCTCTCTCTAGAAAAAGACCTATGGAAACAAAAGTATATTCTCGAGAAAAATCGTCCAACTTCTGTATGCGAAGATTTTTTCATTTTGTTTGATGATTTTTGTATTTTCCATAGAATGATCACGCCGATCTTCACGACCGATTGGACCAAGTGACGATGCGTTTGAATCATACAACTAAAGTACGATGAAACACTTACGAAAACGAACAGACTCTCATTTGAAAATGTTTTTCAAGGTTCGACAACAGGCAGAATATGAGTCTCGTTTATTACGTCAAGAATTACAACAAATAAGTTCGACTCTCAACGGAATTCAAAAATATCGATTTCCAAAACAAGCAACAGATCCGATTTCTTTAAATATTACCCTCAAGTATTAAAATATACCTGACTTTTTTCCTCTCGACAATAAAACGAACAATTCTATCCTTCATGTCATCTTTATTTTATTAAAAGTAAAACCAAACAAACGTTCAAAGCCCATGGAACCAATCTCACAGACAGTGAACCATTGGGTGTTGGTTGACTTGTTGAATCTGTAGTTGTCATCGATGTTGCTGAAAATATTGCGTTGGCTGTAATACTTGCAGTGCGAATAACTCGATCGATAATTACCGCACTCTCTACTACTTGAAATTGATACATACTATCGTTACTGTATTGCCTGAATATCCCATCCTTTACCAGCGTGTTGACCATACTTGCACCGAACTATGAGCAAATACTTATTGAGAAAATCAAACGATAGTCGTGAGAGTCTCTTACATCTGCGTTGTTTGTATTGTGAATATCATGAATACATGCGAGTAGAGTATGATCACGCATAGAATGATCAACGGGTAAATCCAGAGAAAGTTTTGCTTGTTCACTAGCATTTTGATATACTTCACACATTGTTTTGTACATCGGATGTATGTTATTCTCTGGTAGAATCTCGTTTTCAACAATGCATTTGTCCACTAATGGTGCTGCACAAAGACCACTGGATTGATGAACGAATTCATTCGGCATAAGAATGCTAATATCATACCATTTGTACTAAAGTATACGAACGTATATCAAGAGAAAGCATGTCACATGAAGATATGTATGTACCAGATACTCATATGGTATAATGGAGATGTACAATTTCGGGATGGAGTAGAATATTTCAATATGTGTTAAACTTGGACGTGTGATTCGAACCGCTAGATAAAAAGTATCAGTACAGAATTTAAATTAACATTTTTTTTATCAATACCTTGATTATCACAAACTTGTTCATGGTCCGTTACTTTGCAAAGTACTCGGTCATTGTCGAAAAACGTCAATGTGTACTAAGCACAAAAGTTCTGTAATTTTCCGATTTTATCGTCATCGGAAAACTTACTTTATCTATTGACCATACTCCTTCCCGCATATTTACTTTGATTTCAACAAAATTATTTCGAACAATTTGCTGTTCACCCGACAATTTACACCAATACTGATTCTGATTCGATTGTGACACTTGAGAGAATGGAATCAGATGAGGATCCCCATACAAATGACATACATCAGCATCTTGACTTCGGACTAGAACAGCATTGAAAATGACCTCCCTATCCATTCCTAGAAAAAATTTACTTTGATGGACGAGACAAGATATAACAAATAGTACACCGAGTTGCATGATCATCACCAGTTGACTTCTCCTCAATAACCTGCCAAATGCTATCAAAATTCTAACTTAATCTATCATACGAAAACTATTGATTTATGGATTATTGATAAGAATAAAAGCACTCATTATTGATTGTCGATTTCATATTTGCTCAGAGAAAGCAGGACAAACAACTTCGTGATAGTCATCAAACTCTGAAAAATAAGATTTTGTCGTAGCCTAACGACATTGTGTATAAGTGAAATTGTGTTATAATTGACGAACCCTGGTTTTTTTTCGCAAATCCTGTATTCATTTCCATTTTGCACATAAAAACGTTTAAAGATTCTATTACATGTGAAATATCTATAACGAACAACAACTGAATACAGCCGAAAAGAAAAAAAAATAAAAGATTACAAATTGATTATGTGTCTTATAGAGAGAGATCGGTTTCCTCCTTGTACTGACTAGAAAAATCAACGCATGTCTATCTTATGTTTCTTGTTTGAATTCGTTTAGATTAGTCATCAATGATGACGTGGCCGGAGGTGGTGGCAAAAATGAATCGAAGTATGGATAAGGATAAGTGGGTTGGAAAAACGATGCTGGGTATGATAATTCTTTTCGTGGTGCCATAAGATCCGATCGATTCATTATCGAATCATTCTCGTTCGATGTTTGTTGATACTTTAATAGACGCGATTTGTTCTCTTCATCCGAATCCATTGAAATACTTGGATGAATGCCTGAATTCTTCTGTTCACTCATTGGTATAACATCACAATCATCGGAATCTTCGTTGTTATCCGTATCGTCTTCATCACTCCATGAAGTAACACCCATGGACGAAGTTGATTCATTTTCGGTGTAACGTAAACACTTCTTCTTTCGTTTGCAATGCTTACACCAATTGGCTTGCTGGTCAAGACCAAAGCGAGCTCGGCATTTCTTTTGATTGAGACACTCTTTACAGAAGAGAAAAGGAAATTTACGAAAAGAAACATTGGAGATGATTTACCGGCATTTTCACCACTTGCGGCTTTTTCTTGTTTTTTCCCTTTATTTCCACGTTTCTTCCGTACACCGTAGTTATCTCGAGCGGACCACCCCGGATACAACTGCATATGTTTCATGCGTTCATCTCGTGCCATGTCGTAATACTTCTGTTGAACATTTCGATCCAGTTCATGCCACTAAATCAACAAACATCATCGTGCATTCGACAGCAAACGTCGAATTTACCTTTCGACCAAGAATCTGATTAATTGCCGCACTTTCTCGCAGTGTACACTCTTGTACAACATGAGCACGTTGTTCCTTCATGAATAGCATAAATGCATTGAGAGGCTTTTTAATATGACTCTTTTTCGACTTATGAGGATCTTGATGCATCGATTGTTTATGCTGAGAGGATTGTTGCGAGTTGTTGTCGATAAAACGACGCATATGGGTCGGACGCTTGTGAGAAGACGACATCGAAGGAGATGGCGAGTTTTGAGAGAGAGGATAGCCAGGTGGAAGAGCAAAGGGAAACATTGGCGAACGCCTGAAATACAGATGATCAGAAACGAGATCGATGAACGGTTTCCGAGTTACTTACCAAGGTTGCGAATATGGCGATTGAAAAGATGCAGGTGATGACAATGGATACATCGGATTAGGCATGCCTAGATGGAATGAAACATTGAAGGTCAAATTGTTTAGTACTTTTGATTCGGATTTTGAAAGCAGATTTGAGATCTAAATTCTCCTTTTTGTCAATGAGGTATTCGAAGATTCTCAAGTATTTCATGATCTCAAATAGATTTCAACTCTTCGCCTCGATAAATCGAGATTTGTATTCATTCACGAATGAATATTCCATTCTATTAATAGATCATTAAAAAAAAGCTTCTCTTAATAATTTACCAATGAATATTTCTCAACTAAGATCAAAGGCGAACAAAAAGGTTTTTTTAAAATACAATACGCATGAATTCTCATCAAGCATACAGCGAATTTTGTTTATTAAACCTATCTCGATTATCGGACATATTCTCTCGCTCTCATATTCCATTCTTTTTTGTTCTCTCATTGTCTTGGATCTCGTTAACAAGATCATTTTCCACTTTGTTAACCGTCAACTAACGACATATACGTCGATTAGCATTGCATGACTAATTCCGCTTGTTCGCATCTTGAAACCCACCTATTCATCAAATCGATCGATCGTCTTCTTTCTCTCACTGAAGTAGATATCAAAAGAAAGAAAGAATGATTTAATGAAGTACTAAATGTATTTCCTATTTCCCGACGGACGAACGAGAGTTGAGTTCGATGTGAAGATGAATCGTTTGTTTTAAAGCATAATGTCATGAGTAACTCAGAATAAATGATTAGACTCTTTCTATGTGAAAAGTTTGAATACGCGAGTAACTTCATCTTCACATTTAACAATCAGAGAGAATAATAAATCAACTCGCTTACCTATAGATTGGTCAACGTTCAGATTCGAAGTCGCCATATGTGCCGGTGGTGGAGGTGACATGAATTTCGATAATGATTCCAACGAAGGCATTTTCTCCTAGAGAATTCGAATGCACATGATATGCATGTTTATTCGTTCGTGCGTGATGAGCTTTTATGCTTTGCTTTAAATACTCAAAACGGATCTATTAAAAACATTCACCTGATTACTTTGTCAATAAATAACCTTTGATATGAGGAAGAGATTTTTATCAGATTGTCTTCGAACAATAACAAATTACCTTCGAGTCTTTGTCTTATCTCTCAACGACGTAAATGTTAATGAGAAATAGGCAAGCGATAACTTACGAAATTCTGCATGGGATTATTGCCGTGATAGTAAGGCGAGATAAAATACGGGAAAAAGCTATGAAGTTGCTGTTCACTGTTCAGTCGATCTGAAATCGAAAGAAATGAATTGATGACAATGCATTATCAAAAGAGTATTATGCGTACCGGTCAGATTTATTGATGAAGACTGTTGGGGTGACGACTAGAATATAGTGTGAATGATAAAGACATCTTAGAAGTGGAATTTCTTACTTCTTCTTCTTTGATGACGGGTGAAAGTCGATCGCTATTGTCGTCATCGTTCGTTTCCACATCTTCATGTTTTTCACATTCGAAAATCTTCACTTCATCCGTGTCATTTGAGTTATTCTCACTGCTACCACCACCACTGTCGACGGGATCTGAAGTTGTCAATATCGATGAAGACTTTTCCGTTGTTGTCATCGCTGCTTTCGATGATGATTTGATGGAAAGATCAAGTGTCAAGTCGTTTGCACTCGGCTAAAAATTGAAATCTTTGATTATAACCAAGAAGAATTCAAAAGGCTTGTTCCAAAAAAAATAACTTATTTCAATGGCAGCATCATTTTCTCTCTCACGATCTTTTTCTTCTTCTTCAGAGAGAGAGAGAGAGAGAGGGAGCGCGCGTGCGCGAGAAAAATGAGAGACAAAGGGAAAAGACTTACCAGGATGATATTCGTCGGCATTAGTAATTATATTTTTCCAACTGTAATCATAGAATTTCAGAACTAAAAATGTAAATGAATGATTATAAGTTGCGATCAATTACATAAAAGTTAATCTTTTAATTATGTCGAATCTTTCTTTTTTATATAATGAGATTAGAAATTAAAGACTAGAACCGATCGTGAAACTGCTCAACTCCTTTGACGAAGTAAAAAAAAGCAACTAAATTCATCGATGGCCTTCGTATGAAAATGAGGGGAATGTAAGCGCGGGCATCGATCAAAACTGACCAACATACATTCTTTCTCATTTGTATGTGTGTACGCGTGCGCATTGACCTTCACTGTCTATCTAATAGAGTATGTTTTTGTATTGATCTAAAGAACACAATAAGAGCGCGCCGTCCATCGGCGAGCAAACGAAGAGAACAGAAGAAAAGAAAAGAAAAATTTGTTCATTCATCTCTCTTGTTTTCAATGTACACATCATGAAAGTGAACATGTCAAACGAAGAAGAAAAACACAGATAAAAAATGAGCATTTCATTGTGAATTATGAACTCTTTTGTTGTACGAAGATACCGATCGAGCAGTTTTACATAAGAGTCTCGACTACTCCAGCATGAGAACATCGCGATCATCAAACTAGAACAAATATTGTTGTACTAGAATCAAACATGTACGGATTCCTCTTTGTTCAAAATGTTCGTTTGATATCCAAGTTCTTGAAGAAAACATCTTTCAAATGAATTTCGTAATTCCATGTGAAATTTATTCAAGTATAGACTTCATATTTTTCTCGATATTATCTCTGTTCCTTATCTTAATCGTATTTTGATATGCAACAAAAGCATCGTTACCTTGAACGTAAAAAACAAAATCAAGTTTTTTTTTTATATGCTTCCATGGACATCTTTCGTTAATGGTCTCTTCTTAATATTCTATACACAATAATAAAGTAACAAAAATAACGAGCACATACATGTGAAATCATATTGAATGTATACAAATCATTTAGATTACTCGTTTGTCCAAACGTCTGACAGGCTTTTTACAAAAACTTCTGATTGACGGATTAATCCTTGAGATGAAGTCAAGGGTTCGCTTGTCTCTCGTTTATAGTATTCATTGTCGACGGATAATCCGTCAACAAGTGCTCGCCAATCGGTGATATAATCGCTAGTAGTCAAGTATATATCATGAAGTTGTGTTCATATCCATATGTAAGTTTTCTCTTATTATTATTGTTGTCATCGTTAACAAAAAAAAAATATTCACACCTGATCTTGAAAAGAAATGAAACTCTCCTGATCAAATTCAGTTTATTTTTCTTCCACGTAAGTATACGACAACTGTGACAAGTTGTCCGTTTATTTCTCTGCACATTCGTTTCATATCAGATTTAAAAGAGCTATGTATATTGACAATATAGACAAGCACAAACATGTTAGATAGAAGGTATAAAACCTGAAGAAAAGTAAAAGAATCTCCTCCCTCTTTCTGTTGTTTCGTTACAATTGATTATTTTATTACGACGACGACGACGACGATAAAGATTCTCTTGCATTATCTACTACCGCTCGAAAGTTAGACGATAAAACAAATGACAACATTCATTGTCCTTCTCGCGTGGCTTTGAATAACATGAGCAAGATGGTGTGGATATGTTTACGGCTTTGATATATACGCTTGTTAAAGTAACTTGAGTACCTATTCTCTAAGAAAAAATGAGATGTAGTTGGACAAAATCAACTCATTTTGGTTACTTTGTTGATGCGTTGACGGCAATGTGCTGAGATAAGTGAGTGGAAGGGATGAGTATTTTCTCGCGTTTTGAACAATCTTTATTTCTTATCGTTATTATTAGTTAAAGAAAAACGCTTGTAAAAATCTTGAAGATAAAACATCATAAAAAGGAAAGAGAACGAGGGACGCAATTCGAACTCATAAACTGACAGTAAAAGAGAAAATGTGAAGAGAAAAAAAAAGAACTGTTTTGTTCGCTTTGATAAATAAATTCATCTGTTTTGTAAGAACGTTTGATTAAACCTTTGTTTTTTCTTGCGTCTTATGTTTAGTCACTGTCGATAGTTCAGTCAATTAAGTCATATCTATACACAAGTGTCTGTCTCGCGTCAGGACATACGATCGATTGTGTTTTTTATCGTTCGGATCGAGAGAAGAACAATCGTGGCCAGACATACTCTTTCTCTTTTAGAAAATAACCATTCTTTGTCAATGCCTCGAATAACCTGAATAATGAACTCGTTATCATATGACTCGATGGATCAGTCCCTGTCCAGTCTTTTGAAAACTCATTCCCTTACTCAGCTACTTACACGGGATCACGAGCAATTAGTAACTCAATCACATTTCATATCCTATTACCATCCAAATATCGATCGAGAGAAAGCTGAACAATTACTCAAAACAAACTATTCGAAATCGAATTCTGATGGCTTATTTCTAATACGAAATTGCACAACTTCATCAAAAGATTTCAGTTTATCATTGATTTCTAATAACCGATGTTATCATTACAAAATACAACTGATTTATGATATCTTTTTCTCAATCGGTATTGCATGACGTCATTTTCAAGTTTTATATCCTCCTTCGCTTTTCTGTTCTTCACTAGATTCCGGACCACAAATTGCTGGGCTAGATAATTTAGTACATTATTATCAACAACGTGCTGACGGACTTGTTTGTACACTTGCCAATGAATTCATTCAAGGTCAACCACCTCCGCTTGCTGCCCGTTGTATGGGCACAACGAATGTTCTTCATCGAGCCTGTAAAGAAGGTAATCTGGATGTCGTAAGAAGAATTCTTTCGTCGGAATATGTCAATCATCAGCCTGATGTTAATGGGAAAGATTCTCACGGTTCAACCGCACTTCACGAAGCGAGTTATCTTGGCTATGATGATATCGTTCGATTGTTAATCAATGCCCAATGCAATGTTCTTGTTCGCGATGCAAATGGTGCGACCGCTTTACATCGAGTAAATAGGTCTTCAAACTTTCAATTGAAAACAAAACAGAATCTTCTTTAGGCGGCAGCAGGTGATCGTTCGTCAACATTATTGATCTTAATAAAAGAAGGTCTAGCAGATTATGAAGAACGTAATTATAAAAACTCTTGGGTACCATTACATGAAGCCGCATTTCACGATTCAGTTGATTGTATTCAAGTTTTACTCGATTGTGGTGCACCATTACGTCCACGAACTGATCAAGGTAAAACTCCTTTGCAAATAGCTGAAGAAGGTCAATGCACTGACTCAATTGCTCTCTTACGTCAATATAAAACTCCACCAGCCAAATCATCTCGATCGGATTGGTTCCATGATCAATTGTATTTTGAACGCTTTGCCGCGAAAAAATTAATTGAGTCAGTTAACACAGACTCTTCCAATGGTTTGTTCGTTGTTCGTTACAGTTCACAAAACTTGAAGAATTATGCTTTGACACTTTACTATGAAAAAGAATTTTACAATTTTGAAATCATTTGTCAAAATGAAAACAGTTTCTATATTGATGATGGGCCGTACTTTGAATCGTTGGAGCATCTAATTGACCATTATTGTCGAATACCCGATGGATTACCGACGGTACTAACATGCTCGGTAAATCAAGCCAAAGAGATTGTTCCGAGCCGTGTACAATCATTCACAAAATCTCAAACCAATCATAAAGTAGCAGGTATATCTGTCTGTTAATTACTGTTCCCTTTCCTTTACGTATCGACTCCGTCTAGAAACGTCAATACCGACAAAACCAACTATCAGCCGTCAAACAAATGTGGAGGCAACTAAAATAATCCCTCGTTCGAAATTTGTCAATTCTCTAAGTAGTTCGATAACCTCTCTCAATTCCTCGTGTTCTCGTTCGTATGGTTCATCGACTCAAGAAAGTCCTCTGTCAACATCATCATCGAATGCATCACTTGCAAGCAGCAGTCCAAGCAAATCGGCAATATTACTCGTTCCTAAGGAGAACTCTCTCCGCGATCGACGAAAGACTGTAGGTGATCAACCTCTAGCATACATATCAGATCTTTCTAAAGAAGCAAAAATCAAACGATTGGCCACATCGGTCGGGAAATTCGAAAAACAAAATTCATCCAAACTGAAACATATTCTACCTGATCAAATTCAACAGGTTGCTAAATTAGGCGAAGGAGAATTCGGTGAGGTTTACGAAGGTCTCTATCAAGAAAATTCACTAGCTCTACCAGTTGCCATCAAAGTTCTCAAAGATTATACCTATTCGGCTAAACAAGACTTTCTTCGTGAAGCGGAACATATGTCTCGACTGGATCATCATTGTATCTGTAAACTATATGGCATCGTCGATTCAAACAATAATGCTATGATGATGATTCTAGAACTGTTACTTCTTGGATCGATGGCGGATTATCTCTGGAAGCATAAGTTACGAGTTAGTGAATATCGACTAAAGTTATGGGCCTCGCAGATCGCAGACGGAATGAAATATATGGAACACAAAGGAATTGTACATCGCGATCTAGCCGCTCGAAACATTCTTCTGCAATCAATTGATCAAGTTAAAATAAGGTAATCGTCGACATCGAGATGAAAAATAAACTTATACGATCAATTCTAGTGATTTCGGCCTATCGAGATGTATTGATACGGATATCTATGTACAGAAATCGGATAGTAAAATTCCAGTGAAATGGTACTCACCAGAAGCGATAAGCGTAGGACGATTTACCTCGAAATCGGACGTTTGGTCATTTGGTGTGACTATGTGGGAAATGTTTTCCTACGCTGCGAATCCATATGGTTAGAATCATTGAATATTTATTCTAATTTGTCAATCTTACATTTATTTTCAGGAGATATGAGCGGTAGTGAAGTATATTATTCGTTAAAGCATGGATCTCGTCTTAGTCGACCAGTAGGCTGTCCATTGTCTATGTATCAAATAATGCTTCTTTGTTGGAAATGGGATGAGAAGCAACGGCCGACATTCTATCAACTCGTTCGATTGATAAAATGCGAATTTATCGATCGTCATTTGAATAAGACTTATCGACGATCGATATCGGTCGCTGATGAGATTCATGGCGAAAAAGAGAATACTTTTGATAACGCCGAGCAAGAATTGAAGAAGATTATTCAATTTTGAACCGGTCCTTCATTCTGTTTTCGATCACCTGTGAAAATATTTGTATATATTCTCTGCTTGCGTTTCACTTTTTCTTTTAATGTGGTTTGTTTTGTGTTAAGTTATACAAATAGAAAAACTAAATGTCTTTTTCTGCATCAACCTTGACTATGAAATCTATTTTAATGACTTTGCCCTTTCGACAAACATCATCCGTCTTCTTTGTTCCACCGGATGTCAAAATTTCCTTCTCGTGATCACATATATTGAAGATCATGCAAGCATAGATCTATATATCTAATAAGTAATTTCATTTTCACCATTGACTCGAATAGTAATAAGGAAAGAAAAAGGCGAGCGAGCAACAAGATTGTCGTTTTATGCTTGTTGGTTAGAAAAGACAAGCTTGTCAGTCAACAGAACAATGATGTCTGAAGGCATTTGTTCCAAGTGCTTGAATGCAATCGCTGATCAGCAATGCACGAGACTGATAAGTATCGTCAATTAGGTTGGTTATTCTTCTCTAGTCGGAGACGTTCATTGAAAAACCTTACAGCAATGATTTTATCGACATTCTGTTGTACTTTCTTTTCCTTTCCGACGAAATTCCTTTTTCCATTGTATTACGTTCGACTTACAATGAATGATAGACTAGAAAAAGAAAACAACGACTACGCTCTTACTAATGATGAAGTCGAAGGACGTGTGAACTCGATGATAGCTTCTATCAACGTCATACTTCAATTTTTCAGATATGATGATATGAACAATCTCCAATATTGATGATATATCGTTTTTTGTGTAGTCAAACATCATTATCTTCTTCATCGAAGATACATACATGAAGGCAAAACACACCGTATGTTACCACGTCGAATAATTAGATATGCTCTATCGCCACGGACGAAAATATTAATGGATGATCAGCAGCATACCTATCCGGTCGAAATACTCTTTGAAGAACAAATTACATTGAGCGATGGATATTCCAAACCACATTCTGTTCTACTTCAATTAACATCAGAATCATTGATTATTCAACCTGTAGCGACGATTTCGAAGTTACCATTGAATAAACAAGACGTTCAAACAACGACAATACGAACAGTAACAATTTCACGACATCCAGTTACGCGTTCACTTGGATTTTGGATCAAAGGTGGTTCGGATACTGGTAAATCGAAAGAATGTTCCTCACGCCAAGTGTTCGTGTAACAATGCTTTTCTATCTTCTTAGGTTTTCCAATTCTCATTTCGCGTGTTCGTGATGGCAGTGCGGATCTACTAAACATTGGCGATGCAATTCTGAGTATCAATAATGAAGATATCACTAATTCAACTCACGATCAAGTTATCAATCAATTGCATGATACACCTGGTGAACAAGTCACCTTAACAGTTAAATATATGAAAGAAATGGCTACATATTTACATTTAACGACAGAAAAATCTCGTCCATCTGTCCTACATAGTAGTTTAACATTACCAAGACGATATTTAATTCGAGATAGTCAAGAGCAAAAACGCCTGTCAGCAGAATATCCACTGGAATACCGAGATGACACGAACCGTCAGCGATGGTCCTTATTATTACCTGATCAATCAAAATCAAAAGTAAGATCCAAACCACATTTACTCGTCTCTCACGAGCTCTATATTTGTAGAAGATTGGTAATTATGAGTTCGGCTATGCGAAAACTCAAGAATACTCTCTTCTCTATGCATACGTAACTCAATATTTAAATGGTACAGACAAATTACGCACTAATTCGTTTCAAGTACATGCTCTCAATGGTTCTCAAACTGGGATTCTTATTGCAAATACCTTTCTTCAACAGAACATGTGGATTTCTCGTATCAATATGGTTATACGTAATCTAACGACACGTATCCTATCTGAAATGAACCAAACATTATTATCCAACGAACAAATCTTCTACACGACATGGATTCACGAACGTGATATAAACCCACATGAAAATCTTCTTCCACAATGGAAAGCGATATTTCTCGTATTCAAAGGCAGTGACTTATATATCTTTGACGAGAACCAATCTCCACCTTTGCGCACATATGATTTCATTCGCTGTACGCGCGTCTATTCACTCATTGAAGTTTTTATTGAAACTGTGTCGATTAAAGATTGTCTCGACGATCGTCGCTATTGTTTCACATTGACATTACTTAATGACACGAAAATTGAGTGTCGGTATTTAAATTTTGAACGTAAAATCGAATATGATGATTTTATTTTAAACTATCAACGATCGCTCTATATATCAGTTTACTCGACACAAAATCGAACATTTGGTTGTCTCTTCCATGGACAAATCTGCCGATTGATCATTGATGTTAACAAAGGATTCGAAATGTATAATAATCAAACGAGTATTTTACTATGGACATATTCATTCGAACAACTTCATGCCAGTTCCGATAATGGCCGAGATGAAATCTATTTTCAATTTAATCGCCATTCGACGTTCGACGACGACGAAAATCGAATTCATATCGCCGTACAATGTCAACAGTTGAAAAGACTCATTCATGTAATTAATTCTTTCTTAACTGTGAAGTTTCTCGGACAAAAAGAAGATGTCATTACCTAAATAATAGATGATTTTTTTATTTGCACGATTTCGAATACCGTCACAATCAATGTTAGATCAAAAAATTTCTTGGAATCAAGGTTTTCCGTGATAAATTCCTTCGGCCAAATGAATCACGTATTGACACGAATATCTACGTGTTCAATAGAAAGAAATTTAATATGTCTCAAAGTGAGATTCTTACTGCGTTTAGAGTGTAGGTGATAGCAGCAGCTAAGACATAATTTTGTGCGATTGCATCAACGAGAAGAAATGTAGCTGCATTCCAGAAGAAGAGTAATCGTTCTTCGCCGTAGAAGAAGATCTTTGTAAATGATCTTTCGTTGTCTTTGTGGAAAGAAATCGTGAAGAGTTGAGAAATATGTTTCATGCTTACCGATATATAAGAAATTATCTACGGTATTGTCAGATTGGATATGAGCTTGCGTTTGGAATTCATAATCGAAAAGTCTTTCGACAAAGTATCGATTGCGAATGAAATATTTATGCGAAGCTATTGAATGATCAATAAATGCGCAAAGGAAGCCATTGAGATTTTGATACGATTGAAGTAACATGTCTGTATAACGTTCAATATCTCCACGACTTTTTCGAGGACCGACATAACTCTAAAAGCAGATTCGGTGAGGAATCAGTTCTACAAAGTAAGCGAATACTTACATTGTAATTACGAAACAACATATCGTATTGTTTTCGAAAGTTTCGATTCATTTTCATGATAAACACTTGTTCATTCGAATTCGCTTGCAAACCACGTGTTCCAATCATTTGATTTTCTTCCCGATATAAATTCATCATTATCTCTTTGATATTCACATTGGTCGTTCCATGCGGTGATCGCCCATGAATATAGTAACCATGTTGATTTTCATCCAGAATAAACACGCTAATATTCGAAACCGAACACAAATCAATGAAGTTCACGATTCGATCAGCAATGAGCCGTTGATAAAATAACACATACGCAAGATATTGCACAATCGCTAGAAGAACAGTTATAGATGAATGTACAAGATGGAAGCATACCGGTGCCTAATAATGTGGAGAAACCTATTCCAGTACGAAAACTCTGATTGTATTCTGTACAATTAACGGCCGATTGGAATAGGATATAGCCACTTTGAGCACAGGAAATATTTTCTAGTTGAATTACCTAAAGGACAACTTTTCTAGTAGAATTAAGTTATTTCCAAGAAAGATTTTACTTTGAGAAAGAATAAAACGAAGAACATTTGGAATGTTACATTTATCCGACGAGATGTTTGAATTTCATTGAATTCGTTCGCAACAAAATACGTTCGCCAGACTGCGACATTGTTCGAAATTCCTAAATCAATCGAGTTATCGGTTGAACGTTTCATCTGTGCGCCAATAGACCTGTTTTGGATTTTTCCCAGTCCATGAAAAATATATCGATACGTGCTTGTCGAAAGATCAGATGAATAATATCCAATGTTTTAAATGTAAATGAGACAACGAGAAAGATCTTAAGTAAACTTTCGAACGAAACAAAGTCTTCTCCGGAAAAGTTTTTCTCATATTCGCTCTAAAAATAATCTATTTGTTTAGAAGTAATTCGACAGGGAAGTTTTACTTTATAAAACAACAAATATATTGAAACACCAGCAGTCACCAGTAATACTGCAGAACCAACGGAACCAAAAATGTAGAAAACAAATTTGCTGATAGCCTGCAAGAAGAAAAGTTGATTATTGCAACTTTGTAAGGCGTTTCCTTACAGATAAATCAGTAATTTCTCTTCCCGATCTTAGAAACCATTTCCAAGTTTGCACAAACGCGATTAGAACACCCAAACCTGCTAGGATTCCTAGAGCAATATAGGTGTTCGTTTTTTGAACTCTAACATCCATGAAATTCTAAAAGAAAATGACAAGTTGATTAAAAAATGAAGGAACATGCAAAAGAAAAGAAAGAAAGAGAAACCTATATGCATACTTGGCAAGAGAAGTACTAAATACACATGATCGATAAGAGCTCTTACAGACAAACATTCTCTTCTTTTCCTTTCCTCTGCAATCAACTTTATGATAGTAGTGATAGTAACTCCTGACTACGAAAATGCCTAATGACTTTGACAACGTAGTCAATTTGTAAATATGTCAGTCATTTAATCATTTGATGGATGGTGTCGAACAAATGAGAACTAAAAGAGAGAAGAACGCTTAATAAATATTTCATCGTCGGACAATTGATCGTGTATGCAAATGGAATAAACGTTTGCTGTTGGATACATGACTCACTATTAATCAAATTGACAAATGGATCCGTCTTATAACTACCACCTGTAGATTTCTTGTTGCTGGGAAACAGCATGTTGAAATGTTTGATAAAAGAACAAGTCAGTGTGATTCATTTGAATACTATTAGTGAAGCTTTTAAATCATCAATAAGGAGAAATATCGTTTTATTCAATAAAAAAGAAACGTCACAATGTCGTTAGAAAAACATTCAAATGAGAAAATTCTTTGGAATTAATGTTTTCTTCGATAGATTTCTTTGACCTAATGATATACGTAATTTTTCTGCAATCTAAACAAAACGAAAACAGTTGATATTTCTTTGTCTTTACACTTTCCAATTCGTCTTACTAGGTTCAATAAATATGTAATGATCGCTGCTAGAACGTAATTCGATGCAAAGTAATCAATGAAAAGAAACGTTGCTGTATTCCATATGAACAAAGAATTTTCATAGCCACAGAATAATATTTTCGTGAAATTTCGATCCTCATCTTTTGAAGACAAAATCGATGAGACTAAAATCTTTCGATGAATCATATTACTTACCGATAAAGAATGTACTTTCAGTATATCCATTCGCATCGGGTGCTGTGCGTAATCCGAATTCGATATTCAGAATTTTCTCTAGGAAATATCGGTGTCGAACAGTGTAACTATATATTGGCAAGGACTGGCTCATAAAGGCACAAAGAAATTCATTTAAATTTCGGTAAGATGCCAAGAGAATTTCGGATTCGTGTTCTTCGCCTTTTTTTGTCAAATGTGACAAGATTCGATTCTAAATCGTAAGGATAATGGTAAGACATTCCTAATGGAAAACGGTTCTTACTTGATAACTTTGAAGTAAGGTCTCGTATTGCAATCGAAATGCTCGATCGACTCGAACAATAAATATCTGCTCATCAGAATTCGGTTGCAAACCACGTTTGCCGATCATTTGATTATCTTCTCGATTTAAATTCAACATCATATCTTTCATATTCACATCTGCCAAACCATGCGGAGAACGTCCATGAATGTAATATCCATAGAGATTATCCATAAGAACGAAAACACTGATATTCGATACCGAACATAGATCAGTAAAGTTTATTATTTTATCTTCAACTTGCCGCTGATAGAAGAGAATATAAACCAGATATTGAATCAACGCTAAACGGAAAGGATCGTTCGATGCAATACTTGCAAAGCCAACGTCTCTTACCAACACCTAACCACATGGAGAACGCGATTCCTACACGTAGAATGCCGTTATAATCTGGTTGGTAATCAGAAGATGATGGGAAAAGATTAACTGTGGGTTGAATAGTGGCTACGTTTTCTAAGTTAATTACCTAAAAATGTAACGATAGAATTGTATCTTTCAAAGCAAGGAAAGGTGTTGGTTTATACTTTTAACAAAAGTAGAACAAAGATGAGTTGGAATGTCACATTAATTCGACGGAATGTCTGAATTTCACTGAATTCATTAGCAACAAAGTACGATCGCCATACCGAAACGGTATTCAAATTTCCTATGCCAACACATTTTCTATACATTGCAACATGTTACTTCCGTTTTACCTGATTTAGGCTTCTCCCAATCGATAAAGAAGATATCAATACTGGATTGTCGAATGATCAATTGGAGAATATCCAATGATTTTAATACGAATGCAACAACGACGAGTACAGTAAATGAAGTTTGCTGAGCCGATGTTGGAATAACCAAATACAACGCATCTTGTCTCTATGAACAGTTGATCATTTATTCCCATCCATTCGAATGAAAGTTCTTTACTTTGTAAAATATCAACCACCAAAGTGATACACCCGCCATAACGATGAAGAATATCGTACCAACAGCATTGATGACATAGAGAAAGAATTTTCCGATTGTCTAGAAAGGAACACAGATAGGAGAACATATCTCTGAGAAGCTCATCATACTCCTAAATCGATAACTTGTTTACCCGCTCGTGAATACCAAATCATTGTTTCGATTACTGCCAGTATTAAACTTAATCCACATAGAACACCAATGGCGATCCATATACTACGAATATGTGCGTCGAGATTCATTCGGTATTCAGTTTCGAATGTAATCTAATAACATAAAGATTAACACATCAGTCGAAAATGTAAATCTGAACATTCTTACCTGAACAACGGCATTTTTCCCTAGATCGGATATGGACAGCTCTCCATATTCAATAACTATCACTGGCGGTTGGATATAATTTGTATCACTGGTCAATGTATTGAGAAGTCTTATTGATTTCGCATAATGAATGTTTCTCAATTCTAGAAATGAACTTCGATGTAAGTAAGAAGAAGAAGATTCTGTAGGCAACAAACCGTTGTTTTGAGTTATGCCAGAGATACGATCAATGAGAAAGAATCGTCGATGATAAACCCAAGTTGATTCATCGTCTGAAACAATAACATTTATCAAAGTTTTAGCACTATTAAGTTTCAAAATACCATTCATATTCGGTGTTGTACTACTGTCATTTTGATAGTTTCTGATCACAACAGGCGTCGGTAACAGACGAGATGTGCCCGATTGAGTGAACACGATATCTATCAATCAAAATTCATACATATTTTCTTGGAGAAAAGGGAGATTCAAAGAATTTACATGGATCAAAGAATGCCGTGTCGTACAGAGTTGAAGACCATAATGTATCAGCACGGATATTACACTAGAAGGATCATTCGAAAATAGCTTTTGAAAAAATGATTCTAGATGTAATCATTCTATCCCATTCAGAAAATCAGTAGCTGAAAGCGAGAACTCAATCAGCGGGCGAAGCGAAAAACTAAAGAACAAACCTTTCTTTTATCTACGCTGAAATAACTTTCTCTATGATATGATCTGTCGAATTTTGATAATTTTCTCACTTACTATTTTCTTATAATGAGTGCCGAATGTAAACGACGGTTTTCCATCTGTATAACTTCCACCGCATAAAAGTAAATATGCATCATATGCGTCGAAAAGACCCAGATATTGTCCCGTCGGAGAGTATTTTGCCAGCTTGATTTGTAATATATTACTTTGACCGAATGTCGCTGGAATCCAATTGTACGACGCGCTGTTCACTTCTTGATAGTATGTCGATGGATATTGTAAGAATGGAATCGATGTTCTACATACGAAAAACAAATCAGAAGAAGTCTTCGTCTTTGTTTGTTTGTTTTCTTCGCTTACCTTGCGAACGAAGCGTTCCAAATTGATGTCAGTCCCCAGATATATTGTTGATAGAGGTAGTAGGCATAGTTAGTGCCAGGATAGTAGAATTGCATGGCGGCTATGTTGGCTAAGATTTGGCATGCAGTTACATTCGATAGAAGAGTGCGATTGTTTGTTTGAGCCGTGGTCGAATTTAAATTCATCTGCAGATGACGAAAATATTAGTTGTGATCAAAAAGAAAGATCGACTTACGCGACACAGATAAACTGCTGCACTGAGATGTTGTTGGAAAAATACCGAGCTTGTTGGACTCTGAAAGATCTCTTTGGAAATGATTTGTCTCAAAAACTCAAGAATAACGTACGTCAAATGTATTGGAATATATAGGTGAGATCGTCGCACCAAGAATGCCACTGAGATATGTTAAACACATTCCATCCTAAATGACCACAAAGGTAAATGTATACAGAAAATGCCGATTGGTAAATGAGAGTTACTTGAATCGCACTAGTACTACAACAACCGATCGTTCCCGACGGTACACCTGTTTGCGGAGTAACTTTGGCACATGGAGTACATCTAAAAATTACAAAACAGACATGCTGTTTATATGAATGAGAATGGCGAACTCACCGTTGATTATCTGGATCAGACCATGTACCAGTTGCACAGGTTACGCATACCTCTTGGGCAAGACGTGCTTGACTTGAAACTGATGTTGAACTGCCCGTGTTTGCCGTTCCGTCAAGCGCCGACTCGGCTAAAGCACATCATGTTATCGATTGCAGTTCAAACAGAACAGATGTCTTACTAGGAACTCTTGTTGTTAACGTCGTATCGCAAGTACTATCGTCCGCAGTACATCCGAAACCGTCAGTCGATCGTACCAATCCTGTTGGACAAGCTGAACATATTAATGAACCACCACCTTGGTTAACAGTATAGTAATATGAATTCGATGTGCAATCGCATTGTGTTCGATCTAAATAAACAATTAAAATCATCATTAGCATTGACAGATATGATTACCGGTTGATTTTTGCGTAGCGTTCGATGGACAGGATGAACATTGTAACAGAGCAATGTCATAATATTGAGTTGATGTGCATGTCGTCACATATGCAAAACTACTTTGATAAGCCGTATAGGTGTTCGATTGAGAGAAAATGATATTTGATGGAAGAATTAGCAGGAAGAGGTATGAAATAGATTTGAGCATGTTCATCTTTCTTTTCTTAGAGAAAAGAATGAATCAATAAGTAATCATGTGGATTTCATCTTTCTTTCTCGTTGCCAAGGGATAACCATTAGAAATATGAGAGAAATAATTTGATTGGTGAAACGCATTCTCGAATCAAGAAATATTTGTAGTTTGTTCATTCATTACTATTATTATCATCTCATTTCATTTCATTTCATTTCAATTTGCTAGTCTAATTTCAATGGATGCTCTTATTCCAATTCTGAATAAACTTCAAGATGTATTCAATACAGTCGGATCGGAAACTATTCAATTGCCACAGATTGTCGTCGTTGGTTCACAAGTCTGTTACATTGTGTTAGATTCTTTCGAGTATTTCATCATCTTTTGGACTTTGTAGAGTGCTGGTAAAAGTTCAGTAATCGAAAATATCGTTGGACGAGATTTTCTACCGCGTGGAATTGGCATTGTAACACGTCGACCATTAACACTTCAGCTTGTCTATACGCCTGCTGAAGATAAAGAAATTCGATGTCAACATTTAGGAAGTTAGAACGAGATTTTGATGATTTTTTTTCCTCCAAAACATCAAATCTTTCTTCTGTTTAGTTCCGGTACCAACTCAGAACGAATTTGCTTTATTTGCACATCAAAAAGACAAGGTCTATACGGATTTTAACGAACTTCGTCAGGAAATCGAAGCTGAAACTGAGCGACTTGGCGGGAAAAAAGTTTGACCTACTCTTGACCTCACAAACCAGCAACAGTTCGTTTCGTTTCGCTAGAATATTTCCAAAGAGCCAATCACCTTGAAAATATACTCACCGAAAGTCGTCACATTGACACTCATCGACTTACCCGGAATCACAAAGGTATCCATCGACTATAAGCAATTTTAATACGAACGAACACTTTTAGATACCGGTGGAAGACCAGCCAGCTGATATTGAACAACAAGTTCGAGACCTTATTCTGCACTATATTTCAAATCCTAATGCAATTATTCTGGCTATTACACCTGCCAATATCGATTTTTCCACGTCTGAGGCAGTAAAATTCGCTAAAGAAGTTGATCCCGAGGGTATGCCTCGGAAAGAAAAACAATCCAACTCCTGTATCACTCGATACTTTTAGGACGACGAACATTAGCTGTGTTGACAAAACTTGATCTAATGGATCGTGGAACTGATGCTTACGACGTACTATGTGGACGAATTATTCCTGTTAAGCTAGGTATTATCGGTGTGATCAATCGTAGCCAGGAAGATATTCTTCAGAAAAAAGTTTGCTTGATCTTTCATAAATTATCGATAGATTGATTGATCTATTCATCTAGCCAATTGAAGAAGCACTTCGATATGAATCTGCGTTTCTTCAAAAGAGTTATCCATCAATCGCCAATCGTAATGGTACACCATTTCTCGCCAAAACATTGAATCGAGTATAGTTTTGGACTTCGAAGATGAAATGCAAGACATGTTCTTTACATTGACAGTTACTTATGCATCATATTCGTGATTGTTTGCCATCATTGAAAGCTCGAATGAATCAAATGGTCTCGCATTTTCAGACATTAGTCAATTCATTCGGTGAACCCATTGAAGACAAAGTAGAGGGCACATTTTCTTTTCCTATAAACGAAGCAAAAAAAATGAAACCACCGTTTACATTAGGGACGACTTTTGTTGCAAATCATCACAAAATTTGCTTCGAACTACTGTGCAACTATCGAAGGTACTGCGAAAAACATCGAAGTATCAGAATTGTTCGTATGAGTGAATTATTTCTCAACGTAATGTAAACATGTCTACTGTTTAGGTGTGGCGGAGCAAGAATTTGCTATATTTTTCATGAAACATTTGCACGTGCTCTCGAATCGATTAATCCAATGGATAATTTAACGAAATTTGATATTTTAACGGCTATACGCAATGCAAATGTACAATTCAAGAATATTTCTCTAAGAAAAAATTGGCATTTATTTTGTTTACTTAGGGTTCAAGACCAGCTCTTTTCGTTCCTGAAATATCTTTCGAATTGTTAGTCAAACGTCAAATAAAACGTCTCGAAGATCCGAGTTTACGTTGCGTTGAATTGGTTCACGAAGAATTACAAAGAATCATTCAACATTGTGGTGCTCAGGTAATGATTTCCTATCCAGTTCTCATATCTAAAATCGCCTTCACTGCTCATTTCTAGCAGGAATTCATTCGTTTTCCACGTTTACATGAAAAGATCGTCGATGTTGTCGCCCAATTACTGCGTCGTCGACTACCTGAAACAAATCGCATGGTAGAGAATCTTGTTGGGATTGAATTAGCCTATATCAATACAAAGCATCCTGATTTTCACGAAGCTGGAATTATACACAAAGCGTTGACTGGAGAAGATACGACGCTGAATGCATCAAAACCAGATAATCGAGTTCGTATAAGCAAATAAAAAGACAAACGATTGTCATAATGTTTTCTTCTTTACAGATGACTGATGAAACGACGTTAGGTAGATCAAATCCATCGAATCAAGTATTAACTCAACGCAACGGACCAGTAGCCAACGGCATACAATCACCAACACATTCATCACATGCTGTAAACAGTTCTCTCATCATGGCGCCACTCGGCGATGGAGTAAGTCAGATATATCTGAGATCTACCTTCAGAACGAATCGAGCGTACCTTTTAGACAACTATCAACACTCGAAAACTTTCACAACGTGAACAACGTGACTGCGACGTAATCGGTAGGTTACTTCTCTCTAAATCTTTGAAATATCGAACTCAAGTATTCTTCTATACTGATTTAGAACGACTCATTCGTTCGTATTTTTTCATCGTTCGCAAAAACATTCAAGACAGTGTACCCAAAGCTATCATGCATTTCCTTGTTAATTTCATAAAAGACCAACTTCAAAGCGAACTCGTCGCATTGCTGTACAAGGCCTCAACAAACGAGCAGGATGATTTACTTAATGAATCTAGTCATATCGCACAACGACGTAAAGATGCACAAGAAATGCTTGAAGTACAGTTAAAAACTTTCCCTCGCCTTCACTCTTGCGCTGTTTTTTTTAACATTTAGGCATTACACAAAGCCAATCAAATCATATCTGAAGTGCGCGAAGCTCATTTGTGGTGAATCCAAACCAATATATTTTTCTTGTCGACATTTCACAAAGTCCTTCAGTAGATATGTATTGTGTGTATTGCACCAGTCTCTTTTTTTTAATTTATGCTCCAACCAAATCTGTATTTTTTTATATTTCAAACAAACGAATAAACCAGAACAGATGATATCCTTAACTTTTACATCGAGCTTAACATGAAGGTGTTCGAATCTTATTTGAGGAATCTTTTTTCTTTTTTTGCAATTCCACGTCATTCTTTGTTGCACAGGAAAGCATTTTGTTGTTTTGAAATTGGTTGAAAACAACTAAAACGATCGACTCGATACATAAAGTGAACTTCAGGTTTAAAAAGTCGTAGAGAATATCTATAATTAAATATATTGATTTTATAATCACATTAGCAAATCAGATTGATCATTTGCATGATAAACTCGAGATAGAATGGCAAAAACAAGTGACGTAAACTACCATCATGCTTTTTATTATCATTCCAAAGGTGATTTTAACGAGAAATATGTAATTAATATGTACTGACTACAACCCATTTGATTAGAAATGTACGTTTTCAGTTCTCTTTACGATTGAAGCACGTGTGTGTAATAGATTCTTCGTTTATGACTCAGAATTGACAAAACACTCCGCGTCATTGCAACACCACATTTCAATTTCAGTACATATATGTATCACACTGGGAAAAAGTCAGTGTTCGTTTTGGCACACCCTCAAAACTAACACTCACACTCAAAAAGCAAGAATTCAACTAAATAAACAGGATATGCTGAAAAGCCATATCCACCAAAAAAGATGATAATACCCATGTATTATCAGCTTTTTAGCAAAAGAAAGTTTTGCATCGACCATTCGAATTTCCAATCAACATGATAGAAAAATGAAACATACTCTCGAGAAGCTATTGCCGGGATTCAGCATATCTATGTTGGAATGAATTACGACAACGTATTGCACAACACCGTCAGTTTCACTTTAAATACGCCTTTTGTTCTTTTTCTTTACTAGTGGTCCGAAAGTGAGAATCGTACACACGGCTATTTTAACGATCAACTTGATCATGTTTGCTGAAAAGCCATATCCTCATCCGCGACTTTGTGTGTACGTTCTCACTCCGACATGACTACTAATACTGTTTTTTCGTCTTTTTTAATAATATGTACAACTACGTATGAACGAAGTCGAATTTTTTGCGCCTTGCACGAGAAAAATGTGTTATTTTTATGTCGATGATAAAATAATCTAATGAATAGTGTATAAAATGTCTACCACGAGTCATAATGACAATGACTGATTGTATCCAGTTGTCAATAGAGAGTTCAACTATGAATAGTACATTGCTTTCGATATCGATAAAGTGCACAGGTCAGTAAATATTTGAATGAAATTGAATCACATCAACAATTATTTTTACTCTGTGTAACAATGAGTTTTGCTAGTCAATGTTGAAACAAACCACGTGTGTTTACTCAGCTTCTGTTTATTCCAAGTGTTCTCTCGGCTTCGTTATTACACCATCTCATCATCTTTTCAATTGAAATAAGTTGAACTGCAGAACAACTGTTGCGTTTGAGGATTTGGCTTATATTTCAAAAAACAAAAATCTAAACTGCAGCAAATCTTTATCATCAAATGCTGGAGGGTCTTAATATCCGCTACTACATCTAGTTACTATACGACAAGAGACATTAAGTTGAAATTAAAAAACCTGAAATAGCCCCAAATCCTTGGCCGCAATCTATTTTTCAATTTTCATCGAGATCTTCGCACATGTGACGTTTAGTCATCGTCCATTTTATCTATATACTCGTATAACCTTGAAGTATTTCTGAGTAAAGACTGATCAATACGATTAAAGCGTAGATGTGACCGATGAAGCATATCCGATCACGCAAGCAATATTTTGATCATGTTTATTTTGGCGATATAAAAAGACGCCCCTATCGATCAATCTTCAGACTCATTTCAAACAGATATTCGAAAGACAACGAACAAACGAATAAAATACAACTATGGATAAGAAGAAAGGTTCACCTCCATCGGACAAAAAGAAGTCAACGACGACAACAACAACAAAGACCACCAAGCACGAGGAGAAGAAAGATGAAAATATTCTTGTCAAAGCTGCACATTCGATTCGAGACAAAGTACATGGACTTACCGATGAAGTCAAGGATAAAGCGCACCATTTAACACATAGTGACGACTCAAAAAAAGATAAAGATCATAAGAAATCAGATACGAAATTAAAGGCATCATCGAAGATACCCAAATCGTCGGATAAAGACAGTTCCGATGACGAAAAAGACAAAGATCCAACTGCACCACCGGGTTCTTCAGGTAATTCAGAGCCACTAATAGTTTCTATGTAGAGAAGATAAATTTTGTTCACTCAGGTGATAAGAAAAGTTCTACAGGTTTACCTTCTTCAGACAGTAGGATTATCATACTGAAACAGAATACAAATAAGTATGTCATTTGTTTTTAGAGCCACCAGGTGACAAAGCAGCTGGTGATGCTGCCGCTTCATCGAGTAAGATGAATTAATCATTTTACATGATCTATGAGTTGAGATTTTTAGAACTACCTCCCAGTAAGTCACCGGGATTACCATCTGGTGGTGATACTGACGCAGCTACTAGTGCACCTCCACCTTCAAGTACGTTTTTATATCAATGCATTCACATAGAATAAACAAGTTTTGCTCTTAGATCCAGCTAGTAAAGCAACAGAACCACCATCCGGTGGCGATTCAAAACCTCCTGGCGAGAAGAAGGACGACACTCCAGCTGCATCCTCAGGTATGATTTTTTTTGTCACGAGATCACCTTTCGCAGAATCTTTGGTTTAGGTGCACCTGGTAATGCTGGTGCTAGTAAATCTTCTGGTGAGCCCAGTAGTGAGCAGAAACCAGCACCTTCAGCTGGACCTGATGCAGAAAATAAATCTCCCGCTGGAAGCAACTCAAATGATAAAGTTCACATTTCTTTCGACGGTTCGTCATTCATACGATTTCTACTGATTTTCCAATAATACTCTTGTACCGTTTCATGACATTGTAGGTATACAAACCGTCGATGACTTACTCGAACGAATAGACCAAGCTATTGAAAGCGCACAAATAATTGTTGATAATGGTTCGAAAAAGGCTCAAGGCGATAAACCCGCTATTGGTGCTGCTAACGCTGAAGCTGAAAAGAAACCTGCAGAGGATGAACCAATTCGAGTTAAATTCAATGAAGTCCACAATATGGAAGATCTTCTTGGTCTAGTTAATAATCAACCAGGCCATCGAAAGGTTGTTCTCGAAGATGCACCTGGTCAGTCCAATACTGTTTCAATCAAGAAGAATAGTATCCAATCAGTTGATGATTCGAAAGATAAAAACGCAACAACCACAGTAAAGAAAGAAGAAACTCCATCATCAGCAACGAAGACTACCGAGAAGAAGGAAGAAACACCAAACTCAGTAACGAAGACCACGGAGAAAAAAGAAGAAACGCCGACGTCATCCTCAACAACGAAAAAGGAAGAAACACCTTCATCATCAACCAAAGTCGAGACAACTAGCACGCCAACATCATCAGAAACTACTGTCAAAACAACGGATAAGTCTCCACAATCGAATGACGCATCTTCGCCTGAAGGCGATCAAATCCACGTGAATATTGAGAATATTCGAAGTGTCGATGATCTTTTGGATCGAGTCGATGAAGCTGTTCAAAAGGTTCCTGTTATTATTGATACAAAGCCACGACCTAATCCAAGTTTGTTTCTTAACGATCTATTCGAATTTGATTTTCTTCAATGTTCCTTGTTCATATAGATTCATCAAAACCCAAGGAAGACGATCAAGCCGATAAGAAAGACGATTCCGACGCACTGAAATTTCAAAAAAAAGATACTGAAATCAAACAAGACTCCGACGGAAAAACAGTAACTAAAGAAGAGGTCAAGACTGAAGAAGATCCCGACGGGAAAAATGTGACCAAACAAACGTCTAGCGAAACGACCGAAACCTTCTAAATACGATGACTTTCCTTTCTATACATTTTTCGTCACTTTGTTTCATTTTTGTTCTTTACAACACATAAATCAAGCAATTTATATACTCGTTCACTATAAGATATAGTATAGAATTCAACAAAGCACACTAGCGACATCTTTTCATGACAACCATTTTTGACTTACTGCCTACCTACCTACCACAAACATTTCGCTTTGAGTCAGTCAAATATGTTACCAATAGAGCTGTGCGTTGCATGATCGATCTTGTTTTTGAAATAGGAACGATAAAACTAGGATGTGTCACTGTCGATATGTATTTTTAGATACATTTCATTGTGATGTCGAAACGTTTTTTCGAAGGTGCTCAACATGCCGCTCGGTATGCTGCAACTCGACCTTCATATCCACCAGTATTCATGAAGAAAATCATTGATTTTCTCTCCATAAAAGTACGATTTATCTTGATCATCTTCTCATTTCTGTTCTTCGTGGAATTAGTATAAAGGTACCTTTGATTATGCAGCTGATGTTGGTTGCGGCAGTGGACAAAGCACTGAACTTCTATCACCATACTTCAAAAAAGTCTATGGTAATTCTGCTCTGTCATTGAAAATAAGTCGCTGATAATGACATACTTTTGTTAGGGTATGATGTTAGTGAAAATCAAGTCAGAGAAGCACGTGCAAAGAATAAAATATCGAATATTGAATACAAGTAAGAAAATAATACAAGAATGATAAATGATTTCTTTTTCCTGCTTTTCATAGAGTCAGTTCAAATAATGCGATTCCACATGAAAAGCAATCCCTTTGTTTAATCACTGCAGCACAAGTACGTTCGGCTTCCTCCAAATGATACTTTCTAGAATTTGATGTACAGGCAGCACATTGGTTCGATCTGAAACAATTCTATTCAGAAGTACATCGAACGTTAAAACCTATGGGTGTTTTAGCTGTGTATGGTTACGCATTACCAGAAGTTGCGAATAAGCAGTATTTACATCTGAATGACGTTATTCAGCAAGTAATATCTTTGCATGAAGATTATCAAAAAGAAAACACACGATTTTTTCGAATAGTTTTATCAAAAAATGATCCCATATTTTCCACCAGATCGTGCTCAGATCGATAATCGGTATGCCGATATAGTCCTCCCATTTGAAGAAAAGATTCGGTAAGATAGTACAGATTTGAAGGCAGCGTTACTGTTTGAATGGGTTTTTTTCAAGAGATGAAAGTGCAAAAATCGAATATGAATGGAATCTTGATCGATTCGTCGCTTATGTCTCATCATGGTCAGGATATGTGAACTATATGCGAAAACATCCTGATCGAGATGTTCTCATCGACTTCCGTGAAGAGTAAGACAAGAGAATGTTCGAAATTCATCACAAAATGCATGTTTAGATTAGCCAAAGCGATGAAAAGTGACGCTGAAACAGAATTATTAAAAATCGATTTTCCCATATTTGCTCTACTCGGTCGAAAAACAACGACATAATTTTTTTTTCTTACATTATCAGTCAAGAGTATCAACAATCGTGATTTTATTCTAGATAGACTAGCGAAACATGTTGACCTACGAAAGTATCACGATTGGTCAACGTGTGGAGGTTTTACACGACAATCAAATCTTGTTTGGAAAAGTTCTTTACAAAGGACCAGTTGTTAATCGACGCGGATTATGGATTGGTGTTGATTTGACTACTCCGCATGGAGATAATGATGGTACACTGAAAGGTCGAGTTTATTTTCGAGCGCCAATGAACTATGGTCTCTTCACGACGATTGATAATGTTCGGCTAGCATCAGATTTTTTACGAAAGTAAGAAGAAAGAGGCTTAAGAACACATAGACAAGATTTTTTTCTCCAGACCAAGATCAAGATATCGAACAGTGAACAAAACGAGTGTCGTTGAAGAAGAATTATTTGGTAATACAGGTAAAACAGCAAGATTCTATCAGTAATTCATATGAACGCCCTTATATTACCTAGATCCATTAACCTTACCACCTCCGAGGAGTAATGCAACTATTTCCAACTCGAAAATGACTTCTTCATTGAAGAATCCTCATGAACGTCCACGAACAGTTGGTCTATACGAAACAGAGAAGCGATATCCACGGTCACAAACATTGATTAACAAGTACGACGACAAATCGCGCGGTCTAGAAAGTATGATGTCCAGTCGATCGTATACAACGTAAGTCTAATTGTATAATTTCTCGCAACTATAAACACAATTTTCAATAGAGAACATAGTTTTGCACCAACTCCGTCCATTCCGTGCGTCTTTATGCCGCCATCCGAAGTCGATCGAGCGAAACGAAACGCTTTCTCAGGCATGCCTCTTCCTCGGTACACGGTCGTCCCCGATCAACACGAGTTTCTCGATTGAATGAATGATATTTTTTCCCGTTAAACTCAATGTATATTTATTTTTTATACTTCACAATTTTTTGTGTTCATCTTTTATTAACTGGACAAATATAAATATATCTATATGATGATTCTCCTCATATTGCTCGGCAAATTCCAAGATGTGCGTATGTATGGTAATGACTTCTCGGTATGATCCCGAAATGATCTGTGATGTTCATTCGAACAGCTGCATAATAAACAGACAGTTGTCCACGATATGCAAAGTAATTGATTTCATTATGCCAACCGCATAGATAACGAAAATTACACGGATGGTTGTTTCGATACATAAACATTGCAATATCATACATTCGAAGATTCATTGCATCCGAACGTGAATAGAATCCATCACGTTGATATTCGGCTTCTTGACGTTTTATATCCGATACTGTTTGATTGAAACGAAGTGAAACTGAACCTTCTCGATCGCGAATACGTTCGATTGTATATCTAACTTCGATGGCAGACGTTCGATCACGTTCACTATGACGAGCAGACAAAATCGATACCCCGCTTTTACGTAAGATATCGGCGATGTTTATTAAATGTGCTTTGCCATCCATCCAAACGATCCATTTCGCTAATGGAAACATCCGTTGACCAAGAGTTTTCAATGTTTCGACTGTTTTGGCGGGGGACGCAAACAATGCCGCCTTTTCACCGACATTAACCAAATCCCAACGAGCGGTTGTATAGTGCGGGGTGTGATATTTCAATGCTTTATACGTTTGTGCATCAACGATTGCAACATAACAGAAAGATGACGGACTTTTACCCTCTAGTCTCGGTAGAGGATCGTAACATCTGATAATCGAAGTGAAAACTATTGTTTCACACGTGTGGTTTCTGGCGTAACGTTTTCGAACGATGTCAAAGATCGACGGTATTGTAAAGGCGCACTTGATCGATTCGTAATTCGCTTGTACGTACAACTTTTCACGATCTTCGAAAGAATAAATATCACTAAATGCACAATCGAATTCATTTAGAGAACACCGGTCAATGTTATCAGTTGACATTCGGTTCGGACGCGTCTCAGACTGCAATTGAGCGAATGTACCGCGCGTAAAACATTGCCGATTATCGACTAAATATTCTATAAACGAACGACGACCGTGCAAATAGTAAAAATCATCTTCATAAGTCAAATTTGATGAACGAGGTGGAATCGACATGTTTAAAACACGTTCAGCTACATCAGATCGGTCCCACCAGACAGCATCTTTGATAAACCGATGGGAATCATATTCGATTATACTTGCTAGTAATGAATCCGCAATGTTAAATTTGAACAAAGATATAAAATCTAGTAAAGATGCTTCACATTGGACTAAATCTGCATGAACTAATTCTTCTGAATCGATGATTTTCCATCGAATGGAGGCTTTATTGATGAAATGCTTTGAAATGTATTTATTGATATCTGCTGTTTTCCGTATTTTTGCTTCAATAAGTGAAATGTTTAGAGTAGAGCTCGGTTTACGACTGTCTAATTCGTGAAAGACGACAGTAGCTGCTACCGATTTTCTTTTGAAATAAATGTGAGTTTTATTATCTCTGATTATCCGATCAACGGCCTGTTTACATCTCGATTGATTCTTCAGATCAGCGGTAAGCGAAACGATATAAATCTGAATCAATGATTGATTTGTAGAATTGAAAGTAAAGGAATCTTGTTTCCTAATACAAAAATGATCGTCGAATTGTGTTATTCTAATATTCCCTAGTTTTCTGGTTAAGATCCATTGGATGTATTTCATCAGACCTGTTCCATCATAAGTCCAGATAATTGCGTTTATCGATGCTTGATGTGAATGTGTCGTGCGTAAACTTGCAATATCTTCTTCGAAGAAATCGATCGAGAACGATCGGAAATTCACATATACAATCAGAATAATGTATACGAGGGAGAATGCAGTACAAATGCATACGCGGCGGCAGGACATAAGTTCATGCATCACCTGAAACATGGAAATGATTTAGATCGACAAAATGAAATTGTTTTAAATGTGATAATATCATACATCAACGAAAAGGAGAGAAATTTTCCGGGGTTCTTTTTTCTGCATGCTCATCCAAGATGCCAGCTAAAGTGTCCAGCAATCTCTTCCACTTCATGTATCCGTTTTCCCGTTCGCAATGTCAGCGGCAAGAGAGAAGACTCACAGTGCTCCAGAAAAAAGTCACACGTTGCGCTTCTACTGTATATGAAACAAAATACACACCTATGTTCATTCCGCGAGTAGTTTGACACTTCATTCGAACTATCATAAATTACTATCATGCCAAGAATCTCACTCCGCTACACACACGGCAAAGGTGCTAAAATAATTCTTACAGAGCTCGTGAACTGATAGTATATATAAACTATGAGAAAATAAAATCTTCTTTTCACCAGCGATTTTCCTTTGGTAGTGCACTATGTCACAGTCCAGATCGCTATTGTTGGGAAGTCAATAGTTACGAAAAAAATTCAGCGACCATAGTCACAATTCATCATTCTTTTACTCACGTTGAAAGATACCGACATTCTGTCAAAATTGTTGGCAAATTTCTTTTTTTTTCTCTACAACGCTTTGCCGTTGTAAGAAATCAATTCACTTGGTCGGTGCCGAAAAGAGAAAAAAAAGAGTAATCACTGCCGTCGTCATTGGATTACATGGAGAATAGGTTTTACTTAGTAAGTAAATAAAGAAAAGAAAAACATGAAATGATGGGCAATTTACAACAGTGAAGAATACGCTCTCTGTAGATGCCTGAAGAATGTGACTGATGTTGTTTAAAAAAGCTGAGAGAGTTTGTATCAAGTCCACCGAATAATCCGAGTATGTGATTTTTGATCGATTAGATACCTTTCTCTTAAGAGTCTATCATCTACTTTGTTCAAATGCAAATAATTGCTTCCAGCCAGCACGAAATACAACTAATTAGTTTCTAAATTATATATTCAGACGACAGAAAAAGGTTCATATACTTTGCCATAATCAATTTCATCGAAGTTTTATTTTTAAAAGTTGAAAAGAACGTCATGTTTTTTTTAAAACTAAAATCCAAGCCAAGTATTTTCTAGTTACCAATCGCAGGACTTGTAGAACTGGTTGTCGTAATAGTCGCTGTTGTCATGGTTGAAACAGTCCTCGTACTAGTCATTGTTGAAGCAGCAGCATTCGTGCTGGTCGATGTCGAACTAGTTGTTGTCGGTATTGATGGAGGGTTGACAACAGTGGCACTAAGAACTTTTCCTGATGCATCTGTAAGTACATTGACAAGAACCTTATCGGTTTGTGATGAGCCAGCTGGTGGAGGATAACTGTATTGTTTGATTACATTGCCGTTGTCTAAAGTTTGTGTAACACCGGTGAATGTCATGTTCTGTTGGTAATCACCAACGACTACTGAGGAAAGAACTTCACCAGCTGTACCCAAAACTTGATTAACGATTTTGCCAGCTAGATCGAGATAAAATGTTCGGCGTATATGTATATTCAAAAATGAATTTTGAAGATGTTCACTTACTGCTATCAATAATTTGATTAATGAGTTGACCATTTTGTGTTAAACGACCTAGCAAATTATTCACTGTTTGAAAGACACCATCTATAACGGACGTGAGCAGTGGATTCAGATCGAGTGAAGCCATTGTACGCGTTATAATAGTTGCTACATTATCAAGATAAACTGCCAGTTGAACTTGGGCACGAACACCTAGTCAAACAACGGTTTCCCATCTCAATTCCTGCTTTGTTTCGGATCTATTTCCTTACCAGTAATCGTTAAATTCACTTTATCAATCGATACATCCACGCCCGCATTCAACGAAACTAAACCAGCAACATTAGCTGAAAGACTCACATGTGCTTTGATATCTTCTACAACAATGGAGATCTCTTGAACGCTCAAGTCTGGAACATGAAGCCAAACATCAGGTGGATTACTTGTATTGAATGGTAAAGCAGTACATGGCGAGTTTCGATTTGTTGGACAGCTTGAATTGTTTGTTTGAGCTAACACGAGGCTCGAAATGTATATGAAGTACAGCACAGTGCAAAAAAGATACGTCTTAGAAGACATGATTAGATCCGTGAATATTTAAAATGTGAATGAGAGTAATTGTCTTCTGTCTATATATACGATATTTTGTTGTGAATGATAGTTTTACCTTGAATAATAGAACAATAGAGGCAACTGAGTGTAGATATTTATTGAAGTCGTCATGAATGGATATGAATATGAGATAGAAGATTATTTGTTTATTTCTTGTTAAACACAAAAAAGACGAAATACATTAGAACGTTTTGCTCTCTCAAAGAAGATTGTCTACTGTATTTTGAACACCTTTGATCGTTCGTGCAAGGAGAGGATTGAGATCGATTGATTCAAGTGTTCGATTGACAATATCAACGATTTTATCAAATTTTACAGCTAATTGAACTTGAGCGTGCACACCTAACAAAATCGCAGTTAGAAAACAATGAGTTTCAGTTGTTTGCAATGCATTTACCTGCAATTTTGATCTGCACGGAAGAAATGCCCACAGATACACCTGCTGTAAGATTCACCAATGACGCCACACGCGCATCAAGATTTAAACGTGCCTGAATATTATCGACACGTAACTCAATCAATGGAACATCAACTGTGGCATCGAGCCAAACATCTGGTGGATTGGTGATGTTGAACGGCAATTCTCCGGTACATATGGATGTGCTCCTGGTACAATTATCGGTCGATGATGTTTGATAATTGGTGTAACCAACAGTTGAGGTATCTTGTTCAGATTGACCAGCAACTGTAATAGCGAATAGTAAGAGAGTTAGCACTAACATGATAGGAATATTTGGATTTGATGTTGTCTCGAGTATATATGAAATAAAACTAATGATTTAATCGACCGTAACGTACACTTTTATTCGTTTGCTCTTTTTTATCATCGAGAACAATGAGTGTATATGCACGGAGTTGACGATCACGTGTTAATCTCAATCAATTAGGTGAATTCGTTTGATGTATGATACCGTTGGTATCTCTGAATAGGTATGAACAAGCTTCAAAGAGTAAATTCTCATCTGTCGCGAACTTTAACAGGATGTTCGCACGAATGAAAAAGTGCAGTGTTTAATATACTCAATTCCATAATTCTGATACATCATGATTAGAAGATGTGTTTCCTATTTCTTCGATTCAGCAGAGATTTATGCAATTAATATGCACGTAAAATCAATAAATTCGGTACTGTCTGTCGATAGAGATCGTGTTCAATACAGGAATGTTCTCTCAACGCTAATATATCAGCGTAAAACGTATATCTCATTCATCCGTGTTAACCAGAATCGATTCATTGATGGCTTTTCTCAATACGAACTAGTGTGGTAAACCATGCCCATAACTGCTAGATACTTCGTTTTTGTCGAATAAAGTCTCTGTACGAGACATCAGAGAGATAATAGGCTTTGCGGCTGTTGAAAAAGTAGGCAGCTGTACTTAATCTAATAAGCATTCATTGTTATGAATCTTAGAACTGAAGGTTTCCTTCCGTCTAGGTCATTTTAGGCATATTGCTATTCCCTTCTTTATAACTGTCAATTAGGATGTCTTCGTTTTGTTCCAATATTTAAATATATATCTTCTTTCTTCTTACATCGACACACATTGTTTTTTTTTGTTTTGACAAATACAGAGAGAAGAAAAGAAAGAAGACAAAGTTAAACTTCATTTACACCACAGTAGAGAACAGCTACACACAGACAGAAAAAAGAATAAGAGACTCTTTGGTTGTTTTTTTAGTTTCTTTACAAGTAGTATAACATATTTCAACAAACGACAAAAGACAAAGAGAAAAGTGAAATATACACAGATACACGGATTTTACGTAGCTGTGACTTTCATACACGGACAGATCAGGACGCTCTAGAAATCAAAACAAAGCCGATCAGCGTTCGTTAGCATTGATAACGAAACTTACTCTGATGTATCCATACCATCTGCTGGTGCAGATTCATCCGCTGTTGTTCCTGCTGGTTCGCCTTCACCTACAACCGTTACCGTCTTGATTGTTTCTTCAGTTGTTGTTCTTATGATCGTTTCAGATCCTGATGGAGCAACTTCATTAGACGAGCCGTTTTCAGTTGTTGCCTCACCACCTGTGGATGGCACGACAACAGTTGATTCGGTGACTTTGGTCACTTGTGTAACAGTTGTACCATTGACGGCATCTGAACTGGCTTTACGTTTGTTAGAATTTTGTTTGTAATCAGCTTGATCACGACGATTGTCACCATCTTCGTCTTCAGAATCTGATAATTCACGCTCATCAGCAACACGACGATCGCTTTGTAGTTGTGAGATACGCTAAAATAGATCGACGCTGTCAATAATTCACTAAATACTCAAACTGTATCATACTTTATCGGGATCATTGTCTTTATCTTCATCGACAACTCGATCAACATCCATTGCATCATCCGGAATAGCTAGAGTAAATTCCGAAATAGGATATGAAATTCCAATGGATGGAAACACTTACGTTGCATTTGAACACCTGGCACATGCGGCAACATTCGAAGATTGTCGAAAAGTTTAACTCTACGAAAAGAGGAATGTCAGATTGGATATTTCATTAATCTCATTAACACTCTACTTGATTTTATCTAAATAATCCGAACTATTTTGATTTGGCATGTTCGATGGACTTATGTGTAGTTTAAAATCAGGACCATAATATTCGAAATAATCATTATAAGGCAATTCTAAAAGTAAACATTCAGCTGCTTGATAGAAACTAATTGAAACCTACCATTTGGAATTTCTTGATTAAGTGCAATAGCTGTTTCATACGTCCAAGCACGAGCAACATTACGAATTGTATAACCACCCCCGCCAACGAGTAACAATGGTAGATTGTAACCTTTCATGAATTCGACACATTTACCATGGCCTATGAAAAGAGAATCATGATGGGATAATGATCGACTTTGTTTCCCGCAATTACCTTTCAGTGTTAAATTAAAACAACCAAGACGATCACCTGTAAGTGAATCAGCGCCACATTGAAGTACAACAGCATTGGGTTGGTACGATTCCATGACTTTCGTGATAACTGGTTTGAATATTGTTTCGTACGAATCATCATCAATACCATCACGTAGTGGAAAGTTAACGGCATAATATTTACCACGGCCCGCTCCGATATCCTGCGAGAGAGACAGTGAAATCAGTGATCATGAAATGATCGGCTCAACGGCTTACTCGTAGATCGCCAGTGCCTGGAAAATATTCTCCAAATTTATGGAATGAAACCGTCATGACTCGGTCGGTAGTGTAAAAGGCTTCTTCCACTCCATCACCATGATGAATATCGATATCGATATAGAGTACACGTTGATGGTATCTACAAGAGTAGATTTGAGATTAGTTAATTTTTGTTTCTTCTTGAAACTTACTTGAGTAGTTCGAGAATAGATAAAACAATATCATTGATGTAACAAAATCCGGACGCTTCGGACTTCTTGGCATGATGAAGACCACCTGCCCAATTGATGGCAATATCGGTTAACTTGCGATTGAGTTTTACCGCACCAGCTAACGATCCACCAGCTGATATTTGACAAAATTCATAGAGACCTTCGAAGACAGGACAATCTTCTCCCACGTTGAACCGTTGCATTTGCTTGTTGAAATCAAGAATATTGTCCGGTCGAATATTTTGAATAAATTTCACATATTCATCGCTATGAAAGCGAGTCATTTCGTCCGATATGGCTTTGTGTGGACGCTAAACAGCCACAGAATAGAATCGTTGGAGAAAATTCCCAAATGAACTATCAACTTACATAAACTTCCATTTTACGGTAAAGTCCATAGTTGAGAATTAAGTTATGTGTCATGCGTATACGATGTGGTTTCATCGGATGGCCTTGTCTGTTCGTAGAAAAGAAGATACAATTTGTTTTGTGAGAAAGAACTTCCTTACCCGTAATAGTAATTACCAACATCGAAATCATAGTAATAAGAGACCTTTTTACGGCTATGAGGACCGATTGTTCCTGGTGTTGTGGTCATTTTCTTAGATCTGAATAGAAGAAATGTTGGTTGTTAGATAAAATATTGATCGATGAGAATAACAAAGGAAGAGAACTGAGAATGACTGACCACCTAAAGAGTGGACGACTAGAATAATGAATAAACAAATATCAATTGCTTCATATTCATTGGTGGAAAGAGAAGAAAGGAATATATATATAAGTGAAGCTGATCGACGCAAAAAACTCAAACTTACCATTGGATTTTCTCAAAATTATTTTCTAGTATTTTAATTATGACAGCTATATTTTATACAGAGACATCTATTGAGAAATTCTCATTGAAAAAATGAACGGACCAATCTGATCGTTCTCCGTTGTACATACATAGATACATGAATGAGAAATGATGATTTTCTTACGCAAGTTTCTTAATTTATATTTCAGATGTCGACTGCCGAAGAACGTCGTCAGCGAATTCTTGCAAATTCCCAAGCACGTCTCGCTAAGCTTCGAGATGTGACTCTAAACGAAGATGCTGCAAAAATACAACCAATGGCGCCTGTTTCTGAAGAAGCACCAGTTGAACTTCTACAACGAACTGATGAAATCTTACGATCTACTCCTCCTCTACAAACGACGGCCAGCAAACAACAATCATCATCATCATCAATATTTTCAACAATTGCATCGGCAACAAACATGATGAATACATTCACATCATCGTCGCAAACCAAACCTACACCTGAGATTACCAAAGACACCATTCTCGTTGATAAACAGCATCTTCTCGTGCTAGTCTTGGGAATTCTCGTCAATCTTCTATATTCGTTCTATATATCATCTCAATCGAACTTTTTCTTTTTGGTTTACTTTACGGCTTGTACATGCATTTTGACGTCTCGTTATTATATGATGGATATGAAACATCGAACAAATGTATTGATCACAACAGCAATGATGTCAGGTTTTAAACCTGAATTAATGAAGAAAGTGGTTTTGATTTATACACTTGTATGCGATGCTTGGGTTATATTTGCCTTTTATTTCGTCTCTTTTTCTTTAACACATGTGATATGCTCACTGTTGAAAAACTAATAAACTGCGTTCAATGATCGCCGGTAAATTTCTAAACACTTCCCAATCGATAGGGATGATCATCCACTAAATCCATGAAAACAAACTGCCTGCTTTCAATTTTGTACAACAATATATTATTGTTGTTAGACAATTTATTTCTTTTATAATAAGACAATAAGAATCTCGACGTGAATGTACGTTATTTTTTCAGCTATTCCTACAATTACTGTATCAAACACAGTTGCAGCTGCTGTATAAAAAGCAACAACAGCGGGGGCCCAATCAGCTTGAGCGGGAAAAATGAGTTCTTTTTTTTATACATTCTTTATCAAATGAGCAATTCTCTTCGATATTACTATGACGAAACACGTGGAACAATTGAATTGAACAGCAAATATCGAAGTGAAATTTTTAAATAAATCAACTTCCTCTTTTGGCAGAAATAGAAAAAACTATGGTCTCTGTTTTCAGATGTTATCGCTGTGCTTGGACAGATTGAGTGACTGTGGCTAAAAAGCAATGTTGCTTTGCCGTCTTGTATTTATTTATGATTTACTTCGTCGTTGTCTACTATTTTGGACAAAAGCGAGAAGGAGAAATTTTATCAGAAGTTGTTAAAATAGTGAGATAGGAAGAATTTTGAAAGAAGCTCGTCTCTGACAACTGAAACAAAATGAATTCTTTCGAGTAGCTTTAAGTACATGAAAGGCTAAAACGTAGTAGTCAGCGTCAGGACAATAAAAATAATCTTGCAGTGATCAAGTGTTTTATTTTTTCGTGCGTTTTTCTCCAAAGGTGAATCATGCTTACAAATGTGCATTATTTTATTAACCAATGAAGATGGGATTATATAGTTTTCTAAAGATTAAAATGAGAGTGACTAAGAAATTATATTGTCTCAGTCAGTTTATTTGAATATACGTCTATCTAAACGGTATTACATATATTTGTTTTACAAAATAAACAACATTCTCACGAAAGCAAAAGTCATGTCTGTCTATATTGTCAGCAATCTACAATACAAGGATAAATAATTACAATGTCTATGAAAACTAAAGTGCAAAAGTAGTGAAGTGTTCTTTTAGAAGTTTTCCGGGAGTTTGAATAAGAAGATTTGGGTTACATTGAAGCATCTTTTTTCAAAAGATTATTTCTGCATAAGTAGCGTAATGAGAAACATCTAAATACATTTATGGTGTTGGTGTCAGAGCTATAGCAGCGCAAACTGCTGAGCATTTGCCAAATGCAAGATTACAAGCTATTATAGCTGGTGGTGCACCAAGTCCACCAGTCACCGTACCAAATACTGCACCAGCCGCTGAATAGCAAGCTACAACAACAGATGCGCAACCAGCCTGACACATGCCGTAAGCCAGCGGACCAGCTTTTGTACAGGAGGTCATGAGAAGTAAAAGGAAAACCAATATTGTAGTATATTTCATGTTCTAACAAGATAACTTATCTAAAATAATTTTCTTAGTTTCTTCTTGGAACTTAATTTCAACGCGAAGTAAAAACTCAGGGTGCCTGTTGTTTTTTTCCCAGTGATGTTGCATCCACAACGCTACTCCCTTGTCGATATATAGTAGAAGCCGAAAGAACATTAAATAAGAAAGAGAACGAAAATGCAAGTCGTCTGTATGTGACTGCGTAGTTTCATATTGACAAAAAGTCATATTTAAACAAATGCTTGTTTTTTTTTTATTAAAAATCACGTAAAACTCCCGTCGAATGAATAAAACCAAACAAAACTAGAAATCTTTTCTCATTCCATCGATCGATTACAGTTTTGCTTTAATCTTTGTTCAATTTCATCATGCTGTAATTTTTCACATGTTGAATAACAACACCTTTATCATCAGTTGTATTGATTTCCTCTGAAATATGTTTTTCTCCGTTATGAATCAATTCTCTAACGCATGTTGTTGTTTGTGTTGCATGAGGTTTCTTTCGTCGGCTTTTACGTGGTGAGATTGTTGTTGGGGTATTTGTCACTGTAGTACATACTGGTTGTACCATATCTAATTTCTTGCGAATTTCGGTTAAATCATCGATAACAACGGGCACCAATGGTTCGTTTTTAATCAAATCTTCATCTACTTGTGACTGATCTTCATTGACACTTGTATCATAATCACCATTATCATAGAAATCGAATGGTAATGATGGCCATCTGAACATGTGTTCGAAACGTTCATGCATACGTGACATAATCTTATTCATTTCGTCGAAGATTGTGAACGGTTCAGAACTTTCTTCAATAGATGTATGGACATACGTAATAGGACCATGTCGTTCTACTACGGTTGGAAATACCCAACAAGATATGATTCCTACTAAAACCGCAAAACATGCTGCTTGAAGTGAAATCGCCATGGATTTCTTTGCACTTGAATATACGTCTATTCGTACGAGAAAACGAAATAACTGAATGTCGATATAATTCGTGTTAACTGTTTATACATTTTCATTTCTATTCCTTCTCGAATGTGTACCGATGAAATCATTCTTTAACCCTCGATAGACGTATCTTATCTATTCGATCGTTACCACTGCCGATAGTTTGCTTTAAACATATATTTCTCTGAACATGGTAATCATCATGTTTCTAACAGCGCAATTGTAAATTACGTTTGTTTCTTAACCTCATAAACAGAGCGAAAAATATCGTACAGGTGATTATTGTTTACAATAAAAGCCAATAAGACATTGGCGATGATCAACGTTTGATTCGATAATCGAAATCGAGGCTTGTGACGTGAGGGTGTTATGATGAATATCATATCGCCGATGACAAACTTTGAATCGTTGCCGAATGAGATTTTCGTCGAAGTTTTTGAATATCTCAATGGTTTTGAAATCTTTCTTGCTTTCGATTGGTTGAATATTCGATTTTATCACTTGATACGAACTATTCCGATTTGTTTGAACTTTCAACATGTGCAAAAGAATATCTTCGATCGATTTTGTACGGTAATTCAATCGAATCCATCGATTAAACGTCACATACATTCATTAACGTTATCGAATAAGGTCACATGTGGTCAAATTGATCTATTCTTCTCTCGATTTGACCTCAACCAATTCCCTCATCTTCGCTCATTAACAGTCGTTCAAGTTGAGCAGCAAAATATTGACAAAATCCAGCGTTTTCTTCCATCGATTTCCTCGCTTCAAACGTTCCGAATGATCGAACACGTAAATGAACCGAACGAAATCATTTCGGATCTTCCACTGACTAATCTACGCCGATTAGCAGTCCCATCCATCAAATCGATCAAAACAAAGTCCTCCATCACACATTTAACACTTTTCGGTTGCACTCTCGATTATCAATTCTTTGAATACATTCCACTGTTAAGATATTTGCACATTGAAAGCATCTACAGAGCTCCGATACTTCTCGAAACGAAGAATCATTCAATTAGTCATCCCGCCGTTTATTTAAAACACCTGATCATCGATAATTACGAATGTCTGTTTGATGAATTCGAAGTCTTTGTAAAACTAATGCCACATCTTCAACGATTAGCTATTTCGGCGTTGGATAATCTCTGTATGATCGATGCCCAACGTTGGCAACGCGTAATTCAATCTTCACTGCCTTGTCTACAACACTTTCAGTTCATATTTGGTCTTTACTGTAAAGGTGAAGTTCGTAAACACGTCATCGAGAAATTTCAACAGTTCCAAAACCATCTCTGGTACAAAAACCATCAATGGAACATCGAATATGTCTTGGACGCAAACGCAGCAGTTATTTACACCATACCTTATATCTCAAATAGTTATCGATTAGCCCGATCAACAGTGAAATACTCCCCGAATGATTTCAATGAGTTTGATAATGTCACGGATTTGACATTGTCTTGCGAAGCAACAGTGAATAATTGTTCGTACTTTTTCTCGAATATTCGCTCGTTGACATTAGAATCATTGATCGTGAATTCAGATGAGCACATTTTAGACTTCACATATATGAAATCTCTGCAAACGACTGTGAGTTTGTATCATTTAACTCATTTAGACATGTCATTCTATTCATCTGTTGAACCGAGAGTTTTACTTGAAATATTCACGAAAGCTCCGCATTTATCATCGTTAACAGTCGATCTCTACGCTTTATGGACGTTCTTCGACGACGAATGTCTCTGTCATTACTTCCAAACAATGATTCGGCAACTGAATATTTCGAAAATCACTCATCATTCCTTTCGAACTTGCCACGATGTCGAACAATTCTGCAGAATTTTCCCAAGACTTCAACGGTTAACATGCACAATCGATCATTCAGATCAACTTTCTCTTCTATTCAATCGATTGAAATATTTATTCAGTCTGAAAATCGTCGTCATTCCGTTGGAAATTCTCAATTGGTTTAAACACGAAGCGATGAAATTCAATGTGATGTATCGCATAACGCACATTGAAGCTGTTACGGATGGTCTGATGGAGATGTTTTCAACTGACCTATACGTCTGGACTGGACGAATTGATGAAGATACGAACGAACGAATCGCACATCATTCTTCGATGAGTCATATTTAAGACTGTTTGTTTCTTATTCTTTTGTTGCATCATGACAATGAAATTTGAATTTTTACCAAATGAAATTCTCATTTTTTGTTTTGAATATTTCAATATATTCGAGCTATTTTCCTCATTCGATCGATTAAATCTGCGATTTTCCAAACTCATTCGTCATGTTCCATTACAGCTCAACTTACAAAACATATCCAAGCAACTATTCGATCAATTCTGCATACATCTGTCATCAAACCCTGAAATTCAACAACAAATTTATTCGTTACACCTCTCAAATAGACATTCATCGGGACAAATCCAACATTTTCTCACCCGTTTCACTTTAAAAGACTTCTCCCATCTACAATTCTTGAGCTTAGTCGATGTTCAACGACGACAAATCTCACGAATTACATCCAGTTTACCATCTCTATCATCTTTACGAATTCGTCATATCGATAACGATTATGAGCTGATGGAACATCTTCCAATGGATCGATTACAACGATTGTCAATTCTTTCGTTACATTCCGTTCGAAAACGCTTGCCGGATACTTTCAATATTAGAAAATTGACCATATTAGCTTGCTTGGTAGATGATTTAATCAACCATTTATTCGATTATTTTCCGCAATTAGAATCGTTTCATGTTCAGTTCGTTTCGCCGTATAACTATCCATTGGAAAGAGAAATTCCTGCGGCGAAATCGCAAGGTGTTCATCTAAAACATTTGACTATTGATTTATTCAAATACGATTTTGAACAGTTCGAATTATTTGCTAAACAAATTCCAAATTTACGAAGTTTATCGATCAAATCGAGAGGAAATAGTATGATCAATGCTCGTCGATGGGAAGATCTCATTCAGACATCGTTAAAACAGTTAAAAGTCTTCAAATTTCAATTCACCTGCGATCACCACCAGATCCATCATCTCGAACGTTTCCAAAGCGAGTTTTGGTGGAAGGAGCATCAATGGCACACAGAATATTCACGAGACAAACACTTTGCACTTGTATATACAGTTCCTTATCCATCAACCATATTCAAATTAGATTTACAAAGTCAACGGTTTCCCGGGAGAAACTTGGCCCATGTTTTCGATCGTGTTACAAACGTAACATTAAGCCATGAACTGATCCATAAGCGTTGTGATTATTATTTTCCGACGATTGAAACATTAGAAGTACTTATCGATGGATGGGACGTGCTTATACCGGTGCGAATCGAAGATTTGAAAACTATCATCAATCTAAACAGTTTAACACACGTGAATGTTTCGAATTATGAACGAAGTTCAACCTGTTATTTACTGTTAAGTATATTTCCGCACGCACCAAATTTCATATGGATTACGATGAATCCGGAGTATTTCTCATCCGTCGCGGAAAATACCAAGTTATGTCAATATTTTTATCAAAGGATTCGAAAAGTTGACATGATCAAATATGACCATTCGTCATTTGAGGACTATGAAGAGATGACGAGATTCTGTGAGATATTTGCAAATATTGAACAGTTGGTGTGTCACGTGAGAGAAGTCAATGGTGTTTTTATTTTATTGGATCGATTAAGAAAACTATCAACAGCTGAAATTTGTTTCCCAGCACAAACCTACCCGGATTCAAGTTCGGCCGTATTCAAAGAGCAAGAAGACAAATATAACTATTTTTTTCATATCGAAAGCATAAGTCGAATCATAGCTAAAGTATCCATGTGGATCGGTGAAAGAGTGAAATAATCAGTAATTATTTATTGTACATAAAACAACTCAAATAAAAATAAATGTGCGAGAGATGTAAATTCATACTCAATGAAAAGAAAAACTTTTTTTTTATATTCGTGATTCGATATCTGTAATAGCTTCTTTCGAACCATCCATCTGATGATGCTGATAGCAAATGATTGATTATAAGCTTCATTTTTGGCGAAACGCATCCTGAAACAAGCAATGTATTTATAAACTACTTTTTTTCAGGAAGTTTTGGTCCTCACTACATGAATTGCTGAGAAGCATAAGTTTCTGAATTCGATTATTGCTATAATTTTCCATGGCTCTCAAAGCTAAACGTACTTGGAGTATTCAATTAGCTTGATGTTGAACCACCTGTGCCGGAACAGCCAACTATACATCGAAAGCCATATGGCCCTGATCCAACGATGCGATTATTTGAGCAGTCAGTTATAAACATATAATGATCAACATCAAGAATGACACCTGTTGGATAGTGAAGAGTGATTGTAATATTCATGGATGGATTTCCTGCAACAGTTATTCTATTCGGTTGTTCGGACGGAAAGCGCTGAATTCGATCATTGTAACAATCGACGAAAATTTGGCGAGCACTGTCGAGCATATTTGAAGCAGAACCTGTACCACCAGAAAGTACCAGCAACAGATATTAAACTACTAGAATTATCATTCAGAACGCGTCCTCGAATTTCTCTATTGTCGATGTCAATTTCTCCTTGATTTGCAACGAATATGGCACTTGGACGGATTACACCACTTAAAATCATACGCACTGCAGACACATTTCCATTGGATAGTATAATCGTTCGATTTTGGACTGTATCAACAATATAGGTATGATCATTTGTATCGGTGAATGATCCCCGAGGAACCCTCACAGTTATAGTATTATTTCCGAAAATAGTGGCGTTCAAATTCCATGGATAAAGCAGTTTATTAATGTCTTATGTGTTCATTAACATTGGTATTTATAGGTCACGATTTCTCTCTTGCTTTGTCTTCTGGAAACATGTATCTCTAACATTCACTAAAATCGACATATCCAATTTGACAATGGAAACGCGTTTCGGTGCCAAAGCACAGAGTATACTTACGTATAAAACCTCGTTAAATATTTTGTTATCACGTAAGAAAGCTCATACGCATGGTGCACCGAATGAAATACAAATTTATTTAGGCAATATTTAGTACAAGAAAAGTGCTTATTGTCATCTTGAAATATTTACACGAGTCACAAATAAGTCAGTGAACAAAAGCAAAGATAACGTCATTGATCGGATGCCATCAACGATGATCATGCACTATTGTTAAACTCTTGTTGTGAAGACGTGATTCATCGCCACGTGACCATTATTGGTCTATCTGATCGACCTTGAGTTTCCTTGAGTATTTAAGTCAAACGAAAGAACAGAAACAGAAAGCAAGAATGTCGTCAACGACGAACATTCATTTAAGGTCATTTATTACAAACTAACACTTCTCATCTTTATATTTGAATATCGTAGTGCTGGAACATTTTTTGGATTGGGACATCCAGTTTTGGATATCAGTACGGAAGTTTCACTTGATTTTCTTCAACAGTAATCACATTTTATCTACATTCGAATTTACGATAATTTATTTCTTCAAAGTTATGATTTACAAGTGAATAATGTGGTGCTTGCAGAAAAAGTGTCAAGATATGATCAATTGTGAGTTTTACTCATCTTCACCACGTTCTGTTCGATATCTGATTTCCATTTAGGATGGATGAGATAGTCACAAAAGGAATGTATCACTTGAACTATTCACCTGGTGGTTCAACACAAAATGCTTTGAAAACGATTAGTGTAAAACTGACTGAATTAGATGATAACACGTTCATCTGTATTTCTTAGTGGCTTATTGGGCAAAATGATGTGACTGTTTGCATGGGTTGTATTGGTGACGATGAATCTGGTAGAAAATTAGAAGAACAAATGAAAAATTGTCAATATCAGAAAAGTTCAACGGCACAAACAGGAACGTGCTTAATACTAATCACAGATCAAGCAAGGTGAGTTTACTTCTATGTTCGTTCAATGAAGATTGAAGATCGAAATTTAGGTCAATGGTCACGAATCTCGGTGCTGCGAATGATTTTACAGTTGATCATTTGCTTCGAGCAGAACACTGGCAGTATGTCGAACGAGCGAAGATCTTTTACATTCCGGTAAGATAAATGTGTAGTTTTTACCAACACTGCTAATAAAATATTATCATTAGGGGTATTTCATTCGTACTTGTCGAGAAGCAGTTCTTGAAATAGCAGAGCATTGTCGTGAAACTGGGAAAATCTTTGCGTTCAATCTATCAGCAGAATATATTTGTCAGAACTTTGGTGAACAGATTATTCATCTTTTACCATTCGTGAATATTCTTTTTGGTAATGAACAGGTAGATTCGAGAAGACAAATTATTGAACAAAGTTTTCTCGAGTTATTGTAGGAAGCAAGATGTTTTGTTCAATGTCACATGAAATCCAATGTAAGTTAAATTGAATCAATTGAATTTGATACGGAAAGATTTTACTCTACCCAGAATGATACTGACATCACCTGTGTTGCTAAAGAATTACAGAAAATGTTAACAAAGAACAAAGAAACATGTGTAGTTATAACCGGTGGTGCAAATCCTATTATTTCAGTGACACGTAAAATAAACTACATAATCTATTGTACGCATTTGACTCTTTTGATATTTGAAAGAGCATGGTATCAAGGTCTTCCATGTGAAAAAACCGTCAAAAATCGTCGATACTATTGGGTGTGGTGATGCATTTGTCGGTGGTAAGGTTGAAATACCTTTCGCAAATAAATATTTCCTCTTTTCACTGTTAGGTTTTCTTGCAAATCGATCACTGAATAAACCCATCGATGAATGCATCAATGCTGCATGTTACTGTGCATACGAATGCCTACAACAAACAGCCTGTCAATTTCCGAATCTGTCTTCATTCGATGGTACACAGCGTTACTGCAATGTTGAGAACGCTTCATAGTACGAGCTATTTCTTGTCTTGTTTCTGTATTTTCGGTGCATCGGTCCAACAAATATACGTCCAGATTCAGTAAAAAAGGAGCATAGATAAAGATAATCATACGTATCTACATAGTTTCAACCTTCGCGAAGAAAAAAGTACAGTTTGATGTCGAATTCCACCTTAACATTGTTATTATGGCAAACCGAGGAAGTTGGAATTCTTCTTTTTATTCTCGGTCTATTGATAATCCGATCAACCTGTTTATTTTTCTCAACCTGCAAACATTCCGACAGAGTTCATGTACATTCTATCTAACAATCATATGTGTTGCCAATACATGCAATCCATTTCCTGGTTTGTTCATATTTATAGTTACTAATAGATTTTATAACAAAACCGGGTAAATGAATCACTATTCTACTGCAAATTCCGTACATATTGTGTTCGAGTTTTCTTGTTAACATCATTGGCATGCTTGTACTTGACAATAATCGGCCAATTTCTGACGACATGTTTCGATCCACGTTGTAGCCAGACGTATAATCATTGACCTTCTCCCTAATCTATAGCTTTGGTACTATTCCATTTTTACTATGCTACAACTGCGTGGTGCCATCAACAACTAATATATCTGTGTGTACGATGACAAGTCCGACTGTTCGATAGTCTAATTATTTCCTTTTACAGACCGGGAATTACGATTACTTTACCGGTCACTGTGGAGATTGCATTTGAATTTTTAGCATAACGGAATGTTCGACTAGATTTCTATCGAACGGTTCCATTGATTCGACGAGAACTTGACAAACGACTGACAACAATAGCTCTTATTCAAGTTATTTTCCATGTTATTGTTTTTATTCTTGACGATTTATAGCACATCGAGTGATCGATTGATTGTTGCAAAATTGGATTTTCTCCAAAATATATCGAGCATGACCTCTTACACTCAGCCAGCGGCGAATAATCAATATTTACAATTTTAATGATTCAAATTATAAATTTTTCTCTATTTAGAGCTCGCTTGACATCTGCATCTGCATCTCGAAACGGTTTCGATAACAACTCGTACATATTCTATCTACTCTCTACATCAATCGATGCCGAGATCGAGCAGTAAATCATAATCACATATACCCATTAGCCGAAATATTTTCATCTAAGAATGCATTATTTTCGCGTTTTATTCAAAAAAGAAGTCCGTAATGCATAAATGTCAAATTTAGCGAAGGATACAACTAGCACATTGTACTGTATTTTGTGTTTTTTCTGTTACTCGGTGAATGCTGCGTTCGGTGACCACTCGTTTTGAATGGTTCACTGGTAGAAATTTTTCATACATAGACAGCGCTTGCTGATAATAGTCAAGTGCCATTGTACATCGATTTTCTTTTTCAAAGCAAAGAGCGATATTACTAAGACTATCAGCAACATTGGCATGACCATTAGGATGAAGTTTCTCATAGATTTTCAAAGCGCGTTGAAAGTAGTCTGAAGCTTTGCTGTGCTTTCCTTGATTGTCAAGAATAAAAGCTATGCTATCTAGACTGCGAGCAATGTCAATATGACTAGACGGATGGAACTGTTCGCGAATTTTTAATGCACGCCGATAGTATTCGAATGATTCATCGTATTTCTCTTGATTATCATAAATCCAAGCGATGTTATTCAATGTGTGGGCCATATCAATATGACCCGTTGGATAGAATTCCTCCTGCATTTCTAATGCTTGTTGATGGTAGCCAAGAGCCTCGTCGAATTGGTCTTGATTGCCAAGAGCACAACCAATACCATTCAAGCTTCGAACGGTATCAATATACTTTGTTGAGGTGTGTTTTTCTTGTATGGCCAATGCTTTTCGATGACATTCAAGTGATTCGATATACTTCTCTTCTTTTCTTAGGATATCACCGATGCTGTTCAAAGTCCAAGCAGTATCGACATGGCCAGATGGATGACATTTTTCATGTATAGTAAGCGCACGTTGATGGTGAAGAAGAGCCTCGTGATGTTTGTCTTGCCGATCAAGAATCCGGCCGATATTATTCAAACTTCGAGCAATATTTACATGACCAGATGAATAGTGTTTCTCTTCTATCCCTAATGCTTTTTGATGGTATTCGAGCGCTTCATCAAAGCGACCGTGCTTTCGATGTACACTACCGATGTTCGACAATGTCCAAGCGATATCGATATGTCCTGCTGGATAGAATCTCTCTTGAATAGCTAATGCTTGCTGATAACAATCCAGGGCTTCGGTGTACTTCTTCTGCCGACGAAATGTACCGCCCATTCGATTCCATGTCCATGCCATGTCAACATGGCCTGATGGACAGTCTTTTTCTTGCATGCCCAAGGCTCGTTGATAATAATCGCGAGCTTCATCGTACTTCCGCTGGCTATCAAGGGTGAAAGCAATATTGTTTAAACTGCGCGCGATGTCGATATACCCGGTTGGATTGTACTTTTCTCGTAATTCTAACGCGCGTTGATGATAATGAAGTGCTGTTTTGTATTTCTTTTGATGGCGACGAATTGTGCCGATATTATTGAGAATTTGAGCAATATGGATATGACCGGTGGAATTGTGAGTTTCCTGCATTTTCAGTGCCCGTTTATAGTAATCAATAGCTTCGTCATATTCTCCTTGTTCATCTAGAATCCATGCGATATTGTTTAAACTGTCGGCAATGTCGACATAAGCAGCGGGGCAACACTTTTCACGCATTTCTAGAGCGCGTTGATGATAGGTGAGAGCTTCGTCAAACTTGCGTTTGTTCCCTTGACTACAACCGATATTGCTGAGAGTTTGAGCAATATCAGTATGGCCTGATGGATAGGACTTCTCTTGCATTTTCAGTGCTCGTTTGAAATATTCGAGCGCTTCATCGAATTTCTTTTGTCGTTTCAAGACATCGCCAATACTGTTCAGAGTCGTGGCCATGTCAATATGACTAGATGCATAACATATTATTTGTTCGACTTTCAATGCTTCATGCAAACGTTCAAGAGCATCGTCATACTTTCCTTGCTTTCGAAATATCATCGCAATAATATTAAGTGTCTGAACAATGTTCTTATATTCTGATGGGCAATATTTCTTATACAATTGCAACGCTTGTTGATAATACTGAACGGCTTCATCGTAGTTTTCCTGGTCATGAACTATTCCACCGATATTGCTAAGCATGTAAGCGGCATCTCGAACCCGCGCTGGTTTTACACTCATCATTTTCTCATAGGTACGCTTGTAGTATTCTTGAGCTTGTAACCATTCGCCTTTTAGATCGTGTGCTCGACCTATGTGAAAGTCGATCCAAGCGAGATCGTTCCCATTTGATTCCTTCGATAGTCTTTCAAAATATTTTTGTGAAATATCATATTCGCCCATATGGCATAGAAGTCGACCAAAGATTATTTCAGTACTCATTTCTGATGCTTCGTTTGACATTAGTTCAATGTAATCTCTTGCGATCTTCTGTCCTTCAGCTGATGCATTCATACGAATAACATAAACCTCATCTTCTGTGACGACCGATTCCAAGACAAATGAAGCATTGACATCAAACAGCATTTCTTGCTTTTGAGGATGTTCACTGAAATTGACAACATCACCTAATGCCACTTGTTCGCCATCATGTCCTATGCTATACTTCATTTCGAAAACAACGCCGACGATATCCGTTCGTTTCGTTGCTTTTTTAGCCAATGAAAATGCCAGAGTACGAGACCGACTGCATAATAGATATCCGTTTGTCGAAATCAGTCTACCTTGATTTGCTTTCAGTTTATCAATTTCATCACACTCCAGCTTCGCTCCACGATACACCGTCAGTGTTCGTTCTTCACTGAACAACAACAACTGCTCGTGTTCACGAGCGAGACTTTTGGACAAATCTTTAATGAAGAATTGAAATCGATACAATTGATCGATATCTTTACTTCGCAAGGCTTGGTTCACCAGTTTGCTCACAAACGATTGCTTCGAATACCAACGGATCGCATCTTCAGCTTGGTAATCACGTTCGAATTTATCGATCATCTGCAGTTCTTTTATATTTCCGCGATAGTACTGTCGACACGTTTCGATCATCTGTCTTTTTGTTTGATGATTTCGTGGAAACCGAAGAACGATCTGGTTAAGCATCTGGAACCAGAGAAACTCCGCTGCTCGTTTAGATAAATCTTTGCCTAACTGCTGACTTTGATCGAAAATACTGAATATTTGTAGTTGTTCGTCGAGACGATCGATTTGTTGCTGAATGGATTGGCACAATGAACCGAGATGAGCATATATTCCAACGATCTTCGGATATTCTCTTGTAAGATGTTGATATCGATCTACTCTCAAGCTAAATATGAAGATGGAATCAATTTGACGCAGATGAGCAGTACGTGAGACCAATTGAGACGCTTGCTTGCCTGAACTAATTAGGAGTATCTTTTCTTTACTCGTACTCTGAACGAAAGTAATGCATTGTTCGAGGTCGGCATAACATAAAACGAAATCGTTAATTAGTCGCAATTGTTCTTTGACATGTTCTGTGTCTTTACGAGACGAAAAATCGGTATCGAACCAAAGAATGGTGGTTCCTTCCTTGTTTTCACTCCGATTCTCGACGATTGACCGATGATTGCTGATAGTACTGTTGCTTCTACTGATAGTCGTTGGCATATTTACTGAACAGACAGTGCCATATGTTGAGTTTGTACTCTTTCTATTCTCGTTTCGAGAATAACAAAATTAAAGCTGTTTATGTTGATTTTGAAGCTTTTAAGCATGCAAATAGTGTTTGTTTTTATGCATGTGCACATTTTTCTTTTTGCTGAAATGATTTCAAAGAGCTATTAATGATGAAGCGATGCAGTAATCTACAGTTTGATTTCTTTCTTTTTGGAAATCATGCGATGTGAAGTAAAGCGGTCGTACTCAAATTCTCCTACGCATGCATTTTTTTCATATTTCTTCGACTTATGATCAATTCGCTGAAAGGATCAACATATTTCTCTCCTATTTATGATCTTTTTGTAATGCCAACGCTCAGAGTGGAGAGTCGTATATATAACTTCTTTGAAGTTTATTAGCAATAGCTGAAACCTTCGTTAAACGCAGGAAATTCAAGAAGAAAATACAAAGAGATGAAACACGATTCGAAAATCTTCGGTTAGCTTGAATTTTGTCAACAGCGCAATTTGTCAGTTGCTTCAGGAAGGCCGAAACATTTCCGAACTTTCTGATAACGTTCAATTCGGTTACTCTGCTGTGGTGTTGGACCACATTCAATTGCGTTGATTATTTGCGTTGTGGCTCCGAAATTACCTTCACGTGCTGGTCGACCCATATCGTTTGCATTCCAAAAAGAAAGAGCGGTGGCAGCCGCTAATGTATCAGATTCAGAAAGCTTTTCCGGATTTTTCAAAAGATCAACGCCGAGCGTTTCACCGATCGCATGATAATTGCACGGCCATGATAGTTGAAACCATCCACGACCGTAATACTTTTTACCAGGTTCGGGTTGTATCGGTGGACACCATGACTCTTGATAATCATCGGCACATGCGCCTGACTTTCCACAATATTCTTCGTTTGTTTTTAAGCCATCAGTTTCGTGGGAGACGTGCGCAAGAAACATGATAACTTCGTCACGATTCTCTGCTTTGAATGGGACCATTTTCAGTGCTTCTTGTAGACCTACAGTAAAAGAATCAATTGAATCCATAATTGACGTTGAAACAAATGAATTACCTTGCCACCGTTTCTCACGAGTAGCAGAATCTATCTGGTCGAATATACAATCGAATCGTTCACGAGTTATTGATGTATCATCGATGTCAACTGTTGGTTTGCCATCGCAATATTCCGGTGTACTGCCACAACTTTCAAGCGGAAAAGCGATACTATAACTATACCATTACAACATGACTTACTAGCCCCATTTCGAACAACAGAGACCTGGTGCACATGGACATCGACCAATATCAGGAGATGGACTGCCCTCACAATGGAGTGGCGTATCACCACAGCTGAAAATTACAATTAAGGTGAAAAATAGCTTTATAAAAATGAATGTATATACAATCCCCATCTGGAGCAACAAAAACCTGACGCACATGGTGGATTACAAGAGCCACCTTGTATATTATCGGTATGACCAGCACAGTGAAGTGGTGTGTCACCACAACTACAATGCAAAGTAAAATCGTCGAATATAAACTTGATTCACGTTTGTCGATGATCATTTACTAACAATCCCCATTTTGAACAACAGAAGCCAGGAGCACATGGTGGTTGACACCCACTTCCCTGACTGTTATTCGTGTGAGAAGCGCAGTGCAATTCTGAATTGCCACAACTATAATCCAATGAAATGAAAACAAGACCTCAAACTATAAAGCAACGCTTCTTACAATCCCCATTTCGAACAACAGGAGCCAGGAGCGCATGGTGGTTGACACCCATTTCCTTGACTGCTGTTCGTGTGAGGAGCGCAGTGCAATTCTGAATCACCACAGCTATAGTCCAATGAAATGAAAAGAGACTTTAAACTACAAAGCAACGCTCCTTACAATCCCCATTTCGAACAGCATAGACCCAGTGAACATCCTTCCTGTTGACAATTCTGTCCTATCAAACATGTGTGATAAGATGTATAACGTTGAAATAGAGCATCGAAATGTATATTCACCAGTCGATTGATTCACTAAAACCAATGCAATCAAAATTATACATAGAGTGGTTACCATCATGCGCATTGGACTGGTCCGATATGAGACAGAAAAAAACCAGTATGAAAGTACAAAAACTAAATGCTGACGCCTGACGGATTTATTTTTCGGGAGAGAGAGAGGGAGAGAAATTCGATACAAAGGAATCAATGATTTGCGTAGGTCTTTACTTCGAATCGCAATCAAACGCCGACAGTTTCTATAAGTAGATCAGGTGAGGTCACAAGAGTAAATTTGATTTCGTCGTCTGAAATGCCAATTTATCAATAATTCTTAACCTCTTAAGTTCTTTATTAACTACAAGAGATTACCAATCTATTTGATATTTTTCTCATGAAAATAAATCTTTTGTCAACAAACGAGTTTTCATATTACAATGTTTATTGCGATAGGTGTGTAGCACGTTGTCATAATAAAATACCAAGAGAATATTCGACTTCATTTAACTATGTTTGTATCAAACTTATCTTCACTGAAGAATGCTAATTGAAAAGGTTATACTTAACTAAAACAGAACTTCCTTTTCTTATCAGGATATTTACTGAATTGTGCAATATCACACTTTTATCATGTTGTGCAATATTGTATTTGATCTTAAAGAAAAAGAAAAGAAAAGAACAACGATAACATCAATTCTTTTAAAAATCTCTCCCATTGCAAGTATAAGTGGAAGTGAACAACGTCCACTTGTGAATAAATATCCTTTAATGAAGATCAAAATCTCACTCTCGAACGGTCCGTCTCCTTTTCCTAGTGAAAATCGAATTTTATGTCGTATGTTCATTGACAACGATGTACAGATATCATTGTTACACCGCTAATCGTGTCACTTTCATCCAGTATGGTCATCAGTTATTCACGCTGTGTATATGTATTGTCCTGTATCGTTCTGTGTACATTCAAAACTTGACTGATTGACGGTTGAAAACAAAGCGCATTGAACACTTTGAGTTAAACTAGAATATTTAAATAGTTTTTCTTTTTCTGTCAAAATGAAGGAAAAAACCACCCTGATTTACATGTCCGAAACTCGATTGAACTTAAAATCTTCCTAGCTGTCTTTACAAAATGAAAACGAAGAACGATGAAATGTGCTTTGTTAAGTGATGGTGACAGTTAACATGTTTGACAGTAATAATTTCTTATTGTTTAGAATCGAATGTTGACCGAGAGTCTTTTTTGTGTTCGATAACTTGGCGAGATTCGTTTTCGAAGACGATCTAATTGCTTTACGCTTACTAATTGGATAACATTGTTCACTGAACTTCACTTTATTTGGAATAGTTTTGATTTTCTGTTGATGATCTTCATGGTTTAAATTGAACGTTACCGTTCGCTGTTGTTTCTTCTGATACCACGGTAGTGCAACGCGTGTCTGTTCAATCGAAGGTTCTTTCTCAATATCACTTGTTTCGCCATCGATATTATCATAGAAATGTTCACTTGTCACTTCTTCATTTTCATTGAGTTCTACGCCGCGCAGACGAAGACGCTGTCGAAATAGTTCTTCTTGTAGTTTAATAGTATGCTCGAGATTATCGTGGGTTGTGTACATGGTCGATGCTGCACTGAGCACACGTTCGAGAGACTCGATTTCATCCGAGTATGCACTACTTGGTAAACTGTCCGCTGTGTTGTATGCACTTGAACTACTCTCATTATGTTTTATCGATGATTGATCGGTTGTCGAAAGAGAAGGCGATGATAATGAATGATCCGATGGTGTTGGTTGTGGTGTCGCCGAGATGTATTCAAGATTATCGTTTAATTGAAGTGTGTAATATTTTGGATGCTAGAAATCAATGACGATAGAGACGTGATAATTACTCGATGAAAATCGTCAACTCACTTTATCGGATGTCTTGCGCATCAGTTTCGTTTTCGAGTGTTGGGAGGAACAATTAGGACAGATGAGTGTCGGGGTTATTTCATCGGTTTGTGTGCCAGTTTCTTTTAAAGGTTGGATGCTTTCAATCAACTATGAAGAAGAAAAAAACGAAGTCAACTATAAAGTTTATCAAAATAAATGATGTCTATTAAAACGTAATCGATGCCGTAAGAAGTCCTTAAGACGACGTAATCACGTTCGATAGTTAAGAAGCTCAAAGAAGAGAATAGGGAATCATTTCGCTTGGTCTGCTTGCCGAAAGGTGTTTGATTCGATTATCTTCTAGACAAATCCAATCTACCTTTTTCTGTTGTTGGTATTTGATTATCAAATGAGCCATTTTCTTTTTACTCTGGTGTAAATCATTATAAAGTATTCCGATATGTTTGATCAGTTCGTGTTCCTTTTTTTCATGCTGAAACTTCAATTGATCAATAATCGCTTGTAATTGTTCGATGGTATGACACTTCTCGTCGAGAATCCGCTTTGTCGCCGTCATCTTGTCCATCGACGTACGAACTAGTCTTGGGGAACTAAACATGATCTTTTATCTGAAGAAGAAATTCTCATTTGTATACGTAAAGACTTTTTTTTTGCCATGAATATCAATCGATCTGTATTTGCTTACTGTCATATATCAAGAAGAAGTACAATCTTCTTACACTCGATTGTCGACCTATGGACAAGCAAAAAAAGAAAGAGAAAGAGAAAAGAGCAGAAGAGAAAGGCATACTCGTTTCTCTCTTCTCGGCTTTTTTTTTCTTAATTATATAACACTGATCTAACCTGACAAAACTTATACCGACGTCTTACTCGATGCATCGCGCATTTCCTGTTTAATGTTCGTCTACTCGACAGATATAACTGGCAATGCACTAGCTAGCTGCCGAGAAAAACGAACTGGCAGACTGACTCGTGCTTACAAAACACGAACGAACTGTTGTTCATTGATACAGAAAAAACGAAAAAGAACAAGCGTACCAAGTGTTATGATGATTCCTAACAATAACAAATTCATCTGACATTGATTTGATAAGCAGAGAAAAGAAATCGTCGACATTCAAGGTCAAGATATTTAAAGCGTGAACAATTACTTTACTTAGATGTCTCGTCAGTTCCGGATATACGTATATAAAATACGTATATATATACATATTTAGCATAAAAGAAGGTTATAGTGAATGGCCTTCATCGTGTAACAGCAGTGGTGCACACATAATGCATGAAACGCTTATATAATGAATAAAACACGCGTAGAATCGTATGAAAGTATCACAACATACATACAAGTGGAATCTTTGTCTCGCAAATACACAGACAACGACAACATACTACTCGAAGGACCTTGATGAAAAGGTGATGTCTATAAAATGCCATCGATTTTCTGATTATTTCTATTGATTCTAATCGATTTGAAGAACTCAAATAAGTAGGGGGTGGATCGATGTTGTTCGTTGTGATTAGCACTGTTAGATTTATGTACTTGAGTTTCTCTTCTTACTCCGTATGATAATAGATGACATATGAGACAGTATTCATCCAGGAAAGGTCATGCAGACAGGTTCGAATCAGTTGACTTGATGTTCTATTGTACAAATACAAGCAAACTTAACGAACAGTACGTGTCCTGATAATCAATTAAAGGACGAAAAACACTCAACTTGTTATTCATTTCCTTCTCAATCAAATCTAAACTTACCTTATCGAATACAACAAACAGTTGTATTTTTTGTTGTTGTCATCAACATCAAACAACAGATATGATTATTTCTTACAAGCGACTAATTATCTTTTCCCATAAACGATCAAGAGTAATTTTCTTTTTCGATACGCGAAGAAAGAAGACAAGAGAATCGCTGAATAAGCTATCAAAATAAATTATAGACAGATATATGTATATATAATATCCTCTACGCAAGATACGCGTTCATCAACGTCTACATGCGATGTTTGAATCAATTTCATCATGCATGGAGTGATCTAATTCATATACATCGACACCTTTGTTCAATAGGCCGTCAAAATGCTTTCTTGTCCTACCTACTCGACGCTTTCATCTGCCATGATTACTCTATAATTACTTTTTTCTTCTCGCGAGATAAAGTTGACCTGTTTAATTCGAGTAGGTATAGAGCAATGTATACAGTTGACCTAAACTCATCTAATTAGGCAATTCAGAGAACATACGGTGATCTACCGAACGGCAGACAGTTTCCAAAAACAATCGTGTAAATGGATTCAATTCCAAAAAAAAATGTCCTCCTAATGATATTGATGATGATTGACGTGTGCACAAATGGATGCATGATCCTTTATCGGCTGTTCAATACCAATCGTGTGATGCGCGAAAGAAACGGGAGGGTGTCAAAAAGATAGTTGTTGATATCAATCACTTATTAACAGCTCCTCTCGTACGAGGAATTACCAGATAATAATCACCTGTACACCTCAGCACAAAGGACAGCAGTTTTACCTCCGGAAGACGAGTTGAATAAGTGATGAAAATATTGTTTTGTTTGTATGATATCACTTACATAATCGCACTAATGTCGAAACAATGAGTATGTATCTAATGGCGTTTATTGAAGATTATTTTTTTTCCTATTTATGCAATTGTCCTGCCCATTCGTTCTCTTCACACACGTCTTCATCGTCTACTCAAAGAGATTATATTGCATCATTTGAAAAAAAAAATCATATGCGTGAAAGCATTTGAAAAAGAAACATTGTTAACACATTGAATATTTGCTTAGAATATGTGCGAAGTTCAAGTTTAGGTTATGAAATAAGATCGACGATTAGTAATTTAATTAGATTTCGGTTGAGTGGAACTGGAAAGATTCATTTCATTGATGATCTCGGCGAAATCGTGAATAAATGCGGAAACCTATAATTTGGCGAAGGGAAATTGAATGAAGCTCAATGGAGAGAAGTTCTTACTTTATCCAATTGTTGTCGGACGCGCTTGATGGGATTTTCAGCTTCAACAATTCGTTCTTCTTTATCAGGTTTTTGCTGACGGGCGACCATTTGATGTAAATTACGTACAGCACTATGAAGATCGATGAAATGGAGAAGATTTCTCTATTAAAGGACAACTTACAGGATGATATTGCCGATTTGTAAAGTTTTTTCCGCTGCGGTAGTCTGAATCGAGCTCCATTTGTTTTCTGCGCGTCGTGAAGCTATTTCAGCTCGTTCAAGTTCGCGCTGCAAATCACCAATACGGTTATTTAGTGTTAAATTCTGATTATTCTTTTCCTAGAACAAAAGCGATGCACAGTTTTCGAGTCATTCGATTCAAATTTGCATAAATTACTTGAAGGAATTCTTCGCGCTTTTTACGCACTGCTTCAAGTTGTTCTTCTCGTTGATTTTGGATTTCCACTAAAGACTAAAAACGTTTTTCAATTAAATCATCGCAATAACAAACCCAAATTCTTTTCGTACCTTTTTATTCATCTCCAACGTTGTGTACCGATCGACGAGTTCTTGGATTTCTTGAAATTCATCTGCGATTTCCACCGTCTACCAACCGAACCAACAAAATTTTGACAAAACTCGATAGAAGTGATTTACTTTCTCCAGATACGTGCTATGTTTAGCATATTGCGCATTTCGGGCTGCTAATTCTTCGCGTTTGCGTGTCAATTCAGCCACATCTTCGTGTAATTTTTCGATCTCTTTTTCTTTCAATGCCGTAAGATCACGTTCATCTTGAGCGCGCTTTAACGCTCGCATTCGCTTCGAATCGAGTTCCTAGAAGAAACACATTCGTTCACATCACATTTTTTTCTCTCAGCAAAGTACTCACATTGATATATTTCTCAAAATTAACCAAACTTTCGCGAAGTTCGTGCTCCTTCTCATTCAGTTTTTCACGGCGAAGTTTTAAACTTTGCATTTTCAATTTGAATTCCTACAAACAAATCAATTCAGACAAGAAATTCTTTCCAAAAGCACAAACCTCTTTTTGGTTTACTAATAACGCTTCTGTTTCATTAACTTCACGTTGTTTTTCCAACAGACGAGATGTCGACGATAGATGCTCATGATCACGTTCCGGCGGTGCACTGTACACAAGAAAAGTCTTCGATAGATCAAAATACTTGTCACAATCTTACATGGCAAGCTCTTTGCTCAAAGCCGTACGAAAATACTCCTCCATAATTAGATCTAAAACGACAAGAACGTGCTTGACATGAACAACACACATTCACACGACTTCCTTTTGACAAATCTCAAGTACATAATTTGTAGCTATTGAGCTTTGGATATCATGCCGGATAACTTAAACGGAAGTACTTCAAGTGAAGAATTACAGTGCTTAAAGCGATGAAAATACTTCATTTTCTTAGGTAAACAAATCAATGTATCGTTAACGTTTAACAATAACAATGCTTTTCTCGATTGATTCGTCCATTTCTGCGTTGCCTTCTATGTCTTTACCTCTATTCATTTAAATGTCTTAGTAACAACGACAGTTGCTAGGATACGTAGTGATAATGATGGCGCGAAAAGATTTGTCTGTGCGTTCAGTTAATTAGATAATCATGTCTGACGAAGAAGATGAATTAAGTGAGGAAGAACAATCCGATAATCTAGGTGTACGAATTTGAATAATATTACTGTTATTCGAATGTTTTTCGTTTTCTTCATTATTTAAAGACGTATGAAGGTGATCGAAACGAGAATGACGAACGACATGGTTTCGGTAAAGCAACATTACCGAATGGAGACACCTATGAAGGACAGTATGAAAACGGCAAAAGACATGGAACTGGAACATATCGATTTTCCAATGGTGCTCGTTATATAGGTGAGTTTGAAGTTCTTCGGTCATTTCTTGAAACTGTTTGCCCTTTCAAATCAGGCGAATATCAAAAACACAAACGTCACGGACGAGGCACATTTCACTATCCCGATGGTTCGAAATACGATGGCGAGTGGAATGAAAACATCCGTGAAGGTCATGGAACTTATACATATCCGAATAATGACACTTATGAAGGTGAATGGAAGAATAACCAGCGATATGGAAAGGGAACGTATACATATGCAAGAACAAGTATGTTTTGAACATGTTCATCTCAAGGTAAAGACGCAAGATGTTCTTTGGTCCAGAAGCACAGTATGTTGGCACATGGATAGAAGGCAAACGACAAGGGCCTGGCGAAATGCAATTTGCTCAATATAGATATATAGGAAAATTTCATGAAAATTACGTAAGTCAAGTCAGAAGAGTTCGCTGAACACCGCGAGTGATAGTTTAACTCAGCACTTTGTATTTGAAGGTTACGAATAAGATATTGCCTTGTCCTAATCAGTTTGTCTCTATGATAATTGATCCTAATTACTTTCCATTCGTTTGCTAACGAATTTACGTCAATCAAACGTCAGAGCATTTGACTTTTTGGTGCATGTTTTTTTTGTTATATATATATATGTATATTCCTTGAAAACGACCCTTGAAGTCTTCGCCAACATAAATAAATCAATGCTAACTTAACTGAATAAATAATTTCGTCTTCAATTATATTTTTTCTACGATCATTTGATATCAACATCCTGTCGGATGATATTCGATCAATCTTAACTTAACTTAAATAATCTAATGTATATTTTCTCCTACAAATACTATTTCTCCTTGAGAGAAAAAAGCCATAAGTATTTTTAATTAGAAAGTTATTTACCATTAATTTTCTCGTTTATTATCTATGTCGAGTAAAAAAGAACGTATGAATCATCTGTAAAAGAATCGCTTGACCCGTTGACTTTCAATTTCTGTGTTGAGGAAGTTAATTCAAAATATACACTTACTACTTTCGTTTTAGCCAAAAGGAAAAGGCAGATTTGTTTTCAAAAATGGTTATCAACAGAACGGAGAATACTACATCACGACAATCGTAAGATGCACGTCCAGAAAATGGGAGGATAGTTATGATTATGAGGATGTTTTAGAACGATGAAGAAGATTCGGAAGGACCAACTCAAGTTCAGTACAAATGGATAGCAAAGAACGTTACGGCAATTCAACAAGAAGTGCCTTATGTCGATGCAAACGATGAACTCGTTGATACCAATCGAATCGAAGGTAAAGTTATTGTATTGTGGAAAGAAAGGCTTTTGCTATTTGTAATTTGTGAAGAATTAATTAATAAGTTTAAAGACGATACATTAAGCATTACAGAAGGTTTGTGAGTAGAAGCTCAAACTTATGCATTTGATTTTGAACTGCTTTGTAAACTTCGCTTTCTTTCTCTCTTAGAACCAGATGAAGCACAACCGATGCATGTAGTACCTGGTAGGAATCGTGTTTCTTTTTCGTTGAAGATTTTTCAGCGATTTGTCTGATAGATACTGAACAGTTGGAGAGCGTTGAAACTCAACAAGTGAATGATGGTAACACAATAGTAAACAGATTGTCGTTTGTTAATATTTTCTTTTTTTTGCCTAGAAGTTCCTGGTGAAGAACAGTCTGTTGAAGATGATCGAAATTGATTATTTGATTTTTTTGTATAAAGTTTAAGTCAATAAAACGCTCTCTACGTCTGGAAAAGTTTTTATCGCTCCGAAAGAAAAACACATAATCAATACACAAAAAACAAAATAAAAAGCAAATAACTAACTAAATACCAAAGAAAACTGAAAGAGAGAAACAAAAATTTTCTTCTTTTCTCTCTTTATTAGTAGGACCATAAGATAAAAAAATAGAAATTGTGCATATAACACCGAAAGAGTGCGCAATTAGTGAATTAGTAACGATGTGAATGGATATAAAAATACAGCAATATTAAACGGAGTTACCCGATTGACAAAATGATTGTTTAATTACGACGTTTGGACTTTTTATTCTTGGAGTCATTATCATCATCGTTTTCCTCTTCTTCGTTTTTCTCCTCCTCATCATTTTCTTCCTCTTGGTTTTCTTCTTTGCTCTTATTTTCGTTATTGTCATCATCGTCGTCATCTTCTTCTTCTTCTTCATTCTTTTCTTCTTCATCATTTTCTTCTTCTTCGTTTTCTTCCTCTTTGTTGTTTTCGTTATTGTCATCATCATCATCATCATCATCATTGTCATCTTCTTCTTCTTCTTTCTTTTCTTCCTCATCGTTTTCCTCTTCATCTTGTTCTTCTTCATCAGCTTCTTCTTCCTCATTTTCCTCCTCATCATTATCTTCCTCATTGTTGGTACCTTCTTCTTCGTCCTTTTCTTCCTCATCGTTTTCCTCTTCATCATTGTCTTCCTCATTGTTGGTACCTTCTTCTTCATCTTGTTCTTCTTCATCAGCTTCTTCTTCATCATTTTCTTCTTCATCGTTATCTTCTTCGTTGCTGGTACCTTCCTCTTCGTCTTGTTCTTCTTCTTCGTTTTCCTCTTCATCATTATCTTCCTCATTGTTGGTACCTTCTTCTTCATCAGCTTCTTCCTCATCGTTTTCCTCTTCATCAGCTTCTTCTTCTTCGTTTTCCTCCTCATCGTTGTCTTCCTCATTGTTGGTACCTTCTTCTTCGTCCTTTTCTTCCTCATCGTTTTCCTCTTCATCAGCTTCTTCTTCTTCGTTTTCCTCTTCATCATTGTCTTCCTCATTGTTGGTACCTTCTTCTTCGTCCTTTTCTTCCTCATCGTTTTCCTCTTCATCATTGTCTTCCTCATTGTTGGTACCTTCTTCTTCATCTTGTTCTTCTTCATCTTGTTCTTCTTCATCAGCTTCTTCTTCTTCATTTTCTTCTTCATCGTTATCTTCTTCGTTGCTGGTACCTTCCTCTTCGTCTTGTTCTTCTTCTTCGTTTTCCTCTTCATCATTATCTTCCTCATTGTTGGTACCTTCTTCTTCATCAGCTTCTTCCTCATCGTTTTCCTCTTCATCAGCTTCTTCTTCTTCGTTTTCCTCCTCATCGTTGTCTTCCTCATTGTTGGTACCTTCTTCTTCATCAGCTTCTTCCTCATCGTTTTCCTCTTCTTCATTTTCTTCTTCATCGTTATCTTCTTCATTGCTGGTACCTTCCTCTTCGTCTTGTTCTTCTTCTTCGTTTTCCTCCTCATCATTATCTTCCTCATTGTTGGTACCTTCTTCTTCATCAGCTTCTTCCTCATCGTTTTCTTCTTCATCAGCTTCTTCTTCTTCGTTTTCCTCTTCATCATTGTCTTCTTCGTTGTTGGTACCTTCTTCTTCATCCTTTTCTTCTTCATCAGCTTCTTCTTCTTCGTTTTCCTCCTCATCATTGTCTTCTTCGTTGTTGGTACCTTCTTCTTCATCCTTTTCTTCTTCATCAGCTTCTTCTTCTTCGTTTTCCTCTTCATCGTTGTCTTCCTCATTGTTGGTACCTTCTTCTTCATCCTTTTCTTCTTCATCAGCTTCTTCTTCATCAGCTTCTTCTTCATCAGCCTCTTCTTCGTCATTAGTATTAGTATCATCGTCGCTGTCGTCATCGTCATCATCTTGCTTTCTTGGCCTATTTTTTTTCGAATCTTCTTTGTAATCTTCAAGATTTTCGAATATTTCAGAGTATTCTTCCATTTCATTTTCGGTATTACCTTTATATAAACATAGTGGTTACTTTAGCCCTGGAATGTTAGCATCCGTACCTGTTGCACACTCTTCGCTGCATTCCTCTCGTCGTGATTTGGCGCAGTTCATCCTCCTCATACATTCGTTATACGATAGAAAACCTGAAGCACGTTCACGTCCGATTAGTTTTGCTAAAAATTTGTAAATTGAACATGGATCGTCGTGTATAGTTGGCAAATATTGGCTCAATTAGTGGCATGCGTAGTATGATTAAAGAGCGAGAAAGATCGTATAAAGCTAGTATCAAGTTGAATTCAAACAAACATATAACAAGTAGAAGACGAACACAGTATTCCAGAATAACAAAGACAGACATATACAAAATGTACGCAATCATCCTAGTCTAAATCTTTTTTTGCATAAAAGAAAAACAAGAAGGTTTTTTGTCGTTGTGTTGGCAAAGCATATGAGGTGAAGAAGAAACAAAAAGGGGATATCATTCTCACACAGGATATTTATATCTTGTTGAAAAAAATTTTTAATTTTTTTTCGTTGACTTTGCTTTCTTATTTTTCTCATCGGGCACATCTTCTTCTTCACTGCTTGCATCACTTTCATCATTCGTTGTTGTTGATTCGCTTTCGCTACCATCGTCTTCTGATTCATCACCTTTCTTAGTCGTCTTTTTTCCAGGTGATTTCTTTATATCTGATCGATATTCATCGATATGTTCAAACATTTCGGTATATTCTTCCATTTCTTCTTCAGTATTTCCTATTAGACGAAAATTATCGTTGTAATGACCGTCATTTGCCACTCATGCTTACCATCTGCACATTCTTCACTGCATTCTTCTTTGCGTGATAAACCACAATTCATTCGTCGTAGACATTCGTTGTAAGAGAGAAAAATCGAAGCTCTTTCACGTGGAATAAACACCACTGAAATTCACGGGGAGAAATTATCGCACACATTCACACACAAAACTCAGTGTTTACAGAGAAGAAACTTTGCTTTCCTACGATCTTTCCTTGTTTCGTTAGTAGAGCAATGTTAACAAGTTAGATGGAAGACAAAGCAAAGTTAATTCGTGTCGAGCTTTTACCTTTTTTATCATCATTGTCGTCGTCATCGTTGTCGGAAACCCGTGATTCTTCTTTGTTTTCTTGTTTCGATTTCTTGCTTGCATCGACTGTTCTACTGGTGAGAACTATGGATAGCAGGACGAGTAAGACGGTGACAAGAATCCAATTGAGACGCATGATGATTAATCAATACTACAGCTGAAACGAAAAGCAGAAAGTGAGAGATACGGATGCGAATTTAATCATATCTGACGGAGAGCGGGGCAAGGAGAAAAATATTATACAATTTGCATCGAAATTTTTTGCCGTATTGTGGTTTTATATCTGTAGTTATTTTTCTCATCAAGGAGAGTCGATACGGTCGAACAGGCACAAGCAGAGAAAAAAAAACATAGAAAAGTAATGCAAAGGGTTTCGAACGTAAAAAAGAAATGAAAATGATAAGGCAAAAAAAAAACCATGATGATTTAAATATTGTGTCATGTAAAAATAAAAATAAAAAGCTAACCTGAACTGACGGGAGAAAAATTGTTCTGTCACGGTATGATTTTTCTCTCGAAATTTGATGACGGACTGTCACCACAAAGGATAATCTATAACATAGATTGAAATAGAGTAAATCATTCAGCGGATACACGTGTAATTGCCGCATGCAAAGTACGTTGACAATAGGAAAACTTGATGACGTCTTCGAGTGACAATAGGCAATGTTTTTTCTAACTGATCGTGTCGAGACTATCAGTTGCTATGTCATTGCTAACATAAAGTTAACGAAAATGATTTCATTTGACTGGTAGAAAAACGATGATTAAATAGACGACAAGGGGAATCATGTAATGATGATGATGGGAATAGTACTGCGGTTTTGCTTTGCAAGTTATTAAGAGAAGAAGAGGAAACGAGCGAAAATCGAGCGTATGTATGATTATTAGTAATAGATGCATCCAACTGGTCTTGTCTGATATATTTCTCCGATGATAATCTATGCTCTTTTTTTCTTTTCTTGCCGCTTTTCCCCCTTCCGAAAAAAGAGCGGGGGAAAATGTATCGCTTCTTTTGATTTGTCGCAATTTATAATATCGTTTTTTTGTCTGTCGTTCGTACTGTTCGTTAATAAATCATTACTCAGAACAAAACATTATCAAATAAGAACGAGTAGAAAGAGAGACGGAGAGAGTGACCATTTTTGTTGGAAATAATCCGTAGCAACATGCGCAGTCAAGTGGAAAAATACGTTTGAAATATCAAGGGTGTTGTTGATATTTACGTTGTTTTCGATGTTTTCAATTCGATTATGAGCCGCAATTGCGGCGAGGTTTCCAATCATCATGACCATTGTTTCATCGAGTTTTTTTTCTCTCTCATCTGATTTCTATAATCATCGAATAGAACGCAGAGCTTTGTAATCTTTATCATGTGCTCGCTACTACTACTGCGCTTGTTGTTTTTGTTGCTGTACAATTTTGGTAATAGCTGCTCGAGAGAAACATACACATACGCACACATGCCTGCCTACATTGGAGAAATAGAAAGAGAATCTTTGTTTTTCTTGTATATACACCACCATCACTATCCAGTGTATGATGAGAAAGAAAAATCGAACGATGTGGATGTAATGAGGATGGGATACCCATGTAACGAATATATTTATTTGCTTGTTTATAATCGTATCCCAATGGGAAAATATTACACTCGGGCAGCTCGTCAACCGAACAGTTGCCATCCACTTGCCTCATATATGTCAAAGACATATAAATCAAGACTAATTGAAGATTTATGAGAGAATCTTGAAAACCCTATTATTTGATCATCATACTTATTCATCGAATATTTATTTTCATCTGAGTTGTACTGAATTATCATATGTCTTTTATTCTAAAAGTATTAACTTAACAATGCTATCAGACACACTCAAGCAAAAGAAATAGGAAAATTCAGAACAAATAAAACGAAAAACTTGATCGATCGCAGTCAAAGAAAAATACAGTGTGAAATACGTAAAAAAACAGCAGCACATCACAAGAGAATGTTCTTCGGTTAAAAGATTCTTGTCTTAAATAAATTATCACTGTTGATTAGTAGCATTGATTTGTTTGGCATCATTAAATTGTTGATAAAAACGTTTCGCTTGATCGTTTGTCTTAAATTTTACACATAGTGTTTCATGTTTAACTGGACCATCGGAGCAATCCATGGCTGACCATATGTAGGCATTTTCTTTACCTTGATGCTCTTTCAATTCCATTTCAGATGTTATTCGATGGTTGGCACACACTTTGAATACTTGTTCACGACGCATCAATACTCGACACAGATGAGTTGTCTTATGTTGTAAGATCTTCATCTCGCCGAGTCCACGTTCTTTCATTTCGTTGGTCAATGGATCAAAACGATAGAGTTTTGCTCGTTCACAAAAGAGAATATTTTCGTCTTCTTCTCCTGTTTTAGTTTTGACGGGTAATAAATGTACAAGTGGTTTGAATGTATGAGATGGTTCATAGGAATCGTCGGCAGCACCGTCTTCATCATTATTTTCGTTCGTCTTCGTAGTGAATAGCGGTAAACTTTGACCAGGAAAGTCTAGCAAAATAAAAATCGATTGAAAAAGGAAGAACTGTTGGATCGTAATTTCATACCTCGTCGATCGGTGCTACTTGTAGTCCATCGATTATCTGGTGATTGCTGTGCTACCTGAGCGAAACTAACTTTTGGTATGTTGCCGAATGAAAACAGTGGAGGTGGCGTCGTGTTTGTAATTGAAGTCGGTTGCGAAAATTGAAATTCACTCGTAGATGTTTTGCTCGAGCTATCAAGGTTGGCAAAGGAAAAACTAGACAAATCTGGTTTAGCTAAAGTTAGGTTCGAAAAAATGGACGGCATGGTCTTATCAGATTGAGATTTTAAAGTTGCATCATCTTTCGTTGTTACTATTCGTAGTTGTTTAGCTAGAACGAATGACAAATCTCCCGTTGATGGAGCTGACGAGGAAAGAATACGCAGAAGTCTTACTGAGATCTTGTTTCACTCGATCCAAGATATTCTCCGTTAGTTGCGATGCGTAGTTATCCAGTGAATACGATTGAAGGTTAGTACCCGAAAAATTTCGCGATTTTTTCTGATGGGTTTGCACAACTGCTACTTCTTCTGTACCAGACGAACTTTGTTCATAAGCAGAAGGTTTAGCTGATATGGTTGGCGGTGGAGGTACTCGATTGCTCGGCAAGGAACGTTTTGCTTTTATAAATGTTCGATGATCTTTGGGAGGCGAAGGCATATTCAACATTGGACGAGAATCTGGACTTTCAGGAAGCCAAGATGGTACTAGAGACATTAAGGATTGCAACGATGAATCTGAAATACCATTTGAAATAGGGAATATACATATTGAAACGATTAATGAATTTACTTGGAAAGAAAGCGGATGGAAAGCTTCTTAGTTGTTCAAGTAGAGCCATTGCGCGATATTGATCCAGTTGATCGTCATGTTGAACTAAAGATGTTTTCATTAATGTTCTGAACATTCAAAACAATTAGATATATCACCTTCATTTGATAGAATCGATGATGACTCTTCTCTACAACCACGACAGCCTTTACAAGGTTCTTTATTTTCATACAAATAAAATGTTGGCGGTAGCTGAAGACGTTTTGCTCGATCAATTTGTTCCTTTGTTGGTTTAATCTCGTCGATCACCGTTACATCTATACAGAATGAACAGACATGGAAAGAGAACTTCATCAAATATAGTTCATCTTTACCGTCGTCGGACAATCGTATGTTGTCAAAAGGTAACGAATCTACCGTTTGTTTTCCATTGATTACTTTCCCTTCTTGAAATACTTTCACAAATCGTTTTCCTTGTTCATCCGTTTTGAACTTCACACATAGTGTTTCATGTTTAACTGGACCATCGGAGCAATCCATGGCTGACCATATGTAGGCATTTTCTTTACCTTGATGCTTTTTCAATTCCATTTCAGATGTTATTCGATGGTTGGCACACACTTTGAATACTTGTTCACGACGCATCAGTACTCGACACAGATGAGTTGTCTTATGTTGTAAGATCTTCATCTCACCGAGTCCACGTTCTTTCATTTCGTTGGTCGATGGATCAAAACGATAGAGTTTTGCTCGTTCACAAAAGAGAATATTTTCGTCTTCTTCTCCTGTTTTAGTTTTGACGGGTAATAAATGTACAAGTGGTTTGAATGTATGAGATGGTTCATAGGAATCGTCGGCAGCACCGTCTTCACCATCATCATCACCACGATCGAGTGTATAAATATTGGTAGTCGCCTGAATGTCATTGAATACAAATGGAGCTACAAAAATTCAATTGAGATACGTCACGTCAAGGCATAGTCTGGTTTTCCTACTGGAAGTAGAAGGCAATTCATCGGATTTTCTTGCAAATGAAGGTGGTAGTGATGGTGATGGTGATGTTATAGTTGTCAGATCAAATCTATTGTTATACAGAGGCATGGGATACGGTGGTCGAAATGAAAGCAAGGAGTTTGGCATGAACGGCGGAGCTTGAGGTGCACGTATCTGAACAAATGGTAACACGAAAGATTCATGCTGTCGCAGTTGTAATAGATTATGATGTTGTTGGATAGATGCAACTTTATTAGCTAAGAATTCTACATTATTCTACAAATAACAATCAAAATTAAGAGAAGAAAGTTCAATACAAAACTAATCAAACCTTTATGTCACCCAATTGCATACGAATAACATGTGAATATTGAGTTATTTGATGTATCACATTGGTTTGATTATTCAAACAGTTGAAAAGCTGCTCATTGAGATATTCATCAGATAAACCTGATGAGAATAGAGCAGACATCTAAAACAAATGTAATCGTTTTCTTTTATGAATTTAAACGAAAATTTGATATATCGAATCGCATGAGGAAGGACAGTATAGCCATTTTCTTCTTTGAGCACGAGTCTCTGCTCTACCTTCCTATTACTCATGGTATTTCAATTCATTATCGATAGATGTCACTCGTTTCCGCAACTGCAGAGTACGGATCAGAAATTGCGAACACAAATCTTTCTACAGTCAACTTCAAATAGAGAACAAACGTATCTATTGTTTGAAAGTAGAGCTGTTATTTGATTAATGAGCAGAACGGTATCTGGATTCAAAGATGACTCAAATTCTATATCTCTTCATAGAAGTTCTTAGCATAGAGATATCTTCTCTTCCTGAATAACAAAAATCTCATTCTTCTATTTCATATCTAGATCTACTACACGTATTCACACTCTGGCGTAACTCTTAATCAACATGAACGTGACAACAGTACCAACTGAATCATGATTTGTTCCATTGGATATTCTAATGATTTTATGTACACTTTCAACAATTTTACTTTCTCTTCTTTTCCTCTTACTTAGTAGGTAATTCATGTTTAGCAGCATTTAGCGTTGGATGCGTCACTAATAACATGGCAATATTTACATTAGAAAATGATCTCAAAGAAATCGCTTATCAAGATTCACTTTGCATCGCTCGTGGTTATATATCGGTTCTGCAACTTATAGAATTCTCAATTGTTCATTTTTCTTACAAGTCTTACATCGATACATTGTTGGTGTCTATCCAAACTGGATATTCTGGCGATCGGCTTAACTTGGATCTATGACTTTGCCTATCCACTTGTTCTAGTTATTCCCAGTATTATTACTTACATATCTGACAATCAGATCTGTCAAAACCTATTCGATTATTGTCGTTCTATACAATTTATGGAGCTTTATGTGCATATTTGATTCCGATATCAGGCGTCGTGATAATCTATTTAATGTTGGTTCGTTACACGTTCGAAATATCAGCAAACATTTGCCTGTTTCTAATGCATTGATTCGCGCACGAAGAGAATTGAAAATGATTCGTCGAACAGTTATATATTGGTAACAATATTGATTGCAGTCTCATTTGCATACATCTTGACTCTGTTCATGTCATTTTTCATAACTCCGCCGAAATATCATTTTCGGATTGTATATGTGTTTGTGAATCTATCGATCTCATCCATCCTGATTGCATTACTTCGATTCACTGAACCATAGAAAGCAGTTCTTATGAAGACCATCAAAAAAACGATCTAATCTAGTCAACGTCATTCACATCTAACTTCATTTTCCTTGTACCTTGCTCCTATCATCGGATTAATAAATTATATTCACCGTCACACTCATGCAGCTATACAAGCGGAAGTAAAACTATACCTACTCAACAGATGTCGCTAGAATCATTTAAAGGGTGAATTCAGGGAGATTCATATACGTCATTCATGGCTGCGTATGAAAAACTTCTAGAAAATATTTGTTTTGATTATTCTTTAGTAACATACGTTAAGTAAATAAGTGGTGTGATTATGCCCACGATCGGCGAATACTAAATAATATTGTTTTTCGTTTTACTATTTCTCGCGTCTTAGTCACCAACAAACGGATTCTGTTTTTTTTTAGACTTCATAGATTGTTAATTCGCTTCTATTTTGTTTAAATCATGGTTATGACCACAATTAACGTGGAAAATGATGTACGACGTCGGTACAATCGACGAGTATTTTTTTGCATTCGAATTAAGTAAGTGGAATGCTTATCTTCTGTCTGCACCTATACGATAAGCAACCAGTACATCGTTATAAGAAAAATAGATAGTGTGATGACGTCATGCAGTTCAACGTAAAAACTTGTTTTTCTTTCCTTCCAGGGGAGCTGCCTTGTTACTTGGTTTTTGGGATCTGTTGATTCATTCGGCAGCACTATGTGCGTTGATTTTCATGTTTGGACGAACATCGCAATCGATGCATATAGCTCCATCAACTAATAAGGAAGTGTCTCATCAGCTACCCATGGTGTTGGTTGATCCTCACGAACATCCAGTAGTACTTGAAAACAAGAACTTTCTTTCCAGTAATATTTTATTGAACCGTATTTTGGAGAAACGAGTGGAAAATCACCCGGAACCACAGATCAATGCACGCAATTTTTATTCACATTTGGATTTTATGACATTTAAATGGGCACAATCGCTCAGTCAACGTGAGTCTATTGAAGGTTTTTTCCCGCAATTTATGAAGTGTGCTTTTTTTCTATAGAAGACAAATGTGTGGTTTTCTTTGTGATTTTTTCCGCAACAGTTCTCATTTTAGCACACATATGTGGAATTTTGACCGTGAGTATTCTATGACACTATTGTGAATCAATCGATTGTTTGACGTTTTGTTATTGTAGAATAAACCGTCATATATCGTTCCATATTTCTTAATCAAAGTATTCAATGTCATCGTATCCATTCTGTCAATGTTAGGTTTCTATGCATACTTACCTGACATCACAGTTTGGCTTCGACTGCAACCCGAATTTCCTTTCAAGCACTATCTACTCGAACTCGATGGTCAAACTCTTCAACTGGTCGTATTTACTCTTCTTTTATTCATTATTCTCGCTAAAGTGAATTGCTTTTCTTCGCTTCAATTTCACGGAAATATTTTCGTTTTCTTTTCCAGCTCTACATTGCTGCTATCGTCTGGTACTGTTATGGATATATAACAGCATTAAACATGGCACGCGCTATCGGCACCATCACTGCTCATGGAGATAGTCCACAACCAATTCTTGGCGGAGTAAGTTTCATTTTCTGCTCACACTATTGATCATACGTTTGTTTTCTATAAATAGATGTACTCACCACCTAAATATGAAGAAGCAATTAAAGCGAATCCTCAACAAGAAGAAGATTACGCACCGCCTCCATATACACCTTTACTCTCATCTTAAAAATCTCTATATTTCCGATTTATTTTCTCGTTTGGAGGTTTATTTTGAATATCTTATCTTCTTTTTGTTCCAAAAAAAAAAAACAACCAAGCACGTATTCTTATGTATGTACGCATGTTTCTTCATAAGCGTGACAAAAAATGATTGGATGACAACATCTTGCATGTGATTTTTTGTATATATAGATACCTCATTATCGAAATAAAATCAAATTCTACGTTCCCGAGTCAAAACGCTTTCATTTTATTCACTTCGGAAGAGAAAGGACACTTTGGAGAGAATGCTTCGTTCGTTTCTAAGACACTGGAATCCCGGTTATATGTTCGTTATCAGTTTCAAGCACGGAAGGAGCAGATATATTGGAAGCGGAGTCGAATACTTTCGAATTATGGTTCGTTTCACCGACGTTTGGTTCTTTTCGTTTATGTGAAAGGAAAGTGTTCTGTATACGACGGAAGAACGGCAAAGTACCTGGTGATTTCAATTCTAAATAGATGAGATGATAAAAAAAAGATGAAATTCTAATCATTTACACTACCATCTTCTTCGAAAATACATTCGCCGAGATTGATTTTGGAAACGTGTTCGTCTCTGGCGCCCTTCGTTGATGATGCAGGATCATCAAGTGTTTTTTTATTTGTTGTGAAATCAACGGATGATTGAGTCATTTCGAGAAAAGTATCTTGATGATCTGTTGACAAATTAATCGAGTCTGACAGTGACTTTTTCGATGAAGTTGTTGCTGCTGGTGCTGATGCGGGAGCATCAGTCTTGATATTGTTACTACGTGAGACATACGTTCGATTGGTTTTATAAGTTTTGCCTTCCACACGAAGGTCAATTCCAACATAATTCGGAACCGCAACAAGCGTGCCTTTGTGAATTAGTTCAAAACGGCCTGTATCTTCTGATCGCTCGTATTTTCGATCGATAACGACTAAAGATGCGTAATCAGCTACTTTCTGAGAAATTCTGCTAACTAATTGATTTACCTTTGCAAGTATCTTCAAGAACAGCATCACACATTTCTGTAGTTACAGCAGTGCAACGCGCCATGGTTGGACTACAATTGATTTCAATAAGCCATGGCTGAAGATCTTCACCCAACATGAAATCTGCACCGAATAATTCAAAAGAATTCTACGAATTGATACGGGAATGTTCGATGTACTTCTAATCAGAGAAGTTCTTACTTTACGTGCATCGATCGTGTCTTGTGCAACGAGCATTGCACATATAATTGCTTCTTTCATCGAGGGATAAATAAACGAATCCCATTTCGCAGCTAACTTCTTCGGTCGAAGGTACTTATCAATGAATTCTGCACTCCTCCACATATTCTCTCCTAAAGCGAATCACATAAACAGAAATTCACAACACAGGCCGATAATTTCGTACGTGGTAAATCCGAGTGTCGAGTGGCATTGTTCTTATAGTGTTTTTGTATGGCATGATTACATAAATGTACATTTTGTTGACGCGTTGCTAAACTAAAATATTCCGTACAAAAACGAAAATAACAGTCTTTGTACATCCATATTGTTAACGGATTCCAATCGGTAACCAGAAACCATTGACGGATGTCGAATTTTACATTGTGAATCAATAATGGCCGTTCGATGTACTTCTGAACAATGAATTTCGCTTTATCAGTGACAGTTGAAGTGCAAAGTTTTAACATGTCATCAAGACGATCATAAACAACAATCCCTAAATGATTGGAGAATGAATTCGGGAGTGTTCTTATCGAACAAACCTCGCCCGCGAGATTTTGCTCCGGGTTTTGATATCCAAATGTTTCTTGTCCCATCAATGCGATATTGTGGCCAATGGTGTTCGACATTTTTCAAGCATTGTTCAACTCTACTTGAGTAGGTTTTCATTCCGTCAATTTCCGCATAGAAACTAATGAGATATGATAAAAATTTATCAGTGAACGACTCGAATCTTACTGTGATGCAGCATAAAACTGTTCGATAAACTGTGTCCATTGTTCATCCGTCGAGGCTTTTTGTGATGCTAATTTTATGTCAATATCTTCGTGATTACGTGCCGCCGTAAATTGTTCGACTTTATTCAAAGCAAATTCAATGAATGACGATGGAACAGTTTGTAACGATGGCTGGCCTGAACAAAAATTCATGTGAGGCGTTGAGCTCTCAAAACGAGTGATTCTTACTTAAACTCATGTCGAGACTTGAATTGATGTTCGGCTCAAGAATTCCTTTGCAGCGATTTCGAATAAGTTTGAGAAAACTGATACACGCTGTTAGACGATAATCATCTAAATAGAGCAAATGAGACAAAGAGCTTTCGGAAAAGGTTCATCGTACCAATAAATGCGGTTCGTTCATCATCGTGAGTTAGTTTGTAACATCGAGGATAGAATTCATCTGCACTACCTGAATGAAACCATGGCAAATTTTTCAAAACCGTGCAAAGTCCAACCTGAATAAACGAATAGCGAAGAAACTACGACTTCGAACTGAACATATCTTTCCACATACTTTCGTAGTTAAGCAGCCATTTCGTTCGAAATGATTGACCATTTGATCTCTATTCAAGAGACTTGTATCATACGTTGCCAGAACTGTCCATACGAGATCCGGTGCCGCTGTTTTAACCATACGTGAAAGAATACCATAATAACCATCGTTTTCTTCCCATGGAGGAGTTTGATTTTCCTCACTGTCAGCAGGAAGTTCTTCTGAAAAGTTGAGTAGAACAATAAATGAATCGTTTCATCATTATCACACACCGTAATCAATATCGCCAACGATGGCATCATCATCGTCATCGTCATCATCACTTTTAGCGTTTCTCTTGCTGGATCTCTTTTTCTCATGAACGGATGGGAATAGGAGAGTACGATCAAATTTCTCTACCCAGCCACGACTAAACACAATGACGTTCAAATTAATCCGAATTGAAAAACTGTTCAATTACCGTCTTAAGGATTCCCGTAAAGCTGGATATGTACCATTAATGGTAAAGATCTTATGTTCCTATGTATAGCACCAACATAGAGCCAATTTGTTTTAGAAAAAATTCGATATCATACTCTCATGGCGCGTTCCGCTTCTTCCCGTGCAAGTTTTAATCGTTCTGAATTGACTGGTTCATTGATAACAGTAGATCGTTTCGGTGGTGATTCAACTCGGCGAACAACTTTAGGTGGAGACTTCGGTTTCAGTATCATAGGCGCACGACGAGTAGGCCGGATCACAATTGGAGCAAGTACTGGCGCGGGTGGTAATGACGGTGGTGAAGCCACGGGTGATGGTGCCAATTCTTGAATTTCAACCTTCGTTGATTCCGATTGTTTAACTTGAATTGCGGGAGGTGCAGAACCTCGTGAACCATGTTTGACTGTTCGTACTGGCGCGCGTACAGCTGGAAGTTTAGTTCGTCTTGGTAACGACGAACCGTATGCCTGAATAAGTTTTGCCAAACGACTATTGAATTGATTTTCTATTCAAGACAATGAAATCCGAAAGTGCTTATAGAGAAAATCGATTGATGATATCGACCTTTTGCACGTACGATTGATATATCCTTTTGTCTAGGCGATGATGGCTCATCGACGGCTGACTGCGTATCTGAATTCGATTTCTGAGTGTCTAGCTGTTGTTTAGGTCGTTTATCACGTGTATACCAATCACGATAATTTGCCGCTGCCAACTCTTTCTAAAACAATGGAAAACAAAGAATAACCTTGCACACTCCGATTCGTAATCATTTACTAATTCTGCTAGTCGTTGCGTGTGTTTCGATTGTCGTTCATAAAAATTCGATAGAAGATTTTGAGCGATTTCATTACTCTTGTCATTTAATTTTGGTTTGAATGTGAACAAATTCGAGTCAACAACTGGATATGCCTCTGCATGACTGGTCATACTTGCCATTCGGAGTCGAATATTTTCCGCACCAAAAAAGAAACTTTTTCGCGTGTCAGCTGTTTTTCTATTTGTTTAGATCGAAAAGTCTCTATGTGAACACAAGTTTGATTTCAACTTTCTTTTCTCTCTTTTCATTAACAACGTGTAAAACATCCATGCACGTAAAAGAGAACTTTTGTCATTTTTTTTTCTCCTTTTCAAAACAATGTAAACGAGAAAAAGGAAAGAATTGAAGACAAATGAATTCATTCGGAGTGAAGTTTCATAGCAACGCCTCTCGCCAAACGAAGAATAGTCCATTGATTAGATATAAACTGGAATTTCAGCAGAAAAGAGATCAACGCTTTGAATATCGTTTACTTAGCACTTGTATTTACAAGAGTACATCTCAATTAAATAACAACCAGCAGCCCGAATGGAGTTTTTTCTACGAATATCAGTAACGACTATAAAGTTTTGAATGAAATTTTAGCAGTCATTCCAACTTATGATTATGCAACGTTTATCGGGAACTGCGTCATGCAAAGACAGATTTTTTTTCTTCCTCGGTATAAAAGCACGTGCGAAAAAAACAGTTGCATATATGAGTTCTTCGTCTTGTCGTCGATTCTGTTTGCTCGAATCTCTTTAATAAATCATTACTGTTCTCAATTGTTGGAAAAAATCAATTCTCTTTTGCCGCGAAAGTTTCACTCACCCTTCACGAAACATGAGTACCGTGTGGGCACGATGCGAAGGAGCTTTCATCGGACATGCTATTGCATCTCAGTATGATCCGTCTATCTTTATGGCATTAAATGTAGCCGAAAGTCTTATTCAATTCAAAGAATATAATGGACCAGACATTCTCGCGAGGCACTTGTACTTATATCATACAAAACGGTGTGAAGTTGGTGAAATCACGAAGTATATCTATCAAGCAGCATCGACAAGTATTAGTTCACGATCACCGACTAGTCGAGAAACTTTTCGTTTTAATCCAACGATAATCAATGGATTCGTACAATCAGCGCATGACAAAACCGGTGGATATACCGCTAGTTGTGGGCCAGCACAACGCTCATATCCATTGGCTTTTTGTGCAAATATTACAGATGATAATCTAGTTGATGTAGCAATGCAAGAAGCTAGATTAACTCATCAAAGCCCTATAGCAGGTCAAGTTGCTGTAATTGTAAATAGTATTTGCCGATCTCTTCTTCGAAATCACAATTGGCAAGCCGCTGTGAATTCAGCATTTACACAAGCACGCCTGCACGACGATGTGAAAAATATTCTAATGCGGCACGGTCGCTGGCCAAATCCTCTTGTGGAAACACACCCAGCATATGCACCGACGATACTGAATAGTGTCCTGCACTATGTGTCGGCATCGAGAAGTGCTGCTGAAGCGTTGGAACTTGCGAAATATGCGAAAAATAAACATTATTGTCTACCAATTGTTGGCATATTAGCTGGAGCACGATGGGGAGTACCTGAGGACATGTATAGGTCACATATGGACAATTTGGATCTGACAGCAATGCGAACAGCAGCTAATAAGTTAATCGATCTTTGGCCTGTTAGTCGTACTGATGTATCTGTTTGAATAATAAATCATCGAAATTTCTTTGCAAAACTTTTAATATTTGGACTTTATTCTCGAGAGTATCGGTAAGTCGATATGCGCGTATAGAACAAAAAAACATAGAGTCTAGTATATTAGAAGTTTATATATTAGCATGAAAGAATAAAATATTCAAGCAAACATGAATGCCAGGAAAAAATCATAAAGAAAAGTGTTTGATTAGAAGCGAACGAGATAGTTTGTCTTATAGATTAGATGCTTTGGGTTGTTAGTACGCTTGGTAAGAATTTTTCAGTCATGTGTAGCATTGCTTTGGGTATCCAATGAATTCCGCCATCGGGAACGTGTTCGAACGGTTGTTCGACAGCAAAAAGTTTCGCAAATCGATACCACCACCGAAGTGGTGCAAGAACTTGATGTGCTAAGTTATGACTGACGACACTCGAATAGCACGAAGCAGCCATATCATTGACGATCAATGTTCCTGAAGAAGAACAAACGTATAGAAAAGAAGTTCTTTAAGAAAAAAAAACAAAGTTTACCATGGCTGGTCATTGGTGTGAAATAACCCACACGATATTCTTCACTGACGTTTCGTACCGTAGCCGGTTGAAGTTGACCTTCGACATGAATGAACACAGTGTCGCGTGATTTGATTTGGTTGGCAGGAATGAATTGATCATTGTGGTTGACAGCAATGAAATGATTACCGGTTAGACTTACTCGATGGCCGGTTTCCGTTTCGATTGAGTAGAACAAAGCTAAATAGATCAGATCAGTTCAAGCAAAATGTTTTCATTAGTACAAACCTGGACGTTTTGGTTGACTGTCCAACATCATGATAATTTCGTCTTCTTCGATTTGTTTTTGACTATTCATAACAAGTACACGATCACCTGGTCGAAGTTCACTTAGAAGTTTGCGTTCACCATTTGCCATTGAGACAAAATCGTCACCGGAAAAGCATTTTGGATTTCCTAACATCAGAGTTCTTTGTGTGTCTATTCAGAAGAAGAGAACAATCTCATCACTTACGACGAAGTGGACATTCATCGGGTTCTGGTAGACCGGGATTGACGCAGCACCATTGAGCCAGATTTTGTAATTCAGTGAGACCACCTTCCGCTGCCTAAACACGTCACATTCAACGAAAAGCATCATACTAAACATCTCGTATTACCCATCCACCAATACAGTTTCTTGTTTTGGTTTTAAAACATTCCATGTATCGTTCGGCTAGATTACAAAATAGTTTCAAATTACCCTTTGCTGCTTGTATGATAGCTTGAACATCCAATTGTGCACATTCAGCTAGTTGTACTGGATCTTCTTCGACTGGACATGGTGCTTGGCCGCGTGCTAAGTGAACGATTACACTTATGAATACACAGGCAGCGAGAGATTTCGAGCTGAGCATCTTCTTCTTTCGTTTCTTTTTTGAAAATCAATGAAGATGATGATTTGATATAAGAATATATAGATAATCCTCTATTTTTCTACTCCTACATTTCACTATGTCAATAAACAAGAAAATAAGTACAATGGCAATGCATACATACATATATTTGATTATGATTGTTAGAAGAAGATAATTGAAAACACCGATTCAATATTATCATTCATCCTCCGTTCGTTTTAGTTTTTGATTAGTACTTTTAAATTAGATTGTTAAATATACTCGAATAACTCAAAAGCAAATAGATAAAGCGAAATCGAGGATTGACCATCGTTTTATTAGAATTCAGAAAAGAAAAAAGAAGTGATGAATAAAATTATATAACAAGAAAAAATTGTTTGATTTTTTTTTCTTTATTTAAATATTCGAAACATTTGCGATCAAGGAATCATCTGTTTTTCCCATAGAAACAAATCGTTCCTTCTGCGCAGTCCTGCTTTGCTTTTGTTCATCGATTACATTATCGACCAAGGCGCACACTGCAAATCACCAACTTGTCCTGATAAACATTGTCCTTGTGTGTTGACTACGCATGGTGATTGATTACTATCAACCGATATGACTATTGGAGGTGAACTATTGCAGATAGCTGGCGTTTGCTGAATGGTAGTCGGTGGAAGAGAGATAATTTGCGGTTGAGCAAGAGCAGATATACTAGGTTGCTGAATACAAGCGGAATTCGCAATATTTCCATGTATTAGACTACTGAATGCTTCAGGAAAGCCATATTGACCAAGACAGCTATTGCAGTCATATGTATCTGTTCGAAGGACGTCTCGGAATGCGCCAACGAATTCAGGAAAATCGATGAAACCATCATGGTTTCGATCGATAGCAATAAAGATGTTTTCAATGGCTCGATCGATATTTTCGTTATTAGCATCGACGAGTGCTTCGCGCAGTAATTGCCGGAAAACAACACGATCGATCTTTGTTAATCCACCTCGTGTTAAATTTAGATACTCTCGATGAAGAAGAGCAATATCAGCTGGATTCAATCCAGATATGTTAGCTACAGCTGCATAGTCTGAATCGCGATAACCGCGATAGCCAAACGGACTGGCGTGTGGATAAGGATAGGACATTCGGTGTAAAATAGGACTTGGAGGTGGAGTACCAGGCCGATTACCACCGTAGAATAAAGGTGGTGGTGACAATGGGTATGGAGCTCCGTAGGATGGTCCTGAAGCATTGACAAGTGGAGGGCCGCCATAGGATCGTGGACTTGGAGAACGGCCTCGATACATTTGAGATTGTAGATTTTGAATTGTTCGTTGAGCCTCTTCGTATTGTCGTAGCTGTCTCCGATTGAGTGACGACGGGCCAGTAAGGCCAGTCATGACTGGACTCGCTGGTCGTGGTGGTGGTAATAGAACACTTGATGGCGGTGGATATTGTTGTGGATAATTTGGCAATGATGGCAAAGGGACAATGGGCTGTTTGCGACGTGACGAACCTCCACCCATTGATTATTTTAGTTCTGACTTAAGTGCGTTTACTAATCAGCTAGCAGTAGAGGTGGCGGTACCCCGAACACAGTGACAATCAGAATATGGTAAGAGGAAAAAATGCTTGTTACACTTGATTGAACCTCATATCGATAGATGCAAATGGGTAAAATAAGTCTGTCTTTGCTTCACCTGCCAAGGTTTACATCAATAAGCGTATGCTTATTTCATGTACTACAAAAGCAACGACCTTCGTTCCCTTCTGTGATTAATAACTATAACCAAAATGGACAAAAGGCGAATGTTAACCTTGTACAAACGAAAAATCTTTTTTCATCCGTCGTGTGTGCCACGAACCTCGAAAACAGTGCCTTTTTATCTTATTCTTTTTCTTTTTTATTTGAACTTTGTTCTTACACGAATCGAATATCCAGCAAAGACAAGAGAAAACGTTTTTGTGAAGAACAGAGGGAACAGAAGAAACGAAAAGGTTTGTTTAGAAGCGTGTCCGTGTGTGTGTATATATATGCTGGTTCATAAACAAGATCAAAAAAAAGCAAAAACGAAAGAAGAAGAAGAAGGAGAAGAAGACGAAAAAAGAATACTGTGTTTTAGTAAATATCCAAAAAACCGGTGAATATCAAACAACAACAACAATAACAAACAAGATCTTTGTTTTGAATGACATCAAAAGAAAAGAAAATCAACGTCCAAAAAATATCTGAGATGATGATGCTCGATAAACAGCAAAAATAATTCATAGAAAAAAACACGTTTTCTTTTTGTGAACTTATATCTTTGCATCACACAGATATATATGTATATACGCTTAAATATGTCTGAGATAGAAAGTTAACAAAAAAAAACGAGCAAATTATACACACGCACGTTCAGTAAAGGAACTGACGGAGGGAGGGAAGGGAAGACAAAACTGTACAGTATGTTAGCTTTGAATATGCTTGGTTTGTCTATTGGCGATTGTAATTGGGCGGAGCTGCCGTCTCGGACGAGAAATGATCGTAGCCAGTTGGCGCTTGGTATGCAAATGCGTTAGGTGGAGCAGTTGATGTGTCCGCACCGTAATTGTATTGGTTCGTTGGACCTTGAGAGTTTTGTGCTTGATTGAAATTCCATGTCGGGTAGGAATATTGGGCAGAATTCGAATTTGCAGTTTGGTTATTGCTTGAATTACCCGATTGAGATCGTCCTTGACCATAAGAATTACCTTGTGGATGTGGACCAACTTGCCAAGTTGCATTAGAAGCTGATGCTGATGATGGACCATACGAACCGTAGGAACGAGGATCAGCTGAAAAGAAGTAGAAGATGATTGTGCGCATTTAGAAAAACGAAAACGCTTCAATTGGCTTTACCATAGTTAGGATTTTGCCATTGAGCAGGACTCATTGGTGACCATGGTTGATTATTCGTCTGTAGTTGTTGTCGATTGGATTGTGAACGATTTTGACCTTGTTGGTTCGTTTGTTGACTAAAGAATGAACTGTGATTATGAAAGAAACGAGAGGTTTATCGAAGAATTTACTTATAAAATGGATAATGTTGCTGCTGAGCAGCTAATGCTACTTGTTGATATTGCAATTGTTGCTGTGAACGTTGCTCTAAGCGACAAAGGACTTTATCTTTCCAACATACGTTCGTGGTTCTTACGTGGTTGGTATTGAAATAGATTTTGATTTAAACCTGGCATATTGTAATGCGCTAATGCTTGTTGTTGTTGCATCATGTTATTAGTTTGTTGATTATTTTCCAAACTTTTTGGATTGGCATGTTTACAATCGATCGATTTCCCCTTCAATGTATGTCGAGGTTGCTTGAGGACTTCTTCGGCACTTTGTTCATTTTCGAAAAGTATGAAACAAAATGGACGACGCTTTTGTTTGATTTTATCAATGGGAGCTTCTATTTGAGCGATCTAAGAAAAATGAAGTAGTCGTTTCTTAAGTGTTGAAAAGCTAGTTTTACCTTTCCGAATTGAGAAAAATATTCTCGTAATTCGGTATCAGTTACTTCAGGATCTAAACCGCCAACAAAGACTTTACGCGCCAATGCTTGATCACGACGGTGCGCAGATTTCGTATCAACACGTTTGCCTTGAATAATATGTGCTTCTTGTGTATAAACCTAGTCGAGGAGCAAACATCGTTGACTGTCATTGTCGTATGAGTCACTTACTTTGTTAGGTGTGTCCGGATCGTCGAAAAGAACAAAACCAAAGCCTTTTGAACGGCCAAATTTATCGTATTTAACAGTTGCACTTTCGACAGTACCAAAATTGGAAAAATAGTCACGAAGATGTTCTACAACAAAATACAATCATATGTCAGATTTTCTACAAAACAATGTCTATCTTACCTATCTTTGTATCTGGACTTAAGCCACCAACAAAAACTTTTCTTTTACTAAACGATTCTCAGATAAATATAGAAATGCAAACGAAAACGGCGTCCTAGTCCTTACTTGACAGAATCATTCGTTGCATTATCGACTCCATTGCTATTCTGTCGACGTTGTTGCTGTTGTTGTTGTTGTTGTTGTTGCTGTTGATGATGATGCATCGAGGCGCCATTGTAAGCGGAATGCTTTTGTTGATTTAACATCGGTCTCATATAACCGTTGTTATTGTTCAAATATTTCGCTGGTGGACCTGTATAAATTGTTCCTGTGACTGGTGATGCCATAGCCTGTTGTTGTTGATGTTGTTGTTGTTGATTTTGATGTGGTTTCATTGTAAACATATGCATCTGATTATCAAAACCGTGTCCAAGACTATCCGCACTCGGACGCCCAGCTTGAAAAGCTGCATTAGTGTTGTTTGTTGATGCTGAACCACCTTGATCCGTCGACATTTCAAACACGATAAATAGACAGTGATACGAACAAACAAGATGAACACAAAGAAGAACAAAACGGGCAGATGGAACAGAAAAGGAGAGAACAAGATTTGTGAACACACGAAACACACACGAAAAAAAAAAGAAAAGCAACTATGCAAGTCCTAAAAAAACAAACAAAAAGTTTAAAGAAAAAGAGGGAAAAAATCGATCAAGATAAATAGATAAACAAAGAAAATATAACCAATCCTCTACGATTACACACTTATGCACTTCACGAGACGTTACTCTTGACTGCTGTCTATCACAGATGGAAGTTGAATATGGTAAAATGATGCAACTGTAACCAGAAAGGTAATGGTTATTACATTCACTACTCTCGTTCGAGTAGAGAAATACAGAAATGAAATCGATGTTTTTGCCAAGAAAAACACACCTGACAAAGGTGCCTGTTGACCTCTCTCTTTTTACTTCACACCACTACAAAATCACTATTATATTTCATTCAGAAAGCTTCAAATGAGAACAATTCAAGACAAAAATGTTTAGTTAACAAGTCTTTTTTTTAGCATTAGACTTTGGTCGACTGGTGACAACCGTATTCAGAGAAATGAAATTCTCCATAGATGGTTTCTCCACATAGAAAACAAAAATTCGTTCCACATTTTCCGCAAACTATACTATTTCTCGTTCCGATTTTTACATGTACATGACGACAATCTTCCTTTGGACATAATTGAAGTCGTTTGGTAACATCTGCTTGGATAAGTTCGCCATCTGCATCATGTATGAGTTTTGTAACTTTCTCACTGATCTCATCCGAAAGTGCAGCTCCCGTTAGCTCGGGCTTGCGATGACATGGATGAACACCATATGCCTTCCCAAACCATCCGCATTCCCAGCAAAAGTGTACCCCACATGCTCGGCAGTGCATATGCTGACAGCCACCATTTTTCTCTATTCGAACAGAACAGGCTGGACAAGGCTTGGAAAAACGCTCAATTGTTTCAATATTGGAAATCTCCATCAAGAGTTTCTTGATTTCCACTTTACTACCTCGTGTTCGTTCTTTTCCATCATTCTTCATAAGGGAGGAAAGTAGTTTCTGTTTCGGACACTCCACTTGTGGATGCCAAGTTTCTTGACAACGACGGCAGAACGTAAATTGACAATGAGCACACTCAGCGAACGATAGATGATTGCCTGAAACGCTCTCAGACATTGGACAGATCGTCGAATGATGACAACGTGGACACCAGACCATATCTGTAGTTTGTTCTAACAAGCGTTCTTGATATTTCAGCAGTAGTTTATCATCAGCAAACATTCGACGAAGCTCAGAAAGAAACAACGACGAATTACAATCGTAGCAAGCGATTTGTTTCAGTTCATGATTTGTATTTAATTGTTCAACTGCATAGGAATTCAAACAAGACAGACATGCATAATGTTGACATTTCTCAAATCGTAAACAATTCTTTCCAGGTACATCTAGTAAACTAGAAAGAAACGATAGCAATTAGACAAACTAACCGCATCATGAGAAATATCTACCATATGGGACACGGATGAATATTTTGATCGAACTCAAGTTGATCCTTGATTCGATTGTATTCAATCAGTTGTTCATAGAGTTGTTTAGATTGAATTTGATCATAATTCGTAACAAATCGTTGATCGGTAATCGACGATGAAGTTGGGCGAAGGATCAGTTCATTGGATAGATTGTATACGAAATCTTTCAATAGTTCAACCCAAGTATAAATGATGACTTCACCAGGTTGCCACGCGGCGTCCATTTGATTTGATAGGGAAAGCAGTTGATCAGCCGGTAAATAATCACAAAAGATGCTATAAATCGGCGCATCTGTTTCGGGATAAGTTTGTTTACAAGTGATGCGGAGAATTATAGGTGGTAAATGTGAAATTTGTGTTGATGCATTTGATTTTTCATGAATCAGAGTTATTTTCTTAGGTAAAGAATCAAAGCGGATGGTTAAATTGAATGTCGGTAACTCATCGTCAGTTTGCTTCAACAATTGGAAATCTTCGTTGAAGATCGATGTCAACACCGTCAACTCTTCATCAAATATTGTATCCATTATCTTTCTACCATCTAAATAACACTTTGTCATCTGTTTATATGTACGTCAAAGCTTCATTGCAAGAAATTTCGCAATGACAAACAATGACTCATCGTTGTCATACCTGTTATGTGAACTATTCACGGATAGATGTCGATCCGATGAGACTGAAGCTACTTTTGCATTTTAAGCAATATTCATTCACAAATGTTGAATTAATGAACGATGATCTATCATCACAATGTTTTGCTTTTATTTGACCATAAATAACGGAATATAAAAACGAGAGAACAAAAAAGCGTGTAATATAGACTTTCACACAACAAGCAGAATGATGTTAATGTCGACGCAACAATAATAAACAGGCAGAGAAAGAAAAGAGAATGAGACCAAAAAAGTGGATTTAAACTAAGTCATAAAAACTGACTGGAATTGTGTACTCTATTTGATCATTTATAATTCTTCATCGGCATGACCGTGAGTTGTCTTTGTATCTTCATCGTCATCATCGTCATTAGTAGTGGATGACTTCTTCGCGGCGTCTTCTACAAATAGAAAGAGAATTTCATGCGTATATGTGTTTTTGTTCTCGGATGAATGATTCAAATGAAACTAACCAGCTTCGTGTTTCTTTCGTTCATCCTCCATCTTCTTTCGTTCCGCTTCATCGGCGCTCTCTTTCATTTTCTTTTCACCATCTTTTGTTTTGCCCCATGTTTCTTTGCCGAATTCTTCAGCGCGTTTCACACTATCTGTGATAATAATATTGTCAAAGATCGTGCCAGATTTGACTTGCCATAAATCGAGGCCGATAGCGCCAATATCTTTGAATAGATAAAGATTTGGATCTTCTTCGTATTCGGGATTGTCGATTTCTGGATGAACCCAAGCACCTTTGTAAGCTGGGTTATCGATTTGACGAGCTGTCCATACACCTTTGTATTCAGGATTGTCAATTGAAGGTGGCTCCCAAGCACCATCGATTTCATCGTCCCAATCTTCGGGTTTCTTGGCGTCCGGGTCAGGAATGTGTTCTGGTTTATCCCAATCTATAGGGAGAAAAAAAGAAATATATTTTATTTTAATGTTTGTGTCTCACGAAGAGATTTTACCTTCTGGTTTTGTGTCTGTTGGATCGTTCATTTTTGGTTCATCGACCCAATCCGATGGTTTCTTGGCGTTCGGGTCTGGAATTCTTTTTGGAACAGTGAAGTCCCAATCTTCTTCGAGTTTGCCACTTTCGACTTTTTCATCATCAATACGAACTTCATAGGTATTGTCCGGATTGAGAATTAATGTATACAAATGAGTGAACTCGTCATCTTTGCATTTGATATCTTTTTTGATTAATAAATTCTTGCCTTTGTATGTAAAGATCACATGAACTTTCTTTTTTTCATGGCCGCAAATATCAGGACCTGAATGAAATTGCAAGATAGTCCCAAGAAAGGAAAAGAGATCAGTAAAATTCTTACCGAACATGATGTGATATGGTGAATCACCGGTAAGTCCTTTTTGATCGGTGTCAGCGGGATAGACTTTTACATAGCCACCGCCGCAGTCGATTTGTTGTTCATGTTTAACAGTGAATTGAATAACGAGAGTTTTGCCTTCATTTGAAAACTTATCAAAACTAGCCGAAATAGCATAAAAATGAGCGTCCTGAGATGTTTGAAGACCTTGAAGAGAGAAGAGAACAATACAACAACAACAGTCATCAATCAATTAAACCTACCGAGATCTTTCTTAGCATCACCATAGAATTTGCCATGAGATAATTTAAATTCGCCTAAATCAGATTTCGCTGTTGACTTGACCCAACGATTTTTGTAACTTTCATCTAATTAGAAGCGACTCAAATGGAAGGATGATTTGACAAGAGAACGAGAGACTTACCTTCGAATTTTTCAACAAAGTAGTCTGTTGAATAAACAGAAGTGAATACCGCGAGTAAAAGCAATGAGTAAGTTAAACGAATCATGACTCTACGCCAGGAAAAAAATGAATGAACGGTTCTTTTTTAAGGCTACTTTTATTTTATCGAGAGGGAAGAGGCAACAACAGAGCATAGGGTGTGTTCCACTGATTGGTCGAACTGGCATTAGAATAACCAATCCGTATGCAACGTGTGGAGTAGAAATATCGATTGAAGATTAGATAGCAAACCGTATATAAAGACGAAGAAAACTGAAAGTTACTGTGATATTCAAGTCAGAAAAACTTTGATAAATTCGTTTAATTTTATACAACGCCATCTTTCCCAGATGGTGTGGCAGGACTTGTGTGTGTGTGTGTGTGTGTCTTTCTTTTTCTGTTCTCTCCTCATTTAATTAACATGCAGAATATTCATGAAGAGAATCTATTAGCAAAGTATATTTATAATGACGATCTGTATAGTGAAACAGACGAACATGGAATTGATATTATTACACTTCGTTATACGCTTTTGTAAGGATTTTTACAATCGGAGATTGTTTTGTTCGAGTGTGAGATCGAGGACACTTGTGCGATTTGCATAAACTTCAAGATGTAATTATTGAGAAATATCTTTCTGGCACTTTGAATGCAGAACAATTTTCTAATGCGAAGAAAATTTGTCTTTGAAGAACTTGATGTTTTTTTAATGAGTTTAGTCAATGTCGTAAACAACTTCTCGTCGCAATTCAATCGTTATTCGATACCGAATTTGCTTGTAAGTGAATTTTATTTGTCGGAATTGTCACGCGATGGATTAGATGGTAAAGTTCAACTACGGGAAGATTTCGATAAGCTGAAAAGTCAATGTGACGCTTTGAAAAATGACTATGATCTGTTAAAAGCTGACTTTGATGATCTAATCGATCATTGCAAGTGAGATCGGAATGAAAATCGTCATTTAAAGCGAATGGAGTGTAGAATTTTAGTTCGACAAACGAATGAAATCCTTGCTGAACGAAATACTTATTATTCCGAATGGGAATATGCGAAGAGTCTTCTTACTCCACGGTAATGCCGAATGATATGTTTTTGTGAAATTCTGCAAACTTTACATAGACCGGATTGGGATAAATGTGTTCCTTTGGTGATAAATTGGTCGAAATTATCGACTGGAAAAACAAGTGATGAATTAGTTGATGTGATAATCAATGAAATTACTCATGGAAACACAGATGGATATCTCGATAAGAACTTTCAAGGACGATTAAATATGCGTCGTAGGATTACGGGTTTACTCATCAAAGAAATTTGGGAACATCGAGTTTGTTTTCCATGACTAATTCTTCTCGCATTCACCTGTGATTGGATTTTAGTTCGAATCGAAATCGAATTTGAAATTTACGGATTATGTAACTACTTATTTGAGTAAAAGATTCGATAACCAAGATAGAGCAATGGAAATAAGTACGAATCTTCCAGATACATGTTCGCGTTATCGAAATAACTACGAAATCAATCTTTTCTGGAAAATATTAACTGGTCAAATGGAGGAAAACATCTATCATCATGAAATGAAGGAATTTGCTCGTATCTTTCAATCTTTCGTCAAAATGTCTTCAAAAGTATCATCGTAGCTTGTATGTCATTCAATTTCGAATCGGAACTTCTCTTCATAGCCGTTGTGGACAATCCTATGGTCGAGTTTATCGAATGTTCTTCGAGAACTCTATCCCGAATGGTCGACAGAACGTATCTCATCGCTTATTCAAGCAGCGCAGCTAGATACTCATCAAGCATCGAAAGATGAAAATGATTTCCAGTTTATGTTTTTGTTCATGGAAGATGACGAAGGTCATATCGGGAATTTTCTTTCGACCATTCGTCAATTCTCATATCTGGATAAAATGGCCTACGTGGACAAAATCAAAGACTTACTAATTGGCCATCCGTAAGTTGAAATTGAAGAATAGATGATCGAATGTGATCTCAAATAGATTAGTATCGATGAATCAATTCAAACAAGTTGTGCAAATGGTCGATCCACATATATCGAAAGAGGAACTTCAACGATATGTTAGTTGGGTATTCAATTCGAAGAAAATGGTGTTTGATGATAACAAAGAAATCAAATCACGTGACTTCGAAGAAATTCTTCTTCGATTAGAATGCTGTTCATGTTTTATGCATTGAAGGATGATTTTTTGAAAAATGAATTATTACCTTCTTGGATAGATTTGAGAATAAATGAACGCTCGAGTTCAGATGTTGATGAATGCCTAGTCCGAATGTAACTTATGGAGAGAAATCAATATATTCGTATTATTTTGTATGCGGATTTCGAGTTTTTGTCATCATGCGTATGAAGTCACAGTAAAATAACTGAATTGATATTAAAAGTATCGTAAGTAGATGGAAAATCTACACTTCGCACCATCCATTTGTCACAAACGATAGATTTGCGGTTGCATTTCTATTTATGATTTTCGTTCTTCTGATCATTCGTTGTCATTACATTCCCATTTCATCAGTAATTAGAAATATGAAACAACGTGGATAAAACTAGAACATTGTGTCGATAGAGAAAAACAAAGACTTGAACATGAAGTTCCATATTCACCTTCTAAACATATAACACGAGCAGGTTTTAGCTTTACAAACAATATCGTTTCTAAGGGAAGAAGATAGAGCAGTAGGTAAAATATGAGACAATAAAGAGAGAACTGCCGTAAAAATCTTGAGGGTGAGGGTGAAGCCGGCTGAAAATGAAGTTTCAGCTAGCCGTAGATGATTTGTGAATGTGCTGTGATATCCACAATTGTAAATTATCCAATTGAATTATTTGTAACTGACCAGATGAAGTTTTGAAGTGTTCCATTGAACTAATGCATAATTAATTCTCCGTTTAGCTCAGCTTCGGTGTCCCGATGTGTGTTGCTGATAAAAGTTAGCTCAAATGATTGTTTGAGTTTGGACAGGATAGCATGGTATAACGGCTGTACAGTTGATATGCTACTTTCTACGAATCGAGATAGTAGATTTTTATAGACGATGTTCTGTACTTTGCTGAATCTAACATTTCATTTATTGCAATGTATTAGTTAAGCAATACATCGATTGTAAATCTGATATTATTAGCGATTATACCTCCGAACGATATATGAGAATGCAGATAATTGTAATAAACTCATAAAACTTCAGCTACTTTTCATCAAGTTGATAGGACTCTTTTGAAGAAGATAATGTTATAAGTTTTCTTCAAGACCTTCGAGTGATCATGTCTCAATGCCCAGCAAATCTTTTTTGTATGTTTAACGCCTATATTTAATCGCAGACGAATACACAATAACAACTTCTTTAGCGATTACCTCTTCGGATATGTGATTTCTTTATGGTTGTCTTCTGTGGGTAACTTCATGACCTCTCATGGTCCTCGAGAAATCAAAGAAACGAACAGTTTGAAAAGATCATCATCGAATAGCTTTGCAATTTTTGTGCCATACTTTTATTTCAATGTCATCTGTTATTCAATCCTCATAAATGGGGTTCTTATTGAGATTTCAAGCTTGTTTTGACTACAGAACCGACTGTTATGATTAAAAAGTTTTACTTTACCCTGTAAAACCATATGTACTGAAAATATTTTCTTCGATGATTATATCGATCTCACATTGAATCTTTCTTCGCACATAAGGATTGCAATTTGCCCGCATCTCTAGAAGTCCACTAGTTTGGTCGGCCCCTCTATTGTCAATACAATAGGTTACCATGACAAGACATTATACAGTAGACGAGAAAGAATGTAGAAAGATTCTTATTATTTTCGTGATGAAAATGGAAGAAAATGCTTTTAAGAAGAGTAAATAAATCAGTTTGAATTGCGACGGATGGATTTATGTACTTTGTGACGGTTTGATCTCGTTTTTAATCCATGATTTTGTAAATTTTGGGGGCTACCACTCTGATGTCATTGTTTGTGTTGAAATTTTTTATGCAGTAATACATAAAATTCATTAGTTTTTGCGAGAAACAGCGACTCCTGCAGGCAAAGAGTTGAAGTTGTTTTCATTCTATGCGCCATACATCCAGAAAAGATTGAAAAACATGGGGGTAGGCGAGCATGTTTATTCAAAAATCAGCAATTTTCTTGACGAATTAAGAAAATAAAGGAACGAAAAAAGTGCTTCTATAAAACGTCATCGGAATCCAACAGAGAAAGTGTATTATATTTCGGTGAAACTAAGATCAATCAATTACCAGTCCCCTCAATTTTACATATTTTAACGTGAAACTTATTGATTGCAATGCATTTATTCGAGCATTTTATCATAGTTCTCGTCGGTCTCGTGATCCATAATCAATGTGCTCCTACAGCGCAAGTAAGTGATTTGCAAACATAAATCATTTTCGAAATCAATATTTCATATTTTTAGTCAGATACTATTTCATCAAATCCCGAATACAATCGTTAGTATACATTGATTGATAAATTTATTATATCAAAATGTTTGTTTAGCTGAACCGAAATTTGATGAAGGTGACATTGTTCCTCATCCATCAAGTCAGGGTATTCAAGGAGTAAGCATGTGAAAAAGACATAAATAAAAGTTAATGTTGTTTTTGTTGGGAATTATAGCGTGGTGTAGCCGTTAGACAGACTTATCTGCGTTGGACAGGTGGTGTTGTACCTTATGAATTTGCTGCGAATGTTTGTAAGTAAACTCTAGCTGAGATTACTTACAATAAAGACAATGGATATCTTCTTGTAGCTTTAAATGATTCTGCTTTTATCGTACAGCAAATGCGAGCAATTGAAAGTTTAACATCAGTTAACAGTGTACAATGCGTTCAGTTTCGTCCAAGAAACGCATCTGATCCATACTTCATTACTATCTTCAATGGATCCGGTTGCTCTGCACCTGTGAGTAGAAATAGAAATTACATGAAATCGTCATTCTTTTTCTTGACTATAGGTTGGATCTTGGGGTACTTACAACGGTACTCGTCCTGTTTCATTATTGTCTGGATACTACTCTACCTGCATGGTTTCTGGTATTGTTCAGCATGAACTAACTCATGTCTTAGGTTAGTAACATATGATTTCTTACCAATGATCGATAGACTTTATCTTTCTAAAATAGGTTTATATCATGAACAATCACGACCTGATCGCGATTCCTACGTCAGCATCCAGTGGGCAAATATTGATTCAGGTAAAGTTTTTTTAACATACCTAGTACTACAATAACAAAATGTAACGAATCATTTTAGCTTATGTGAACAATTTCGTTAAATATAATGACACAGATGTAAACACACTCATGACACCTTATGACTACGGATCAGTTATGCATTACGAACGCAACGCTTTTGCAATCAATTACAGTGCGCCAACTATTATTCCAATAATGAATGCAACAGCATTCATTGGCCAACGTGTTCAATTGAGTCCCATTGATATTCTCGAAATTCAACGACTCTACGGCTGTGTCGCAACGCCAGATACAACCACCACAACGACAGCGTCACAAACAAACGCAACAATGACAACGACGACACGTACTACGTCCACGACGTCAACCACCAGAACGACTTCCACGACGTCGACAACAACAACTACTCGAACAACAACCACCACGACGTCGACAACAACAGCTACTCGAACAACAACCACCACGACGTCGACAACAACAGCTACTCGAACAACAACCACCACGACATCATCATCCACCAACAACAATAGTGTCTCATCGACTACTGCATCGAACAGTGCAGGTATTCGCAACGTTTTGCAACAGTATCTGGCAACATATGCTCTTTGTTTTACATTGGTGCTTTACTTGTTCCATTCTATTCAATAAGCAAGCAGATGAATGCATGTTGGATCTGACACTTAAATGTTGTTTTGTATGAGAATATTCCAAAAATAGTTTGAGTTTTTTTCCTTAATGAGATGCTTTTTAAAGTAAAAAACCTGTTTTTGTTTATTTTCGTTAAAGAGAAATAATTATTTTTTTCAAAAAAGTTTATAAACATGAAGTCTTATTTACTCAGATAAGCATAGAGTTTAATTAAATCTTTGTACTCACATATGTCTTTTTCAACCTGACCAGTGGAATGTTTCTTGTATGAATCTAATTTATTGCTCGATTAAATATGAAGACAACATTTACATGGTTAAACTACTAGAGATGTTCGTTTTAATTGTCCTTTTGAACTTTTTTGAATAATTCAGAAACTTGTTTTAGATCGACACCAAATCCGTCGAGTTGAGTCATTTTCGCATGATTTTCTCGTGTCCATTGAACAAATGTTTGATTTAATTTCTCAATTGACTCTAACTGACCTCCGTACTCCTGTGGTAGTATAGCAGGATCAATGTGGCGGTGCAACGAGTTCTTCGATGAATTATCCGAAGATTTACCATGGAAAACCAACTTGTCGCTTAACTTGCGACTTAAAAACATTCGAAATAAATGTAAGACCGGATCGAACAGACTTGGATAATTAAAAAAATGTATCTGCTGTAGATTAACCGGATACATTTTCTCCCAGCAGTTCACATACCGACGTGTATAATCAGGTGTGAATTGGTTAACATGTTGTAATTTCACTTGAGAAAAATCCAAGAGGATTATGAAGCCGTTTGTTTGCGCTGCCGGTTGACTATTGAGAACATCCGTAACGGCAAAGGCATACTTGGTTACAGCATCAAATGTATACTTCGTTGGATCGTATTGGCCAATTCGCATGAGAAAGATTATTTGATTGTCTTTGGTTGGTTTCGGTAATTGAAGACAATAAACGATATGGGAAATTTCGATCATCGAAGGATTGTTGATTAAATCCCGGTTTGTAAACCTAGACGAAATGAAATAGAATTATGCGGAAGGATCAGGTTGACAACAAACCATTGGGGATTCTCCGAACGATATTTCCAAAAGCGAATCAGATGTTCCTTCGCTTCAGTCAGATCAAAACCTGCTACACGTAAAAACCGTAATAAAAATTCATCTGTATCCAGTGAATTCAAAATAGGTTTTTGTTCTTGAACCCATCGACGGAATTCACTCAGTTGAGTTGTGCTCTCTGCCATTGTGAATCTCGTATCTTCTTACTTTGAAAAGAATAAATAAAAAAAAAAGTTAATCATTCTCTTTTTTTCTCCTCTTTTTTCTGCGTTCATGGCGTGCGTGACAATGAGAACGTGTTCGTTTGATGAGAGATGCATAGGAGCATATGAAAAGAATGACAAGTTATTATTATGCAGCAAATGATAAACACTCATGAAGACGGTTTATGTCATATAAGAAAGATTATCTGCACTAAATTAGTTCGTGCTGAATCGACGATGTATTCTTCTAAGTATAGCATTGAAACTTCATAGATACATCAATTTTAACGAAATATCTTTTGTTTTTCTTCTTTCTCTCTTTCTCTCTTTCTACAGGTCTATTCGCTGGATAGCATATGTATATAAGCACGTGTTGTCTTTGTGCGTCTATCAGACAAGAAGAAAAACAAGAACGACAGTTGATCATCTGAGAAATCGAGACGAAGAGTCATGCATCGACACGTGACAATGCCACTTTCGGAGAAAGTAGGAGCGATCGTTTTGAAATGTTTTTGTTCGATATTTGGTTAATGTTTAGTTCATGGCAATGCATTTGTATCCACATCAATTAGATGCACAAATTTTGCGTAAGGAAATGACGGCATCGAACGGAAACTTAAGCCAAGTAAGAAAATGAGCGTAATTTCGAAGTTGAAAAACGGGAGAGATGTGTAGATGGAGAAAAATCGGTTTTCACACACGGATTCATCACCTTTATCAATGATAAATCGACACTTATCGATGTCGTCGTACGATCCAGTAAGTTAAATAAAGCGATGATAATATTTGACATCTGCTTGATTTAGTTTCATGAAGAACAACAACCGTTGCGTGTTCATGTTGGGAACATTCCATTTTTATGGACGATTGATGATTTACGTAAACAATTTCTCGTGCGTACACTAGTTATAATCGATCTTTTGTAGGTAAGTTTGTCTTTTTCAGGTATTTGGGCCAGTCAAAGATCCTGAGATTGTTTCTAATGAACGTGGCTCAAAAGTAAGATCGACATTTTGTTTATAACACAATGTTTCTTTTGAAATCTATTTCAAAAGGGATTCGGATTTATTACGTTTCTTCGTCACAGTAAGTCTTGCTATGGCAATCGGAAGAGATTTCGTTGATTTTCTAGGTGATGGAATGAATGCTATTCGTGTCAAGAATGGTTCTATTGCTGATGGACGGAAAATAACTGTAAATGATGAAATCTCTTCCCTCAAGATATAATACTCTTATGTTTCAGGTTGCTTTAGCATCATCCCGTTCATCGTCTCGTTTAAGTTATCATCATTGCTGTTGCTGTAAAAGTTTCTGCTGAGTGAATTCAATCCGGACTGATGTGTATAATATAAATATTATCTTTTTTTCATACGACTTTGTTAAAAGTACAAGTCGTAGATGTGTTTTGGTGTTTTCTTCAATAAAATTCTAGACGATCTGTTAACAAGGCAAAGAAAAGAAACTACAGGTCATTTGTCTTGCTGTTTGCTCTGAAGAATTCGCAGGCGATTTTGAATGTCGAGATATTTCTGTTTAAGAACGGAATTCGTCGAGAGGTTTTCTTGTTCCAGATCGGCTAAGTACTTTTTCAATTGTTCGATTTCATTCGTGAGAACTGGACCCGAATTCAACGATGATGCGAAACTAATCGACGAGGCAAGTGGAGCATTTCTTTGCAAAGTAATTTTCAAATCGGATTCTTTGATGGATGATAGACGAGGTGTGCCACTACCCAATCGCCGAACAGATACATGATAAGGAACACGACAGCTAGGCTCAAGTAGGCCTGGTGAACTTTTACTACGTTTGAGATTAACTGCAAGAGAAAAAGTCGATAATGGGAAAATTTCTGTGTGCAATGGAAATTACTTAGTTGTATCAGTGGTTTCTTATGTTTTTCTAGACGCTTGACAGCGATCGATTCAAGTTTGACACGTACAGCTGGGTACTCTTTCAAAACTTCCCATAAATCTTCTTTTGAAAGACAAAATAGATCCGAATAGCCAACAGATCGCACAGACGCTGTTCGACGATTTCCACTACCCATATTCAAAATACTTATTTCACCAAAATATGATCCTAAAAAAAGCGAATTAGTTTATTCAATTATGCAATCATTCTCATCCTCTACCAGCTTTTAATGTTGCTAGGACCGTCTTATTATTATCAGCCATAACATGCAATTTACCACGATTAACGATGTACATTTCTTTTCCGACTTCACCTTTCCGACAAATGAAATCATCCGGTGAGAAAAGAACAGGTTTAAGGCGTAAGACTAGTTCATTCAGAAATCCGGCTTCGGTATTTTGAAAAATTTCAACCTGAAACGAGTCGAATCATTCACGTTCAAACGACTGTTCTCAAATCAACTTACTCGTTTCAGTGTATCTAAATGCACGTGAATTGCAATTTCAGCACGCAGTTTATACGGGAGTAATGAAAGTACATGATTATCATCGACAGATTTATGACTCATCCATAGATAATCAAACCTAGAGAAGGAAACTAAACAATTAGATTTATTCTCTTGATCCATCGAGACTTGTCGACCTAAATTTCATTACTCGTAAACTCGCGTTTCTAACTTGAAGCATGCACGTTGTTCCCAAGACTAATTAAGGATATTTTTAATTAAAATTACTAACCATCGGATCACACGATCTTCGAGATTGTTTGGTACACGTCGCAAGGACATGTAAGTCTTCACCGCGTCTAATTTCGCTGCAAAAATGAATGGAAACATAGGTGAATTCGAAAGAGGAGAATGTTATTCTACCTTGAAAATCTTTTCTTGCATTGCCCAAATTCGAAACGATCGACGCGACATGCCCCATGATGGTGGCGAACAATAACAGTGCAAAAACAATTTGAAAACTTAGAAAAATATAATCTTCTTTCGAAACCGGTTTCGTCTCTTCATTCTGTGTCAATGTCAGCGTTGTTATAGACCAGTATCTACGTAGAACAGTCATTCTTCTAACTGCACTTGATTCCACACTGATTACTTACAAAGCTTTGAAATAGTTAAATCCACTATTATCTACTGAGAAGGCGAAATGTTTCGTTAAATCTAATTTTGATCGTTTATGTAAGATGTAAATTAAACACGCATTCCAATGAAATATCGCTAGAAGGTAATGTATCATAACAACGGTACGGAACAGGTTCGGATAATTCGTATGTCGTTCGGTTCGATCCAAAAACGTCCAGAAACGATAGATTTTCACGAGACGAAAACATCGCACGATCGATCGAAATCCAAACGACAAATAAAGAAAATCTAATGGCATCAAACAAAGACAATCGATATAAAATCGTGTTGTATTCATATAATAGTGTCGTAATTTAATCGGATCTGTTTGAAGGACTCCTTCTTCGAGATATGCTGTCCGAAAGTTGAACATAATATCCATCAAATAAATAAAATCACATAAATAATCGAAAATAAACCAAATTACGAAATTCTCCGATGTTAACTCATGAAAAGAATAACGAAAAATAATTATCCAGAAATTATAGAGAAATGCCAGACTAATAATGGATGTCCAATAGTACGATAGACGTCCACTCGGGTCGAATATGAATGTAAAACGTGTATGACGTGTTGCCGGAGGATTCAAATCGAATTTTTCAAAGCGAGCTTTGATATCTTGCTTACGAGCTTTACGTAATTGCCGTGAGTGACGAATGTAATCGCCTGGAAAAGTGTCTACAAGTGTTAGATCTATTTCTTTAGAGAAAATTTACCTTGGTAACCCGAAAAGAGATTTCCATGGTCAGTTGAAAATCTCGGATAGGCAGATACGGAACTTTTTCGTACAGCTGTTAATGTTGTTGAAAGTGCTCCGAACACTGATGGACGATGACTGGATGGATACAACGAATTGATCGATGGACGATACTGAGATTGAATCGATAAAGAACTGCCAAGTGTATTGCGCGCCGGAGATGATGGCGATTGGTTTTTAACAACAGTTGCCGAATCCGTTGATGACGAGACATGGCCAGACGTAGGAATGTTTGATTGCTGATGGTTGGGTGAAGATAATGTCAACGATGTGTTTTTATTTGTTGTTGATGTGACCGTTATTTCAGTGAGATCATGATCAGGACTAGTTGCATTTCCGTATTCAGATGTTTTTATAGATGCAATCTGTGATGATTCATTATCAGTAATTGTATTGCACGCTTGATAGTGTATGGATGGTTTGAACGATGATGCTTGAGCCATGCCATTACGGATGGAAGGATGAAATTAAAAATAACTATAAATCATCAATGTCTAGCAAGAGAAGACGAAGATATGAGCTAGAATGGTAAAAATCGAACATTTATATGACGATTGTATGAGTGAGGATGTCAACCTTCTCGTGTTTTTCAACAGATGATTAGTAGAACTATGCGAAATGAAATGACTGACAGCTGTCTAGCGTCTCTTCTCGTTTTTTCCCCTGATTTTCAAGTATATACAAAAGAAGAAGAAAAATCAGGACTGTATTTGTCAATAGGCATATTAAGAAAAAAAAAGGAAAATGCCTTGATTAATTACGTGTCTATTCAAAAATTTGTCGATGTTTCTTTACTTGTTATTTGTTTTGAATTGTTAACAGTCGTTACTTGATCATTGTTAGGTCTAATGAACATGTTCGAATCTGAAAGTAAATCGAAATAAGGTATTGAATTAAGTTGAGTAGTTGTTCAAGTATGATTCAGCTGTCTGGAAATATCTATTCATAACTGTTCTTACGATGAATATTATTATCGGCAAATGTAGATTTTCTTTCGGAGAAAATTAAGTTAACACACATACATAGACGAGTCGAACGCGAATTGAATGATTACGATTCGAAGTAAACTTGCTGACGTTTGAAGAGAGAAAAAAATCATTTAAACCGACACCCGAGTATCACATTTGCATTCCACCAGTCCTATCAATGAATAAGAAGCAACATCGTCATAGAGAAAAAGAAGTTTTCCTTGCTGATGAACGAGAAATAAGGAAAACTAAAGAGAGACAGGGCAGATAGAGATGAAGAGAATGATGGAAATGGGTACAGCAAAACCTAGCACACATCATCAGCACTTCGTAAGAAAAAGTTTTTCATTTCCGCAATGAAGCACAAGTGCGAAGCGCATGCTCTCAAAAGCAATCGTACGATTATTGAAAGTAGTACTATTGCAATCGCTATTCTTTTTCCTTGTCGTTGACTGATCCTCAGTCAAAGATTAAAGTGGAAAGTGATGTACTCATTCCGATAGACATTTAATAATTAGACGGCAGGTGTGCCGGACAAAATCGAGAGGAAGAAAACTTCATAGAAGAAAAGAAAAAAAATATATAGATATAATGAATGGTAATTTCGATGAATGCAATAACCAAAAAACGTTCCCAGCCGCTTTCTGATTCTCTGCACATTTTTCTCTCTCGTTTTCAATAGGACCAAAATGACTTATCCTTTGTGATTTATACCTTTCTTCTTTGAGATGATCTTATTATTAAATATAATCTATATGTGTAACATGACATGAGAAATCTAATTGCTAATTTCAATAAGAGATCTAAGCACATTGATGTGTATTTGATCATTGTAGTTATCTGATGACATGCACGCATTCTATTAGTTTTCGTTAGTCCTATCACTCATCTTTGTCTTTCTCTTTCCCATCTTTTTCTCTTCTATTCTTCGCCTTCTCTTCTCATTCTCTATTTAAACTTGTTCTCATGAATAAATAATCAATAAGTTCTTTTCCTCCATTCGTCTCTTCGTTTTACTTGATGACCATTAGATAAAAGAAACAAATACTGTTCGTCCTGTCGTAACAATTGATAACCAAGAAAGAATATGAAACAAAGATATTCCTTCATTGTCGATTTCTCTTGTCAAAGCACGCACATTTTCGAGTATGTGTGCGTGCATCCGTTCAATTTTCCTTGTTGTATTCCAACTCCACTCTCCTTCTTCTCCCATTGTCACATCATTTGTGATGTTGCTTTCAGATCTAATTGGTTCCTCACCTCTTTCAAGTTGTTATTGTTAAATACATTTATATGTCTTTTTTTCTCGTTTGCTTTCTCCCTCCCTCTCTCTCTCTCTCTTATATTTAATAATAATGCCTGAAACCATTCGACGTCCCATCGTTCGTTATCTTATAAATAGATATACATATTCGAACGAGTCAACTTCCTCATTGTTGCTCATCAATATCTGATTAGGTCGGAACTAAGCATGAGATCATTGACGCTATTTTGATATGTAGGCAGATAAACATTCACAGATACAGAGCGGCAAGAATGAAGGAAGACATCATTACACTGGGCCGGAAAACATGCATGAGAAATGAAAGAGGATTATGGTTTAGACTAAGGATCAATGTGAATCCATACATATAAATGTTCAAATATAATTCAGAATCAATTATCTTCAAGAATAATCTGTCTAGAAAGACTTACTAATCCTTGGAACGAAAGTATTTTTTTCTTTTCAAAGGAGAAAAAAAAACTTCTCTCAGCTATCATGTTAGACTCGAAGCGTATAGATCTATATTCATGTCAAACGAACAACATTGTCTTCTCGTCTATTGGCACGAGAAACGTCCATTGTTCGTTGATTATTATTATTACAATAAAATCGTTCGCTGTCTCCTTTGTTATGAAATAGTCTGCAACATAAAGCAATATTGACGATTGTCAAGACAAGGAAAAGTGATATTCACGTTGTTTTGTCAAGAGAAGATTTTTATCTGACANCGATGGTTGGCACATACTTTGAACACTTGTTCACGACGCATCAACACTCGACATAGATGAGTTTTCTTATGTTCCAAGATCTTCATCTCGCCGAGTCCCCGTTCTTTCATTTCGTTGGTCGACGGATCAAAACGGTACAGTTTCGCTCGTTCACAGAAGAGAATATTTTCGTCTTCTTCTCCTGTTTTAGTTTCGACGGGTAATAAATATACAAGACGTTTGAATGTACCAGATGGTTCATAGGAATCGTCCGCACCACCTTCTTCATCATCGTCATTTTCGTTCGTCTTCGTACTGAATAGCGGTACGCTTTGACCAGGAAAGACTAGCAAAATGAAAATCGATTGAAAGACGAAGAACTCTTGGTTCGTAGTTCCATACCTCGTCGATCGGCGCTACTTGTAGTCCATTGTTTATCTGATGATTGCTGTGCTACCTGAGCGAAACTAACTTTTGGTACGTTGCCGAATGCAAACAGTGGAGGCGGCGTCGTGTTTGTAATTGACGTCGGTTGTGAAAATTGAAATCCACCCGTAGATGTTTTGCTCGAGCTATCAAGGTTAGCAAAGGAAAAACTGGACAAATCTGGTTTAGTTAAAGTTAGGTGCGAGAAAATGGACGGCATGGTCTTATCAGATTGAGATTTTAAAGTTGCATCATCTTTCGTTTTTACTATTTGTAGTTGTTTAGCTAGAACGAATGACAAATCTCCCGTTGATGGAGCTGACGAGGAAAGAATACGCAGAAGCCTTACCGAGATCTTGTTTCACTCGATCCAAGATATTCTCCGTCAGTTGCGATGCGTAGTTGTCCAGTGAATACGATTGAATGTTAGTACCCGAAAAATTTCGTGACTTCTTCTGATGGGTTTGTACAACTGCTACTTCTTCTGCACCAGACGAACTTTGTTCATAAGAAGAAGGTTTGACCAATATGGTCGGTAGTGGAGGTACCCGATTGCTCGGCAAGGAACGTTTTGCTTTTATAAATGTTCGATGATCTTTGGGAGGCGAAGGCATATTCAAAATTGGACGAGAATCTGGACTTTCAGGAAGCCAAGAGGGTACTAGAGACATTAAGGATTGCAACGACGAATCTGAAATATCATTAGAAATAGGAAATATACATATTGAAACGATTAACTAATTTACTTGGAAAGAAAGCGGATGGAAAACTTCTTAGTTGTTCAAGTAGAGCCATTGCGCGATATTGATCCAATTGATCGTCATGTTGAACTAAAGATGTTTTCATTAGTGTTCTGAACATTCAAAACAATTAGATATACCACCTTCATTCGATAGAATTGATGGCGAATCTTCTCTACAACCACGACATCCTTTACAAGGTTCCTTATTTTCATATAAATAAAATGTTAGTGGCAGTTGAAGGCGTTTTGCTCGATCTATTTGTTCCTTTGTCGGTTTGATCTCGCCGATCACCGTTACATCTATACAGAATGAACAGGCATGGAAATAGAACTTCATCAAATATAGTTCATTGTTACCGTCATCGGACAATCGTATGTTGTCGATAGGTGACGAATCTACCGTTTGTTTTTCATTGAACGCTTTTCCTTCTTGAAATATTTTCACAAATCGTTTTCCTTGTTCATCCGTTTTGAACCTCACACATAGTGTTTCATGTTTAGCTGGACCATCGGAATAATCCATAGCTGACCATATGTAGGCATTTTCTTTGCCTTGATGCTCTTTCAATTCCATTTCAGATGTTATTCGATGGTTGGCACATACTTTGAACACTTGTTCACGACGCATCAACACTCGACATAGATGAGTTTTCTTATGTTGTAAGATCTTCATCTCGCCGAGTCCACGTTCTTTCATTTCGTTGGTCGACGGATCAAAACGGTACAGTTTCGCTCGTTCACAGAAGAGAATATTTTCGTCTTCTTCTCCTGTTTTAGTTTCGGTGGGTGATAAATATACAAGGCGTTTGAATGTATCAGATGGTTCATAGGAATCACATTCATCATCATCATCATGATCAAGTGTATAAATGTTAGTAGTTGCCTGAATGTCATTGAACACATATGGAGCTACAAAAATTAAATTGAGATACGTCACGTCAAGGCATAGTCTCGTTTTCCTACTGGAAGGAGAAGGCAATTCATCGGCTTTTCTCGCAAATGAAAGTGGTAGTGATGGTGACGGTGCTGATGTAGTTGTTAGATCACATCTATTGTCATACAATGGCATCGGATACGGTGGTCGAAATGAAAGCAAGGAGTTTGGTATGAACGGCGGAGCTTGAGGAGTACGTATCTGAGCAAATGGTGACACGAAAGATTCATGCTGCCGCAGTTGTAATAGATTATGATGTTGTTGGATAGATGCAACTTTGTTAGCTAAGAATTCTACATTATTCTACAAATAACAATCAGAATTAAGAGAAGAAAGTTCAATACAAAACTAATCAAACCTTTATATCACCCAATTGCATACGAATAACATGTGAATATTGAGTTATTTGATGTATCATGCTGGTTTGATTATTCAAACAGTTGAAAAGCTGCTCATTGAGATATTCATCAGATAAACCTGATGAGAATAGAGCAGACATCTAAAACAAATGTAATCGTTTTTGTTTTATGAATTTAAACGAAAAGTTGATATATCGAATCGCACGAGGAAGGACAGCATAGCCATTTTCTTCTTTGAGCACGAGTCTCTGCTCTACCTTCCTATTACTCATGGTATTTCAATTCATTATCGATAGATGTCACTCGTTTCCGCAATTGCAGAGTAACTGATCAGAAATTGCGAACACACAGCTTCGAATAGAGAACAAACGTATTTATTGTTTTGTTTGTCTATCTTTCAAGCTTCGAGAGAAAGCCGATTATGCATATGCACAGTGATGTTCAATCTTCGTGAGCATTATTGATCCGAGTATTTATGATTCAGAAAGAAGAGCTGTTATTTGATTAATGAGCGGAAAGGTATCTGGGTTCAAAGATTGCTCAAATTCGATATCTCTTCATAGAACTTATTAGCATAGTGACATCTTCTCTTCCCGAATAACAAAAACCTCGTTCTTCTATTGCATATCTAGGTCTACTACACGTATTCATACTGTGGCGTAACTCTTAATCACCATGAACTTGACAACAGTATCAACTGAATCATTGTTTGTTCCATTGGATATTCTAATGGTTTTATGTACACTTTCAACAATTTTACTTTCTCTTGTTTTCCTCTTACTTAGTAGGCAATTCATGTTTAGCAGCATTTATCGTTGGATGGCTCACTATTAACATGGCAATATTTACATTAGGAAATGATCTCACCCTCATCGGTTAACAAGATTCACTTTGCATCACTCTTGGTTATATCGGTTGTGCAACTTACAAAATTCTCAATTGTTCATTTTCCCAACAAACCCTACATCGATACATTGTCGGTGTCTATCCAAACTGGATGTTCTTGCGATCGGTTTGACTTGGATCTATGGCTTTGCTTATCCACTTGTTCTGGTTATTCCCGATATTATTACTTATACATACATTATCTGACAATCAAATCTGTCAAAAACCTATTCGATTGTTGTTCTATACAATCTATAGAGCTTTATGTGCGTATTTGATTCCGATATCAGGCGTCGTGATAATCTATTATTGCAAATGATTTGTCGAATAGTTATATCAGTAACAATACTAATTGCAATCTCATTTCCATACATCTTGCTTCTGCTCATGTCGTTTTTCATAACTCCGCCGAAATATCATTTTCACATTGTGTATGTGTTTGTGATCTATCGATCCTGACTGCTTTACTTCGATTCACTGAACCATTGAAAGCAGTTCTTATGAAGACCATCAAAAACGATCTAACATAGTCAACACCATGCACACCTAACTTTATTTTACTTGCTCCTACCATCGGATTAATAAGTCGTATTTACCTTCATACTCATGCAGGTATAATAGCGGAAGTAAAACTATACCTACTCAACAGATGTCGCTAGAATCACTTAAAGTTTGAATTTATTGAGGCTCATATACGTCATTCATGGCTGCGTATGAAAAATTTCTAGAAAATATTTGTTTTGATTATTCTTTAGCGACATACGTTAAGTAAATAAACGGTGTGATCATGCCCACAATCGGCGTATACTGAATAATATTGTTTTTCGTTTTACCATTTCTCACGTCTTAGTCACCAACAAACGGATTTAGTTGTTTTTAGACTTCATAGATTGTTAATTCGCTACTATTTTGTTTAAATCATGGTTACGACCACAATTAACGTGGAAACTGATGTCCGACGTCGGTACAATCGACGAGTACTTTTTTGCATTCGAATTAAGTAAGTGGGATGCTTATCTTCTGTCTGCACCTATACGATAAGCAGCACATCATTATGAGAAATATAGATAGAGTGATGACGTCATGCAGTTCAACGTAAAAACTTGTTTTTCTTTTCTTCCAGGGGAGCTGCCTTGTTACTTGGTTTTTGGGATCTATTGATTCATTCGGCAGCACTATGTGCGTTGATTTTCATGTTTGGCCGAACATCGCAATCGATGCATATGCTCCCATCAGCTAGTAATGAAGTGTCTCATCAACTGCCCATGACGCTGGTTGATCCTCACGAACATCCAGTAGTACTTGAAAACAAGAATTTTCTTTCCAGTAATATTTTATTGAACCGTATTTTGGAGAAACGAGTGGAAAATCATCCTGAACCACAGATCAATGCACGCAATTTTTATTCACATTTGGATTTTATGACATTTAAATGGGCACAATCGCTCAGTCAACGTGAGTCTATTGAAGGGTTTTGCCGCAATTTATGAAAAGTGCTTTTTTTTCTATAGAAGACAAATGTGTGGTTTTCTTTGTGATTTTTTCCGCAACAGTTCTCATCTTAGCACACATATGTGGTGTTTTGACCGTAAGTACTCTCGGACACCATTGCGAATCAATCGTTTGTTTGACATTTTGGAATTGTAGAATAAACCGTCGTATATCGTTCCATATTTTTTAATCAAAGTATTCAATGTCATCGTATCCATTCTGTCGATGTTAGGTTTCTATGCATACTTACCTGACATCACAATTTGGCTTCGAATGCAACCTGAGTTTCCTTTCAAGCACTACCTGCTCGAACTCGACGGTCAAACTCTTCAACTGGTCGTATTCACTCTTCTTTTATTCATTATTCTCGCTAAAGTGAGTTGCTTTTCTTCGCTTCAAGTTCACGGAAATAGTTTCGTTTTCTTTTCTAGCTCTACATCGCTGCTATCGTCTGGTATTGTTATGGATATATAACAGCATTGAACATGGCACGCGCTATCGGCACCATCACTGCTCATGCAGACAGTCCACAACCAATTCTGGGTGGAGTAAGTTTAACTTTCCTATCAAACTATCGATCATATGTTTGTTTTCTATAAATAGATGTATTCACCACCTAAATATGAAGAAGCAATTAAAGCGAATCCGCAACAAGAAGAAGATTATGCACCGCCTCCGTATACACCCTTACTCTCATCTTAAAAATCTCTACATTTCCGATTTATTTTCTCGTTTGGAGGTTTATTTTGAATATTTTATCTTCTTTTTGTTCCGAAAAACAACCAAGCATGTATCCTTATGTATTTACACATGTTTCTTCATAAACGTGACAAAAAATTATTGGATGAAAACACCTTGCATGTGATTTTTTGTATATATAGACGTCTCACTATCGAAATAAAATCAAATTCTACGTTCCCGAGTTAAAACGCTTTCATTTTATTCACTTCGGAAGAGAAAGGGCACTTTGGAGAGAATGCTTCGTTCGTTTCTAAGACATTGAAATCGCGTTCATGTGTTCGTTATCAGTTTCAAGCGTGGAAGGAGCAGATATATTGGAAGCGGAGTCGAATACTTTCGAATTGTGATTCGTTTCACCGATGTTTGGTTCTTTTCGTTTATGTGAGAGGAAAGTGTTCTGTATACGACGGAAGAACGGCAAAGTACCTGGTGATTTCAGTTCTAAATAGATGAGATGATAAGAAAAAATGAAATTCTGTGTTCATTTACACTACCCTCTTCTTCGAAGAGACACTCGCCGAGATTGATTTTGGAAACGTGTGCGTCTCTGGCGCCCTTCGTTGATGATGCAGGATCATCAATTGTTTTCGTATTTATTGTGAAATCAACGGATGATTGAGTCGTTTCAAGGAAAGTATCTTGACGATCTGTTGGCAAATTAATCGAGTCTGACAATGACTTTTTCGATGAAGTTGTTGCTGCTGGTGCTGATGCGGGAGCATCAGTCTTGGTACTGTTACTACGCAAGACACGCGTTCGATTGTTTTTATAAGTTTTGCCTTCCACACGAAGGTCAATTCCGACATAATTCGGAACAGCAACAAGCGTGCCTTTGTGAATTAGCTCAAAACGACCTGTATCTTCTGATCGCTCATATTTTCGATCGATGACGACTAAAGATGCATAATCAATTACGTTTGGAGAAATTCTACTAACTAATTGATTTACCTTTGCAAGTATCTTCAAGAACAGCATCACACATTTCTGTAGTCACAGCAGTGCAACGTGCCATGGTTGGACTACAATTGATTTCAATAAGCCATGGTTGAAGATCTTCACCCAACATAAAATCTGCACCGAATAATTCAAACGAATTCTACAGGTTGAAACGGGAATGTTCGGTTTGTTCTAATAAGAGAAGTTCTTACTTTACGTATATCGATCGTATCTTGTGCAACGAGCATTGAACATATAATTGCTTCTTTCATCGCGGGATAAATAAACGAATCCCATTTCGCGGCTAACTTCTTCGGCCGAAGATACTTGTCAACGAATTCTGCACTCTTCCACATATTCTCTCCTAAAGCGAACCAAATTAACAATGATTCACAACACAGATCGATAATGTCGTACGTGGTAAATCAGAGTGTCGAGAGGCATTGTTCTTATAGTGTTTTTGTATGGCATGATTACATAAATGTACATTTTGTTGACGCGTTGCTAAACTAAAATATTCCGTACAAAAACGAAGGTAACAATCTTTGTACATCCATATTGTTAACGGATTCCAATCGGTAACCAGAAACCATTGACGGATGTCGAATTTTACATTGTGAATCAATAGCGGCCGTTCGATATACTTCTGAACAATGAATTTCGCTTTATCGGTGACAGTTGAAGTGCAAAGTTTTAACATGTCCTCGAGACGATCATAAACGACAATCCCTAAATGGTAGGATAATGCATTCTGGAGTAGTTATATCAAACAAACCTCGCCCGCGGGATTTTGCTCCGGGTTTTGATATCCAAATGTTTCTTGTTCCATCAATGCGATATTGTGGCCAATGGTGTTCGACATTTTTCAAGCATTGTTCAACTCGATTTGAATAGGTTTTCATTCCGTCAATTTCCGCGTAGAAACTATTGAGATAGGATAAAAATCTATCAGTGAACGACTCAAATCTTACTGCGATGCAGCATAGAACTGTTCGATAAACTGTGCCCATTGTTCATCTGTCGAGGCTTTTTGCGATGTTAATTTTATGTCAATATCTTCGTGATCACGTGCCGCCGTAAATTGTTCGACTTTATTCAAAGCAAATTCAATATATGACGATGGAACAATTTGCAACGATGGTTGGCCTGAGAAGAAAGTCCATGTGAGGTCTTGAGCTCTCGAAACGATTGATTCTTACTTAAACTCATGTCGAGACTTGAATTGATGTTCGGCTCAAGAATTCCTTTGCAGCGATTTCGTATAAGTTTGAGAAAACTGATACACGCTGTTAGACGATAATCATCTAAATAGAACAAATGAGACAAAGAGCTTACGGAAATGGTTCATCGTACCAATAAATGCGGTTCGTTCATCATCGTGAGTTAGTTTGTAACATCGAGGATAGAATTCATCTGCACTACCTGAATGAAACCATGGCAAATTTTTCAAAACCGTGCAAAGTCCAACCTGAATNATTAAACAAAAAAAAAAGAAAAGAAAAGAAAAGAAATCCGTATACGTGGTTGAAATAACCAACGTTTATAAACAAAAACAAGTTTCATTGCTTATACTTTTCGATATCAGATCACATTTGTTGCTGTTGTAGACTGGATAGTATCGAGGCATATGCATACATAAACATATAATTTTGTGCTAAAAGGTAATTGTATGGATATGTGGATACGGAAGACGATGAGTATTTTCGTCGTTTTTCATCTTGATTCTCCGTATCGATGGTTAATGGACGTTTTTTTGGTGGTAAAGATTTACAATCAGTTGGCACGGTCGAACATTTTTGATTACGTTGTCGATGACGATACAAGGTCGATTTGATCGACGTAAATGTTGGTAGATGTTCGCGTATTTCAATGGAATGTTCACTTATGGAACGCTCTAGTTCTTCGTCGTAGATTCGCGGTATAGTCACGGTATCTTCTGCAGCACGTTTTTTCAAACGTGACAAGAATTCTTGTTGAGGATCGACATGTAACGTTCGACCATGTAAATGTCCATCATTACGACGCACAACACGGTCGCCATACGTACGTACACTTGCGCTACATAATTCACTATAAGAATCGAAACTATTTGCTTGAATGTAAACGCAACGTGAAACACATACTGCGTACATGTCCAGGACATCGAACCATCGAGATTATCACGTCGATGCTTGTAACGATGCCCGTCAAGTATAATACATGGTTTACCTTTTTGTGTTGTCTTAAAAATGAATGACGAGTTCAAGAGATCTGATTCTTGCTTAATGGGTTTTTGATTGGATGCTAATTCAGCAAGAACATCTAGACTATTAAAAAAACAAACAAACAAAACGTTCGATTCGAACTCCGTGAATATAATTTTCGTCTTCTTTTGTCCTTACTTATTCATTATATATGTTTCGAGATGTATGGAAAATGAAAGAATGATTTCGTCTTTTATGCGGCATGACTATATATACATACGTGTACAGATGTATCGATCGAGCTATTCTCTCGTATCATATGATGTCTTTCTCCATGTGCGTTCCGAAATATCAAGGGCTTTACTATTATAATAGACTTGTTCTATCATGAATGTTAACAGAAACGAAGAAGAAGAATCTAGAAACGAGAAAATTTGTACAAAAAAACAAATCGATGTCGCCTGTAACAAATAGGAAGATTTATAAGTCATCGTTAATTTCGATCAATAATGTCTTTTCAACATGACTGTCCACTTATATTAGTACGAATGTAGAGAACTAGAAATCGCATGATATTTCTTGTCCAAAGGACGAAGTTCAAGTTCTCATCATTGGTATGAACGTCAGTTTAATCGACATACTGAAAATAGTCATCATAAAGGTCAAGAAGAATTTGACGAGAAAACATCATCGAGCACAGTTTTAGCTAAGTAAGTCTCCTTCAGTATATACTTGAACGTGACTAATTCATGTTTGTTTTTTTATATAATAATTCTGCTTTTCTTTAACCGCCGTTAGACATTGAGAAAAACATTCATGTTGAATACAACTGTTCCATCTTTGGCATCTACTTCGCAACAAGTCGTGATTAGTCTCGGTTTTTGCCTTCTGGTCGCAGGTTCTATTGGTAATCCATTGACTTTAATTGTATTTCTCAGTCTTCAAACATTTCGGCATAGCTCATGTGCGTTTTACCTAACTGTCATGTCGTTTATTAATATCTTTCATCTGTTCACCGGTTTATTTACTCATATCATGATCTATGGTTTTAATATCAATTGGTTGAATATGTCCGTTGTTTATTGTAAATTTCGTCCGTTCTACGTTCAGTTGTGCGCGATGTCATCCTCATCGTGTATGTGTCTTGCGACAATCGATCAGTTTCTAGCGACATGTTCATCTCCTCGTTGCCAACGATTATGTAACATAAAACTAGCTCGACAATTGGTGATAGGATTGATCATCATTTGGTTTGGATGTGGAATTTCATTTCTAATCTATTATAATCATGTGGGAAGCGATCCTGTTGTGTGTGACGTAACAAATAGAGCTTTTAATAAGTTCAATAGCGTTTTTTATGGACCGTTTATGATGAGTATTCTGCCAATGATAATCATGATCCTATTCGCGATCTTGGCATATCGAAATGTTCAACAAATTGCTTATCGAACGGTTCCATTGGTTCGTCGTGAACTAGATAAACAATTAACAACTATGGTTCTCGTCCATGTGATTTATGCTGCAATCAGCGTTACGCCTGGTGCTATTTTCAACTTATTCAAAACATTCTATCCGTTGATAATTGATCAAAACACCACCGAACAATTGAGATGTATTAAGAGTTTAACAACGACAGTGTATTACTTCAATCATATGGTAAGACGAGAAAATTTGAAGACGACTACGAGATATTCTCTGTTTAGGGCTCGCTATATATCTACGTATGTGTTTCGAAACGGTTTCGTCAACAATTGCTTTACGTCTTGTCGAAAATTTGCTTCAAACGATATCCACCGGGTAATCCAAATCGAATCAAACCGGAAACATGAATTTGTTGTATCCTAACATATATGTATAAATGAAAACTTCTCGAAAGCGTGCTCATCAGCCATAGAAGTTAAATTAGATCTATTAGCTGATTGACATAAACTCTGACAGAATAGTTCATGTCTAAGTTGTTCAAGAAAACCAACTGAACGACTTCGTTTTTTGTATGAAGTATATTGACAGCTACGACCATGTTTATTTCTTTTCTTAACTAATAAAATCACATATATTTCTGTGTAGCATCCTTGCTTATATACAGATCACAAAAGAACAATAACAAAAAAAAGAGCAGCAAAAGAATTGGTCTATTTTTTGGGCTTGGGTTTCATTTCTTCGAAACATTGTCTTAAGAGAATGGCATTTTTCTTCGTTTGAACGTTTCCTTCATGTCCCTTATGCCAATCGTATGAACTCGCGTAGGCGAATAATTGACCACGTGCATCGAAAGCACAACATGTGATTGGCTGATCGTTAATCGCATCACTTGTTTTCAATTTCGTACGGTCGTCTTTGTCCCAAAAACTGTACCGACCATCGCTACCAACCGTTGCTAATGTTCCATGAACAGGATGGAAAGCAATGTCATTAACTGAAAAGATGTCTTGAGTGTTCACAGGTGCTGTTGGCGTTGAACGATGACATTTGAATGTAAAGTTATCGGCGCTAGGATTAGCTGCTTCGACGTACATGATGGCCACACGGCCTTCGATCGAACCCACAGCAAATCCTGTTGGATTGCGAGATTTATCGGTGAAAATCGAGACACAACGATGCTGATATTTAAGTAATGATTCCATTTTTTTGTACTCAGTTGGACCTTGATCGAGTGAATAGATTTGAATGGCACGATCAGCTGTAGTTATAACAGCCATGGGACCAAAAACATCAGCAGCATAGATACGTTCAGGCAATGTTAATTGTTTTAATGGTGTTGGTTGACGCATATCCCAAAACTTCACTAAAAAAATAAACAAAAGAAATATCTTTATTTCGCGAAAATTGTTTCTTATTTTACCAGTCCGATCCCAACTACCGGTCATAACACATGAATATGAAGGTCGCTGAATATAATGTATGGTTCGTATGGGTTGATCATGTGCCGCAATTTGAACGAACGTATTCGCTTGTAAATCCCACATTTTCGCTGTTTTATCACAACTCGCTGTAAATACTTTTGAGCCGTCCTCCGACCAGCAACAGCTGAGGATGGGCGCGTCATGTTTCTGCATTGCTTTTGCGACTGTCTGGCCATTGGATTGAATCTCCCAACAGCGAATATCGTTGGCCCATGAACTGGCAATCAAATATGTTTGAGGAACCGAGGCTGGAGAGAACTTCAAGCAGGAAATTGCATCGTCGGGTGGTTGAGGTACTTCCACATCTTTCTGAGCAGCCGGAGTAGCTATGCTACCGAACATGATAATCTAGAATGAAGAAAGATCTTTTAAAGACGGAAACTTATGTCTCCATAAATTCCAAGTAAGCCAAGGATTTCTTTGTTGAAGAACTTTATTCGTTAGATCAAAGTCGGCTGTTTTGATACGTTTTAGATAATCATATACAACAATAATTGGTAAGAATAAACTACGATGCGAATTGTTTGTTGATGATAAAAGATTGAATTTTTGAAAGTGTTTATCTTGTTCAAACAATTCTACGGATTTGCGCAAATGAAAACAAGACCGATTGCATAGCTGATAGATAATCTGACGAAACTTCTCATTAGTGAAGTCTCCGTTGATGACATCTTGTTGAGAAAGGTTCTGTTCAACAAGGTATGAAAGAGGGATGAAACAGCGACGTTTTTGAGCATTGTACGGTACACCACGAACAATATTAATCAAACCTTGAGAACGGCCGAGGTGCGACGCAATATGATCAGCGTTTAGTGATCGTTGTTTGGCTAATTCTAGAAGGAGATAATAAGTTGGAGTAATCGATTGTTCTAAATAGCTTTCTAGCTGTTCGATGTCTGCAAATGGCATATCATGCAATGTGATTTGTCGACTTTTGATCAGCCGATGAAACCATAACTTCGATAGTTGATAGAGTCGAAGAACAAGATCGATTTCTCGTGCAACAGGATGGTTAATCTTTCGATTATCGGTTTTGTTTGTCGAAGCGTCGATTGTATCGTGCCAAAACTGAAGTCGCATTTGTCCAATATTTGTGTTCGAGACTTGATCGCGTACAGATGCAAGTTCAACATTCAATGCTCGAATAGCCATGGCTGGTCGCTGTAGAATCGTTGGTCGTAGTAATCCTGTACATAGGAAGTTTTCATGATCACTTTTTCGTACACTGTTTATACAGTAAGTATAATCGTCAACCAGAGGTTTTTGTGCTGTTTTACTTGTCGAAGAGGCATACCGAACAGATCGGAGGATCATTTAATAATCTAAAAAGGAGGGGTCATGCTTTAAAATGTTCCTTTATTCCAACCCATCATGTTTCCTGCAACATTTGTAAATTTTATATAGATACGGCTTGTTTTAATCGAAAGTTTCTCTTCAAAAAAACTCATGATGGCGTTACTAATGTTCGCAGTTTGACCAGATGATAGACCAATCGAAGCCAATTCCATAATTGCCGCTGGATCGTTTGTTCCTGCGAAGAAAAGCTTTTGACCACCGGAAACGTGAATAACAACGTATTGTTCTGGCTTGCCAACAACTTCAGCCACTTTAGCACTCAATTGCTTGAGAAAATCATTTGTGATCTGACTGTCAGCAACGTTGGTTTGTACAGTTAAATAAGGCATTGCCTGCAATTTCGAAAATGAGGTGAAAGAACGTTATAGTTTTTGCTCTTTACCCAGAAGAATAATGAATCATCTATCCTGACGAAAGTCTAATCAAAGAGGCAGGAAATTATCACGTACAGAGGTCGATAGTTGGTGGTCGAGAAAATCGTATCGAATAAAATTTACTTCAATTGATCCAAATCAGCAAATATCTGTTTTTTTCTCTCTCTTTTTTTTTCTTTCTTTACAAGTACAATTAGAATTTCGATAAAAGCATACACAGACAGAAAATAGAGTTTTTACGGGGAAAAAAGACGAATCATTGTTTATGTACGTTTTTCAATGAGACAGATATGAAGAAAATTATCCGGATACGAAAAGTGCTCGCTTAACCATTGTAATGGTGTATGAAGTGGTGGTTGAACGCCATGAGTAACAATTTGATAATCATCAATGTTCGTGTTCAAAATTCGTTTCTCGTTCGCGATTAATTCACATTGTGCTTCATGATTCAAAGCAAACTGAAGTAAATCATTCAATGTTAATCCTTTGCCTTCATCGACATCGTAGGGCGAAAATAATTTCTGAATAAACGGTTTGTCTAAGATATAAATGCGGAATGGAATATAACGAAAGTATTGCAAATTGTCCGTGAAAGCCATGAGTTTGTTATTGATATTCCAGAAGCTCTCATATTTATCTTGTAATAAAGAATTCCATAATTGTTTGTGATCACGTTCTTGCATATCACCTATGATTTGACCTTTGTGTTTCAAAGCATCTGCCTCTTTCAGCGTTGACATATAATGTGCTTTGATTGCTTCTTTGTCAGCAAAACGTATGAGTTCACCTTCAGGAAACTTACTTAGATGTACTGTTATTTGCCATGGCAAACGTGCTGACGATGATGCCATGGATGACGCATAGAGATCATACAGGACACCAATAGGATAATGCCATTTCAATGGAATACTTTCGTATTCGAGCCATAAATTAGTTAGGTTAACATTATTTGTTGGATCGTTAAGATTTTCTTTGAAATAGATAGAATAATATCGATGAATCTTGTCAATAATACATGGGAAATATATGTGACGTGCGAGCATAAGATATAACGGTTCAGGCAGTTCGGATCGATTGACTTTGCTGATGTCTTCATCGGACAAGACGAAACATATTGGTAAACGTGATTGCCACAGTTCTCGTGTAATGTCTTTATCATCGATTGATGAACTCATCTGAAAGAACACCTACGGTTTAATAAGTAGTTAAGTTTGATTTTTAATACGTAGAAAAACAAGCAAAAAGCATAACAAAATGATTAGAAAAACAATGATTCACAACAAAACATGATAAGAATAACAAACAAATAAATAAATAACAATAATACTAATTAAGCTGTAAAAAATGCATGAACTCTTTTCGATTATCACTGGTTGATCGAGTCGGTCGACCTAAATTCTTTCGATGTCCGGTTTTAACTCGAAGTTCAAGTAAGACAGGACCATCATCTTTTATTGCACGAAGTTTACCCATTGCTTCTTTGATTTCATTCTCATTCGTTGCCACCATCACATGTTTATAGCCACAACCCTGAGCGACCTTGGCAAACGAAAATTGACTATAATTGCCAGCTACTGTTGGCTGTCCGCCGACACTGTCATGAGTACCATTATTAAAAATAATATGTTTGAAATTCGGTGGAGATACAGCAGCAATATTTGCCAGAACACCCATATGCATAAGAACGGCGCCATCGCCATCCAAACAGATTACCTTCAAAACAAAATGAGCATCGTAAAGATGATCTTTTCAAAATATGTCACGGAGAATACGTACAGTTCGATTTGGTTTCTGTATGGCGATACCTAAAGCGATCGATGATGCATGTCCCATGCCGCCAACAGTTAGAAAATCTCGTTCGTGACCGTCGCCGCGTTGTACTCGAAGTTCAAATAATTCTCGACTAAGCATTCCTGTTGTTCCGACGATGATATCACGCTGATGAAATTGTTCACTGATACATTTCAACGCTTCCTCACGTGTGAAACATAATCTAAATGAAACATAGGATAAGATTCTGTCTGTTTCCAAAAAGAACCCATTACCCAGCCTCATCTGCAGCCGCCTTTTTCGGCAAAGAGTACGGGAGAAATGTTTGTCGTTTTACCAACAGTGCATAAGGACCTTTAGCGGTTTCCATGTACCGCTTTGCAGTTTCAAGAGATTGAGCAGCACCTTCATGATAATCTGGTAGAACTTGAAAAGGTATATTCAATGCCGCTATAAAATCAATAAACACACTAAGTTAAAATGCCAATAGACCCTCGTTTTCTCACCAAGAATACCAGGTGTTGCAGGACCTTGAATACGATGTTGAGGTTCATCTCGTTTACCCGGCTCACCACGCCAACCGATTAGTAGTAACATTGGTAAACTATAAACACCTGGCGTTGCAAGAGATAAGATCGGATTCACAATGTTGCCAATACCAGAGTTCTGAGAAAAAAAAACAACGCATTGCAATCTTTAACATCAAATTGGCAAAATAAAGCAGTACCTGTAAATAGACCAATGATGGTTGACCGGTCGCCATGTACGATCCACAAGCAAGACTCACAGCTGATCCTTCGTTAACAGTTATCTGATGATTAGTTGTCGGAACATTTTTTGTCACGTAAGCACAAAAATCTACATAGACAAATCGCTTTCATTACCATGTTTTACTTCATTTCCTCTCTTACCTTTAAGCAATGAATCCGGCACGCCACAAAAGAACTCAATACCACAGATTGTTTTCACTTGTCGAAAGAATTCACCCGGATCAAGAAAATCTCGTACTAACTCTGGCATATCCTGTACTTCACTATTTCGTTTCTGCTGTTGTTGCACTTGCTAGAGATGAAAAAGAAACAATTCGGACATCAAAACGTAATTAATCAAATTACTTCTTCCACACTTTGTAATCGACATGCTGTTGTCTGAATGGCTCGTCGCAGCTGGCTTGCACTTGCATTGGAAAAACGGCCTTCAATCTGTTGAAATAGTGTACCTAGAATCCTTTTCATATCTGAAACGATGATTTCATTCGCATTTATATACCATATGAAACAATTTATGAAGTCATTCATATGTGAAGATAAACTACGCGTGAGTCTCTTCTCACAGCAGGCAAGAAGGTAAAAAAACCTGAGTTATTTATACTAGTGCAAAACGCATCGAAAGAAGAAAAACAGAAAGATATGAAAATAATCGCTTATTACACCTACATACACACACAAGATTTTGTAGGAAGAGAAGACAAAAAACAGAAGAAGAAATTTCTGCTAATCTACAAAAAAATCGCAAGAAAATAAGAATCATTTATAATGTAATCTTCTCGAATTTCTTTGCTTCTTGTTCATTGGCAAAGGACGCTTTTTCAATCCGCATCACTAACGGTGTATGTGTCTGTTCTAGTTTTTCTTCGAGTTCTTCTGCAAATACCACAGGAATGCCTAAGTGACAAAACAAGCCAAATGCACAAATTAAACAACGAAAAGAAGATGGTAAATCACCTACCTTTCGAAATATATTGCTTTTGATCTTTCAACGAATGTTTCTTTCTGTAAATTTCTTGCTGTTGTCGATGTTTCCGATAAGAGTAACTCTCGTATAGGTATTTATTATTTGGACTACCTGACGGTCCACTTGGTAATAACAATGTCGACGAAGATGATGATCGTCGATTACAACAGAGGCAAAATGCAATTATTGTACATATGAATAAACCAACTAAAATAATTGCTAGAGGAACGATCACAAGTGGTTGATATAATTGATCAAGGAAGATTAAATTATTGATTGGAGGAGATAATGTACGATTTGTGAGCAACCGTGGCCGAATAGTCATCACTGCTTTCTTTAATTCGAACATCGAAGGTGTTGTTGGGGTGGAAGTTGAGTGTGATAGACGAACAATAGAGACTTCGATTAATGGAAGAGGAAAAGATGAAAGTATTTGTAAACGTTTCGAATAATAGTGATTAATGAAGGTTTTAATTTGATATGCAAGATCCTTGGTTGAATATAGATCACATGAAAAGTATACTTTTATCATAGAACCATTGATTTTGTGTATGGTGATTAGTGATTCACTGAGATTTAGAGCTAAAGATAATGTTCGAACGATGAAGTAACGATTCAATAGTGAAGAATTGTAATTTGTCGAAGAGAGATTGAATAATGCAAGAAGAAGATGATCCGACGGGGCGAATAAGGACGACGATGGTGCAAAATCAAACTTCAATTTGATTCTGATAGGATTCGGATTTTCTAGTTGAACTTGAAATGGGCCCGATGCATCGCCAAACAATGGTAGTGCATAGAGAGTTCCATTCTCAATTGCGAACCAAACTTTATTCGCTGGTTCAATACTAACAACGCTTGTATTGTTAATGTTCAACGAACGTTGATAAAGTTTGTTGTAGACAACATTTGCAGTAAAGTCCTACGAAAGAGAAAGCGTTAACAACTAGAGAGAGAGAGAAGAAAGGCGAGTAATTTTACTAGTTTGATGGGTAATGAAGACATATGGCGACGAGCATGTCGATTGGCAAATCTCACCTAGAACATGAAAGAAATGTAGGAAAAAAGACGAAAGATGATTAAAATTTACTTACCGTTTCCGTCAATGCAGGATAGAAGATCAAGAAAAGGAGAAAAGTTTTAAATACCATGATGCGTGTAATGTTATAATAATGATCACCGTTTTGGCCAACAACGTGTTTGAAGTATGATCATCGTACTTATTTGTAAAATGATATGCATAGTCGTTTTCTCTCTCTCTCTCTCTGTCGTTCTCCTTCCCTCCCTTCTTCTTCTTCTTCTTCTCCTCTCTTTCTTTCTCCTTTTTCTCTTCTACTTTATTAATGTTCGCGCAATACGGCACACTGACTTTACGATGGATAAATGTTCAGGAGAATGTTGAATCCGTTGCTATTGCAATTGTATTGTTATGATTAGCTCGATTTCTTCTTCTTCTTCGTCGTCTATTCAGTTTGATTTTGTCTTGTTCGGTCCTGTATGTTCCCTTCTGCATACCGCTGAAATTTCTGCTTGATTGTTATCATTTGCTGTCGACAAGAAAGAATATCATCAAGAGTAACAATTGCTCTTTCTTTCTTTCTTTTTTCTTCAACATCATTGTCGTTAGCAGAACGAAAAAATGCTGAAATAAAAGAAGAGAAGAAGAAAGAAAAGAATCGTAGTCGGAGTAGTAGTAGTAGTACTAGTAATAATAATGGTCGATCGGTCAGTCTCAAGATAAAGAATAGTAGACGAGACATGCAAGATGACTGACCGACGGCATATCGTGACTGATAAGACGGAAGAAAATGAGACCTAGTAAATTGTTCGGTGTACATTAAGAAACATCACCCGCCTTCGTGTCATTTTTGTCCTAGAGGTCAATTTCTATCAAAGAGAAAGAATGACTAAGAAGACATACGATGTACTTATTTCATTAGTTTTCCTTCGTTACACTTGATAGAAGAGAGGAAGAAATTGATTTCTAATAGAACTTCACTGAACAAGATAACGAATTCGATTTTTATGTAATCGATTTTGAAATAAACACTTGAACGACTTCTATTTAACTTCTCTGCTCTTTTGACATTTTCGAAAGCGATGTGAAGAGGATCGTGTTTGTTCATATGAAAAAAGAGTTCGACAACGATGATGGAATAGTAAGAACATAAAATTTCTCTCGAGAAAATGTTGATTATACAATAATGATTATCTCGTTTTGTTTTGTTATTCGAGAGAGAATGTACGATTAGTCCACGCATATGCATAACATATTTTCTTGCGCAAATATCGAAAGAATTTATGGATGAGGAGAAGCGTTTGTTGTCATTCTAGCACGTAATCGACAGTAGATGATAAAAAAAAAGAAAGAAAGGGAGAGAGACCGAGGATAAACTCAAAGTATCACTATTTGTTTGCCGTATAAATCTCAATACTAAAAGTGTAGCGAACCGAATAAATACGAAAACCTAATTATAAATATGCATACAAGTATATGTTAAGACATATGGTCTGTGTAACTCCAATAGAGATTAGTCATGCATACAAACAATTCTTACAAAGATATTTATCCTACTTTAGAACACAATCTCAATGAAATTCAATTTCATATTTAGCTGAATAAAAGATGAACAAGATGTGAGAAAAAGTATTTATCTAGAGAGAAAAAAAAACGTACTTTCTTCCATTGACTAACTAATGCCTATAGATACATTATTGAATTCGTTTGCCTAGTGCGAAAAATGGTTTTTAGTCATTAACTCGACTTATAAATTGGATCACCATATTGATTTACAGCAACAGGTATATGCTGAGCATCCGGTGCGAATACTAAATGGTCATGTGCCTGTTTATCGGGATGTGACTGTTTCGTATCCTCGTGATCTTTCACACCTCGAATTAATTTTGCTAAATCACTGTTGGGTATTTCATTCAGAATCTTCTGTCGGCACGTTGGCGTATACGAAATTTTGCCCAAGATACAACCAGCGAACACAGCGGCGCCGAGTTTCACCCATTTGGCTTTCGGTGTGATGTAATTTTTCGACATTGCCAAGAGTGTTAGAAAATACGAACACACACCGAATGGAACACTTCGATAGATGAACGATTCACGTTGACAATCGTCAAGCACTCGTGTTTCCTCACGAGTCAATTGTACTGGTTCGTTCATTGCTTTTTCTACAATAAAAACTAAATCAAGCATCTCGAATAATTTCAATTTCCATCGTAATACTCGATGTTTTAGATAGAGTTTATTTTTCCTTCGTTTTTTTTGTGTCGTATGATGAGTATATGATTCTACTATTCGTGTCATTGGTTAAATGAGAAGAAAACACGCCAGTCTGTCTGTGTGTGACATCTACAGAACGCCTAGCTATATATATCACAGAAATCTCTTGACTGCAACTTCCCTCGTTATTGAAGTCGAGAGATTAAAAGCTATCGAGCTGATCACTAACACCGTTCCGAGGTTGAATATTTCGACGTTCGATGACATAAAAGATCACTTCAAACATTCAAGTATCGATAAACCAAAGTAAAACCGAAGGTCAATGATTTCATCTTAACTTGTTCGAACTACTCAGACACGTAGAAACACTACAACTCATTGAATTTAATCATGCATTAATCGAGAAAGTTACTTCATCCATCCTTTCTTAATCTCGCTGTCGTAAGGCGATTGAACGGAAATTGTATTTTGACTTCGCCAGACTGAACACCGCATTTCAACTTTGTTGTATAATTGTTGCTCTGGCAAACCACAGATTTCTCTGCTGTTCACACATTTTCGTCATCGCAACATGATTTTTTTGTTTAATTACCTCTCGGTAAATGTAATAAGCAACTTTCAAGTTAACAATACAATCTCGACCTGTGTTCTGTCCTTACACATATAATACTATTCTCATGCGCGTAAAACGTGTTTTGTATGGACACTTCTGATGTCGCCTTTACTCTGAAAAGAACTTGTTGCTTATTAAATTTACCAAGAGGTAATTAGTCCGATTTGATCGGCGCCTAGTTGCGATGATGAAAATGTGCGAGCAGCAAAGAAATTTGTAGCTGGCCAGAGCAACTATTTCAATTATTTATTTTAAGCCAAGTAGCTTATTTTGTGCTGTGCGCATGTTTGTACGCACTGAGAAAAAAATTAAAGAGAAAACTGATGGAAAACATAAACGGAATACGATAATAGGGAGAAATATATCGAAAGTTAATGATTTGAACTGGTATAAATACGACACAGTCGGCCAAGTAAAGCGGAAGAAAATTATCGTTTGCATCTGATCTCAATTCTCGGAACGAGGTCCTGCCTTCTAACACCGATGTACCTAAAACGGATGAATGTGTGCTTTGAGAAGGAAACGATAACAGTTATGACCTACCAAGGATGTAAGTGATGGTATAGATGGGTGCGGCGATGGTTTGGTCTAGTAGGACTTTTTTGAAGACGTTATGCCATGTTGGTTGTGCAATGATACGATCGAGGAACGTATACCAAACGTGTCCTTCGAGGCCTAGACTCGTTCCGGTAGCACAGGCAGCAACTGAAATCAGCGTAGATAAAAGGAGATTTATTGGCGAAGGTACGTACATAAACGTGTACGATCGATTGACTTCTGTTTTTCGTAAAAGTATTGTGCACAAAAATCGCCAAGGGTAAGAAGGCCTGCTGCGGACGACACGCCAAAAATGAATTGTTTATGACGACGAAGAAAAACAAGACTCATTCTACAAATACAGAAGACGATGAGCGAATGATTCTGTTCCCGTACGGTATCGATCTATTGTTTCTAAGATGATTATACAAAAAGTAGATAAGATAAGATTCATTCCTCGATATATACGACGGGCATCAATGTCGGACCTGATATGAAGAAGGCTTTTTGTTTTTCTTTTCTTTTTGTTTTCGTTTATCTTGAATACAGTAAAGAAATAGACTTGTTAGAATAACACAGTAACAAAGAGAAAAAGAAGAAAATGATAATCAGTTCCTGTTAGTTAATGTTTTGATTCATTTTGTTTGTTATTTCGATATCCAAAAGAAAAAAAAAACGAAGAAAAAAGTTCATTGTAAAGTATGATTGTTAATGCGCTGACGCTGCGGCTCCAGCACCTCCACCTGGCTCGTTGTTGTTCCCTCCGGCTTTCTTCTGTGCCGCTAGCTGCTGTTTTTCGCGCATCCTTAAATGAAAGATCAGATCAAACTAGACATGACCATCGATGAGCGTGTAGATGAAGTTACTTTGCTGCGTCCCGTGCTTGACGTTCTTGTAATGATAGGCCTTTATTAGCTTCTGTTTCCGATATTGAATGGCCTTTATTTTTCTGATTTTTCAAGTTCTTTTCACGAGCAAGATCGCTAAAACCGAACAGAGAGAAAGAGAGACTCAATCAGATGAACTTATTGGGAAAATATTCACCGTTGATTGCCGCGCGTCATAGTGCCTGTCGGTGGTCACAAAACGTTCTATCTAAAACGAACGAAATCGAATGTAAAACCTATGTTCATCCATACAAGATTTTCCTTTTATTAGTTGCCTTTCGTTTTTTTTTGTGTTTGTTTGTTTTACAGAAATCATAATGAAAAGAAGAGAAGAAAAAAAAACAAACAAATGAACAACACCAATAACAAGAACAATTTTGAAACACTCCGTTTTCTTCTAAAAAACAATCACGAATAAATACATATTTTCCTTCATCATATGCACAGATGATCAACTATTTAGATGATGTATTGAGAGAACAAGGACAGATAGAAGGTGAAAAGAGTAGCGAATCTGATGGTTTCGTGAAAGACGTATACACACAGAGAGAAAGAGAGAATTCAAGGACATTCGAAAGATGAGTTTATATCAGCAGTAGATCAACCACCGGAGTTGTCGATTGTTGTTGCTAGGAAAGGAGATAAATCAGCTACATATCTACGTAAGGAAAGGGAGAAAGGCAGAATGATTTCAGGTTGTAGTTTTATCATCCTACACTCATTCGAGAAAAACAACATTAACATTCAGAGAAATCGATCGAGACAAAGACAAAACAGACAAAGAAATTGAAGAAATATCGTTTGATAAGAAAAATACGCTCCACACAGCAAGCACATGGTATAAACATAGGAAAGAGAAACTCTTCGGTGCGAATCAATGTGTAATTCTGTTAGACAAAAAACGAAAAGAGAAAACAAAACTGGCGAATACCTTAGATAATAATGATATAATATTTCCTTAACAATTCTGATCTATACATACAGATTAATCCAATGGAATCATCAATTGAAAAATTTTCTCACGGAACAAAAATATATAGAAATCGAGATCAAATTCACTTATACATACAGATTTCTCGCAAAGAAAAACTAAACCGGAGTGTTTGTATTTTGTTTGAAATGAAAATTGGAAGCAGATGCACGATTGAGATACAGAGAGTACGGACTAAGACGAAGTTAAACGTAATAAATCAATGGCATCAAAAATATACAGTAGAAAATCTAATGTTGAATCATCGCGTGATAAACGTCGGTTTTGATTTTGTCGTAATAACTGTTCAAGAAATCCTAAATATCACGCGAATAGAACCACGTGCGAGAAAGAAACATGGCGACTGCTGTTCACTTACTCTTTGCTGGTTCGTCACGTGTTAAACGTTCGGCTTTATTCCAGTAGTTCGTTGAATGATATGAATGTAGCATATATTTGGAGAATTCCGATAAAATATGAGGATTCATATCTTCAGGTGATTTCGAATGAGTACAATGATCGATCACTTGAGTAGCACATCGTTCAATGGATGGGAAATTTGTATTATATTGCAATTGGTGAATATACGATTGTAGCCAATAGCTAAACGATGCGTTTGTTCGATCTTGTTGTTTTTTTTTCGAAATCGATCAGTAGAAAGTCTTACTTAATTAAAAGAAACTTTGGTCGAATTTGATTCAACAATTCAGCTGATTGATTCGTTGATATATGAAACATTTTTTGATAATTGTGTGCTAAATGCCTAGAACGAGCGAACAACAAAATGAACATCTTTTCTCCATATCTTTTTCACTGACTGAAGCATTGCTAATGTTGCAGACAAGAGAGTTATGCGTTGTTCGATGATTGGTTCATCATGAGCACATTGAATAAAATAACAAACAGACTCGAGGTACAATGACATAGACTGTTTCACATCGCTGAATGTTCGTTTTTCCCCATCGGCTTGTTTCTTTTTGTCACGAGCTAAAGAATTTAATTCCTTCGTCGACATATTTCTAAACAAAATAAAAGCGATTCTATCACGAATGGGGGAATTTTTACGCGAGCTTTTCTACCTCAAGTTTGCATAGTACGCTCTTGTCGTACTATTTGTCGTCGCTGGTAAACGATCCGACGCATTACCAGCATTAGGATTGCTCGTCGTTGATGAAGCACTATCGATCAATGTCGTTTGCAGTAGTGGTTTCACACTGAAATAGAATAATTGCATTCGTTGATGAAAATCTCGCAAGAAGAGGATCATACTTAGCAGTAGGCTTCTCCTTTTTCGGTTGTACGATCATTGGTGCAACAGTTGCCATATTCTCAGCAGTTGGTCTTTCATTAGGTGAATGAAAGTTTGACATTGTTTGTGATTCGGTTTTGATATGGTTGAAAGTCGAGACGATAGCTGGCTCTTGCTTGTAAACATGACTAATTTTACTTTTCTTTTGTTGCGTATTCGTTCCCGTCGTTGAGTTATCAAACATATCTGGATTGGATTCGTGCTTAATCGTTCCATTAACATCTCGTTTTGATCTTTTCTGGGGCTTGTCGACAGATTGACTATCTGTAAATCGAACTGAAATGAATTTGAGTTTGTCAAATCATCTTTCATACCTTCTACTTGAAGAGATCGATCAAAAAATAGGTAGGTCGGAATGGCGATCGGAAGTGAAGGTTGTTTAATATCAATTGGAATATTTACAGATGATGAAAATGATCTTATAAGTTCTTCTTTTCGTTTAGTTGGCTTTTCTTGTTCCGGAGGTGTGACCGGTGGTAAACTTCGTTTCACAGGTGGAGTCGATGATTCGATAGGTGAACGAGTGCCAACAATGAAATCCGATAATGAGAATGTATGCAAATTCTAAACATTGAAATGAAAACAACAGTCATGAATTGTTCCAAAGCGAATCATCGTACCGTTTCATTAAGTCCTTCGTCATTCTTCGTAGTACTGTGATTCGATGCTTGGTCATCATGATTGTCGTCGGCATCGTCATCATCATCACTGTCGGAATGTGGATTTTGTCTTTAAAGGAAAAAGAAGAGAAGATTTCAATGAAAGAACGGTGAAATAGGATGAATTTACATTGGATTCTCATTTGATAAAATTTCACCGTCATCATTCTCATCCTCACCCTCACTAAGATTAATATTGGTTTCACGATGTAATGCTAGATTTGCTTGACGACTAGAAACGATTTCAATGTATGGGCTCGACATATTCATTCGAAATTACCTTTCGTTAACGATATTAACATGTTCTAAACAGAAAATTTCGTTTGGATTCGAATTTCAACCTTAAAATCTTTCTCTTACTCGACTGCCTGGAAATCGTTTCTGGAAACTTTTTTATGTTCAAGGGTGCCATCAGCTATTAGTCGAAAATGCACGAATAGAGTTAGAATGAAGATCAACAAGTTGCATTCTTTACTTTGGATATAAGCGGAACAAGTTGCTCGATTGTTACACTTTGTCTGTTCTTCTGAATAAAGAGAACGATATATGCATAGGAAAGATCGAGAATGACAGAATCTTCAAGAAGAAAACCTACTGAAATCATCGAATGATTCGAAGTTGTCACTGGAGATACTTGTTGATTATTTGCACGTGTTTTAGAACTACTAGAAATGATCAGAAAAACATTCACCGAACTTATTCGATTTCCATCGGAAAAATGATTCATTTTTACGTGATATTTATCCGAGGCGGATGTTGAATAGATAAGTCCATACTTTGTATTCTACGATAATCTACAACAGCTGGTGCATGGCCAAGAATTTGTTCCGCTTTTATGCCGAGTTCATTAGACTGTTTAAAAATAGATTTTCATCTTCTCGGAATGCTCCGACATCGATTCTTACCATCAAACGATGACCATTCGTCATTGTATGACCACTCGAGGACGAAGTAGTATTGATCGCTGTTGAATTTCGTGTAAATGTCGTCGATGATGAAAGTGACGAAGACGATGATGATGACGATGAGGATGAGGATGAACGATGATGATTACGATTGGTATTAAATGTTTCAGGTAATTGTTGCAAAGAGGCAATCTCAACCACCATGGCTGAAAAAGAACGAATAGATCTTTTCGTTTTTCTTCTTTCTGTTTTTCGGAGGTCAAAGAAATTGCATTATCTCTTCTGTCGTCTCGTACTGTTTAAAATAGAAAAGGAAGGGCAATCAGACCATGTATGTCAGTTCTCATCGAGTAATGTGTATAGGGTAAAGAGAGAAAAAAGAGAAAGAGAAAAATTCTACCCGTTTTGCTTTTCTCTCGTGATGTATGTTTGTCTGTGTGTGTTAGGTATTGTTGCCTCTGTTCGATGAAAGACTACAGACAACATTAATGTATGAATTACGCTATTATTGTTAAGAAGAAAAGGAGGGAAAAAATCCGAGGAGTTCTTATCCGTATTTTATCGTCCTGTTAGGAAATGTTATATCATTGTCGGACTAGCTCACAAAACCTTGGATATCACGTGGATACATTCTTCTTCTACTGATTCGATATTCGAAGAAAAATTACGACGCGTCAATGACGAATATTCGTCGAGAGAGAAAAAAATACATTTGATGATATGCAATGATCGAATGACGTTAACAAAATACTCTTTACAAACAAAAAATACCGATTACACTCAGGTAAACGAATATGATAAATACCAACAATTATAAATAACATCATTAGCGTCACACTCTCTTACTGTATGATTTCCCAACTCTATGAATAATCTCAAGTTATAACGAGTTAAACTCGACAATGACGTGAATAATTCTTTCTTAGACATAAACATACTTATCCTAGAAGATAACACGAAGAAAAAACGGCAATATTACCTCTCACTTTCACCTCTTTTTCTTTTGCTTTCTTTCTCTAGTCGATTCTATCAAGTTAAAATAAGACGAAGGAAAAAAAGAAGAACAAGAAGAAAAATTTGCTTAGGTCGACAACATCAGCTCGTCCCACTTCATTAAATATCATCAATGAATATACATATAAATAGATATATACATCTCTTTACATATATCAAGCGAATTCAATGAAATGTTCTAGTTTTTCTCGCGCATGTGGGACTACCGATGACCAAAAAAAAACAAACAGAGGGCGTCTTGTCTTCGAGCACTTACACAGTCGTCGATATGTAAATATCAGGACTTCCGGAATAATGAACAGAGATATACTTTTTGCTCTTTCAAGTCGTTTTTCTATCGTCGTCACGCGAATCAATCTTACACACTGTTCTTCTGCATAGATGTGTGTTTTTTCTGTTCTTTTTTTTTTTCGTCACCAACCCGGTTTTTTCCTCTTCATTCTAAACGTTTTTACATGAGAAGAAAAAGAAAAAATGCAGGCTCTGTACGTTCGAGTGTATATGTAACACACGTTCTAATGTCAATATCGTCCTTAGTCTTCGACTATAAGATACAAAATACAAAAACATACCTTCAGGGAAAAACGAACTTTAAACGCAAACGGACGAAAAGATCATTGTGGAATATGACTGTGAACGAGAGATGAGAATTTTTCATTAAAAAAAAATAACAATTTTATCCGTACAGACCCTGTTGCTTTGAATAGATTAAGTTAAATGTATTACTTGTATATGCGTCGATGGTCTACAACACGAAAGAGAAACAAAATGTAATGACGAAAGGACAGAACGAGCAAAAAAAACGAGAGAAATGTTTGATTTCGTAAGAATAATCAAAATAATGAGTCAAAAATTTCATCGGAGTTTTTCAACTATTGCATGAGGAAAGAAATATTTGTGAAAAAGAAAATTCATATGTTAACACTTCTGACTATTGTTATCTGGCACAGAATGAGACAATCTATATTCTAATGAAAAGTCGGCAAAGAAAAACTTGCATGGGAATGGGAGAAGAACAAGAAAAACAACACAAGCTTACTTGCCAGTTGTATACGACGTTCTTTTTTTTTCTTATTATTAAAAAGCTTTGTCATAATCAAATGGCAGAAGAATCATGATATTCGTGCATGGAACACCTACAAGACACAGGTGCGCTCTGTCTAAGAAATCGAAGACGAAGGCGAACGCACTCGTTTTGCCTTCTCAACTCAGTTTTCAATTAGGAGTGAGGAAAAAGAAAATGTTGAACTATTCTCTCTAGGTATAACAAATTCTTTTCGATATTGATCAAGTAACCTTGAAATGACTCGAGTTCATCATCAATATTCTTGTTGAACATCGAAAGAATAGCGAAGCGTTTCTTGCCGTTGTATCATTTACACAATCTTTACGTTCATTTAATAAAGAAAATAGAATTGAATAATGTGCAAAGCAAAAAAGACGAACACCTGATCAGTTGATATTTAATTAATAAATAAACAACAAAATCTAAAATGGAAAAAACAAGTTACCTATCTACTCGACGAAAATTGAGAACATGTTTTTCTCCCGATGATAATGTGTAAAATGAAACAAAATTACCAAGGAAAATTAGGCGTGTTCACTCGATTTTCATGCAATGAAAAAACACCATTTCAGCAAGAAATAGGCGTTTGTGACTTGCCATTTACTTCTTTATTTTCATCTTCACAGCTGATTTCCATCGATAAGAACCAATCAACTATGGCAGACGAAAGGAGATTTTTATTGGTGTAAATATTAGCTAATAGAATCAATATAGACAACAGAACAGGAATTTAAAGTTTGCAGTTTTCTTCGTCTGTTTCTCTTGCTTCTATTTAATCAATGACAAATCTCGATTATTTGTATTTGTAATTCAATCCGTCGTTAAGAACTATCAACAAAAAAAAAGCCGTTTTCGTTGTAAATTCTACTGAAAGTTAGCTGAGAAACTTTCTCCGATCACGATTTCGATTTCAGATGACGAATATATTGGCACCGGAACAAGAACCTTTGCCTCCAAAAATGAACGGGCATAGTTATACGAACGAGCCCATGACACTCGATATTCGTTCACGTTACTGGACTTTCCTATTCGACAATTTGAAACGATCGATCGAACAAATCTATCAAACGTGTGAATCCGATCAAAATATCTTACAATGTCAAGTATGTTAGCGGAATATTTCTTCGAAGGAATTCGTTTACTTGATGTGTGTAGGAAATTGTACAATATCTGTATCATTGCTGTAAAGATTTTGAGCGATTAACCAAAACCTTTCAATTCGAACCGAGTTTTGCTCATGCAATGAAAAAGTAAGGTTATAAATAGTGTTTTCCTGAGAAATTTCCGCTTTGTTTTTTTTTATCGTTCAGGCCGATTGAACATTCTCATTCGATTTCGAACGGTATGACCTTGTACAGTTTGATGTTTTGTTGTTCGACCGAACCGTGTGTGTGTGATTTAGGTGAAATTTTTCTCACGAATGATCTATTGCGTCGTCAAAAGCGTTTGAATAACAGTGATGTAAATTTAAATGTAAATAACAATTCTTCATCCCATCGTCTATCGAATGATTCCAATAAAGTCAGACGACAGAAGTCGACTAAAGCGCGTGTTTTGCTCGAAAGTTCAAGTTTACTTTCTTTACCTTCGGCCTTCTTCTCATCGACGTTGACTAACGAATCAGCCATGACACTGGTCGGAAGTGTCAATCAATCGGGAAAACGACTTCTACCAGATGAAACAGGTGGAGACGCAGATGATGAATCCATTGATATCAATCGATACTATCGATATAATCAACAAAATGTAACGTCAGATGAAGAAGGAGATGATGTCTTAGGAAAGAATCATTCCGGAATAATGGACTTTATGGATCGAGTAAATTGAGTTTGATTTGTAGGAAAACATGAAGTTCTTTTGCGGTTTTTTTTTCTAGCAAATTATCGATGCGTTTGATCAAGAAGAATCTCTAACTGCCGCATTAGAAGCTGAACAGGAACAAACGATTGCTTCGTTGATGGCAGAACAAGAAGATCTCGAACAGCAATTGAATAATGTTAGTGACGATGATCTTTTATTAGGTGGAGATGATGGATCGGAACTCGAAGAAAGTGAACTATCGGTAAATTGCAATTGGTGTTGATTTTCCTATGCACTTTTTGTTTTTCTAGACGACAAAGACATCCAGTTATTTCATGTCGTTACAAGATGATCAAGAAGATAAAGATCTGAGTATGATTGACTTTTCTCGTGATGACGTTGATTCAAATCTCGATGGAAAATCTCGAACAAAACAACTTCGCCTCCACGAAAAACTTTCGTCGCCATCACGTTTCCGGTAAACACTCTCTCTCCTTTTGTTGCTTCAAATCTTCAACTTAGTCTCATCATAGACCTTTGAGTGAAACACTTCGCGAAGCAGCTGAACGTCAAGGTATGCAAATGTCCGTTGATTACCTTTTCGTAATTCGTTGCTATTCATTTAGCACGAGCGCTGACCAAACGACAGACACTACGCGATGAAAAAGCTCGTAAATTACGCGAGTTAACTCAACGAGTAAAGTTGAAGTCTCAATCGCAATGTTTCATTTCGTTTATTTCTCATTCTTAGGTTAATGAAGTTCGTCAATGGAAAGAAGAACTTATTAAAGCTCGTAAGAACACGATCGAAATCAAAATGCATCGCGCCGAGGAGAAACGTCAATATTTACTTTTACTAAAAGCGAAAAAAGCTGGTGACGAAGATTTGAAAGGTCAAGAAATCGCATTCATCAAATGTCTACAACAAGAAAATCGTCGGCAAACATTGAAAGAACGTTATCAGAAAGAGGAACAGTTCAAACAGTATCTCGAAGACGAACGTGTGAAAAAGCATGATGAACATAAACAGAAAGAACTGGCGGCGGAGAATCGACGAAAACAATTAGAAGCTCTTCGACAGAGTCGATTGAACGAAATGCAAGAAAAATGGAAAACCAAAGAGAAAATGATTGAACAACATCTGAACGAAAAGCGAAAACAAAAGCAAACAGCAGCTATTGAAAAGCAAAAGTAATAGATTCAACGTTTCATCAGATCTTGTTTCTATTTCAAGTCATTCCAGGAGTTTTCAGCAAAAACGTGCTGAACGTGTTGCGTACCTCAAAGAATCAACTGTCGAGCTGAAAAAAAAGTTGGCATTAAAAGTATGCTGTATTTCTTCTCTATTCTCAGCAAACAACGTTCATTTGATTGTAGCAAGAGGAGAGTGCTCGACGTCATACAACTCAATTAGAAGAGATCCGTCGAAAAGCGATGGAAATGAGTACATTTCGTGGTCCAAGCGCTGAAGATCATCATCATATGTCTCCAACGCCTGACGACGTCAAAACAACGACATCCACAACCAGCATCCTGACAACTGAAGATCCAATTGTCGCAAGTCGCAAATGTTGTACATTGTGTAATCTTCTGGTTTGTATTCTGATTGTTGGCGAAGATTCTATCGAGAGAGTTTATCCTCCTTTCTAGTTAGCATCTGACCTACACTTACAAACACATCTTCGTGGCACTCGTCATAATCAACTGCTACTCGAACGATATCATCAAAAGAATGACAATGGAACGAAGAAACAACCAGCTCAGGAAGAAATTGTAAGATGTTCACTTGAATAACTGTAACGAAGTGCTTACCGTATTTAGGATCGGTTCAATACTGACTGTATAGCGGTTGTAACGAATGATGATATTGTTCGTCAAGAACTTGCTTATAGCCGAGAACGAAAACATGCGATGAAAAAACGTGCGAAAAAATTACGCCATCGAATTGATCAACGGTAAACACTAATTTGTGTCTAATAAAACTAAGTCCAATTTTGTATGAACTTAGATCAACGGCATATGAAACTGAAAATGCTCAACGACCCTATCTGATATCTACACACAAAGCACGGTAAGTGACGAGTTGGATAGTGAAATCGAATTAATAGAATGTTGATTCATTTCAGCATGCTACGGTTTTTAAATGAATTAGAAAAGTCATTGAATACAACAGCTAGGAAAGATCCATTAAACACGACGAATTATCTATCTTGTCAACGTATTCTTACTGAACTAGGAAAGATTTTCGATACGCATGGTTATGAAAAGGTAAATCTCTCTCTCTTGGAAAGAATGAGTAGATGTTGATCCTTGAGCTTTTGATTATTTAGGATTCTCCATTGGAGCAGCGTGTTTTCTTCAGTTTGAATGGCTATTCAACATTGAATCGCATGATTGAATTACGTGCAGAATTCAATAAACCAGCTCTAGCGCCCGAAAGGTAATTTATTCCTTCCATTCTACTATTGTTAATTGAATAGTTTCAGTTTAATCGCTCTGACCATCTCAGTCTATCGAGCAGCAACACATAATAACGTTGACAATGCCTTGTATCTGCTTAATAGTGGTAAACTTTTGGTGCTTGTCGAAAGTCTCGTTCGGCACTTGACTGTGAGTTTTCAAATCGAATGTACTTCTGCAACTGAGCGAATACATTTCAGGGTATGAAAAGCGATGATTTAACTACGAATAATGAGCAGAGTGAAAGCGAAAAATTGGCACAAATTGATTTAGTGGCAAATTTAGCCGAAACGCTTGCTGATTTACTGATCATATACAATTCAATAGTAAAAGAAATACAAACTCGAGAGAATGAAACGAGAGAAGATAAGTTAATGGTGAGTCGAGTAACTGATCTGATCAGTTATATGGCAAACATTGGCGTACTCGATCGCATGGCTTCATTCTTTCGTACGGTTCGAGCAGTTATCACTACAACGAAATGTCGTCTATCAGATATGATTATTCATTGTTTAAATCTTCTACAACAAATGATTGAATTCTCCAAACCAAAGTAAGTTCTCATTTTACTCCAATAATAAAAAGATTCTATGTAATTCAATTTAGATCGACTCTTCCACCATTCGGCCAGTCATCGAAGAAATCAATCAGTGATCCAGCACAAGTTCTCAACATCATGAAGTCAACAAATTACTGTGAAATTCTTTCATTACAATATGGAATCTTAATACACGACACAGACATCAATAATAATCAAACTACTACTGAAAATCATCAAAATGCAGCTATGCTACACGAAAAAACTATAACCATCGCCGTGAATTCAATGAGCCTATTGAACTCCATTGCTATACTTGACCTCGATGCCTTCCAGGTAAGAATTTTGACTCTATTGAATTGAACGACAAGCTGATCCATATGTTTAGACTACTCTCGGAGAAGAAACTATATCTCTACAACTTCGACATGTTGCTAATTACATTCTTGCCTATTGTAATCATAATCAGTCTGCCACGAATGATAATCTTCTCCATCAAATTATATTTCTGATCGGTTATTATTGCGTTTTTAATCAAGACAATCAAGTATACTTTAAGTGTTCTCGTGTATCGAAAGAATCTTTCTTTCTTGATCTTTTAGTGCCGTTTGGCATTTGGTAATCGACCTACTGTATTGCAACAGTTATCATGTCTACCATTTCGTTATTTTGTTGAATCAAAATATATGGATATACTTTTTCCAACACTGATCGCTTGTTCATATGATTGTGAAACAACAAAAGCAATACTTCAGACTGAAATGTCATTAGAATTGATCGCCAACTTTGTTGAAGTAAATCGCTTTTTTTTATTGGTGATAGTTATTTTGCTTTGATTTAATTTAGATGAAAACAGTCAATGATAATGATGGTAAATCGGTTATTTCAGCATTCCATATGCGCTTTCCTTATGATGAGTGGGCAAATGCATTGAAATATTATCGACCGACATCAACGATTTCGATGAAAGCTCAAATAGATGAAGAAAAAGAGAATGAATTTCAATCTTGAAGGAATAGTTTTCTTGTTCTAATCTCATTTATATTTATATTTTCTTGTCCATTTTTATGTGCGTGTCTTTCACGTTTTTCTTCTCGATTGATCATGGAATAACAGCACAGCATTGTCACCCAAAGCGCTCATCATTTCACATCCGGCGGGTGTGAGCGAGAGCTTTTAAATGCAAGTTGAGATTCATACTTGATGGACAGTATAATCTCTTTCAAGTTTTTCATAGAAAAGTCCAGATAAGTAATTTCAAGATTAACTAAATCTGTCAGGCGTGATAGAATGAGTTTTTGGCTTTCAATCATTAAGTCTGACTAACATATAAATTTACATGCATTTTATCCGAGTATTCACGAAGGAAGATAACATTTGATGAGCTGAACATTGAAATACCAGACAACCTACCATGGATTGAGTCTTTTAGTATTGAAAACTATAGATATCCATATTTCTTAAATTCAAACCTCTAATTTCGTCTCTGGAAGACCTGTTAGTTTATCGCCTGATCTTGAAGAACATTCAATCTATTTCGTTAAATTATGCCCTATCGGATTTTATAACGATATTTTCAATGCATATCCGATGCGAAGTGTTACTTCTGCGGTAAACCATAGTACCTGTTTTCTACATGTAGCACACGTGATTGATTATCATGGTTCATAACTGTCCACCTTACAATGTCCTTTCACGCTGCAAAAAAACCAGGCCATAACCCGTTTCCACAGAATCAATCATCAGTCTCATATCTAACAGGATCCTCAGTTTTCTATACTACAATGCACCAAACTTGAGATATATTCCGCACCATGCGATCGTCAACAGAACTATTCTACTGCCTATATTACGTAGAACCACTGTCGAACTTATATGGATGAAACTCTCTTTTACATTAGTGTTGCATTTCCACAAACTACATTGTATTCATATTAGTACGTAGAACGTATGCTTCGATATGTATAAGAATGAGTGTCCATAATCGCTGATAGTCATTTTAATACACAGCTCTCTTCGAATGATTAATCACGCTTTTTTTCTTCCATCTCATTATCATACAAAGAAAAGCTTCAATCCTATGATCACTTCGGCCTCGAAAAATACTCGAATACTGTCCAAAGATGAAGGAAAATTCGATTGAATATGCAATCTGTCTACTTCTGTTTATCTCCACCCAACACCACCCCTCACCTTCAATAAGTTTACCTGCACCACTCGAGAGAATCAACGCTTAATTATTTATCCATTCACTTTTACGTATTCTCCTATATGAAGAGTATCTCTTTCATACTAAACATAATTAACTAGGCGATTATTCAAAGAAGTTAATTGCGAAATAAGCTGATCTAGTTTGGAAGAAATGTTCTCACTTCACGGTCAATTTTCACATTTGAACGAGCATATAAAGTTGCCGACAATCATATCACGAAACTCACATTACGCGGCTCACAACATGCAAGACGTATATACCACTGCTCAGCTTCTCATGATTATCGCTGGCATAGTCATGTTAATTTTTGGTTCGATTGGGAATCTCTTAAATATCTATGTCTTCACTCTTTGGTCTCGTTCTCACCGATCGCAAAGAGATCCGCATAATACGAATCAAGCCAAGAATAGTGCTTTATACTTACTGGCATCATCTGTATCGAACTTAATAATTATTCTTTATCCATTATTAACACGGATCATTTTCGATGGTTTTGATTATTCAGTTTCATCATATGAAGTTATTTCACTATGCAAATTTCGATTTTTCGTTTTGCATACATGTGATCTGCTGTCATTAACATGCTTTTGTATGGCTACATTTGACCGATATTTGATGACATCGAGAAATGTCCATTTACGAAATCTCAGCACCACTAAAAAACGTACCATACAAATAATTCTTCTCATCTTGTTCCTTCTTTGCCTACACAGTATTCCTCTTCTTATTTTCTTCAAAAACTCGTCAACAAATGATTGCGATGTCGATTCAAATGAATACTATTATTATTATCTATTCGTCATTCAAATTTTCCTACATGGAATACTTCCAATTGTATTCCTCTCAATATTCGGCACACTTACCTTCAGACAACTCAACAGACTTCAAATTAATAGTCGTTTAAATGTAGACAAACAATTGTCTCGAATGCTGTTGTTAATGTCACTTGCTATTATTTTGTCATCGATTCCATATTGTATTGAACAAATTCATTATGGAATGTTTTCTCGAGATGATCAACAACAATCTGCATTGGTTTTTCTTCTGCACGTCATTTCATCGCTTTTGTTCTATACAAATCCGGTTTCGAGCTTTTATATTTATTTCGTTTCAACACCGCATTTTCGTCGTGAAGTACAACGGTTAGTTTTCCGTGATAAACACCATCATCGTTTTATCAACAATCAGATTCATACAATCGACAAACTTCATCATTCTCACTAACGGAATACCATTGTAATCAGTTTTTCTATAGAGACATTAATTTTCAATGTATTACTTAGAAGTTCTTGAAACAAATAAAAATTACTCGGTACAAACAAGGTTGAATAACTCGAAGGAGCACTCCGATCGTACCTCGAAGACGTTTTTCTCTACGCTCACCTTAGCGACATCTATCCCCATGTTTGCTCATTATTGGCTCACGTGTATGACTTCAATAATCGCGAATACATTCATTCATTCGTTGATTATTGAGAAATGACATCGTTCGTTCAGCAACGCCAACTGTTTCTTCGTCAATTAGCTCAAACATGTCCTTCAACTACCCCAAGTCTGAAAGCTTATCTTTCCACTTATTCCGAATTGATTTGTCCACCTTACAAAAAAACTCGTGATCCTTTGGCAATGAAAGAATTATCATCAAAATGTCCATCATGTTCTCATCCATACACTTCAAATTCGTTCCGCTATCGAGGAAAACTTCCTATTAATCGACGTCTACACCATCTTCTTGCAATTCGCCGTAAATACAAACGTTTACCAACGGCAAATACATACAAACGTCGTTTATTCGACAGTTTCATCATGAAATCTCGTTCGAAACTATTGATCAAATGTCCAAATTGTCAAGAACTTCGCACGTTTCAAGGTGCAACTAGAAAAGACATTCCGACCAAAATTGAATTACCAAAAGCAAAGCCACCTACGAATAATCTCAAATTAAAGCAAACATTTGAAAAAGTTTCTTGTCGTTTTCTGAAAAAAGAAAGCAACCTTCGAGCGTTTCTCGAACAACTCTAGATTATTTCTGTTTCACTACTTCAGATTTCATGTCGACGTCCGATGAAGTTCTCACTGCCGAACAACTTGAGCGCATCGAACGTAATCGACAGCGAGCGCTTCAGCTTCGCGCAAGTTCGACTAAAGTCTATCAGTCACAAACAACTAAGACCGCCACCCCTTCGACTACTCGTAAACAACAAATCGATTCCCATGCCGGTTTCTTTCTCGATGAAGATCCCACGTCCGTCGACAACCGTCCGGTCACCTACGAAACAGTTCCTATCATCCATCAATCAAAACCGGATCAGCTGGATGTGCTCGGCATGCCGTGTGATGAATGTCAAATGACATTTTTAACTTCGTACTTACATAAGAACTTCAATGAACCGATTTGCGACACATGTCGAGAAAAATATTCGATTAATGACGAACAGGATGATATCACCGACGAACAAACCATTCGATACAGTTTAATTACCCGAACATCCGCAAAGGAGAAATATCTGTTGACTGACTACGATTTAGATAAACGTGAACCGTTGTTGAAATGTATCGAAAAGAAAAATCCGCACAACCGTCGATGGGGTGTAATGCGTCTTTATCTTCGCTGTCAAATTCAAAGGTTAAGCGATCAAATACACGAAGGCAAAACCGAAGAAAAAGTGCTTGAACGCGAAGAGAAAAAGTCGGAGAACAAACGCAAGAAATATGAGAAACAAGTCGAGCAACTACGACTAGATGTTCGCTCCAGTTTACTAACAAAACGGATGAAAACCAACCATGAACATGTTTATGACGAAAAGAACATTAAATATGACGAGGAAAAAGATTCTTATACGAAGACATGTATTGAATGTGGGTACAAATACGAATACGAAGATATGTAGGAGATGATTTGCTAATTTTTTAATATTATTCTCGCATAATTCAGATAGACAATGTATTTTGATTGTTATTGAATAAAATTAAATGTATTTTCATTGTTATTTTGTCTCACCATTCAATAGTGACATCTGGAATTAAAATAACTCGATCCAAAAAAGAGAATCATCATATTTACTATCTAATCATATCTTTTCTTTCTTTAAAAACATGATCAGCACAAAGACTGAGGTAATTTCCATTGAAATCTTTGTTTTAGATCCATCTTTTTCATTCACGTACGTCGAACGTTGGAATAAAACCATCAACAATGATGGAAACTGGTGATTACAATTCAATGGGTTCCAATCGTACAACTAATGATGATCAACAACAACAACAACAACAGCAGCAGCAGCAACAACAAGAGGGAAGAAAAAACCGAAGAGTTGACTATCGATTTTTAATTCCGTCTCGCGATGCTGGAGGTTTGATTTTCATTTGTAAACGTATGGATTTTGTAATTTTGTTTCCGCTTGTTGCTTGTAGCAATCATTGGTAAAGGTGGTAAAACCATTCAAGATCTCCGTCTAAAGCATCGTTGTCAAATTCAAATGGCTGATTGTGAATCACCGGAACGTGTTTTAATCGTCAATGGGGACCAGAATGATGTACTCAATTGTGTGTCTGACATTCTTTCAAGTATCTACGAAAATCATCAACGAACTTCAAAATCTGACCAGAGTGAAATTCGTGCGTTGATTCATCAATCCCAAGCCGGAGCATTGATTGGTAAAGGTGCATCAAGAGTCAAAGAATTCCGAGAAAAACGTGAGTGCAATCGATAGATCGAATATATTCGTGGAAAATAATAATCAACAGTACCGATTTAGATAACATCGATGTGAAAATCTATCCTCAATGTTGTCCTGGTGGTTCGACAGAACGATGTAAGACACGCAAACGAACATAGAAACTATATCGTCGGGTTTGTTTAGGTATTTCCATGCGAGGAAACAAAGACGATGTCATTAGATGTTTAACTGAGGTTTACGGTGTACTCGATGGCGTACCACCACGTGGACAATATCGGTACTACGATGCCTCGACTTACAATGGTTATAATGTTTCGGATTATGGTGGATATTCGGATAATCAACAACAGTCTCGAGGAAATAACCCGTAAGAAATGTTGACTTTCGAGAGTCGTTCTGAAATAAATGTCTCTGTTCGCAAATTTCAGGTACGGACAATCTCAGGGCTATCCTCAATATGACGGCGGATATAATTCCATGGTCCATCAACAGAATGGACCTGTGACAACCACTCAAGTAACCATTCCAACGGATTTAGCTGGTATTGTCATCGGAGCAAAAGGTTCGAAAATCTCTCAAGTTCGTCAAGAATCAGGTGCATCAATAAAAATCGATTCCGAACCCATGCCAGGCACCAATGACCGATTAATAACAATAACAGGTAATCCAAATCAAATTCAACAAGCCCAATTCCTTCTCCAACAAGCTGTTCGACAATCAGGATTATGGAATCAATAATTTTATTCAAACTAACCAATGTTGATGATCATGGTGACCAATCCTGTGAAAGAAACAGATCGTTTCATTGTTTTTTTCTGTTCGTTTTTAATGCGATCGATTGCGCGTATGTTCTTCCGTTTTTGTTCACGTACGAAGAATAAAAAAAAAAGAAACGAATGCATCTTTATCACTCGGCATGTTTACATACACATCAATGGTTTTTTATTTATATACAAAATCAAAAAGAGAGAAAGAGAGAGAGAGACAAGAAAATTTACAAACAGAATGAATGAAAACGGATAAAACGAAAGAAGCAAATGATTGTGAATGCAAAAAACGTTTTTTTTGTCTTTCTACACAAAAAAAGAAGACAACCGGTTCTTATCATCACTGCAGCAAAACAGGAGACACATGCACACCGGACTATACGCACGCTTTCCTTTTGTCTTCACATACACTGTTACGAAAGTCACCGGAGAAGATTTGAAAAAGAAAACGAATGAAACGGTTAACTATACTAATTATTCACACGGATATCGTTTACAAATGTACATATGTTGCAATTTCTTTACGTATTAAGACTATAACTTCGTTGAGGTTTGGGTGTATACAAAGTTTCCATGTCATTTATTATTGTTCGAACAAACCCATCTGTATTTCCAGCAACACGTTGGTCTAAATGAAAGATGAAAGTAGTCAAATCATTTCTTTCAAAGCCATAAGGACGTACTGTGTTTCGTAGAGATCAATTGATCGAGTGTACTTTCGAATGATTGAGTTGCAGATGGTGAAGTAGATTGGCCTTCTTGGTATTGCTGAAGTATTGCTACTTTTATTGATGCAATGATATCGATCAAGGATTCTAGAAGAGAAAATATTCAATCAATGTAAGTTATTCATACATCTGACAATGTGCCAACTATTCTGACAGAAAAACAAATAGATGATAAAGGGAACGCATAGACCTTAGAGTGCATATCTCGCTTTTCTTTTCTCCTGCCAAAAGAAGAACACAGAACAGAAAGAAGAAAAACATCAGTAACTCACTATGTTCTTCATTGAGGCCATGTAATTTCAGTTTATTGGCTTCATGTTGTGCCTTCTTGCGTAAACGACATGCTCTAGATAGATGTTAATAAATACATGTCTTCTTTTGTTTTATGAAAAGCACAAACCTGCTGGCAATCTTGTTTTTTTCTTTCTTTACTTCGGCAGTATCATTATTATTTGTATGATGATCGACATGATATATTCCATGATAAACCGATGACGAATTGTTGGAAAGATCACGAATTTGTTTTCCAAGATCATATAGTTTTAATGGATTTGGCGTAACATCGTTACCATCACCTTTGCGAAGTTTCGTAAATGTCTGTCCTTGCGTTTGAGTTAACTTTATTTGATAAACAGGATCGCTGAATTCACGATGCAAATGTGGATCACGTTCCTTTAAGTATAGAACTCGTTTCGTCTTCGGACCTTTCGACTGAACATTGTATTGCCAAAAAAGTGACGGCGGATTCAATCCGGCTGCTTTTGTCGTACTTGATGAAACAGTAGTTTCATTGTCGGAAATCGTGTCTTCATCTTGTATATGATCTGATGAGTTTTGTTCGGCATCCGACCAGAGATCGGGCTCACTTTGTTGTTCAACAGTGTAACTCGGACTACTTGGGTCATCTACAACGATTGAAAATGAAGTAAAAGGAAGCTGATCATCAAAACAGATATGTCTCACCTGTGATTTCTTCTTCAGGAAAATCATTTAGGGACGGTCGTTTTCGAGTCGATGGAATAAGGTCTTCGTTCATCGACTGATTGATTGAATATAATGTTTGCGGTCGAAAGTTAACTGTTGGATTGTGCTGATGAAAAGTAGGTGCACCATTGAATGATGTTGATAATTTTGTTCTTAAACGACGTTGCTGTTGTTGTTGGTTGTCCACTTCCGAAAATGAATTCGACGGAGGACGAGGACACCATGCTGCACTCAATGGTATATCCGACGTTGATGTTAGTTCGTTTTGGCCAGATGTAACGTCGATATATGATGGACTTTTGAATGCAAAAGGATCGAATAGACGAGGATCTAAATATAGGTACATGATGACGTTCTTTCGTGTAATATTGTTACGCCTAGAAGCCTTTTCCCAAGGTCATATAATTGCTCTTTTCGGAATTGTTTTTCTTAATATTTACCTATTTTAGTCTGCTGCTGATGTAACGAAGGGCCATCGTTCATACTAGCAGACCGGAAGCGTTTGACATCCGGAGCAATACTTATATTACTCTGCAGTGGTAATGGATATGATGTTCCAAGAACGGAGTTATCGTGCTGAGGATTAAATGTCGGTATTTGTAAGCTATTCGATTGAAAATATTGTTGAAATGGATTATGATTCAGACTTAACGTTGTAAATTTCGGACTGATCCCTAGTGATGAGTACGCAGATGTGCTTGTCGGTGTCGACTGCGAATTGTTATTCGTAGTACTGAATGTAGATGATGGCGATGATAGATCATTGATATTCAAGGGTTGACTTAAATTTGATGTAATTAATGACGATGATGACGACGGATTTTCGAGTAGATCGGATATGGAGTCGATATCAAGGTCAAGTGGCGGAATTGATAACGAGTCATCAAGTACGATCACATCTTCATGTTCATGTTTCATAATTTCATCGATTTCATTGCAAAAATGGTTTGTCGAAGAGATTTCATCAGTAGTCCAATCTGTCAATGAACTGTCTTTCATATCTATGCATTAAATGAAGTTTTAGAAGAAAAACACATGTTCACTCAGTACTTACTAGCTGAAAACACTTCCGATAAATCGTTTGCTTGACTAAATCCAATCATGTTTATCTAGAATAACAAAGAATCCGCTGATATTAGTTCTTCTTCTATAAATCTGCACTCAGTCAGAATGATTATATACATGTATCTATTATCAACATTAATTAAACGAGCGAAAGAACAACCGAGAAGTATGACATTCTATTCTCTTTTTCTCGAACAATTAACAAAATAGAAAACAATCTATTGTCCTGTGAAGTTGACATATTTTTCAAAACAAAAAATATTTGTTTGTTTTTCCCGTACTTCACTCAAAAGTTCAGTAAAGGTTATAGGAAAGAAAACCTATGACAACTACTAACCATTCGAACTGTAATCAATTCATGCTATTTTTTCTTTTTCTTCACATGGAGGTTGTTGGAGTACTTTTTACATGCACGCAAACATGCTTGCTTCGTTCGGCTATTTGTTCTGTAAGATAAGAAAAAAGAGCGCGCGCGCAAGAGGAAAAAGAAGCATATAAAATGGGTTATACGTAGGAGAAGAGAAAAAAAGAGAGGAAAAGAACTACTCTATTTTCTATCACCCTATCTTCTTCTCTCGTTATGTATTAATCGTATGATATCCGACAAAGTATTCTCGCGTCGCAAACAGAATAGAACTATTTCTCTTTCGAGAACAAATCGTGCATTACAGACCGATTGGCGTTCATTTAGTAGCCTATTTTTAAAAAATTGAAGACCTTTCTTGATGATGATTTCATCTTATGGTACACTTGTGCTTGAGCAGATGCTACATGCGAAAGATAAGAAAATTTAAATGGATACTTGTGCACGTCGATTGCTTACCTACTAAATGATTCGATGGGAATGAGTCGGGAGAGAAAGAAAAAGGCAAAGCGACTGTTCTTACTATCAACATGAGTAATGTATTATTTACTATCGAACCAGAGAGAATAAGATTGACTGTATGTGTTTTCGGTAAGAAAAAGGAAAAAGAAATAGGATATTGATAACCTTTTTCTTACGGAGATATTTGTTTAGCAAGTGTCAAAAGAGTGTGACTGTTGAAAGAAAGAAGAACAAAAAGACATTTCAAAAGATCCTCAAAATAGAAAATAAGAAGAAGAGCAAAAAGTAGAATACGAAAGGAACGCAAAGGAACCTTCGATTCCAACGTTGGATGAATCCTCGCTTCTTATTAGTTCAAACGTTGATCAATGATCAGATAATGGAGGTGAAGAGGTCTAAAAACAAAATGGCTGAACTTGATTGTCATTGGCTGATACTTTTGTGTCGCTACAGGCGCCGTGTTCGGCACAGCAGACTTAGCGCTTTGATCAAACAATCATTTGTAGCAAGTCAGAATTATTCTCTTAGTGTAAGATCATTCTTTCTTATTTTCACGAATCTGTCAGACAAATTTCAACGTATTGAGGAATACATTGTATTCGAAAGAACCCGATCATATGAACCCATCTTCTGCCAATAGTGGCAGTTTGGTAGGAAATTTTCCAAGTAAACTATACTGATTGAAAGGCAACTTCTTTTCTCGTTTAGGGTTTAAACACCATTGTTTCAACGCTCGTATCCAATTCGACAACGTAAGAATCGAAAGATTGAAGAGAATAGTTAGGTAGCTCTGTTAGTTTTAGTCGGCCATCATCAACTACGATTGTTTCGAATATATCAAACGCTTCATCACCTGTCAATCTCTTTGCTAATTTAACAGGAAATCTTTTCTCTTCGAATACCAATAACATCGCTTCGTCTACGAACACGAACACAGCCGCCAATCAAGGGCAATTAACTTCATCAGTAAGTTTTTCGATGGTTTCTCGAATTGCTAATTTGATTTCGATTTATTCTAGCGCCTTAAAGTGGAGGATGCACTCAACTATCTCGATAAGGTGAAAAACCAATTTGCGCTTAAGCCGCAAGTCTACAATCAATTTCTGGATATTATGAAAGAGTTCAAATCACAAAGGTACGCTTTTCTTATTCGTCTCATTTCACATATTCTTGAATTCGACATTTCAGTATTGATACACAAGAAGTCATCAATCGTGTTTCGACACTCTTTCACGGTCATCCAGATTTGATTGTTGGTTTTAACACCTTCTTACCTCCTGGTTATAAGATTGAAGTCAGTGAAGAACATCATGGTTACATTCAAGTCACTCATCCATCTTCGCGAATAGAGTCAATTGCAATTGGAGGTCATCCAAGTACGACTTATAATCTTTCCATAACAACACCAACGACAACTTACCGACAAACAGCAAATCTACTTAGTCAAGACAATGAAGAACCAGAACTTACTCAGCAACAACAACACACAGCGAATAATGCAACATCACAAGCTGTGAATGCCTTAATATCAGCTGCTACTGCTACACCTCAAGTGCCCTACTACGGTACGACGGGTGGTTTGAATCTATCGACAAAGACAAATAAACAGTCAGCAACAAATGTAAATACATCCACACAAGCATCAAACGTCGAAAAAAGTTCAAGTGGACAACCGGTCGAATTCAATCATGCAATCAATTACGTCAATAAGATCAAAAATCGGTTTCATCAGTAAGTGTTTCTCAATCGTTGTCACAAGTATGAAGATACGCGTTTGGCAGTATGAAATTGAATGAGACATCGGCAGATATCTGGCAGATAGTGTTAACCTTGATCAATGAATTCAATCGATAGAAGTCTGCTCTATGAGGAGGAAAAAAAGCATTCATAATTCTATACAATCAAACATTAAATGAATCAATAAGAACATTTAATTCGTTGAGAATCCCTTATTAGTGTTGAAAACATAGAGATACATATTCATCTCGATCGTTATTCTAGGAGTCCAAATATTTACAAAACATTCCTTGAAATTCTTCATACATATCAAAAACAACAGAAAGATGCCAAGGAAATTCCGTCTGGCACTCTAGCTACAAACACTTCACTATTATCGGCGAGACCTACCAATCAAGCAACACTATTATCCGAAACGGAAGTTTATGCTAAAGTTGCACAATTGTTTACAAATCACGAAGATCTTCTTGCTGAATTCAGTCAATTTTTACCCGATGCTACTCAACAACCGACTGTATGCGTTGCCAACTTCATCGAAATCTTTCTCATTTCCGTCTGTGCTTTTAGGAACGTTCAAATTCCATCTCCGACATACTCTCGTCATCAGGCAGTTCAACCCCTCCAAATTTTCCATCGCAGACAAATTCAATGTCAACCACCACGACAACGAACACGAATCCGATCGTGGCGAATCCAACACCACGTTTAATTATCAATAATCCTGTTTCATCATCCATTACCACAACATCTACATCGTCGTCATTTCTAACCATCAATAATAATTCGAATTCCTCCCCGTTATCGTCATTGGCAATGTTATCGACAGCTCCTTCGTTCACCGTCTTAACATCAACAACAGTCAAAGATGAAGTGACGCGTCCATCGTCGCCCAAACGAACAGCACCCACAGGAGGTACATCGACTAGTACGAATAATATCCCCGCTAAACGATCTGCTTCAACATCAAAATCACCAGCAACGTCGACTTCTACTGCTTCGTCAACGCCGACCATGGCGGCGAAGAAGAAACGTTTAACAATGACAAACAATGTGCAACCGATTTCACCCACTATTCGACAGACAAACACGACTGAAGCTTCAACAATCTCAAGTCGACGAACATCGTCGGTTGATGATATTCATTTCTTCGAGAAAGTACAAAAAACTCTTCGTAGTCCGCTGGTGTTTGATAATTTCCTCCGTTGTATTCTACTCTATGTGAAACGCATCATATCGCGTCATGAATTATTTGAATTAATACAATCATATCTGGGGTATGGCAGAAGACAAGAGAAGCGCTATACGAAAACTTGACTTCTGTTCTTTTTGTTTCAGTCACGTACCCGACCTGTTGCGAACATTTCAAGATTTGATCAATCAACGTGATCCAAGTGATATTATTATCCCAAAAAGTATCTACGATCAAAACGACACTGACAGTATGATTAATATCGGTAAGTTTCTCTTCTGGATAGTCATCTTCGATCGAATACCGACTTTCAGATTATGGTGCATGCTCTCAATATGGCACAAGTTACCGATCTGTCCCACGTTCGTACGCTCCACCGGCTTGTAGTGGACGCACTCAGTTATGCAAGGAAGTTCTCAACGATCATTGCGTGTTATTTCCAACATTTACCGATGAATCATCGGCAGTAGCGTCGAAGAAAAGTATCTATGAAGAACATATGTATAAAATCGAAGACGAACGGTTTGAGCTGGACATCGTTATGGAAGTTAATTTAAGTGCAATACGTGCATTGGAAAGTGTGCAGCTACATATGAACTCTTTGACACCAGATCAGTTGAATCATTTTCAATTGGATGATCAATTAGGCGGACAGTCGGCGGTGACACAAAAACAAGCAGTGCAGAGGATCTATGGCGATCGTGCGAATGAAATTATTGATGGATTGAAAAGAAATCCTCGCGTGGCTGTGCCAATTGTTCTAAAACGGTACGTCGAAGAAGAGGTGATCTAGATGAGAGCTTTTCGTGCTTGTATAGATTGAAAGCAAAGGATGATGAATGGCGTGAAGCGAAGAAAAACTTCGAACGTTTCTGGAAGGAACAAAGTGAAAAATACTATTTGAAATCGTTGGATTACATGGGCATCAATTGTAAAAATTCTGATATTCGAATTATTCGAAATCGATTCCTACTGAATGAAATTGAGAATATCAAAGAAGAAGTAAATTGGCTGGTTGAAGTGTTTGTCCTCTCATCTTATCGTTTGTTTACTCTTCTTAGCGTGACCAGCAAATTCCATCGAATCCCAATCAGCCGCACTTAACATTTCGTTATGAAGATTTATCAATACTCGACGATGCAGCATCACTGATTGTCTTTCTTGTCAAACGTCAAATGGGCTTTGCTAAAGAAGATAAGCAGAATATCAAGAAGATGATCTATCAATTCCTACCTGATTTTCTCTTCACACCACGAGGAGAACTGAGTGATGATGAAGAAGGTATTTGTCATCGATCTGGCTTTTGAATTTTATTGGAATCGCTTTCGTAATTTTAGATGACGATGAAGATGAAAGTAAACGTGATAAAAAATCTCGACCAGCGCGTCATACAGACACAAATCGTCGACGTAACACTGAATCAGCAACAGCGAAACCTCGCCAACTTGCTCAAGAATATCAAAAACCAGTAAATCCTTCGTCCATCTCCCCTCCGACTCTCTCCTTGCATGTCCTTCTCTTCTAGGATGATATGTTCCATTTATTTTTCGTGAATGATAACTATTATTATTTCTTTCGTCTTCATCAATTGCTGTGTGAACGTTTGTTAAAAATGTTTCAACAATCACTACGTTTAATTGAACAAGAAAATCGAGAACTAAATGACAATAGTAACCAACGCAATCAACAACCATCAGTCGCAACTTTACTGCGTTTGTCTAGCCGTCGTAAGTTTCGTCGAACTTTCCTTGAAAAGTTTTTCCACCCACTGATTTCTTCTAGCAAACATACCTGTAGATGATTATTATCCAGTGTTTCTTGATATGGTACGAAATTTACTCGATGGCAACATGGACAGTTCGTCGTACGAAGATTCCCTACGTGACATGTTTGGTATTCACGCATACATCGCATTTACAATGGATAAAATCATTCAGAATTGTGTTCGACAAGTAAGACGAACATTTCTTTTCGATTCGAAGTGAAAAAAACCGAGATTTGTTTAGCTTCATGCGATTGTGACTGATGAATCATCTGACGCGATCATGCGCTTGTATTCGCGCACAAACGGAACTGTTGGTCTAGTTGATAATCTTTATTTAACAGCGCAGCAAAACTTGGAGGCAGCTTATCAACGTGAAATGGAGCCATATGCCGACGCAAATCGATTATTTCGCGTTTGTTCGGTAAGTTACTTTGAAGAGAAAAGATTTCATAAGGAAAATGCCTTTTAGTTCAAGAATGATCGTCGAATAGCAACGACATTGATTGTTATCGATTCGTCGGATGATGAAGATGACGAAAGAATATCCGTTAATTGGACGCGTTATGTTGACTCGTATATACGTGATAACGAGGGTGGTCATGATGACGCAATAACGGCACGTATACGGTCAAAAATACGGAAAAACCCTCGATTTTTACTTCGGTAGGATTCAAAACGAATTGACACATAAAACTGAATTATTCATTTTGTAGAAATATTAAGAAACCTGCTGATATGTCTGATCGCTCATTGACAGAAGTAAAGACAAAAAACAATGATTATTGTCGACTTGATACAAAAACTCTCAAACGCAAACCGTATCATCGTGCTGATTTGTACTTTCATAAGCCAAACTCATTAAGTTCTACCCGACGAGTATGCGAATAATCTCTTCTCTCGACATCTCTAAATTGCTCGTTTTCTAGAATCACAAACGGTTGTCTGTGGAGCAATACAATCGCTTTTCAAAATACTATCAAGAATGGTCAGTAAGACATGTTTCCAGCGATGGCACTGATCCATTTCAGACTCTCTGGCTCAACACCCATCGAACAACGAGCGGAGAGCAACAGAATCTTGATGTTCAATCGACAATTTCTAATGATATTAATAATCTCACTCAGCCACCGTATCGTCATTATCGACAATATCGTCCTGTGAATACATAAAACCCCAACAACTCAATCTACTAACATGAATGTTTATATTTTGCTTTTTTTTCGATCATGTCTTCGGACATATTTTGTATTTTACTTCCAGTCATTGTGTGTATCATGAACACATTCAAAATGTTTTCTTTTCTCCTTCGATCTCGGTTTTCTTGTCGTACTATTATAACATATGTTTGTACATGTTGGATTATATTAAGCGATCAAAAACGTTATATGTGAAAAGAATGTTTTGGCCAAGCGAGGATAGATATCAGGAATCGGAAATACCATGTCAATGTGGACGATATTGACCAGGACGACCACCGATATAACCATCTCGATTGATATCGATATGTGTTGTTCGTTCGATTTGACCAACGAGACCTGCATGAAAGAATTGATATAGGAGAGGAGAGAAAGTTTACTTATACCTCCGCCGGGTGGTGGGCGATAGCCGATAACACCGTCGCGATTAAAATCGATATGAGTGGCTTGTTCGAGATGGGAGGTGATACCTGGTCCACCGATTTTGCCGTCGCCGTTCAAGTCCATTCCAATTTTTTCTTCGATTTTGTTGACGATATAGTCTATGAAGATTCAATTGGATTCGAGAATTTTATTAATCGGAATTTCGAGAACTTACTGCTCATGTTACTTCTTTTACTCGACAGACAGCCGATGTGTTTATGAAACGTAAATGAAAGTGCGTTGCAAAACTTCTTATGGTGCCGACAAAAAATATTTTTCTCGATGAGAGAGAACAAGAAAAAGATCGAACGATCGTAAATCGTTTGACAGCATATGAATTCTTTCTTTTACGTATTATATTTGACCTCCAGCCAATTCTTTTCTCATGTACTCTGCATATTCTTATGTTTCTCAATCAATAAATGACTCCCACATTAATCAAACAGCACTGTATAGTTAGATTTTCGAACATGTCAAACTTTACAATTTTACCTTTGTCTGAGAAATGAGTAAAATAATAATGGATGAGACTCAATGTACACGTTGGCAAACGGCGAATATGAGTCATTCTTGACTATGTCAAATACGATGTTTTTCTCTTACTTGTGCAATATCTTCGATATCATTTGCTGCGTTAGCCTTTAAAAACGACTTGGCTTGATCATCAGATATGTTTAAAATGAGAACCTATCGATGGTGTTGCTGGTATGAATTCTGCCTGATGCTATTTTATAGAGTGAGGGAAAAAATATTGCTTTTTGGTAGGTGTAGTGTCCCGCGTGTGAAAGATCATCCACGGGCTGTTTTGCACCATTTGACAAATCATCCACTTTATCAACCAGATTCAGAAACTGTGCCATTTAATCCTTCTTCGATTGAAGGTGCTGGAACTGACGATAATCCGTATGTCGTCTATCGAAGTCGTGACTTACTTGGAAGAACAAATCTCAAGCATTTACGTTTTGTTTGCGTATCCGATACACACAATCAAATCGACCAGATCTTCATTCCGCATGGCGATGTTTTTATTCACTGTGGTGACGCTGTTTACTATAACACAAGTTCTCGAGACATCGTCAGATTCAATGAATTCATCGGTACATTACCACATAAGTGGAAACTGTTCATTAGCGGTAATCATTGTGTTTGTCTCAATCCTAAGCAGCCAGATCATAGTCAGAAACTGTTGAGTAATATGACATATCTGCAGGATCAATTGATCGATATTGAAGGCGTGCGTATCTATGGGAGTCCATGGCGGCCGAAACGCGGTTGTTTCTATCGCGCAGAGGCATTCGGCTATGATCCGAAAACCATTGGCCGCGATAAATGGTCAAATATACCGGAAAATATCGATCTTCTCCTGACCCATGGTCCACCATACAGTGTTCGAGATTACAACTCGGGCTGTCCGCAATTATTAGATGAAATTGTGACACGAGTACGGCCACGTATTCACATGTTCGGACACATGCATGGTAGTCGAGGTGCTAGTCTGTATAAAAGTGAAGATAATCAAATATTAGAAGGTGATCATTTTCATTCCGATGCCAACGATATTCTCTTTCTAAATCTTGCTATTCATCAAGGAAGACGACTTGGCACAGCGGTCGTTATTGATTATTATTATTGAATTTTCTTGTCGTATGCTTTCTTCCTTTCAAATAAATTCTGTTCAGATGGAGCGATCGTCATACTTACTCCATCTTAGTTTGCTTCGATGTCTTCTCTCACGTAATTGGTTGAGTTACCTCAATTGAGACAACGACGATGAGTCATATCGGTTATTTCAGTAGAAAAAAAAGGAAGCGAACTGGATTGATTGATAATAACAAGCGTATCTTCGATTTATTAGCAAAAAGTAGGCAATTACCTAATGAACTAGACTACTATTCAAACATTCCGCTCGTATTTATTCACTTGTAAATGTTCAAACTATCGACATATCTTTGGTGCTGCTGGTAAAGAGAATTTTTCTTCAAAAATTTTTCTGACGAGTTCATTTAGTTTACGTGGATGTCATGTACCACGTGTTCGAGGCCATCCACTAGCTGTTCTTCATCATTTAACTGATTTTCCACCGAACGAAGACGCTGATATAGTTGTACCATCCCATCTTGACCATCACTATGGAAGCGGAACAGAAGATGATCCGTTTGTTATCTATCGTAACTCAAATTTAATTGGACAAACCGATCTTCAACGTCTTCGGCTTGTGTGTATATCTGATACGCATAATGAAATTCATCGAATACATATTCCTGACGGTGATGTTTTTATTCATTGTGGTGATGCTGTTCGTTTTCGAACGTGTTCTCGAGATATAAGAGTATTCAATGACTTCGTTGGCACACTTCCTCATAGACACAAGATTTTTATTAGTGGCAATCATTGCATCTGTCTTGATCCCGAACATCCTGAACAAACTCAACAGATTCTTAGTAACATGACCTATCTTCAAGATCAACTTATCGATATCAAAGGTGTACAGATCTACGGTAGTCCTTGGCGACCTAAACGTGGAATAATTTACCCCGCTGAAGCGTTTGGTTACGATCCCCAACTCATACGAGATGATGTGTGGTCACACATTCCTGAAGATATCGATATTCTTCTTACCCATGGACCACCATACAGCGTTCGTGACTATCATCCATTAACAGCCGAGCGAATTGGTTGTCCCGGTCTGTTAGATGAAGTTGTTACTAGAGTTCGTCCTCGTATACATCTCTTTGGACACATGCATGAATGTCATGGTGCAAGTTTATATCGAAGCGAAGATAATCAAACTCTAGAAGGTGAATATTCTCACGACAAATCCAATGAAATTCTTTTTGTTAATCTCGCCATACATCAAGGCAAAACTTTAGGTGAAGCGGTAGTGATTGATTATTATTACTGAGGAAAACGAAGGAGAGAAAATTTAATTATTTTCATACAATATATTTATATATATGTGTGTGTATGTAAAAATGAAATGTATTCAATAAATCAGCAAAGTACATAGGGAGTTTTTCATGTACTCGAGTCACATGTTTTCTTTTTTCATAAATACCATCCTGGTTAGAATAAATAGGTAATACATTCGGTTAATAACACAAGAGTAACAAAAAAGAAATGAAGAAAGATATGTGCATATATCACGATGAGCTTATCATCTATCGACATGAGAAGAAAACAAAACAAAATAGCTCTATTGATACAGAAGGGATGCTTGTAACGCTTCACGCATCATCATTTCTTCGTCTTGTTCATAGTTTACATAAGTATCTAGAAACATGAGCAACATAAGACGAGGCAAAGGATGAACAGTTAGGATTTACCATAATCAAATTTATGACGGCTTTTAATGTGCTGATAGACATTAGATGTAACCATGGTTTTGTCACCCCATGGCATTGAAGAGCAAATCGGACTAGAAGAAAAGAAAATAATGGATGGATATCATGGTTTTGTGATTTTACCAGACGCGACGTTGATCTTCTTGTCGGTGTCTTTTCTTAATATGTTGACGAAGATGAGTCAGAGTAAAACTAACAATGAATCGATTCGATAGGAGAGAAAATATATGAGAAATATTTGTTTACTTCGCTCTCGGACAGAATGGACATTGAAACGTGGAACGATTTTCACCTTCTTGTGCTTTTTGTAAGGCTTTTGCTTGAGAATCTGATAATTCTCTGTCAAGATTCGCAGGTTTCGTGTCTGAATTATCTTTTGCATAATGTTGTCTTATTGGTGTACAAATTTCTAAATGTTTCCTCAACTGTGTCAATGTACATACTACTGTACAATTCGGACATTTCGTTTCCAAGGTATCTAATTGATTTTCTAGTTCACGATACCGTACGTAACCCAGTGATTCTTTTCGGCAAATCGCACAAGTAAATATTTGATTCGGCTGGTGAATATGAGATGAATGACTAAAACTTCCACTTCGAAACGATGAGAGTGGATTGGATTCGGTGGATGAACTGCAGAAACCGTTTTTCTTTAAACCAATTACACAATTTTGACAGTAGGTGTGTGGACAAGATAGACTGACCGGGATATGGAATATCTCACGACCTAAACACAGCGATGAAAACAGTCTCCAAGAATATGAAAAAAGTGACTTACAAATACTGCAAGTAAAATCATCTAAATTAACCGATGTTGTCTCCATGTGTTTGATTGTTTTGAAAAAGATATAATAAATCTTGAAACGGAGAGAAAAAAAGAACGTTTGGTTTCACATGATCGATTGCATGACTGCAGAAAAAAAATCATTCAGGTGATTCTTTTTCTCTGTGCTTTATTTTGTTATTTTGGTCAAGGTGGTGATATGAATCTATATAAATATGTGTACGTGTGATAATGACTAGTCTCGGGCGAATCCGTTTGTTGAAAAAACTACGAGTATGTTTTATTTAGCTTTGATATATGAAGAACAGATGACTTCCACCCATCGTCGTCTTTCTCTTCTCTATCAATTGATATCGCTAGACATTTGAGTAGATTTGGCAGTGCATCAGATAAGCAATAGTTGATCAATATCTAAATAAAGTTTCAAATCGTCGTTGAAGAAAAACGAAGTCTAGTTTTACTTCGAAGGATTGTTTTCCCATGATAATCAAATCTTATTTTCAATAACAGAAAGAAACGCGTTTCGACGTAGGTGGATATACAACTCGTTTGGCCGAGATTATTTTCTTAGAAAGTCTATCTTGAGAAGGATATCCAATTCAGTATCAACCGTTCTATACGTTTGCATTCAATCTGAAGTGTGTCATAATATTTTCATGTTTATTATTCAGTGCTACAGACGTTTCATCTAAACATAGGAAGGAAAAACAGAAATTATCTTTTGCAAATCAACTATTTTAGGGGTATCTACGATCTTTTTTTTACAAACGGACAAGTACGGATGCAATTAGAGCGTTTCGTTTCCTTAACAAAACGTCGGAGGGCAAAGATTTGACTACGAATGTTTCTATTTGATCATAAGAGAGCTATATGTGAAAGCAGTCATGCTAATTAGATAATAGTTCATTGTTCAATGACCTTGTCACAAACGTACTATTAGTTCGATGGAACTACCTATTATTATGACGGTGTTCGTCGAGAATAAACGACGTTATTTTTAGTCGGGTTTTCTGTTCTCAGGAAAGAAAATCGTGTCTTAATCCATCTGACAACATCTATGTATGTCTTATCTTGTCTAAGGCGGATAGATATTTCAACTGTTGTTATATTATTTTTTCCCATTTACTGTTGACAGCGGGTTGAATTGTTCGAGAAAACGTGTCACTGGTGTGTCTTCATCTCATTTAGTCTATCGTGATGTCCTCTGATGTGAGAAGACATAACTGAACACTTGAGGAAAGAGTTTCTTCGATATGCTTTTTTATTACACTAGATGATTAATCAAAAAAAGAAGAAGAAAAAGGAAAGGCGATAGATAGTTTCTTCTCGTTTTAGAGTTCGCCAGTAGATTATTCTTTTTGACTACAACATCAACGATTGTGCTTCCTAATGATCTTCAATGAAAGCAAATGGTTCGTTTGATGATAGTTGGTTGATTATTGCCATTGTACAACAAAGTCCCGATCAATTGTTACCGACAGTCTACCAGTGGTCTGCACTGTTTCTACTGTTTTTCTCAATTATCGGTATTCTTGGAAATCTACTTGTGTGCTTAGCTATCGGAACCGAACGACGATTACACAATCCGACAAATTGGTATATCTTTTCCCTAGCTCTTGCTGATATGTTGATTTCAGGTTTTGTAATTCCCTTGGCTACTGTTAAGGAATTTACCGGTAAAACGATTGCGTTCGAATTTCACGAAGCTTATCTTGTTCTGTTGCAGGATATTGGAAACTAGGACGCGTAGTATGTGACCTATGGATATTTCTCGATGTTTGTTCCTGTACATCTTCCATTATGCATATTGTTGTCATATCAATCGATCGATATCTAGCTATTGAAGATCCACTCAAAGTTCGTTCACGTCAAAAGAAATACCAAATTTGTTTCTTTATAACGGTTATCTGGTTGATGGCTATCTTTCTCTCGTCGCCAATGATTGTGCTCGGTGCTTTGAATCCGTATAATACCATTGTCAATGGTCAGTGCTTGATAAATAATCGAATCTTTGTTATCTACGGTAGTGTTGTTTCGTTTGTTATTCCATTGATCATTGTTATTATGATGTACGCCTTGACTGTACGTCGGTTAAAGAAACAAATTAAACAATGTCAAACGCATTTTGCTCAAGAGCAGATTGCTAATACAATTAATCTTGTTAGTAAACCATTTCTACAACAAAAAGCGACTAGTCAAACGTTCCTGAACGCCTCATCTCAATCGCTAATGATTCCAGCAATTGAAATGAAACGCAGGCGTCTACAAACACAAGAAACGAGTTTCGATATAAGCGATGATGGTTCAAACAATATCTCCATCGATCAAAATCGATCTGCATTTGGAAAACGAAACAAAACGGTTCACTCGTTCGTCGATAACGACTACACATGTCCGAAGAATCCATTCTGTGAATTGAAATGTTCATGTCATCAGCCGAAAGCAATCCTACGCGCGAATCCATCGCGAAAACCTCGACCAACTTCATTGCCTGTACCGATCCTTCCGCATCAATCATCTCTCTCATCACTTCAATCGGTAAAACGACCACACAATCGATTTCTATTCATTTCGAGTCTCGCTACAAACCGCACGAGGTCGTCGGCCGTTCGGAATGAACAGAAAGCTGTGAAAGTTCTCGGTGTTGTGTTTGTCATCTTTGTCATAGCTTGGTTTCCATTTTGTATATTAAATATCCTACGTGCGGTTTGCAAACGTTGTTCTATCAACGAACATCTACTGAATGGTTTCGTTTGGCTTGGCTACGTTTCAGCAGCTATTAATCCAATTGTTTATACGATGTTCAATCGGCATTTTCGCTCGAAATTTCTCGCACTACTAAAATGTCAATGTTTATTATCAAAGCGTCGACGAGAACAACTTGCTCAGTCGCAGAGACACTCATCCATTCAAACATCGAGAATTTATCGACCAAATGATTTCTTACAGGCCGATATGCGACGCTTTCATGCTTAGAACTGAACTTTAACATCGTACATTATGTTTTCTTTCTATTTAATACAAAAAGAAAAACGGAAATGGATGTTTAAGTGTGTCATACAAGTACGCTAGTTCTTCACAAAAGTATCGTCTAAGTCGGCTTGACGAGTATTTCAGAAATAAAATGTTTCTTTTTATCTTAATATATCACTCGTCATTGGGTTCCGTCATTTCTATTCGGGATATACCATTTTACTGCCAGGAATGATAATGGACATTAACACATGTATGAAAACGAAGTGTAATTCCCATTTGCCAGCGTATCTTTCATCGTCAGATAATTTATCTTAGCGGACACAGACTGTCAAGGAGCAGAAAACGACTTACCTAAAAAGAAGTACGAATGCTGATGGATAGGAACCGAATTGGATGTATTTTCGATTTGTTTTATTTGCTTAGATTTATTGTTCGACGATCTAAATCAATAAAAACAGGCAAATAAGCATCGAGACGAAGCAATACATACCATTTTTGTTGTTGGAAGAAAATCTACAGGAAATACAAAAAAAAATTTTTTTCAATGAGTTCACTTGGATTTGACCAATGGCAAAATCAATCACAAGTGCGACATCCATAAAGCATACAGATGATGCTAGAGTGTAGATTCGTTTGAAAAAACAAATGATTCGGCCGGGAGAAGATGGATTCGTTTGAATTTGTTGCCAATTAATGATCAGATTCATTTAATACGTCTCGGAAACGAAATGGTCATGAAAAATGTGGGAAGACAGAAACGAAATGCAATGTACTGGAACGAAGGATGTTTCATCTAATTAATTGATCGTTACAAACAATGATTGGGTGGATCTAAAACGTGTCGACTCGCTTTGATGTCGAATGACGTTCTTCAAATTACGAAAGTCATGGTAAAACGAAGAGTGCAAAGATAACAATAGTATATTCATCTTTTTACGCTGTTATTCGCCATCAAACATGGATGGTTATTATTGGTCAAGTCTACTTTCAATAACGTTGCTTTTAGTCGTTTCAACTTATTCATTATCGCCGATTATTTTCGTTCCGGGAAGTTTTTGTAGTCTGCTGGAAGTACGGATCAATACAACTGTTCAGACATCTTGTCCAAAATCGTTGCACAATCGATGGATGCTTCTCTGGTTAAATTTACGTTTTGTCGAACCAGATCTTCTTTCATGTTACCATCACGTCTTCAATTTTGTTTACAATACGCCATCAAAGATATTCGAGAGTCCATCGGGTGTTGAAACACGCCTCGTACCCAATTCGATGAATGGATCATTTCTGAATGGCCTTCTGTGGGAATACATTCAATTAGATAAACTTTTCTTTCATTTTACTGAGATACATAAGTATACCGACGGACACAATCTTCGGTCGATTCCTTATGATTTTCGGCGAGGTTCAAACCAGTCATTAGTTTCATTTAGCCGGAATCTACAAGACTTAATTGAATTAACCTATTACGAAAATATGAATAAAAGTGTTAGCTTAATTAGTCATAGTACCGGTGGATCAATGACATTGTACTTTCTAACGCAGCAAACACAAACATGGAAAGATCAATATGTTCATAGTTGGATTTCATTGAGTGGAAATATTGCAGGTGAAGTCGATAACATCGAAAATGTTCTTCGCGGTTTTTTATCGCCAGTAGTTACACGTGATGTTATACAATCATGGGATTTTTTTGCTTGGCGTCTTCCAGAGCCGATGATCTACGGTTCACAACGAATCATCGTTCAAACACCTTCGAAGAATTATACATCCTATGATATGCAGCAACTTCTGTATGACTCAAATGCAACAGCATTGGCGCAAATCTATTCCCAAACATCGAGTATTTTGAGATCGTTACCACCGCCTAACGTCGATACGTATTGTTACTATGGCGCGAATATTTCCACTGCTGTCGGCTATGTACTAAAGTCGGATCGATTGGAAGATGGAAAATTAGAAACAGTTTATGGCTGGGGCGATGGAGAGCAAGATGATACCACAAATATGTCCTGCCAACTATGGAATACAACTATGGATAGGAAATATAAACTAACGTTAAAAGGATTCGACCGTGTGAGTCACCTCGAACTTGTCGGCAATGAACGAGTTTTGAAAGAAATTGATAAAATTGTTTTGGCATAAAACTCGGTGAACTTTTCATAAGCTGTACGTGTGTAGCTTTGACATTCGATTCGATTTCTTAAGTCATTTATTCAGAATGCATAACAATCTGAAAGGTAAACGGTATTTGTCCGTCGGAAATCATACAAATTGAAAAGCGTTGATTAACAGGTTTAATTCATACCTTTATCATCGCTATTCTCGTCGTGTTCTATTTTTCTGCTTCATCATTTTCCTATTCATCTACTTGATATTCAAACATACCAGACATGATCCTGTAAAAGTGAACACTAGAGATGTTATTCTAAGACAAGCAAAAGGTAATTTTCAAGTGCCAATTCATTCATCATTGTTAATCTTCGATCGTATAATTATCTATCGCTCCGGTATATTTCTACACGATGGTCAGGTGTTTTGAATTACCTACATTGTGCACTGGTCAGCACAGGTTTCGATTCATTCCTATAAACTGTTCTCGTTAAATCACTTTGGAAGGTACCTATTTTGAGAAAGTACAAGCTTGGAGATTATTTGCTGGTTGAATTGTTGTTTAGGTGCTCGATTTGAACGTTCCGCACTTGCGAATCAATATCACATGAATGTCATTTAAGTAGTGTCGAGTGCCTACGCTCGAGATCTGTATTTGGCTACGGGAAAGCAAGTACTCGCCTTTTCGCCTATCAAAATGATTCAAAAGATTGTACCCAGAAAGGGAGTGAGGGCCTGAAAAAGAGAGAAAACTTAATTATGATCGATAATAATCCGTTTTTTCCTTGCTGTTTACAAACAAGTCTTTCCGAACTTCCACTCAAACTGAAAACCGATACCAACCCAGATGTCGTTGGTGTTGTCTTCGAAGTAAACGAAAGTCAATTTATCATGTCAATTGATCCAAGAAATAGAATAATCGATGAGCAGTTGTTTCACATACGCGTACATCTACTTGAAAGTCGTCCATCCCTGACATTAGCAAATTCTTGCTTCGGATCAGTAGCACAAGAGAACAGTGATGCAGCTGTCTGGAAAATTAATGCATTTAACTAGTTCTCATCGATATCCTCATCGTATATCTTGAAAGAAGTCGCCAAATGTCAATCGCTTCTTGAACTACCATTAGTGAATATATACAGATATGTAAAGCGAACGAATAGAAAGACTACGAGAAAGGAGTTCGATTAGCGTCGACAATATATACCACGCAACGACATAAAGTTATGCAAACCATGCTACCACAGACTGTACTTCATTTTTTTACACTCATGAATGTATTCGAGTCGATTTATTTGAAGTTGAATGTTGAAGTTGAACGAAATCCCTGTGCGTTTGTTTTTTAGTTTGTCAATAAATCATTTGATTTGCCTGACAAGAAATTTTGCTGGGATAATGTGAACAGTTCATTTTTCATTCTGTGCGCCATGATGAATAATGAAACAAATACTCCCACTAATCGTCACTCATGATGCATCAAGCAATGTGGATGAAAAAGTATGTAACCATCAAGTTCATACTTGAATAAAAACGGCTTAATTCAAAATGCGTGCTTTTCCCTACAACATAGAGTTAAAAGTAATAATTTTTGTCAGATGTTGGATACAATAATTGTTGATTCAAGCGTCAGTTATATAGAACAGCTTTTTCTCGGCATGTTTGTTAGATAGAATTGTTGGTTTGAATTATAATTAAAGGAACGTCATGATTTTCAAAAAGAATTTCTTTCTCTTACTCGCAGTGCTGTGAATTCCACCAAGGGATCGATGAATTTCATCAAAATTAGCTCAAAATCAAGTTCGTCGCCTTCTCTTCTCTCTAGCACAATTGTCAATTTCCCTTGTCACTCGATCTAATCACTGTTGAACAAACAAGTCATTCTCTCCAAGAGAAGGAAAAAGCCAGCACGCGAGTGTTATTTTTCTCTTAAGATATGAAAAGATTTTCATTTGTTAATGATAGGATTAGAATTGCTTATAGTTCTTGTCTTAAACATTACGAGATTACAGACAAATACTTTCATTCAGTGTTTAATCGACGAGAAAGCTTTGCATGCTGACTGAGATCTCCGAGGAATGCCTACGCGTTTTCAATCAGTTAAACTATGTATAACATTTTCTCATTTCTCTATTTTTCCCCGAGGAAACATGTTGCATTCGTTTCTTTTAGAATCACATTACTAACTTCAATAGGAAACGACTCTTGTATGTTTATTTACATCACTCCATGGCTACACTGCTAACAATTCAAATCCTATCTGTACTCGCAACTGTGCTCACTAATCTTATCGCGATATTAACATTCACAACTGACTATTGGACAATTATTGTTTACGATCTCGTGAAATTACATTCCTATACGAAATGGATGGTTATGGAAGAGTCGAATCATAGTAATATCTACATCATAAATAATACGAATGAAACGCCAATTTTACCCAGTAGTAATTTTCCTTTGTCGAGCATTGTGTTTGGTTTTGAAGATAATTTAGTTTTGTACAAAACACACAAAGGCATTTTTCGTCAATGCAATTATTTGACTAATGACATACGTTCTTATTTAAATATACCGAAATGTCGAACGTTGAAAGTGGCCCATAATCAATACAGCGATCGTATTCATGGAATGATCAATCCTGGACGAGAATTTATGCGTAAATATGTGAAATGTTTTTACTTTTGTGTAGCTTCAACGAAGAATACGTGAGTTGAGAGATTGACGGAGGTGCTCGATCGGATAGAATTCATTTTCTACGTATGAATAAAGTTCCGCTAGATGTTTGATGGTTCTTTTAGGCTTACACAACATTGTTGCTTCATGTGCGATTCTGATCATTCTTCTCCTTATCGTTTGTACACTAGTCGGAATTATTGTCGGCATTCTGAATAGTCAAGTTCTTGCCACGATGACTGTCGGAATTATCTATCTTGTTTCTAGTAAGTCTTTTTTTGTTGTAAATATTTCAGATCGGAAAGCAAAAGCCTTCTTGTTTTGACTTTCAGCAATGTTTAGTCTATTTATTGTTACGATTATGTTAACAATACTACGCGGTGAACGGAAACAGTCGCATTGTTTAGCATTAGAAATCTTAACCGATCAATTGTGTTCATCTCGTACAATCAAACTTTCATATTCGTTCGTGTTTGGATGCATACTTGTTGTTCTTTCATTTACCACGTCGGCTCTATGGCTGTCCTTACAAGAAAAACAACGCAAATTCGTACAACATTAAAGTAAAAAAACAAAAACAATAGCTAATATTGAAATTCTTCAAAACAAGCGTGTTCGTCGGATGCCGCTATATGGATTTGTTCGTCGATTTCGATTTTTGTAATCATAATCGGCATCTTCTAATGTGATACATCGACTGAGGATAAACGCAATCAGAAACGTGAATAGAACAAAACCAGTAAAAAACATGTACCAAGATCGTTCATCGAATATGTCGTTGAATGATGGCAAAAGTTGAGAAAAGTGTTCGATAATCTCGCGTTGAGTATCCAGACGACGTCGAGAATTTTTCAATAAGACCATTTTCAATGTGCACGAATAACAAATGTTACGTAGTTTTCTCAAAGTGCGTAGTTAGTTCAATCACCATCGATGATGAATGTGGAAGGGAAAAAGAAGAAGCATGTGGTTGCTATTCGCAAAGAATGCTGACGTCTCGGCAACATCCTCGTCGTTTTTTTTTTCATCGTTCTGCGCATGAACGACGTGTAGACAGAAGAAAGACTGAACTTTTTTCTCCTTCGTTCTTTTTTTTTTGTAAAGGCGCTTGTTTTCCTTCGTGATGTTTAGTATAGAATACGACATTTCTTGCGTTCAGCCAACGTAAGAATCCTGAAGTATAGCATAACCTTGCTCTTGCGGAATCGATTTTTTCTGCCTTTTCTTTTATCTATTTTTATTATCTGTTAGCCTTGTCTTATTGATAAACGTAAAAAAAATAAAAATTAAGCAAGGTTTTCTCTGACAAAACAGACGCTTTCTCTCTCTCAAGTGCATATCATTAAGTCGAACACAACAACTAGACAGTGTGGCTTATCTTCAGTAACTTGATATACACATATTTAAAGTCAATTATGTAAAATTGAATCCTTGGGGATATGTATATATATATGAAAAGGTAAAAGGTATAATTCAATCAGAAGATTTTCCGTTGACTTCGCTTATTCTTACTGTGTGAATGACCTTTCTTTTTTTGCTTTTATCAACTCGCTGGTTTGTTTCAACATATCCTCAATACACGATGTAAGTACATGTTTACTTAGACTGTGAAATGTGAAGAAAGAGGAGGATATGTATCGTCCAGACTAATGGGCATAAAGACGTAGAGTAGAGATTCGTTTTACAATGAACATGTTCTTTTGTTTGCTTTCTCTTTGTCTGAGTAGGATGTGTCTGTTTTCTTTCGAAATGATTGATTAACAAGGTTATGCATCGGATGAATGATGAGGACAATATTTAGTTTTTAACTTGCTTCTTTGATTAACTGATGAAGGTGAAGAGTTTTCACCTTGTTGAAATCTTAAGTTTTTCAGTTTGCTTCGTTCAATGTCTAATCGATACTTCATGAGAATTGCATGACTAATTTTTTTTTCTTCCAGCAGACAGACGGACAGACGCTATTGTTTATCTTATCTTTCAGATGTCAATTAAAATGAGTAATCCTGCACAGTTTGATATTGCCACAGCTGCACTTGAACATCTGGAATTACTCAATCGCTCGAATCAAAACCCTCTGGAAATCGCAGCACAATTTCGCACGTTACTTCGTTCGAAGAAACCGCATTCATCCAACGCTGAATATACTTACACAGATTATATTACCGCAGATGCAACCATTCGAAGACAAGGTTGTGCACACAACTTGTCTAATCAACATAGATCGAAATCCTTAGGTAAAATTCAATACAAACTAAACGAAGATCAAGCTATAGGCGAATCCTTGTCTTCCAAATGTCACAATAGTACGAATTCAGTCGAAGATATGTGTATCGACTCAGGTATTGCATCGACGACGTCTAGTAATTATTCCACTGTTCCGCCGATAGTCACCGTGAAGAATAATTTCAATCGTCTTCAATATCCAACCATTAATTGGAGACAATTACGTGAAAAACAAACGGAACAGCGACTGAATAGAGTCAAACAATTCATTTCTACGAAATTTCACGTGCCCGGCATCGAACCAACAAACTTGTCCTTAAGTTCGTTAACCACTGTCACTGATAAACTCGATTCGTCTCTCTATTCCAATCGATTTCGATCGCGAAAAACTCACGAGGACAATTCCATCCCACGCAGTCGATCTGATTCATCGTCAAATTCCATTCGTACCCCATCGATTTCGCCGACGAGTTGTACTCGACCAACGTACACAATCACGCGTTTAGATGGTTCATCGCTCAATGATAACAACGAAGATATATTTGTACCTATTGCTGATTGTAATTTAATTATTAAACATCGAGCAAATGGTCGAATGAAAAGATTGTCTCATTATGAAACCAAACGTTTTCGTGATAATCTTGAAGAGACAATTTACATTTAACTTTCTTGTGTCGACAATTTCGTGCTTTTTTCCTACATATTTTTATTTCAAGTTGACTAATCGATCGTGCTAAAGAAATTGTAATTCTTGCTGATCTCTTCAAATATATCCTCCTTTATGTTGCATTAAATATGAAAAAAAAAGATACAGAGAATAAGAGACTTGTTGAAAGAAATTCGTAACAATAGAAAAGAAAACAATGAAAGATCTTGGAAATGAGTATGGAAAACGAATAAATATAGAAACGAGATGCTATGAATACATGATGGTCACAGGGTGAGTCTACTAGTATGTTTGTGATTATTCAACGATAACCAATTCTTCACCTTCTTGCAATGGCCGTTCGGTTAATTCGTCGCGTATGACTTTCATTAGTACATCGTCTTCCAGTTCGCCTTGTTCATTCTGATCATTGCTGGACTTGCGTTTATGCGGTTGGATGGAGTGAGTGCGTTCCCGAACGATATATGTAGGCTCTTCGACTGGAACTAAACTCTCGAACCGTAATGGTCGTCGTTGACTGCCATTCTCACTGCTTATCCGACTTGATGGAGATGCCACTTTGGCTGGCGATAGGCGTCGTACACTTGTTCGATGTGATGATAGGCTCTCGGTGACACTTCCGTGTTGACTATCATTTTCATCATTTAGTTCGCGTCGTTTCTTCTGTGGATGGTTGAACGATCTATTGACCGGCGTAACGTCACGTTCATGCGATCGATTGACAATTTCTACGATTTCGTGTTCTTCATGTTGCGGAAAGCGCACTCGTTGTTTCGAATTGGATGATGCTTGGGAGACAACTTCGACCAGACGACGGTTTGTGGGTGAATGAGTAGTAACTCCTACAGGTCGACGGGCAGACGGTGGTTGAGAAAGTATTTCAGCTGGGCGACGAGCAGAAGGAACTTGATGCATCGGCGGTGTACGATACGACGAAACATCGACAGGCCGACGAGTTGGTGCAAATGGAATAATTTCTGTCATGGAAATAGGCGATGAATGAGTCGATTTGCTTGGATATCGAAGAGTTCGTTTCGATAGATGAGCATTTTCAGTAAGCTAAATTACAAATATAAATGAGCGTTTCGACCGAAATCCTTGTAGTGCATCATCATTTGTTCTCGGGACGTTTGACTCAGCCGATTTTCTTGACGTCACAATCGCCTCTCGCCTTTTGCCTCTTTATTTTCAATTCACTCTTTGATCGCTAAGTAAACATTCACCCGTTCTCCTTACCACCCATTTCTAACGCATGAGTTTAGAAACATAAGAAAAGCATTTCGTTGCTCGTTAACTGAAAGGCAATAATTTCGCATCTATTCCTCCCGCTATTGCGAAGGATTAAATTAAACTGTCCGCAATGCACTTTGTATTCGAGAAAACAACTCTCATGTGATGTCATACACGACTTACTCGAGATGTTTTCGAGTCTTCAGTTGGTGAACGAGTCTCCGATGACATTCGAATTGTGGCTTCGGATATGATTTTTCTATTTCTCGCTTCTACCTGTTGAGCATATTCCTTTGCTTTGTTCGCTTTCTCTAACTAAAATTACAAATAAATGTTCGAGAATGAAAAAGAGAGAACAAGTTACTGACTTTTTCTTTGTATGTGATATTCTCTGAATCGAAACCAAGATGACCTGTACCGAATCCGCAATTCTTCTTGAACCGGTCATAGTCTCGAAGAGTATACTGTTGAAAATCTTTCGGCTTTCGCGACTGATGCATTTGAGCTAAATATGAATCTAAATATATCGCAGATCGAATCAATCGCTTTCATGGTGAAAGAACTGTGCGTCTTCTACCTTCCTCCAGTCCTCGAGCACTGTAACTATACGTTTCTTTCGTATGGTTTCTGGAACTATATCCCGAGTAACCAAGTCCTGTTGATCGAGAACTAAATGTTCCAGTTAATGAACTAGTGTTTGTCGTCACTGAGGGCGGATGTCGTTGGGATGAATGAGTCGGTGGTAAGTTCTAGGCGAAGGAATTGAATAAGTGAAATCTTCTATTCGAATCGATCTTACTTGATGGATACTACGCTCCATCTTCCGAATATGTCGATCGAGTACATCTGTTGCCGACCAATTTAATTGCTCTGAATTGGAATGATCTGTGAACTGTTGTTGTGCATGTTCGTGTTGTTGTGAAGCATTCTGTGGATCAAGGAGACGTAGATTGATATCAACAGAGAGATTCTCTCGATTATGATTCATGTCGCCATCTAAAGCAAAGCAGAAAATCGAAGGTTACGAAACAATTTCAAAGATATTTACCAATCGGAATCTCAACGATAGTTGGTATTGAACTGATTTGCCCTTGGTTACCTGTATTCAAATTGATTGTTAATGGTAGAGTCGACTGAGATGAAGAGCTTTGATCATATTCAGTGTCGTTTCCGCTGTGTAGACCTTTTCGTTTTGCGTAAATGTTTTGATATTTTTTATCGGGTATACGATGAAAATAGTTTTCTTTGTTCTTGATCATTCCAATATTCCTTTCGATATAATTCGGCGGATTCGAATCGATCGGACGATGAGAAAGATTTTGCGGCGATTGAGATGATCTTTTACCAGCGTAAGTTGTCGATGTGGAATTTGCACCTGTCGTTCCTTTGCCTCGAGCAGGAACTTCACGTTTCTTGATATTTTTGTCTGACACCTTCGCAGTTGTTTGTTGCAATTTATTCCACATCACTTTCAATAGACGAAGTTCGAGCAACCAAAATAGAGGAGTTGAAGTCCTTACCTTGTCTCTTCTGGTCTTTATTTCCGTTTTGCGGCAAATTGTTACCATCCTCAGTGTGGATCAATTGATTGTCGTTGGTAAGTTTTGAATCAGATAAAACATTTGCATGATTGATGAATGGATTAGTGTGTTGTTCTCGGAATGACGGAGGTCCTGGTGAAACATCGTTCTGTCCAAGTAATTGATGATCACGATCGTACTGATCGAAGTAGAAATCTTCATTTTCAGCGTTCGATGAAGACATAAACATATCCGTGCTGCCCATTTGATGTTGACCTAATAAATCGAAAATATCACTCGAGTTTTGTATTCAAATGTATGCATCTTATCCGATGTTTATTTGGCTTCAAAATGATTGTGATAGTAGTAAATGGTTTTTATGATTCTTTCTTCTATATTGAAAAATATTATTTTTACATATGCGAGAAACCATATGAAGTCAATTGTTGCATGTGCTCTGCTACTCTAATGGGCATGATTTACATACGAAAATGATTCGCCTTAGAAACTGTATAAATTTAGAAATTGACGAAACTTTACCATGATTGGCTTGAGGTTGGTACGGCATCGAAGTTCGCTGATTGACAGGAGGAGCATTGGATGACGTTGATTGTTGAGGATAGGACATCGCATCGAGTTCGGCAAATAGAGGATCCATCAGTGCACCTTGTTGAGCTTCGTTTCTATAATGAAAGCAATGTATGTATACGAAAACCGAATTATTGTTTTCACAACTGGTTTACTTTGGTGTAGCTACTGAAGGGTGGGATGAATGAGAATGATGATCATGCGTTGGTTGAACGCTGTAAGGACTCTTCACTGTGCTTGTCTGCACCGATGGTGTCTTGCTAGTTGAGTGCGACGATTGGCCTGTTAAGCGACTTGAAGCATATCGATACATTGGCTCCTCTTCCTTGTTATCATAACCATTTGCATTAGAATAATCTGCTGGTACATATAGGCCGTGCCCATTTTGAGCTGCCGGCTGCTGGGAGTATGAAGACTGTGTGTCAAATAGCATTGTCTTACAGGTAGCGACGATTAATTTCTTCTTTCGTACATAGTCTAAAACAACCGGTGAAATTATACGTACGTCAACATCATTCTTTCTTTTCGTTGATTTCTATGACGACAACTCTTTATTTCATAATTGAAAACGAAAAGCCAACGAATATAGATGGCAGAGAAATTTCTATTCGAGCGACTAGAATGCGAACGTATTATTGATTCTGAAAAAAGTACAACCGTCTTGACTTCTTATCTCCCGGAGTACGAGAATTGACCAGCGACATATTGCGCCAGCAATGTCAAAAAGTCCGTATTCAATAGGATTTCCATAGTGCATAATGGTGACAATTGACAATTTTGTTGTTAGCGACCTTGAATTATGTTTATAGAAAAATATTATAAAAAGGCGAAAATAGTTAGCTGTAAGCAAAAAAAACCATTGCCTTCGTTTCTTGACCGTATGACGGCATTCTATTCATTTTTTCGCACTATTTTTCAGGAGTGACTTACTTTTCAGTGTTTCATCAATTACGACATTAACAATTCCAAAAAAAGAATCAACGGCGATGGTCGGATGTAGGAGCACTCCGATCAGAGGGCAATGTCAAACCTGATTTTATTAGTCCTCCAAGTGTTCTACGAGATATTCGGTAGGAAGGTCTGTTTATCAATGACGCTCGGTTTGTGTTGTTCTTCATCATTGCACGAAACTTAAAAGGTGTCAACGTACGACAGTTTTGGATATGATTAGTTAATGAACGAAAGTCCGACGTCGAGGAAGTCATCGGTTCCGTTAGAGAACATGATTGCTGAAAGATGTTCTACGGCAAGAGCATCTCAGATGTATTTTTCTTCTATTCAGCATTAAAATAAGAAGTTTATAGCCGGTTCGCTTTTTTAATATTGAAAATTTTATATACTTGAAATTACAAAAATGTCTTCTTGCAATGACGTCGTCATCATCAACATTGCCATATACGATAAACAAACAAAATTCGAACAGGTTTTTCAAGCGTCTATATGCAGTGACGTGTAGAATCAAACAAGCTTTTCTTTTTTTCTTTCTTCGTTTATTCTTCCGAAGTTTTTTCTTTTCTCTTCAACTTCTTCTTCTCCTCTTGAGAGAAATATAAATCAACATCATAGAGATGTTGATGGCATCTCAGCCAACGTCGACCACTATTCAAACATTACCTTCAGATCAGTCGTACGAACAGAAATAGCAACAAGAATTTGAAGGTATAATAAACAGTTGAATTCTTCAATCCTAAAAAGACAAAATCGGCAATTCCATGGATTATGATGATGATATCAATAACAATCATGCTAAACTAGCCGGCAGTGATACGGATGCTCAAGGGTTATCTGAACAGCCGATTTTAACCTTATCCAATCGTCGAACGACGCGTCGAATCATGGGTGGTACACATGAATCAATGTCTTCGGCGAGTCTAAACGAGCCCGATCCAAACGTCTTCCTCATCTCTTCTGATACCAACTCGCATAATACGATACGGAAAACGAAACATGATGTTAAACGTTTTGTTATGTACATAGATGAACAATTCGGTGAACAAATATCTTTACATACGATAGCAGCGGATGTGCTTTGTAATTACCTGAAACATTACTTTGAAAATACGAAGAAATTCGATGGAACGCAGTATGAACCAGATACATTGAGAAGTTTTCTTTTGAGCATTGAACGTTATTTAAAAAGTAAAAACTATCCGTATAACCTGATGGAATCGCCATTTTTTCAACCGTGTCGGCAAGTAATTATGAATAAACGAGAAGAATGGAAACGTTTGGGTGGAATGAATCAAACCAAAGCACCCGTATTTGCATCGATCAATACTCAAAGTTTGACCGTATTCGATCGAACAAAGCCCGACGGGTTATTACTTGAAATGTATGTTCATATAACAAAATTATGTCAGTTATCCGTTACACAATTGCTCTGGGGTGATATTTTATTAGTTGAGGAACAATATCTTATTTATCAACAAGATAAAATCGAAAATCCGTCATTTAGGTACGCCTTTCTGTAATTATTTTAGTATAACAAAATGAATTTGTCTCTTCTCTAGACTTTATGCTACACCACATCAATTATCAACGTGTCCAGTGCAAGCCTATCGCCTTTATGCAACTCACCGGCCACCTCAATGCAATACGCCGCAATCGCCGTTCTTTCTCACTCCACGCTCGACGAATGCTCATCATGTTTGGTAATACTAATCGGGAAAATCTTCTCCATCATCCCAATTCTCTCTTTTAGGTATAAAACAACAGCAGTCGGTAAAAATCTTGAACAGATACTTCAAAAAGCTATCCAACATGCCAATATTCTGAAACAAACTTCGTCATCCTCATCCTCATCATCACCAAACGTGATCAAACCACCATCAACGTCAAGTCCCAATGGGAAACGAACCGAACCGCCGACCAATTTCTTTCCACTAGCAAAACGAATCTCATCTTCCGTCCAACCATTGAATCTCTCAGTTGCTTCCAATATCGAAGAAGACAGTGGCACCTCGTCATCCTCTCCGACCAACTCATTCTCACATGAACTAATACCAGTTGATACTTGTAAATCTACTCCCATCTGGGATGAGAGTGTCACGGATATCTTATTAACCGTCGCTAAACAACGTGATACTCGAACGGCAAAGATCAATACGCTTCGAGCGTACCTCGAGGAAAAATTAGGCTTCGTCGAATTCTTATGTCTCTATCGTGGTTTTAAATCTGAACCAAAATTAACATTTCATCAAACACCATGGGAACATTATCAACGTTTTTTACCTGTTCTTTTTACATTACTTACACTTGACAATACAACAGTTTGATCAATGTCATTCTTTTCCTCTTCGTTTTTTTTCCTCCTAAATCACAAATCTTCAAGGTCATACATTTTGTTTGTACATCTTGAACGTGTTATAAACAAGAAAGATATGTTAAATATACGTATATAACATAAATGAATTTTTCTTTATGATGGACATACAATCAAAAGATAGAATAATACAAAAATTCATTGAGACTCTACTCGGCATCGATAGAAAGCTGCTTCACAACATATTCGATTAGCATATCCACTAACGATAAGTTAGCTTTATTGGTTTTTCTTTGTGTAATAGAACTAGACTTATAACGAAGTTTATATAACAGACCATCACTGTACAAATCATTTTGTCATTGTTACCGGACGGGTGCCATTGGCGCGAACAGGTGTGTTGTGTACAGATTCCGCTCTGAAAAGAAAGATTATAGAAATGTTCGAACGATATCGAGCAAAAGTACCTCGTCCGATCATAACTGGTCAAGGAATTTGCGAGTGAGTTTAACCGTCGTGTTTTGCGTTTCGATCGGAATCGTTGAAAGAATGACGGTTTCTTTTGTGAAGTTGGCGAAGTTGAAAGCAAATCAGGATGATCGAGAATGAAGTTATCTGCTTCTGATATTACGATAACAATATCAATAAGTAGAAAACTCAAAGATGGTTATATTTACGTAGAGGTAGTTTTCTTGAACTTGAACGAAACATATTTCGAAATGACCGAGTGATCGTGTTGTGGCGACGAAAGGATTCTGCACCTGTTGCATGAGAATAAAGATACGGATCTGAAAAGCGTTTGGATTTCGTAAATTAGTGAATTTCAATGGGTATAAAACGTTAGACAAACCTGCAGAAAAACTATGTGGTAAGGTGTTAGCTCCTGTTGTCGAATTCGGTGAGGAAATCACGCCGTTTTTCTTCGGTTTAACTTTGTCGACATTCTTCTTTTGACGAAAGGAAGCAAAACTTCGTAGTGAATTCATGAATGATCGTGATTTTCGAGGTTTCGGCAATGGACTATTCTCATCGGGTGGTGTTGGGAAAATATCCGTTGTTGTTGTCCGAGATAACGACGAAGTGTAGTTATAAAACTAAAACAACAAAGAAATTTCATGTATGTTACGATTCTTTTTCGAAGTCGTTTTTGACATAATCTCATTCATGTGATTTTGTTGTTATTCGACAAATATTGACAGCATTGAGGAACTGACATTTCTCGTCATAGAATAATCGAATCGAGCTTTATTTTTTTGACGTATATTACTTTCAACTTACATTGTTCGCCACGGGAGGATCGCTCGGCGACGCATCTGTCGACGGTGTTTCTTGATGATTCTCTTCGATTCCGGATGCTTCTAAAAAAGCAAATCGTCGACATATGTTGAGTCATCATTAATGACAAGCTAGTGTTTTCAGCGTGAAAATCATAATACCTCGTCTATAACTGGACCAGCTTTGATTATCAATATTACTTTCAAAATCAGATCCATTGTTAACTAGTTAAATTATATAGAAAAACAATCGACTTAGCATGATCAGTTAGAACGTCCAAGCATGAATATAAGCAGCGTGATTTGATGTGTTACACTTACCCCGAGCAGTATCTTCTTCGGATAGGGTTGAGAACTAGAAAGTACAGAATAGAATTAGAAAGATTGGATGAGATGAATTATTTTCAAAATTGAGTTCTTTATAGAGCGAAAATACGCGGAGATTTGTACAGAAATATGGATTAAGAGAGAAAAAATTTACGCAAATGTCCTCTTGATTTCAAGCGATTTTGTAAACGATTGATGAAATCGGGATTTTGTAAATCCTCGTTTGCTAGCTGAGAATCGAGAGGAACGGAGAGAAGTTCTTTTTTCCTATCCGGAAGCTTTTGTTCAGCTGAAGAGTCTTTGGAGTGGATTATTGACGTAGTTCCAAATAATTTCAATGAAGCATTTGGTGCCAACGTAGATCCTTGCACTGTAAAGCCCAATGATTCGATTGGCATCAGTGGAATCGCGGTTGCTCGCGAACACGATCGGTCTTTTTCGACTTGATCACTATCGGACGAAGATGATCCCGTCATAGTCTGTGCGATCTCATCCATACTTGGACACGAATTTGATCGCGTCGATTTCAGGCTAGGTAGAGGCGGATGGTATTGGCGTTGAGGACTAACATGTTTCCGCCGTACATCCGGACTTGTACATAGATCGAGTAGAATGCGATTTAAGTTAGTTGTGCTACGGCTGCGCACCATGTTGTAATCGCTTATGTTTTTCTTCCTACTTTCATCCAGTCAGAGACAAATAACATCAATACACTACTCTCACTTGATGTAAAAGAACATCATAAAAGGCCGTGGGTGTCTAATGTAATCGACGAGGAAAAATAATATTTGAAGACTAGTGTATACAGAAGAACAAAAAAAAGTCGAACGAGCAAGATGAATAAATATCGATGACGCGTACGTTTCGATCAAAGATGTTATCAACAAAAACATGTGTATTCGATGTTTTACCTCGATTCGAATAATTGACTCCGGATATTGCGGAGTAATTCGAACATCTTCCTTATAAACCGTACTCGTAACATATGAAAATGGAATTGAAACATCGGTATACAGTTTGTCCGCTGAAAGGAGAAAGAAATTTAACATTTAGATAAATCACAATTCATGAACATACTGATATCAGTATTGAGTTTTTTGTTCCGTTTTTGTCGATCGAATATCTTCAGATGAATTTCGTTACTCTTATCATCGCAATCAAATATGAAACTTTCATCCCAGAAGCTAAAAAAAAGAGTTCATAATGAAATTCAAGCCATACAAATACGAAGATAGCATACGGATTGAGGCCATTTTTAGCAATACTTGTTTGATGTATTTGTTTGGGATGATTTAATTCCAAGACACAGAATGGTTGTTCAACATCTAAAATTATTAAATTTTCTTCTGACAAAGCAACGTTCTCCTCTCGGAAAAGAACATCTTACTGTGTAATTTGACAGCTTTAACAATGCGAATGAGGAGTTTCTTTGTTTTCGCTTTCGGCGGAACAATCTGTTGATGATTATCAATGATTGATGGAACAGGAAAAGCTGCCCTCTGCTCCACAGGCTGCACCGTCGTTGCTATCGGTCTCTAGAATCATTCGAAAACTCTCGTATATCGCATACGTCAATTCCTGCTAACTATTTAGGTCAAATAAGCAAACAATCAGCCCTTGTGGTGATGTTTTCTTAAGCAGAACTAATCGTGCTCTTGATGTGAGGGATCTCGCTCGACTTGAATACACTTTTGGAAGAGAGAAATCTTGAACTGACAATGAACTTACTGTGTCCGGTAGTTGATTACTAATTTTGTCTTGTTGAAATGCAAATTGAACTGTAGTTTGATGAATGAGTTCGGTGAGAAGCTTGAGAATCGCTTGTTTTCCATCCGTTGTTGAAACCTTCGAAAAGAAGAAATGTGAATTAATTTCCATGGAGAAATCGTTCGTCATTTACATTTGTTGAGTCGATTAGTTCGACTGATCCGATTTGTTTCGCAGTGAATCTTAATTGAATTTCATTAATCAAAGAGATTTCAAGATCACCAACGAGTCGGCGTATTTCTACGAGATACTGTTCATGTTGAATTGAATTTAACAAAGTAAACACAGATGAATGAATAGTTAATGTAGCATTAACGACCTTGAAAGAAAATATATTATTAATCGAAAATGAAAATTGAAAAAGAAAGAACTGTTTTACAGTTGACGAGTTGCACGTCTGGCAAATATTCGATATTGTTACATTGGAAAATTGCAAGGACTCGACTTGAGGATAATCCTAGAATGCAAAAGATGTTTAATCAGGCAAGGGGAAGATATAGAAATTGAAGACGAAAAGGATCTGATTACCTTGCTCGAAAGAAGCGTCTGATTCTTCAGCGAACGAAGAAATTCGTCAGCGAAGCGCTTTTGAATATAATTAGAGGAATTGAATAGACAAGCGAGAAAAGAATAGGATTGTTTGTATTTCAAAAGAATCTTCGATTCACAGATGATCGAAAGAATGAGAAAGAACGTCAGAAAAGAAATCACAATGGTCCAAAATAGAAAGTATTCCGGCGTCGATAAATATGTGAAATACGTTTCATAAAAGGAAAGGAAATGCTGTCGATGATATTCAATAAATGTTTGATGATTTGAAGACATTGTTGATGTCGAAAGAGTTTTCTTATGTTGTTACATATCTCATGGACAACAGCACTCGGAAAAAGAAACTCAATAATCAGCGTCATCGAATTGTCGTCGTTCGGCATATTTTCTCGTTGTTACACTCGCGCGCGTGTGCATTTTATCGTTATGAGTGAAGCAACGATGACGACGAGGAAAAAGAAACTTCTGCATGAATATTATGTGTTGATGATTCTTTTCGGAAACAAGCAAATGATGCTTGATCTTACGAGATACAAACGTAAGAAATCATTTTCGCTTGAAATGACAGGACGTCGTTGACAACACAGAGAAGAAAAGATTTGCATTCATCTGATCGAACGCATATTGAGTAAATATACATAAACAAATCATATCAAAGAAGATTAACAAATTTCTCAGATTAATCCGTATCGAGGTCGAACACACTCTGGTCTTCTTACTTACATATTTTGTTAAACATCTGTCGTTTAATGTTCGCCGGTACGTTTCGCTCATATTTCGACAGCCGATGCATCGTTCTCGTTCAATCCATTGACGTAATTCTTTGTCGACTTTCTCTGTCAATTCATTATTTACAGTGATTTGTTCGTTGGGCAGGTTTTTCACATGATTTGATACAACCGGCTGATGTCTGCACGATTTGCTCTTGTTGTCATGTTGACGATATCGCGTGATGAAAACGAAAATAATCGATACGATACTCATAAACATCAACAATTGGGCAAAATAATTGAAGGATTTTGTCAGCGAGATGGACGATGCATTCGGAGAATTCGCACAGTATGACTCCGAATAGTCGCGATAACATTTTGGGCCGTTGGAATTCAGTATCGATAAATAGATCGGAAACGGGGACTGAGAACGATACATATCCAGGACATCGAAATGTTTGTGTTTAGATAATGATTGACGAGCGATGAGTCGCGCATGTTCAGTACAACGGAGATCGGTATAAGCTGCATAGAACGAACTAACATGACGTTGAAGGATATGTGACATCTGTGGTTTCCATTGGGAATTAGAGAATTTATGAACATGCCAAGCTTCGTCAAACCATCGGTTTAATTTGTCGTCTGATCGTTTGATCTTTCGAATGAATTAAAGGAAGATCATGTGAACAGCGAATCATCGATCATGAGTACTCACCTGTCGATTGAATCGTTTGAAAGCGCTTTGTGGCGAATGATTTGCTTGTTGTGAAGATAAAATTTCTCGTTCTTTCGCCGGAAAAAACAATTTATTATTTGATATATTCAATGAATTAATAATCTTTATATATTTACTTCCGAAAGGACGTCAGCTGACAATGTCTCATCTACGAGTCTCGGCTGAGTTTTATGCTCACGAATAGAATTTGAATGTTTACCGTTCATATCAGAATCTGCAATTATTCTCGCGGAAGACATCTACCGTAATCAACAAATTATTCGAGACAGGAAAACAAATTCTCTCCTGACCTGAATCGAGTTGTTCTGATCAACTGTTGCAGTATGTTCATCTGTTTTCGCAGACAATCTTGTGATTGTTTCTTTATTAATCGACGGGCTCTAAAGAGAAATCTTCTACAACTGTAGTTTTCGTTAAGATTAGTCTTTACCAAAGGCAATTTCCGTTGTTCGTCAATTGAAAGCGCAATTGGACGAAGAACAAATACAGATTGTGCGATAATAAGTACAACAAATACGACTGAAAATGGCGAGTTTTTGTAACCTTTTCTCGACGAAAGTTTTGCAGTTAAAAACGAGAGGATGGAAATAACTAAGAATAGCGGAAAGAGTATTCCGTAGTTTGTTGTTTTTGGCAAGAAGAATTCGAGCAATTTAACGTAAGGCCAAAAGATAATCGTCAATAGATAGACGAGAGATTGAAACAGAACTTTGAGTAATGCATATAACAGAATCGGTATTCGAAAGATGAAATATAGAAGGATTGTTAAACCAATTGATTGACAAATAAATCGACGGATGCTTTGGAGACGATCTTTGTTGAAAATTTGTTTCCGTTGCAATTGAGAGATTGAATTAGTTACTACATCTAATAATGTCTTCTGAGTTGGATCTGATGCAGTCGATGACATTCAAGTCTGAATTTCCTACTACAAAAGAAAACAAATAAAATCTAATAGAAGAAGAAAAGGAAAGTTAACTCATGTTCAGATGAAACGTGATCACTATGTTGTTTTTCTTATGTCATGTCTACTTAATTCTTTTTTCTGACAAATACTCCGACACGCAAAAAGTATCTTATTATACAATGGAATATCAAGAGAAAAATGATTATTCGATGTATGCGTGTCGTTGTCAAACTGAACCTTAATAAAGTATCTCGAGAGGATGGTTTCTCTCATTTTTTTTTGTGTCTACTCTCAAAACGTCCTGTTAGAAATGTATATTTGAAGAAAATATCTTCGCGCATGGATGTAATGCAATAACAACTAGAACAGAAAAAAAACCTCGCAAAGAAAAAGAACGAAAAAAAGAAGTGGCCGATTGATGCTCACATCTCTTTCTTTTCTAAAATACGAATAAGAGAAAAAACACACTATTCACTGACGATTTGTTTTCTTCGAGCTGACGCACGTTTTCTTCCAGATCCGTAATAATCTACTCAAACTTCATACTTGTTTTAATCAATCATGATTAGATTTGTCAGAATCAAGTCATGTTTAATTAATAAATCGTGCTTATTAACATAAGGTATTTGTCAAAATCTATGAGATAGAATGCAAATGCCTGGCAAAAGAAGAATGATGTCTATCGGACGTTTCCAATCGAAGAACTCTTGTTTTCATCGATAATTCGATCAGAAATCGTCTAGGAAAGAGAATTAACCGATCGTTCGACTTTTCTCTGTTCGCGGACAAAGCAACGGTTATAGAAAAATAAATAAATCGACTCCGAAACGTAACTTTCGCCTGAATAATGACATTATTTCTCTAATGGTGTACCTAATAAATATGTTGTCAAGCATTAAATTGCACACGTATGACATATGAATTTGGTTGGAAAGATCAAACATGAAATCGGCACTCTTATCGGAAAGTTTCATTCTGTGAAATGCCTTAATCATCCTCGATAGGAGCAAAAATAAGCTTCGGTGGCCCATTAATCAATGATATGCAGAAATAATTTACTTTTTCCGCTGGGTTCTGCAGAACATGTCGATAACAAATGCTGTTTATCGCCGTAAAACACGTTTGTAGTCAAATAAGTAATAAATGCATTACTCGCAACACTTTGTCGCTTTATCATTACCTACTGAGCAACAATTCCACGCATATGTCTGATGATCAGACGCTGGCAGAGACATATTTATCCATTAATTGGAATAATATTTTCCATGGTGTAGAAAATATTCCGACTGTATCTCAAATTGTCGCTTACTCTTTTGATCTTATTTAAAAAGAAGGAAAAAAAAGAAACGCTTTCTCCTAGCAATTCTCGTTACATGCTACGTGTAAATAGTCTCTTTGAATACAGTCGATTTCTATTGGGCGGAGAGCTCTTTTAAACATTAATAATGAAAGTACCACTGAATTCTAGAAGGAAAGTAACGACGCCAACGGCAAACTCATCAAAGTTGTTTTTCAACAAGAGCTGCGCGTACTTTCTCGAAATGTTCGCATAAGACCAGCTGGTAAATTTTTCCAGAAGATCATTTTAGCATCGTTTTCGAACAGGCATTCATTTTCCCAGCAGATAAAGAGGATTTGAAAAGCTAATCTCGTCTTAATATGATGTACTTTGAAATCCCAGAAGAAAGTGTATTTCAATCTTTTATAACCACAAGTATTAACCAATAGCGAAACATATTGTTTGTAATTTGTTCGTCGCCGCTGTCATCAAACCGAAAAGAAAAGCTATGTACGACTGACAGCGACCTCGAACCACGATTGAATTATTTCGATTTACAACGATTGATTAATATCCATTCATTAGATTGACTTCGCTTCAGATATGTTTACATCATTAATATCTGTCGAAGGATTTTAGAAATCGGAGACATGCTTTCTGTCGACAAGAGAATAAAGTACGATTGTCAATAGATAATCAACCAAAACATTGATTGATACACTGAAGGAGATTACTATTGTAATTCGTTTGATCTGTATAATCATTAGATAATAGAGTCGATTTTGTTATTATTTGTGACTAAGGAGAAAAATCCGTTTCGTATATCAATCAAAGGAAATAGTTGAAAGTTGTGGAAACCTAAGTTATAAATATATATTTTTTTTTGCAAATATATTCTTTCTTTCTTCTCGGTAAACTGACACACAAACAACGCGATATTACACCGATACAAGAATATAATATCAATAAAACCTATTGAATTAGCACAGTTCTATCACAAGAAAAAAAAAGCTCAAAAGAAATCAAATGAAGTGTTCGTTGCCTTTAAACCACTAGAATTTCAATTCTTTTGGTTGTTCCCATGGAAATTCAGGTCTACCGAAATGGCCATAACATGCTGTCTTAGCATAGATGGGTGTTTTCAAGTTCAAATCCCTACAAATAACAATGTTTTCAAACAAATCGACATTCGTAGTTAATTAACATACCGAATGATGATACCAGGACGAAGATCAAAGTTATTCTTAACTATATCAAGTAATTCTTTATCTGTTTTTGATGAAGTACCATATGAAAAAACAGCGATCGATAATGGTTCGGATATACCGATACTGTAGGAAACTTGCACAAGGCAACGACGGCAAAGTTTAGCTTTGACAAGCGACTTCGCTACCCAACGAGCTGCATATGCACCTGAACGATCGACTTTTGATGGATCTTTTCCACTAAAAGCACCACCACCATGAGCACCCCAACCACCATATGTATCAACGATAATCTTTCGACCAGTTAAACCAGCATCACCTTGTGGTCCACCGATTTCGAATTTACCTGACGGATTCAAATAGTAAATTGTTTTTTCATCAAGGAATTTGGCTGGTACGACCGGTTTGATGATTTTATTGAGAAGATCGTCTCGTAGTTTTTCTTGTGTTACTTGAGGACTATGTTGTGTTGAAATGACGATCGTATGCACACGTTTAGGAATGCATGCACCTTTATCGAATACATATTCAACAGTAACCTAAACGAAATGGGCGTTGATTTCGGCAAATTTGGAGCGTGTAAATGACTTACTTGAGTTTTGGAGTCCGGTCGAAGATAATCTAATTCTCCGCTGCGTCTTAATTCGGCCATTTTAGCATTTAGTTGATGGGAAAGAACGACTGTCAATGGCATACATTCTTCAGTTTCATCAGTTGCATAGCCAAACATAAGACCTTGATCACCAGCGCCAATATCTTCATCGGCTTTCTTCTCATGCACAGCTTGGGCAATATCGGGCGATTGTTGTTCCAAAGCAACGAGAACATTCATGGTGTTAAAATCAAAACCTTTGCTGGATGAATCATAACCAATATGACGTACTGCATCTCGAATAATTTTTTGATAGTCAAGTACAGCTTTTGTTGTGATTTCACCACAGACCAAGACCATACCGGTTTTGGTGCATGTTTCTATAGAGATGAGTTAGACAGACATCGTGAACGGATGTAGAATAGTTACCACATGCAACTTTGGCATTGGGATCTTGTTCTAAGCATGCATCAAGTACAGCATCACTGACTTGATCACAGATTTTATCTAAATTTGCCAATCGGGGAGTAGCTAAGATGAAATCGATGGTGAGTGTTTCTTACCGGGATGTCCTTCACCGACCGATTCGGATGTGAACAAAAAGACTTCACCGTGTGAATTGTCTGATTCCATGATGAGGGCTCAGGTGAGATACAAATATCTTCTAGAACAAATAAGAAATGCGAAAGCTGGTATGGTCCGATCTAGAGAATGCATTTTTTCTTCTGACGGCTTTATTCGAGTTTTTCTTCTCTTCTTAACAATCTATATCATCAACGAAATATTGAGACAAAAAAGAGGTATGATGTACTGATAAGAGTGAATACTTCTATTTTTTTTTCTTTGTTTTTATAGTAATAGAAAAAAAACCAGGCGCATATGCAAACGTGCTCACAGCGTGAGAGAAAAAACGTAAGGAAAGGACAAGGTACGAGGATGATAATCAGAAATAGAAGAATGTCGACAAAGTCGTTGACGAATAACAACAACAAGTGAATGTGATAAAAGGACAAAAAGATTAGCAGTACTGCTCGTATGACTATCCTTAATTTTTCTGTTGAAACCAAACCTAGAAAGGTACATCGAAAGCAGCGGATCTGGCAAAGTAATACGACCCTTGGATATTCCACTCAAGGACAACGAATCACCTGAAAACAGACGACGGATGAATACAGAAAAGGCGCACACGTATAATTTGAAAATGTACGGTCCAATACATGCTGTTCTCGCGCGTATAAAGAAATAAAAATGAGACCTACTACTATCGACATGGTCGTCTCCTTTTCTTTCCTCTTTTTTTTCTCTTCTCTCTTTCTTTTCGCGTTTCTTGATTACGCAAACGTGTATGCGCAGCTTCGAAGCTCAAGCGCTACGAAAAAAAGCGAAAGGAAAAGAACGAATGATAGTTATCACAAGGTGAAGACTTTCAATCGATGTGCCCCGGAAAAAAAATGTCGATTAGAAATCATTGCCAAGTCTAATTTATCTACTAATTCTAATCAGGATATAAACATCGGAAGAGGAGGAAATGTTTTGATTGGAACTCGTGAATTCTTGTTTACTTGAAGTGTCAACTCGATATCTGATTGGCATCAACTAGTATAACATGCACGCGTTCTGCCATACGTACAAAGTGTGGATGGATTCTAATACATAGAGACTAAGAGCGTCGTAAGCATTATGAAACTAGTAATTTTTTTCGTGCGAGAGCCTTGAAAATAGCTTTATAATCATGACTTAACAAAACATATTTTTGATAAAAAAGAAAACTCGTTCCGTGCGAAGATAAAGATGGGGACAATAACATTGGGGGATATATCACTTGTGCTTATCTCAATTAAAGTTTTAGAATACCAAAAGTAAAACATAAGCTGGAAATCCACGTGACATGAGGAGGATGTTTTGTTTCTTTCTGTGGTAGTTTGATCAAAGGTAACTCATGATGAAAAGATAATGAAAAAAGTCCATGCAGGGAAAAAACCATCGTATATATGCAGGCACATGTTAATTTCCAAGGAAAATATAATCATCTAGAACAAAAATGTCATTGATTGAATGGAGAGATGTGTTCGACGATATATTCCAGGATTATTCGGATACATGGTCGTTGAATCAAGCACATCGAAATGACAAAAATTTGTTCAATAGATTGCAAACGCAAAACTGTCTCACTCAAACAAGATATGCGGGGTAGATTGACACGATGTTCGCTTCTTTTCATATTACTTACGTTTCCGTCTAGATTTCACTGTCCAAAATGTTCTCATTATTGGACATCAGCTAGAGCTAAAGTGGATTTATATTATCCAAAATCTCATCAAAGTCTTGGTCAAGTCAAACTGCGATTATATGGCCAAGAATGTCTAAAATGTTCCCGAAAAATGGTCTATTATGTTGATCCCATCTTCAGCATCGATGTTATTCAGATCATACTGGAGAAACTTCATGAACGGGTGGGCTGGTTTTGTTACGGTAAAGAACGACCCGAAAAAACTGTCACTGATACATCAGATCGAGGCAGAGTCATGAATGGTCCACATGAGAAGGAATTGTGCGAGGCTTGTAAAATGGGACGATGTGATCAAGTGTAACAATCAAACTTTATTGCTATACTTTTTTTTGTATAATTTGCACTGATAAAAATGATTATCTCATCATAAAAACGCTATTTTTTCGTGTTAGATGAATGAAAATAGTATTCACATTCATAAACATGGAATAAATGATTTCTTTTTATGTGTTTGCCTAATTTCAAAATAGATCGACAAGTATCTTCGGCATAAATATTTGCTTGTTGGAAAAGAATAAAAAAAAACAGTCAGTTATCCGTTTTCATTAATGAATATTTGCAGAAAAGAAAAACAAAACAAACGTACTGGATGCGTTATACTTTGCGTCTGGTTACATCGTGTATACTGAGAACAGAAGAAGAAGAAGAACGAAGAGAAGAGAAAAACCGATTTGAATACATGTATATAAATGAGACACAATTAAAACATATTCACTTGAGTTCTAGTCATTAGAATATACAACGTATAAATTAACCTAGAAGAACAAACGTATTGGCCGATTAATCGGAGATTTCTTATGGAAAATGTTATTTCTTTTGTTGTAGTGAATTCGCCAACCAGTCCATTGCTTCGTTCAATCCAGTACCTTTGATAGCCGAGGTTTTGAATATTTGATATTTACGATTCTTCAACGAGGTCAAACCAATTGAGTTCGCCACTTCACTAACGCTCATACAACCTTCGAGATCTTGTTTGTTAGCGAACACGCACAGAACCGCATTTTTCAATTCTTCTTCTTCGAGCATGGAAACAAGTTCATGTTTCGATATGGTTATACGATCACGATCCATGGAATCAACAACGTAAATAATAGCGTCCGTATTGGAATAATAGCAACGCCAATAAGGACGAATGGATGTTTGTCCACCTGAACAAGAGGAAGAAAAAGTGTGAAAATCTATTTCTCTGAGTAGATCTTACCCAAGTCCCAAACTTGAAATTTTAAATTTTTGTATTGTACAGTTTCGACATTGAAGCCAATGGTTGGAATGGTTGTGACAACTTCACTGACTTGAAGTCGATAAAGTATTGTCGTTTTTCCCGCTCCGTCAAGACCCAATATTAAGATACGTCGTTCTTTACTACCAAACAAGCCCGAGAAATAACCCAATAGATTGCCCATGTTTGAAAAGTTTCAACAAAAATTTCGCTTGTAATGTTGAAAACAAAACAAAACGTTCTGTAACTTTAATTTCAATGTCGTACCTTCCACGTCGTCAATTAGTGACTATTACATTTGTCTATGAAATCGTCGTGATGATAAATGATTGGTTTTTCTTTCAATTGTCAAGTACGAATAAAAATTAGATAATATTATATGTTTCGACATAAGTTGACAAAGCTTTGATAGATGTCGCCGGTGTCTATCAAACCGTATAAAATTCATTCGGTGATATATCACTGCGAAATGACCCATCCGTCGATGTTAATAGTTAATCCTACTAAGATATTATTATTCAGTGGATGATTGTAATCATCGCAAGAAGATAGTGTATATATTATCATTACGCAAGTACAAACATCATATCGATTCGCATACACATGTAGCTTGATTCTTTGTCTCTCGTTCATCAACACACTTTTGCTTCTTTCGAATACAATTACATAATTCTCTCCTACTGTCTAGTTCACAGTAAGTTACATTTCTTTTTTTGCACGCCGAATCGACCAGTGTTGATCAAACTTCTAATCGTATTGATATTTGATCCATTAGTTGTTCACATTAGGGTATATTTTTCTTCTGGGAAATCATTACAGCCGCGTGAGAATTTTTCCTCCCGCGCGCACGTTTATCTTTTTTTCCTCGCCATAAAAAAAAACCCTCAACATTTAACTACGAAACAACTTGTTTTCGCCATCGCTGACCTTCAACACTATCAATAAAAACGAGACACTCACACATTCTCGACTTGGCTTTTGTTAACAATGTATTAAGAATGCGTTATGCACTTCGTGGGTTTTTTTAAATACCGTACGCGTATTCACATCGTATGAACAAGAAGAAAGCGTGTCGATTAAAAAAATTCTGATAGTTTTTAATGCGCTAAACACGATGATACAGAGAAGAAGAAGAAGAAGAAGAGGAGAAGGAACAAGAAATCATGATTAGATCAATCGTTCTGGAACTTTTTTGTAAAAAAGTGCGTTAAGAATAAGATAATGAAATAATAATAATAATAATAATAGAGCAGAAGAAAAACAGCATTGACTAATATGTTAAAAGTAGGAACAGAAAAGAAAAGATGGTGAATCACACAAAAAAAGCGAAATGTTTTGGTCTTTTTGATGTTGAGATGATATGACGGACAAAAAAAGGAAACTTCATTGATTGGAACTAATAACCACAATTCTTCAAGTATTCACCGATCTTATTGGTTGCGCCCACTAACATTTCAGGCTTTTGATTGATACCGATTGAGATGATGTAAGCTACAAGAAAGCAATCGACATGACGAACGAAACAAATCAACACGTGCGAAACGTACCTTGATTCAATTTCATGATGACCATTCCATCGGCACCTTTTCGTAAAATAACGAAATTGTCTTGATTACGAATGAAGATATATTTCTCGCCGTTGACTACAATACCATTTGGTTGAGTGGAGAACGCTTTGGGCAACTCATCTTTCAGATTATCGATTGTCTGAGAAAAGAGAGATGGAGAGTTTATTCGAGGGATTTCTATCGAAATTGATCTTACTGGAAAGTTTGGAGAGGCCGCCCATCGTGATCCATCAGCGCCAAATATTCCGGCGTGTGTAATACCTTGACTCGTCAAATTGGTTACGTACTGATCCCAGCCTGCCATTTGTTCTATCTAACGAGATGCGAATGAATTCTTTTGTTGCGTTAGTTATCGCTGACGATAAATATGAGACAACGCCAACTGTTTGCAGCAATCTAGAAACGACGAAAAGATAAGTAGACGAAAGAACGAAAATAAGCGTAAAACAGATAACGGATGGCAGTTTTGAATTTATGATAAATGCGAGAGAAAAAAATGTATACGCAATGACAGAATTTTATGCGAGTCGTACGTAAACAATGAAGAAATGAAAGAGGGAAACGTGCGTGTCGGGAGTCAGTGTGGTTCGTTGAAGAATTTCGGAAGGTTCGACAAGAAGAAAAAACATGCGAAGTTTTCGTTTGAGATGATTTCTAAAAAATCATACCCGATAGAAGAAAAAACACAAGCAAAATAAATTATGTCGAAGTATTCATACCCTATGTAAATGAAGAATCTTTCGACAAGCACAAAAAAATCTACTATATATATTTTGCGTTTCGTCCTCTTCTTCACTCGTGGCGACGGTGAATAGACATGTAATAATTGTAAAGATAACAAAATGAAAAAAAAACCTAATAGGACATCGAATAGAAACAGCTGGCTGTAAACGACGGTTCGTTGAAGCGACATCTATCTGAACAAATCTTAACGTGCTATCGATCAAATTTTTATTTCACGAATGTTTCGGCAGAAAAAAAATTTTCGACAGGAATTTGTCCGAGAAGTTGATCCAATGCACTCAATTGGTTCATTACTTGAATTTTGAACCATCCGCTGCCTGCATGTATGCCTCTTTTCGTAATGATTTGAGATATTATTTAGTTTATTTCTTCTTTCTGCATTTTATGGTAATGATTGACTCATTGGTTTGTTTTTAAGAAAATTTCTACAATGGATCTCGCATCGGTAGTCGAAGCACTGCAAGCAACACTATCACCTCAATTACGTAAACAAGCGGAAGACAAACTTACTCAAGTACAACAAGATTTCTCTCGAATTTAGTTTTCATTCGATTGACATTTTAGATTTGCAAAACCACCGGGTTTGTGCCATGTCTTATTCAGATCATTCTCAACGAACAATGCGACATGGGAGCTAGACAAGCTGGTAAACAAGCGCTGCGTTCGTCTTCGAATTCAGGACTAAGCTTCTCTATTGTTTTCTTCAGGTGCCATTTATTTGAAGAATCATGTCAATACTTATTGGTCGGATTATAATGAACCAACGGCAGATCCAGACATAATGACATTAGCAAATGCAGTTAATGTTAATGTAAGTCCAGCAGCTGGTGATAATACACCGAAATTATTTGTTATATCCGAGCCTGATAAAGATTATCTTCGAAATGTTCTTATTGATGCTATTATACGCACCAAAGATCCATTGAGGTAGGGAAAACTCTTCTATTGAGCGTAGAAAGTGAAATCGATTTCTAAATTTAGATGTCAATTAATTACAGCCGCTGGTACAATGATAAAAAGTGATTTTCCATCTAAATGGCCACGATTTATCAACCAAATTCACACATGTCTTTCAACGGATAACATCGGTACATGGGAAAGTGCTCTACTTGTTTTCTATACACTCGTTCAACACTATGAGTAAGATTGGCGTTGACCAAACCGTACTTCTCATGCGAATCTTTAGATACAAGAAAGTGGAAGATCGAAATCCAATCGACGAGGTCATGAATGTTCTTTTACCACTTCTTCATCAACGATTTATGCAACTCTTCGCTCACAATGATTCCGATCAATCTGCACTTATTCAAAAGCAAACCTTGAAGATATTCCATGCCTATACTCAAGTAAGTTTCATCAGCGAGCTTTCGCTAACATCATCTTCGACTGCTATTTTTCAGCTGCACTTGAATTTTCGCGTCTTACCTACGCAAACAATGACTACATGGCTTGACACATGCTGTGCAATGATTGAACGACGATTACCGGAACGATTAGATGCACTGGACGAAGAAGATCGTGCCGAACATCCTTGGTGGAAATGTAAAAAATGGGCGTTTCACATTCTTATTCGAACATTCGAAAGGTAAGAAAAAGATGAATGTTGACCTCAATGGCACGAATTACTTGTAGACACGGATCACCAGCGAATTTACCCAAAGGACAATCACCGGATAAAATCGAATTTGCAAACTTTTACTTGAAGGGGTATTCTGGTATGAGCAAACCTTCTTTTCTTTACTGAATTCCGATAGAGAAAAGACGAATCTTTGTAGGAAAAGTCATTGGTCTGGTTTTCGGTGTACTCGAAGCTTATAGACAAAAGATTTTTGTATCGCCACGCGTGTTACAATTGTCATTGAATTACTTACGTGAAAGGTAAATCATCTCATTCGAACGATAATCGACTAACATTTTGTATTTATAGTGTCCGCCATGCATTTTCTTGGAAAATTATGCAAGATCATGTTGTTGTGCTTATTCAAGATATTATCTATCCATTATTATGCATTAGCGATGATGATATAGAACTGTTCAATGACGAACCCGTCGAGTTCGTTCGTGCACGTCTCGGTATGTCATAGGTACTTTTGTAACCACACAAACAACTTCGTTCTTTAGATATCTTGGATGAATACATTAGTCCGGTGTCAGCTGCGGAATTATTTCTTTCAGATGCCGTCGCCAAGCGTAAAGATGTTCTGATGAAAACTGTTTCTTTTCTTGGCACAATAATTCACAACGATACAATAACTGTTAAACAAAAAGATGGTGTTTTACACATGCTAGGTGTTATTGGTAATGTTCTTATTAAGAAGAAAGCATTCGCTAATCAATTGGAAAATATGATTGTTCAATATCTCTTCCCTGAACTACAAAGTCAAACCGCATTTCTCCGTGCTCGTGCTTGTTATGCATTACGAAACTTTTCGAAACTGGAGTATTCCATTCCCGACAATTCAGCACGTTGTTTAACATATTTAATTCACTGTTTATGTAATGATGTTTCCTTACCGGTTAAAGTTGAAGCAGCCATGGCCTTGAATTTGTTTATGTCCGATAGTGATACGGGAGAAAAGGGTAAAGCGATTATCGTTCCTCATCTTCAAATAATCGTCATGCGCATTATTGAAATCATTCGTCAAACTGAAATCGATGATATTATGATTGTCTTACAGAAGATCGTCGGAATATTTGATCAAGAATTGCAGCCAATTGCTGTTCAAATGACGTCGCAATTGGTTGAGTTTTTTAAACATGTCGTTTGTTCAGAAAATGCACCAAGCGAGGAAAGTAAAGCCGAAGAACGAACAGTTGCAGCGATGGGTGTCTTGAATACATTGGATACAATTGTTAGCTGCATGGGAGAAAAACCAGAAGTAAATCATAAAATTCAGTTAAAGACCTTTTTCAGAAATTTTCCTTTCGATCTTTAGATTTTATCACAAATCGAACAAATTATATACGAAGCTATACTTCTTGTCCTACGTGATGGCATTCTCGATTTCTACGAAGAAATTTTAACGTTAGTAGATACTTTAACAATTAATACAGTTAGCCCGTTGATGTGGCAAGTGTTCTATTTGATTAAAGAAGCATTCTTTCGAGATGCAGCTGATTATTTTGCTGGTAAGAAAAACTTTTCCTCCAATACGATAGATTTAACTAGAAATTTCTTTATAGAAATTATGAATTGCTTACATAATTATGTTGTTAATGATACACCCGCGTTCTTATCTCAACCAAATCGAATTGAAACCGTTTTTGAAATGTGTAAACACGTAAGTTCGATCATTGGCGGTTGAATGTAATAAATATCTTTCGTACAGGTTATAGTCAATGATTTGGGTGAAGATTCTGAAGCACATGCAGCAAAATTGATTGAAGTCATTATTCTTCAATGTCAAGACAATATGAGTGCTGTGCGTATCCAATTTCAGTTCTAATTTCGATTGCATTTCGCCATGATATTGTTTAGGCACTTCCAGCAATCGTTCAGCTAATCGCACAACGGTTTCAACGAGAAATAGTTACTACTGAATTACGTCTTATGCTTCTTCAAGTCTTCATAGTTATCCTCTGGCTAAGCCCAGATCGATTTTTTCAAACATTGAATACAGTTGCAGCCAATGATCCCAGCACTCAAACTGTTATAGGTAATTTCTTCAATCAATGGATGACCGATTCGGAATCGTTCGCTGGTGTTCATGATCGTCGCGTTTGTGCGCTGGGTCTCTGCACTCTACTTCGAATTGATGCGAAATACTATTCTGCAATATCGAATATCGTACCGAAAATTTTACCAAATTGTATCCATATATACCAAGGATTGATAAAAACTTATCAACACAATGAAGACGATAGTGATGATGATTCGGATGACGACGATGATTCAGTACCGAGTGGTAAGAGAAGATGGTGAGCGGGAGTAGGAGAGCATGTTTATGTTGATTTTGTCTAGAAATTGATGACGGTGATGATGAGAATATTGAACATGAAGATGATCTTTTAGCAAAGTTGAAAGGAAAGGTACATGTCTCGAATTTGGGATCGATGGGAAATTAAATATGTGATCTTTAGGTTCCTGATCATGAGATGTCCGGTGATGGACTGGATAATGGTAATGGAGATGAAGATGACGACAGTGATTTTGATATGGATGAAACTGACCTTGAATCGTACTCAACAGTACTCGAAGCTAATGAAAATATTGACGAATTTCAAATCTTTTGCCAATGTTTACAACGTAATTTGCATAGCCAAATCATTGACCCATTTGTCTAAACTGTTTTTATAGAACTACAATCGGATACGACTGGATACAATCAGGCATTATTGCAAAACCTGTCAGCGGAACAGAGAACACAAATTCAGAATATTATTCATTATGCCGAAAAACGGAAACAGGAAAAAGGTATGCAAATGTTTTTTCTTCCAATCAGATCCCAATTCTCCTTTACTTTTCGTTGCAGAATCCAATAAAATTCGTGATGCTGGTGGTTATAATTTCTCTCAATCATCCGGGGCTGGTCAACCTCTTAATCTTAACTTCGGTGGTTCGGAGAAGTCGCCATTTCAAAATTCGAAATGATTTTTTTATATTTTTCTCTGTTTTCTTTTTCTTTTTGATAACACGTATTACACACATTGCTACAATTGCTTTTTCTTCAGACAAAACTATATTTAAGCAGCAAATTATCATTTGTGGTGTTCTTACAGACTTTTCTGCTTCATAGTCTGAAAGTAGGTGTGTACGAGAAGTGGTGACGGAGGAGTTATTTATCTTCATCTTCGTATGGTTTGTTTCGGTTTGAAATGCATTCAAATAGAGCTTTTTTTAATCGATTTTCTACAAACGTCCCGCTTCTCTGCATTGAATCTTGTTGCGTGTGGTTTATGATCCTTAAACATCGCGTAGATGGTAAAGATTCGATGACGGAATGAAAAAAAGTTATGGAGCAACGAGAAACTTGTTTGGACGTCACACTCCGATTCATGTCTTATTTGATATAGTATATTCAAGCAGCTAAAATCGAATAAGGATTTCTTTTACTGGTGATGTTGCCATTTTAGTGAAACTGTAATCTAAAGTGGAGTAGTTCGTAGAAAATCTAATGTTGATACTTCGATCTGCAAGTAAATCTACTTCTTACCGTAGTGTCCGAAAGTTGCATCTCAGAAGACTTCAGATTGAAATATCAATATAGGGTCTGTTCCGAACTCCAGTTTCACTAAAATATCTTGAAAAGGATTTGCTGGTTGATAGCATTGCTCGCCTTTGTATAATTCGGCATACTGAAGCAAGCGAGATATGAAAGAAGTGAACAGAACAGTTTTCCGCGCCCAATTCCTCTATAAATACTTGCAACGCTATTAAAAAATTCTTTTTTGTCATTTTAGCAGATATGCTGCTTGCTATCGAAAATAGATGTTGTAATATTAATAATAACAGATGGATTCCACTATACTGAAATTTGATTTTCAATCTGGAAAGAAAATAATGGAGCAAGAGAATCCATTCGTTGTTGGATTAGATAGTGACTAATGCAACGACCTAAATGGACTTATCGCCATACAATCAAAACTGAAGATTAGACGAAGATCCACTGATGTCGGCCAATGTTTAGAATCCATAGCAGACAACTATCATGAACAATTTACTACACTACCTCTTCTCGTAATATGTGAAGTAGCTGTGCTATTATTAACCGATATTCCCCAACTTACTGGTATCATTGTCTTATGTCGTGATGGAAAGCTCGATGAAGAATGGTGGAAAACATGGCCAAAACGGAAAGCTACTTTTACGGACACTTCAATTATGTGCAGTAACATCGCGCAGTTGATTTCTAGCAAATCAGATATCACGCCGATTAGTTTCATACCTACAAGTGAACATCATCTTTCCAATAAGGATTTGTGTCAGGGTGTGGGTGGGGTATTGCCAATTATGCAATGTGAGTAGTGGACGTAAATGTCATTATTCACGTAGATTTCTTTACAAATGATTTACATTGTTACATTAACCAGTTACATAGAGAACAATTTACTGATCATTCTTGTAATAGTCATACCCTACTTCATCGTGGACAAGTTTTATCAAAACGACATCTTGGCAGATTGATGAAGACTAAAACTAGCATCATATCATTCAACAGTTTTTTGTCGATTAACACGGATGCTATGAAAGCCTTAACATTTCCACGCAGTGCCATTATTAAGGGTGATTCCGTCAGAATTCTATTTCACCTTTATATCGATCCACTCCAAACAACAGCTGCTTTTGTTTGTATTGCTAAGTATAGTTATTTTCAAAAAGAAGACGAAGTACTTTCCTCCATAAATAGTGGCTTTCGAGTTGACAATGTTGAATTGTAAGATGAGTATAAACAACTATACGTGCTGCATTTGATTTCGGCAAGAATTGATAAAAACGATTTATACGTACTTACCAATAAAAGTAGAGAAGAACTTTCATGCAATGAACAAGCACATATTTATCATCAACTTGTACTGATCAAAGACGAGCGAGCGAGAGATCGTAAAAAAATATCAACTACTACAGAACCTCCTAAAAATGGCTCAGACCCCTGGTCGTCAATCGATCTTGATCCCATTACACCGAATAAAGACGCTGTCGCCTACGGTTTGAATGACTATAAACGAACGCTTTCGCTTTATGAACAAGATCTGACAAGAAAACTGAAACTACTTTCTCTAAATCACCTAGATCTTAGTATCTATTATAATAATACTGACGACGCCTATCACCAAGTAGACAATTAATCGAAAGCGTTTGAATACTACAAGAAAGTAAATGGCGACAGTGTAAGATGTCAACTATTAACATCGATGGCACATTCACAAATGCCAACCTAGATCTAAAAGCAGCTTTACCTGTGAATAAAATTATCAAAGCTCAACAGCAATCAGATCTCCCCACCCTCCACACAACCAGATAAACCACTAGTAACCCAATCTACTAAAAGCGCTGCTATTCTACATCTTAAAAAAAGAAAATGACAGATACATGACGAACCGAACACAAAGTCAAGAAAGAGATGTTTCTTGACGTATGATCAACATGCGTTGCAGAGACTTACTAATATGAACTTTAGAAACACCATTTGAATATCAATAAATACACTCAGTAGACATGTACTAATTGTCTTTTCATTCGAAACAGTACCACGTGTAACAAATGAAAATGACATATCTATCGCAATTCCACACAGAGATTGTTTGCCTAGAATATCATGTTATTCAATAGAAGACTAAAACTAGCAGAAAGTAATACGATGATGTTCACGAGTAAATCAACACAGTTCAGATTCTCTTTGTTTAAAAAAAAACTTCTTCTTTACTTGCACGAATGCATTTGAATAAATTAAAGACAGAATCTATGCTAATCGAGTAGAAGTTGTTTTTTGATGTTGCAGAAAAATCAGCGGCAACGTACTCAAGTAGAAAAATAAGTTGAAAGTATAAATAATTCATTCAGCTTTTCACGTACATCTTAATTTCGTGTAGATTCACATCGGTCGATGCCAGTAGTACTGACTTTGTACTTTTAGTTACCATCCAATTTATTATTCCATTTTCGACCAATTAACATTATGACCTTGATTTGCATTTCTTTTGCTTCTTATTTTAATCAATTTTTTTTCTGCCAAGATTTTTTTCTTGCTGTTTGGATAAACCTACCACTTTCTAAATTTGTTCACCTCATCGTCAAGTATTTTATCCTCTTCAAAACATGTTTCTCTTTGTCCTCTATTAGAAAAAAAAATGTGTTCGTGTGTTCTTCTTCTTCTTCTCGTATATGAAGTATTACACAATTGCTACCATTATCAATCTACTTGACGCATTATGTACGATTGAGAGTAAAGACCTCCTACATTGATTCTTGTCGTTATACAAACATACACCAGAAAAAATTAACAGAACGGACGAAGTACACACAAAAAAAACTGTAGGAATCTTAAAGTTTCGTTCGTTTTCATTCTCTCATAATCGAATAGCTGCACGTCAACTACGAATTTTGCCTGTTGGCAAGTATTTGTTGACAAATAATTACGGCCAATTATTGCCCGTAGACGAATTAATTGCTCTCTTGATAATGCATGAAATAGGTACATATCTAGGAGATTATTTTTTACACGTCAATTTACCGTCTGATACTAGATCAAAGTATCGCCTCGCGGCCGAAGACGATGTCCGACGGAAGTCGTCCGACGTCGCGTTGGTCGTCAGCAAGGTTAACGACAATGACTACTGTTCGTTCAAACGCTCCATCATCCCCGTTATTTGCTACGCGAAAAAAACTACAACGATCGGCAAGAAATACTCAATCGACATTCACTGATATGACAAAATCAAAGAATGACATCGAAGAAATATTCAAGTTTTATTATTCAAATGAAACGAAAATAGATACGTTTAAACAAACAGTGACTGGTAGAGTTATGACTTATTTGTTCAAGTTAAGAAAGCTCCAAGTTTTTTTTAAATATTAGGAACACGTATTGTCAGTCCAAGACAACCACCACCGACACCCGCACCTGCACCTATTCATAATCCCTTTGTCGAAAATTCATCCGGTGTCTTCAAAGTTAAACATTGCGTTAGTCGAGAAGATATGAGTCTATTCGATAGACACGGTATGTCTTCATTTTCATCTATTTGCCTTTAAATATTATTCATACCATTTAGGAAATGAATATCAATTGGCTATGAACGAATTAAACCAACTGCCATTGAGCCCTATACTTCAAGACGATGTTGACGATGGCCCGATGATTATTCAATCAATGAAACTTCATTCGCAAATACCAACAGCAGAACCAACACCGTCCATTCCCAGTGTAATAACTCCGAAAACGGGTTCATTGACTCGTCATGACGAATTCCCCCTTGTCAAAATTGCAACATATTCTCAAGAAAATTCAAATTTTTCTTTCGAACAAAAAAATCTCAAACGAACTAAAACAGCCTATGGCCAACGGCCAAAATCATTAGCAACACCATTGTCGATTCCTGTTACACCTTACGCACTTGCAAATAGTAGACGAGATCAAATAAATTTCTCGCCATCATCAACATCTACCTCAAATTCAGCACATGATCGACATGTTCTGACAGGCACAGCAATGACAGCACATCAACGACCACCGACACGATCAGTACGACCTCCTCAGCGAACAAGATCAAATCTCTCCTCTCAACAATCAAATGTCAAAACCAGGTTTGCTCTGCCATAATCTTCATAACTAATCGAAACATTTCCCGTTGCGCTTTAGCCCGTTCTTAGCTGGTACGGACGTGTTAGAAGCTCATGTGCCCATCGTTACTCAACCCGTTGCATCTATTCCATCGAAATGCAGGTAGACAAAGACATTTTCAAAAGATTCATTTTACTTTCTTTTCTAGCCGATACGTTCTCATCACATTTCCGAAGTTACGTACTCGTTATAACATTCCTACATCTGTTGAACGTCTACTTCTACCTGAACGTTTTCCCGTTCTATTCCAAAACATTCTGCAAAATTCTGATCATGATCAGAATCATAAATGAAAATCAATCGTACGCCTTTTTTTCTCTTTGTCACATAGTTTTTTTTCAAAATAAATTTAATTACAGAAAACGAATACCGGATAAAAACCTGAGCTAAAATAATTCATTCAACGTGGCTCATTGGAATTCCAAGAAAAAGTATTGATTAAACGATCAAAAAAACCAAGTTGCTTAGGAGGTTCCGCCGCTTCTGCTGCTGCTGTTGTTTTTGTTGCTGCTGGTGCTACAGTAGCGGCGGGAAAGGCTTCCGCTGATGAATTAGATGGTTTTTCGACATTCTTTTTAATTTCTGGTTTTACTGTTGCTGGTATTTTCTACAAAATCAAATAACAGATAATACTCTCTGCAAGAAAAGTTGTAAAACAACAGTGATGATGCCCTTACCGACGAAAAGATGTGCGCTACAGAGATAAAAATAATACGACCCGTCACCAGTTTCTATGCTTATAATTCTCGATGTTCACTTACCTTAGTTTCATTGGGTTCAGTGTCTCTTTTCAATGCGTTATCTTCGTTTGGCATTTCCTTGAGATAATTCGAAGGAACGAAGCCTTTTTTACCATTTTCTAATTCGCCAGAATAGAAGCCGTCGTCATGAATATTCCCATGAACGTAGACAATATCACCAGCGTGGAATGAAAGTTCATCACTGTGATTCGTATTAGGGGAATGATCGGCTGGATTGTAATCGAAAAGAGCAATCATTTTTTTAATCGATTTTGCGTTAGCTAGAGTGGAAATGGGCGGCGTGCGTTTTGTCGATGTTACTGAAAGCAAAACGAGACGATGGGATGAAAGCCGATTGAGAAAGTCTGTGTTACCTGATGATACGTTGGAATCTGTTTCAGACTCATCAGACTCAAGTTCTGATACCATATTACTCGGCACATAACCTGTGCGACCATTCTCTGATTGGCCAATATAAAATCCGTCAGCATCTTGATCGCCGAATATCTAAATCAAAGTAATAGTTAAAAAAAAACGGTCGAGGCTTATGTGAGATAGTCAAACCTTGATTAGTTGCCCTTTCTTAAATGGTAACTCTTCTTCGCTATCTTGATTTGGTGACATCGCATTTGGATCATAATCGAATAAAGCAATGAATAAGCGTGGTGGACCATTGATTTTCCCGAGAAAGTGATTTTTTGTTTGTAAGGTCAAGTTTTTATTTGGTACCTTCGGTGACACACGATGTTCATCAGATTTGTGCACAGTTTCACTCATAGGTGATCGTATTCGGTTAGCATCAGAAGATTGATGTTGTCGAACCGGAGAGTGACCGTGTGTTGACGTTCGAGGGTTAGATGATTTGACTTCACTTTGAGAAATCTCCGTTGCACTACTGATGGATGATGTAGCTGATGGTGATTCCAGAGATGTTCGAACTAAAGGTTTGTTCGTTTCCTTGCCACTCAACGTGGGTTTTAATGGGGAAGGTGCAATAATCGGCGTTGTCACTTCCTGTCCTATTGTTGACGTTTGACGAGATCCCTGAAAAAAAGAGGATTCAGTAATGAAAAGGAATAAACGTTTTGAAAAAAGAATAGGACAACACATGACAAGAGAGAAACATTGAAACAATATAAAGAAACCTTTCGATGATTCTTGCTCGTAGGAGAAAGAGGCGATTTAGGCATATCATCATCATTCATTGATTGAAATGCTACAACGATTTCCTTTGAAATAGTGGCTATACGTGCTGAGGGTATATCCATATCCAACTAAGAGAGAATGTTAATTGATGTTAAATGCGAATGGAAATGAGCTTTATATTTTTACAAATATTACCTTTTTCAATACGTCATCAAGATCGATTGAAGTCGAATCATGTGATTCGCCATCATTGTCAGTCAACGTTCGTAGAGTTAAATATCGACCATCACGGATCGCATTCAAGTTGATAACTGTGTGATCATCTTCAAGAATAATTTCATAGAATAAATAATCAATACGCTGGAAACATACTTAATGGGTTGTTGATATCCTGAACTTGACGACCATCGATAAGTATACGATAACCACGAGCTGAGGCGGTAGTTGACGGTTGTTCCCAAGAAACAAGTATCGTATTAGTTTGTGGGCCAGCAATAACTTGTACTCGTTTGGGTGGCTCAATCGATTCATCTATAGAAGACAGTTATATTTGCGATAAGAAATGCTTCCCTCATGTTCTACATCCTAATCAATACTCGATCCTCTAAGCTTACTTTTCGATGGTTTCGAAGATGTTTTCATTGTACCTGAAGTGAATTGTGATGAGGTTCTGATGCAAACAAATCTGCTTTCCTTATGTTCTACTTCTTCTCATAATCAGTTCCATCTCTATTTCGTACTTACCAAATGAAGTTGTTCGGAATTCTACCGATGCTGACACTTGCTGTTGAGCAGACGGTGGTACTGCTGGTTTGGCTTTGATGGTTACTTTGTGCAGTGTATTTGGCGATAAGCCAGATAATTTAAATCTATAAACTCCTGGTTTCAATGTCTGTACATCGATGTCATTGACATATAGTTTGTGAACTATATCGTTCGAAGCTGGCCACCATGAAACAACGGCTGATGTTTGAGTAATTCGATCCACACGTAAATCATGTGGTGTGTAAGCCGATTCTTTAGAATTTGTTAACAGTAATGTACATTCTTGATCATGGGAAAGGCCACGTTGTGAGATTGTGCGAATACTGATTCGATGCGACTTTTCATTTAGATTGATATTTTCCAGTAAAGCACGTGTACGTTCATTGGCGCGAACACTTGAATAAAGCGAATGGTCAAGCAGAACTTGATAGCCAAGAATTTGAATGTTCGATGCGGGAGGATTCCAAGCGATTAGAACACTGTTGGTTAAAGATTTCTCTACACGTAAATTTGTAGGACACGGGACTAAGAAAAGAAGAAGAAGAAAAATCAAATTGAAAGAAATTGTTTGCAAAATCTCCTCTACCATGTTTCCCATAGGATAGATCATCGTTTGAAATGTCCGATGAACTGCTGTTTGCTAAATTTAGAAACGCTGGAATGAACAAATAATATCCAGGAAAACGTTCTTTTTACTTATTTTACGGTGCGCAAGATTCGCTGGAGGCGTATTGCTTGTGAAAACATCCGAATCAAGGCTGAATGTTTGTTCACGTTGCCGTGATGTTCGATCATCAACTGGAAACGTTCTACCAGTTAGCTTTTGAATAAGATATTTTGTATGTTCAGGTAAATCATATGGATTTGTAATTAATTCGATGAAATTCGAGGGAATCAAACCATAGCGGCCCTCTAAATTTCTTCCATCATAAAAGCCATCCTGAAAGAGTAAAAATCATTCCAGTATACACATTCTCTTTTCTTTTTCTTACTTCGTCCACATCACCGTAGATTAGATAGTATTCTCCTGATTTCAGCGGTAATTCAATTTCAGGATGATCGTTCGGCGAGAACTTCAATGGTTCATAGGAATATTTCGCAACGACAATTTCTGCTGACTTATCATTAGCAACCGTTGATCGTCGACGTGGTTTAATCGGTGCACTATCATCCCGGATCGAATTTTGTGGATCCAGGCTTTTCGGTAGGGAGCTTATAGTTGTACTTGGAATCGGAAGTAGATTTCCGAGTGCTGGTGGTAGGACTCGATCGCGTCGACTCTTGATTGTTTCAAGTTGACGAAGAATTTCCTCATGCTTCAATGCTTGTAGTTCAGTTTTTCGTTCGAGATCGTGAATTTTATCCTTTTAGAAAGAAACAAACAGAAAATAATCCGTAATGAAAAGATCTAATCAACAGCGTGCGCGAAGGTTCACTTAATCATCGCATTGAACTTTGATATGCTAAGGACATTGAGCTACTTTTAAGCTCTACGGGGAATAGCACAAGTAAAACAATGAAATGTAAATGAGAGCCTAGCATGTGTCGGAACTCATCCTCCGGATTTCATTCTCAAGTTATGTCTAATGAAATTGACTACAACGAAAGTGGTTCTGTCGGTGGTACATGTCACGTTGATTCCTTCATTCCGAAGTAATATCATCTGTTAAATTGTATTTAATGAACAGCTCGTCTGGTGCTTTATCTGCAAGGGTGACTAACAAGTCGTAAGTAATTTCATTAAAACTGATGAGTAGACAACATTTACGTCATTGAATTAAGGAGCAAATCACGCGTTCCGAATATCATCGAGGCATTTTGAAGAAGTCTAATTATGATGTTATTCAAATAAGGCTTCATTACCTGAAGTGAATGGATGGTCGTTTGATGTTCTCGTTTGGTTGCATCGTGCATCTATTTTACAGAAGAATGAATAAGGAGGAAGTCGTTGAATGGCTTTTTTAAACCTTTTGAAATTGTTCGAAATCATCTTGTTTTCTTTTAAGTTCTTTTTTATTCATTTCATTCTCATCGCTCAGTCGTCTTTGTAGATCGTTCGTCTCTCGTAATGATTTCATGACGAGTTCAAGTTCGGATATCTTCTTCTTCAACTGCTCGTTTTCTTCCGTCTTTCCACCTAACGCCGTTCGTAGCTTGTCGCATTCACCAGTTAACTACAAACAGAACCAATTTTTTTTAGCGAACACGTCTCATTCCTCACTAACCCGTTCATTGGTACTTGCTGCATTGCTGAGATCAGCACGAAGCTGAGCATTTGACGTTGCCATCGTCTCACGCTCCTTGATCTAGAAAATAATTAACTCGGTTGATTTGTGTCCTTTCTTTCGATTTCCGGCAATATGATGGTCATTGTTAAAAGCAGGACTTACACTAAGTTGAAGTTCGGTCTCTAATCGTGTGTTTCCTTCAGGTTTGTGTGACGACAGACGATTTTCTAATGAACGAATTTTCTCTTTTAATCGTTCGTTTTCTTGTGCATAGTTTTCGCCGGCGAGTTTCTCTTTCTTGTAGCGCTCTTCAATATCCAATAATTGGTTATATTTCGTTTCAAGATGTCTGTAAGCTTCTTGAAGTTCAGTCGTTTGCTGACGCTAGAATATAAAAATAATCCTTTTTTAATTACTGAATTACTCAGAACAGAAGAAAGATGTCAAATTCTAATCCCTTTGTCATTAATAAACTGTTGTTGGCAAAAGAAGAAGAAAAAGAAGGAACCTGTGATTTAAAATTAACTGCGTTGGAATGGACATCTGCTTCAAACAGTTCATGTGCTGTTTGTGATGGTTGGAAATGATTGGGATCGACGGATGATGTTGATGAGGAGTTGGTTCGGAGAAACGATGAATGATGATCATCGCTAGTGTTTGGTGTGAAAGTTGTTGCAGGCTAGGATGAAATGATTGCGAATAGTGAACGAGAAACAAAACACGAAATAAGACAAAAAGAAACCTGCGACAATGTTTGCTGCAAATATCGTTTCGATGATCGAACATCGCGAATGAAGCCAGTAAAGCGAGGAGAACATGGATTTGTCATCTTTACTTCTTATTCTACCTTGCTCTCATGCATACATACATGTATACGCGTTAATAACCAATGCGAGTATCCGAAGGAAAAAAGGGAGAATCTTCTAAACTTAGTAGAAAATTTTCTCTCTTTCTATCCGAGCAATAGTAATAGTGACAGAGAGGGGAAAAGGTAAAAGAGATCTCTCTTTTCTTCTGCTTCTGCTTCTTCTTCCTTCGAATGCCATCAGCCTGCATAGAGTATCTATCTACCACGGTAATAGAGATGACACAATATTAAGACGGATGAACATTAATCTACGCTTGAACGAGATAATTTCCGTAAATGATGATTTAACTTACACTAGCATTCGTTGTTGTCGTAGAGTTTAACGAAGAACTGGAAGATAAAAGACGTTTTTCCAAATGTATTTTCTCAATATTTGATTGTCGTAGCGCAGCTTCCAGAGAATTTGACTAAAGAGACAAAGACAACAAATGATCTACCAATGATCAGAAAAGCCATCCTTACTGTCGATAACTGTTTAATACGCGTATGCAATTGGTGAATCTCTTCATCTTTTCTCGCCAAAATTCGATTATACTCGATGGTTTGTTTTGATAAAGCTCGTTTAACCAATTCTTTACTATGATCTCTCTAGAAAGGAAATAAGTAAAAATCTTCCGTGAACAGCATGTCATATTACCGGTTGATCATGTTTAATGACTTCTAATTGCTTTTCGAACTTCCTTACTCGGTCATTCAATTCCACATTTTGTCTTTGTAATGCTCGTTCTTGTTCGTCGTACAATCGGCGGTTCTAAGATTGAATACAAAACAAAGTCGATTAACGTGCGAAGATCGCCTACAGTATTCGACTGTTCATTATCCCACAGTTCATCTATGATCGTCACTTGTCGCTTAGTCATTCGTGTTGAGCAAAAAAGAAATGAGTCAAACGAAGAAATCAATGAAGAAAAAAAACGAAGAGAAAACGACAACCAGCTGGTGCTCAAATGTGTTTGTATGTCGATCATTACTCTTCTCTCGTAGTACGATCATTCGTAAGTAGACCGGGCTTTGTAAAGTAGCGCAGTCGTGCTTTGTTACTTTTTTGGACTTAATTTTTATTTTTTTTTTATTTCGACACGTCTTTTTCAACTAGGGAAAGAGAGAGAGAGAGAGTGAGAGCGAAGAAAATAAATCGATGAAAATTACCCTATAAGATAGAAGGAGACATACAGATGAGGATGTGGCGTCGGAAAACGGTGCATGACAAAAAAAAATAAATGAAAACGAAAAAAAGAGGTTATTTATGGGCGAGGAGTTCATTTGGTAGCATCTTTCAAGTATGCGATCAAATCTCTTCGTTCGTCTTCTTTCTTGAGACCAGCGAAGATCATTTTTGTGCCGGGAATGTATTTCTTGGGATCTTTCAAGTACACCCAAAGTGTATCTTCACCCCAAGTAATTCCCTTGCTCTTGTTAGCGTCACTGTAGTTGAAGCCAGGTACTTGACCCGTTTGTCGACCGAATAAGCCGTTAAGGTTGGGTCCTTGCTTGTTACCAGCGCCTTTTTCTACAACATGGCATTGAGCACATTTGGTTTTGAAGACTTTGGCACCTTTTTCTACATCACCACCTTCCCATTCATTACCCATTTTGAGTTGCTTTTAGTTGAATTTGGTTAAACGAGAACCTGTATATGTACTTAGATATACGTTTCGAGAATGGAGGAGAATGTCGAAAAATAATAATGATGAAATATATGGAGGATGGTAAACAAATAACAAGTCATGGCGGCGAATCAGAAATAGACTCCGCGGTGAATCAGTAGAGATTTACTAGCGAAGGAGGACAACACGAGGCAACTAGCAGAAGTGATGGCGGAGAACGAACAGAATGCGCAAAGAAAAAGAAACTAATTGACTTACCGTAGAAATCACTAAGTCAGGATCGTTATAGCGTAGAATTTGTACAGGTTCAGTTCTTTTGTTCACTTTCTCATTTTCGTTGTTAGTCAACGACGAAATTTTCAACTGTTCAATATCGTAGGATAATTCAGTGATACGTTGATCACGTGCGAGTAGTTGTCTTTGCAAATAGCATACTAGATCTTTCTGGTCCTGCTTACAGAATGTACTTAATTCGTATTCGAATTGAAGACGAAGTTTTGTTATTTTTGCTGATTTATCAAGATCAGATTTGCATTTTACCTGAAAAAGCAATTCACGTTTCGTATCATAAATAGTAAAGAAAATAAACGTTCGTTTTCAAAATAATTTAATGCTAACGAACGAAAACAAAGAGGTTTACTTTGTAAAGTGTCGCTAACTGACTCTTTGCTTGTTTTATCGTTGCCAATTCACGTTTCAATTTTTCTACAAGAGCTATCAGTGATGCTGTCGATTCGTCGGAGAGCAGATGGTCGAGATCGTCCGTTGTGCCAGTATTACTCTTGTACGATGAACTTATCGACGATGGTTCAGTTTCACATGCCGATCCCGACGAGGACGTGATCGACGGTGTGTATAAACGAATCGGCTGGGAATGTACGGGATGGGTGTTATAAACAGTTTTCGTTAAGTTTGTTGTTTTTATCATTGAATTAATTTGAAAACTAATGATTATCGTGACATGTCATCAGCTAGAAATTGAATGCAAAGAGAAATGAATATATAATGTGTTATTAAATTCGATCTGTCGGCTGAGCAAAAATCAGTAGAAAGAAACAGAACGGCAAGAGAAAAAAAATCCATCAGGATGGATGTCAACACGAGGAAAGCAATCTACATGTATTTGTGTAAGAAAAACGAGATTCACCTGGTGCATCTATTCTCGACGATGGGTGGTGAATGTTAATAGTCGAGCTGATTTGTGCGAATGACTATCGTTCGAGAAAAGTGAGCAATCTTTATCGACAAGTACGATTGACAATGACTAAAAGAAAAACAAATAGAACAAACGAATTACATGTCTAAGGCTTCGAACAATTCTCCACACAAAACGAAGACTTAGGATGTTAACGAGTTGATTTTTGCGAAAAATTTCTAATGAAAACAATTAAAGTTCATTGCCTTGAAATTTCTTTCATTTCGGCTCTACTTCAACAAGATTATCTAATCATTTATCAACTTTGACAAATAATAGAATCAAATAGAAGGCCGTAGTTACATCGAATTTCAAGTATCACTTCGACGAAGTGTTATGACATCTGACAATCTTATATAATCGTCACTCCTCTACAGGTATTTTATGCCAATCGATATGTAGCTCAGGTTAATCGTCATATTTTTGTGTTCAGAAGATTGATGCAAGAATAATTTGTTCAAAACTGAACGAATTAGAACCAACATACACAGAATATTTTCTCGAAAAGAAAATCGGCAAATTTTCCTACTTTTCAGTGCAATGAAAGTTAAAGCAAAAAGTTGAATATTTATTTTCAAGAAAAACATACGAGCGCTACTGTCGATGACTTGTTCTCGATTGGGTGCGATGATATTCTGAGCTAGAAAAAAAAAGAGGAAAGACAACACTAGTGAGCATGGCTCGAGTTATTCAAGCGATCAAACAGTTGTTCACAAAGAAATCTTCTGAACAATTTGTCAAATTCGTCGGCACTGATCGATTCGAGAATAAATTCTATGAACGTCTACCCGGTAGATTTGTTTCGCCTTGAAGTTTATTTGAAAGATTTTCGTTTTCCCTTGAAAAGGTAATCGATATTATGACTCAATTCGTCGATACTACGAGCCTGCAGATTATTCGAATGTTCGATTACATATTGATCCAGCGTGGGAAGGTTTGTAGAAAGAGTTTACGTCAAATAACAAACAAATGCTCTTTGCACAGCTTGGCTAAGAGGCACTCGGAAAATGCCACCGACGGTAGAGGAGACAGTTCGTCATGAACAACGACGACAACAATTAACAACAAAAGTAGACGAAAACCTTTGTTCTGTATTCGAATCTAAACTTTGGTTAATTGACTAGCCTGTGGATATGTTACCGACAAGTTATGGACAAGATTCTGCTCAAGGCGGAACAAGTGAGCAGCGAACTTTGTTCTTGATTAGTAATCATGTTCTTCTCAGGTTCGTATCCAATTCGAGATCAATATGAAATCAATCCAGGTACTAAATCTCGACAGAAATCCAATCCCGATGAAACATTTTAATTCTTTGTTCTTTCTTTCTTTCTTGATTTTGTTTATCTTTGTCAACCAATCAAAACCAGCCGTTTTAGTTCTAGATGACTGACGATGGATCTCCATCAAACAATCTTTCACGTACAACGATACGTGAAGCAAATAATCATTTACAGATGTTACACAAACGCAATCAGGAATTAGAAGAATTAACTATTCAACAGAAAGAAGAAATACGAAGACGAGATCTCGAATATCGAAATCTTTTTCAAGCAAACCAATCATTAGACAAACATTGTCGACAGCTACAACTGTTACTCGACGATCGAACAAGACGATTGCAAATGTATGAGAAGAAAGAAGTTCTTTTTCGAGAAACGCTCGAACTAAAGCCGGCCATCGAATCTTTACTAGATGTATTAAATACCTTTGAAAAAGAAGATTCGAACTCTTGTACCAATCGAGTTCAATTTTCGAAGAAAAGACTCGAAAATGAACAAAAACCGGACGCAGTCTGAAAGCCACTTACGAACAGTCTCCACAATTCCATTAATCTTGTCAGATCTTATGATAAGCTTTCCTTCTTTTTTTTAAATGCGTGTTATAATAAATAATAATTATTACCTGTCCACATACCGAAAGCCTTTTATTAAATAGTTTCTGCTCCTTCAGTTCCGTCGTTTAGTGCAATAAGGAACTCGTCTATCAAGTCGAGACGACATATGATTTATTCTCATGTATAAATATTAAAAAATAAATGTATATAAAAAATATATTAAGGTTCGGTTGAAATAGCATCATGATTGATCTTCTCTTCGGCAATTGCACACTGTTGAAGAGCATTCTCTATTGTCGGGGACTCTTCATTCTCTTTCGGTTTTCTTTTTTCTTTTTCAAGTCGAAGTAGATGACGGCAAAATCCATCATTCGGCCAAATACGACGCCGAGTCGCAACTAATTGAAATGCATCAAGCAATGACATATTTTCGTATGCATGAAGCAAATATGCGACAATTAATGTTGCTGAGCGACTTATGCCCTAGAAATGAGAATACGTTTTTTGTTTATTATAATATCATTGAACTCTCACTTGTTTACAATGAACATAGACGCGATCTGCAAAATGAAAGAATCTTTAGTGATTCGGTCAAAGAGAGTCTCTTACTCTTTTTATCCTTTAAGGCTTCTTCTAGAAATTGGATCGCTTCATCGAAATGCATCCCGATTTTATATGTAGGCGTGTCAATGATCGCGAAGCCTAAATATTTGATCCCGACGTCTTCATAGAAAGTTGCACAAGTATTGATTTGTCCAAATTTGCGTCCTTCAGCAGCGTTAAGAATATGCGTAAAACCGCGTTTCTTCAACTTTTCCGGTTCCATTGCTAATTTACTGAACACAGAACTGTTTATCAATTCGCAAGAAAATCAATACATACCAATCACCGAGAAATAATCGTGGTACAATTTCATGGTACCCGCCTTGTTCACAATCGACGTCTTCGAGCTCCTCTTGACCAGCATTCGGCATGAAAAATCGTCGAAACAATTCCACGATTGTTTTACTTTTCGCTGGTACGGCTTTTGTATGAATTAGTATTTGACGGATTTCACTAATATGCGTTTTTACATCGTCATCGCCATCCATCTTAAAATTATATATAGATATATAGATACGAATGGTTATATTCTTTATCATTAAAATTTAATATATATATGTACAAAAGAGAGAATGCGTGCGTGTGTATGTTTACGGCGTTTAAAAGTCAGATAGAATACATAAAACACTGTTCACACATTTCGTTCAGTCAAGAAAAAGAAAACAACAAAGAAACAAAACAATTTTTCGAGTTGACATTGAATCATATTGCTTTCGGGTACATCACATAAAACTCTTCGAGTTACACGATAACAATCAAAGATTTGAGATCGAATGAAGAAAGACTTTTTTATATGTATATTGGAGTTTCCTGGCCTGTTAGTAGACGGTACATTTGAGTCGGCATGGTTTTCATTCGAAGCTAAATAGATATACGAATAGTTTGCTCTTTCAATTCAAAGTCGGTTGCACTTACTTCACCGATTGAGTGTGATAGCATGTTCACGATGCGTTCGTGAGGTGTAACCACAACACTTTGCCCATTGATCTCAATAATACGATGGCCAACACGAACACCACCACGTTCAGCGATGCCTCCACGAAGAAGACTGCAGATCTATAATGGAGAAAAACAAATGACACAAGATCGATTAGATCAGAAGCCACCAATTTACAATTCCATTTTGCACACTAAAACCAAGCTACAAATCAAGGAAATAATGTTGGAATGTGTTTTCTTTTGGAAAATTTGATTTTTACTTGATATTTTGTATCAGGTCGTCGGATCAGTACTTCAACAACGGGTGGACATGGAACAACAACAAAACGGACGGTAGTTAAATGCTTCATGTTCTAAATTCAACATATTCACTTGTATTCGAAAGATGAAAAAGTTCAGTCTGTACTTTTATTTGAGTTTGACAGGTTGATAAAGGTAATCCGACCATACTGATACCATTTACTGAGATTATTTGATCACCAATATTCAACTGTCCACCTCTGTTCGTGAAATTTTAATTTAAATACATATAAATCGTTTTCTTGGCTTTCAAAGACTAACCTTGCTGCAGGTCCGCCTGGCATTAAGTTCGCAATAACCACAGTCGGCAACATTGATCCCCAGCCACTTTCGACAATAACGATGCCTAATGGTTCATTTTTTCCTTTCGTAACGATAGCCTATCGAAGCAGAAGAAGTGAGTTAGAAAAATGATTTATTCTACTCATTTCATTTCACCTCTTTTTGACATTCTTTCTTCGAAAATCGGTCCAGTTCTTCAACGGCAATCTCTTGTTGATCAAGAACTTCTTGATAGTCGATGTCACGTGTGAAACTCGGATCATCGATACCATTTGCTTTCAGAAACTCTACGTAAGCCACTTGAAATGCTTGTCCAATCGAATGAGCAATAGATTGAGCCTGCAAAGAAATCAATGCAGTATTAATTTATGTGGAAGATAATGATGACGTACTTCATCAGATTCAAAAACATGGCAAATTAGTTTTTGATTTATCGAAACGACACGTCGCGTTGCGGATCCATTCGATTCATAATCTCCGTCATCGTTATCACTTTGTATGTACCTTCGTTTCGCCATTAATACTACTAAATCACCAATATCCGCTAAAAAACATTCTCACAACGTATAAAATCATCAAGACTGTTCATGATCACTAACCAATATATGATATCGATCTCAAGGAATGATCCATAAGGATATCTTCTAAGTCAGTATTCAAAACCATGATTTTCTCGGTTGATATGAAGAGATCAACTTCAACCGATGGTTGACTCTCTCCGAATGGTGCTTTGATTCGTTCGACTGCTTCTTGAGCTTGCATCATTCGAGAGACTTTGGTTGGATTACCTTCAACTGGTAGTTGAGTCGAGCCAAGATATCGACAACGAAATAGGACGCCTTCGATTAATACTGATGAGTTTTCTGGATCAGCAATAATTCGAGTAATAACTAAGAATCAAAACGACACGATGAGTGAGTTCAGTTAGTGGTAGAGGGTAGTCATTCGCATGCATTGGGTACAGAACAAACAACATCGATTGTACACAAATAAATACTTACAAAAAAAAGAAGTTAGTAATTGTTCTCTCAAAACTCATGAAAAAACAAAATCAGAAACAAAAATTAACCGTTACTTTAATGACAGATACGCACCTTCTCGTGGCCTCGATGGTCTTGATACAGCCTGTCAAAAAAAAACAATATGTCGTTATTTATACACTTTATTTTGTGTTATGAACATACGGCATCACGAATAGCTTGATTTTTGGCGTTGATTCGATGTTCTTGGCTAAGTAATTTATCGGTTTCTTCGTCTGTATCATAATCTAATAGAAAGAAAAGAAAATAAGTTGTCTGTCAACCGAATTCAGAGCTTCATGCGAATGAACATGGTATTGTGATACGAAAAAAAAATATTAGGGGGAAAATAATCATGCGAAACAAACCCTTCTTTCGTAGTTTTGTATCTAAAGTTTATTTTAACTCTATCAATCAGTTCCCCTTGACAATTCGACCTACCTGCCGGTACTGCTGATGATTCATCTGAGACAGTTCTCTGCTGTTGGCTGGTTTGAATGGCTGTTGATGTCGAAGCGTGTGATTGAGTAGGAAATGTTTTGTTTTGAAATTCAGGTTCCTGTTGAGTTGATTTCGCGAATTGATGCTTATGTGAAGGTATCAACGTTGACGGAGGTGATTGAAATAGAAAATCACTTTGAGTCGACTGATGACGATTTGTGGACTTAGTTCGATTAGGCGGAGAACGTTCGTCTCCACTGACATTTTCCGAATCGGATAAACCGTCCTCTAGCACAGGCATACCTAAGTACATGAATACGCCGTTTTCACTGTTGTCTGCCGTTGAACTTTGGAAACTTACTGACGGCTGTATTGGATTTGACACTATCAAGAGAAACAACACTATCAGCGTCATTGGTTCCTCCACCATCGCCGTCGGATAATAAATCTGGAGATAGTCGTGATAAACTGCCATCGATTACTTGAAGATTATGATGAAGTGTTGACGATGCTGCTGGTAGCAATTTGTTAGCAGAGGAATTCTTTTTCAGACTTTCACTTCCAATTAAATCTAATGTTCTAATTGAATCAGTAGTTATCGGCGAGGGAGTTTCACTCTGTTCTCTTGTCGGAGTTGTCAATATTGATGAGAGATTATCTAAACAAAAATCAGAGCATTTTCAATCGAACGCTTCCTTCTTTCCTTTTCGCATTTCAATGAAACTACCTGACAGTGACGTGTGTTCTTGACGAAGACGGGCTGCGATGGTCTGTTGTTGTTGTGTATAGTACGCTGATAGTCCTTGTGAATTGTAATGGTGTTCAAGAAATAGTGGATCGTAAGATGGAAACACTGATGGGATGCTGTTTGCAGGCGGCGGATACGGTAGATACAAGCCTGGATGCTGATGTGGAAATGGATAGACACCATGAGGCCATACTGGCTGTCCGTATGGATCAAATGGAGCTGGAGGAATGATCGGGCGATGTTGTGCTAATTGCTGTGGAGGATGATATCCATTGTGCATAGATTCTTCATTTGCCGAATCGGTGCTGATAGAATCAGGCGTCATTTCACGTGAAATATAACCGTTCTTTGCAGCAGTTGATGATGTAATGTCAAATAAACGTAGATCGTTTTGTGTTAACTGTGACGGTTTAGTCGTTGTTCGCCGCAGTTGAGTTGCAATGGTTTCGAGATTTTTCTCTAGTGCGGCATCGACGCGTTTCGTACCAGAAGAATTGGTGGATGTCAACGAAACAGGCTTGGCTAAACCAGGACCATTGATAGGTGATGATCGACCCGGTAATGATTGATTTTCTTCTAAACAAAAGAATTAATCTTCCCTCAGTTAATGAAACAGTAGACGAGAGGTTAATATATATTCTTACGACGAGCATTAAGATTCATCGGCGATCCTCGACCATCATTTCTCATTGTTATTGTTGTCGACAAAGAGGTATTATTTTGCTCGGCTGTTATATCGGTTACAGACGAAGATAATGGTTTTGGGATGTCATTATTAACCTATATAGAAAAAAGAAAATGAACAGGTGTTGATTCAAGGAAATTTAGAAATATGTTACGCTATGTAAATAGACTATGTTTTTAACCTTGATTCGATTATCAAAAATGGGCGTCACATGTGCGTTTCGTATCTGTTATGTTTTGAAAACAAGAAAAGCAATTGAACAGTTTGAGACAGACGACGAAGTCTTCGAACTGAGTTGTATACAATAGAGGATGAAGTGAAAGTACTCTTGAGTCGACTTGTGATGAACCATTGAAATCGATCGACACATGCAATTAGAAGGATGAGTTGAGTCAATACCCGTCCTGCCTGTTCTTTCTCTGTTCGCAGACAGACATTACTGATTCACATTGGCATATACACTCTTATTTTCAATTAAACAGAGAGATCGATGCTCGAGATAAAATAATCATGCAAACAATTTTTTTGTTTCGTGCCTTATCTCAAGAGATTGAAGAACACAAACGAAAAACTTACCCGTTGATGATGATGTTTATGACGAGATTTTGTTCTCGCCGTATCAGTTATCGATAACGACAGCATATGTTAGTTATATTGAGTCATTCAACTTCAGAATATATTAATGTTGGTCTATGGGCCTATCTCGTTCTCTTTTTTCTCTTTGTGTTCTCTCTCATTTTTCGCTCTTTTTCTGCTTCAATCCATCTGTCAATGCAAAGAGAGAAGGAAAAAAAAAATCTTCAGAGAATGAACCGATGAATTCTTCTTTATCAATCTATATGCTAAAAAGTAGATCTGGTGCTCATCAAGCGGCAACAAAAGGAGAGAGAGAGAGCGAATGACATTTGATTAACATAGAAGACCAACAATATTTTTGAACAACGGAAGCTAGATATTTCTTCTCTTTTTTTTTGTCTAAGCTGCCAATAGAATTGTACAAATGAAATGACAGTCAGACAGATGTGCAGCATCAGGATGTGCTCAAGGGTATATGCGTGTCTATGGCTGATGGACACTTGTGATATCAACAAGGAAAACAAGAATGAGATCAAAAGAGTACATTCAATGATCGCGCTAGTTCAGAGAGAAATTGAATTACCTGTTGCTGTGACGATGTAACTGAATCTTCACTCTTGTCGTCAACAATTTCTTCATTAACGTCACTATTATTCACGACACTGGGCAATTGAACAGATTCCATTGTGCTAATTCTTCATGTATTCGTGATGCGGATACTAATAAATAACCATAATAGAAAGAAATCAATGTACGCAGTTCGAACACAATGTGAGAATATTATGCAAGGAAACAAGCTAAATTCGATTGCAATTGTTTTCTTTATAAACTTTTATCTGACGCGATAAATTGATTAAATTAAGTTTTGACAAATAAGTTTCTAAGAAGTGACAATGACATGTCAGTCAAAGACGGAGAAAAAGAAGAAGAAGAAGAAGTATCTTAGTTTCAGATTATGAAAAATGCAAGAGGACAATATAGTTGCACGTGTATTATTCATTGGCCAATGATGATAATGATAAAAAATAGAGAAAAACGAAGAAGTAATAGAAGTAGTTAAAAGAAGAGAAGAAGAAGAAGAAGAAGAAGACGACGACGATGAAGATGAGGTGCATCAGGAGCAGTAAAAGGAAATAGAGAAAAAACGAAGGGGGAAGAATGAAAAAGTAACGAGTGTAACGCTTATTTTCATTTGTGGGTCTTACTTTGCCGCAGGTTTTTTTTCCTCTTTCTCTATCTAATAATATTGATAATGATGCCATTCTGACACATTAACATTCTTTTACAGAAGTAAAACATATATTTAAATAGATTTATATATGCAGATAGATTCCAGTCGGCGTTTGTCATTTAATATAAAGGAAACTATCTCGATGCGATTGAAGTTAATCTCAAGTAGGATTACAGCTAAGGTTTTTAACCTCGAGATAGAGAATGAAAGACGAAACGCAATAAAAGAACGAGGAATACGTATATTGCATGTTCAATAAGTAATGTATGCTTTCGTTTGAGCTGGAATTTTCCATCGAATGTGTGCGTAGAAAGAACAAGAACATATCCTGAGGACTTGCTCAACAGAAACATCATTTGTCTACATTTGCCAACGGATTCCACCGATGGGGGAATGAACATACCTTATAACATTGCATCTAGTTTGGAATAAGATGAATCATTATCTAGAAGAAAAAAGTATTTATATATGATATGTACAATTGAAAGAGTTCGTTTACTAAATAAACACGGAAATATGATATGATAAATATCAGATAGTAACAAAAATACAAAATTCTCTACATTAACGAGGTTTTAATGTGCGAATCTTTGCAAGAATATCTTGCTTTTCACCAGGATTCATAATCGCAGTGTAGATGGTGAGTCTGTTCAAGACAGGTATGACTGAGAGAACGATATCGAAGATATTTTCCGATGTCATTTGTGTTGAATTGAATGATCCAAGAATATCTTCTGCTGTTGCTCGTCTCGGATCTCTTTCTAACCAATGATCGTAATTCGTTTGTACAAGTGTCGAATTCAATTCGATCGGATGGATAGAATTCAGACGATTACGTGTGATAATCATACCTGACGTACGACCATTTGTTATGATAAAATAGACTGGCGCAATGAGATGTTGATACTGAAGTGTATCTTTCATATCTTGGTAAGACATGAGAGGATTATCAAAAATCGAACGGGTGATAATAAACAAGGGTAGAGAATGAAAGTGTAAAATGGACATTAAAGCATTCATCCACCAATCCTTGTCATCGACCACACGTTGGTTGATACTTAAGCTAAAGTATCCGGAACGTGAACTCGTTAACAAACCGATTGAGCCTGCAAAATGAATCGATTCGTAAGTAAATGTTGGGTCTGATTGACGATAGAAATTTCCTTGGAACGTGAGACGACGAAGCAGATCTGTATTCAAGTCAAAATCAAGATTTCGACCATGAATTATCGTACCGTTTGATGTTCGAACGAGTAAACTCGTGCAAAAAGTACGCAGTTCATAAACAAGGTTAATTAGAACAATATCAGCGACGGGCATGGATATTGCTTGAGCAATGGAATAGATTTCATCGTGGTACGGCTGAGGAATATGTTGATCTAATCGGCTGGCAACGATTTCAGCAACATCGATGTAAGCTTTGGGTATTTGAGCGCGAATTGCATCGTTGAATTCGTTCATTGGCTGTACAAAATTCGGTATTATATCGGACCATCGATCAATCGGCTGACGATCGAGATCAATTGAAAATTTGGGAACGTCAAGGGGAACATCAGCATATACAAAAGGGATGAATGATAAAACTATTGAAATAAATATCATCTAAAAAATAAAGTAGAACGAGTAGGTATGGTGAGTTCTATTGTTGTTAGTTTTTATTTATAATCTCAAAAATTCATCATTCGTTTAATAGCATCTAAGCAACGCCATTTTGATGGAAAATAAAACGGTTCGAAAACATGTGGAATTGGATGAATATCATAACCACAAACACGTTCTACAGGAGCTTCGAGGTTTAAAAAGCATTCTTTCTAAAATAGAAACACAACGGGAGAGTAGTAAGTAAATATTTTTCATTTCAACATACAGCAACAGTTGCAGCTATTTCCGCTCCGACTCCACCGGTTACGGGCGCCTCATGACTAATTAATAATCGACCAGTTTTGCTAACTGATTGACATATGGTGTCAACATCCCATGGCACGATCGTGCGTAAATCGATCACTTCACAAGAGATATTCTCCTTAGCAGCCATTTGTGCGACTTCTCGGATCACATGAACTTGTGTTCCCCATGAGAGAAGTGTGACATCGGAACCTTCTTGAATGATTTGAGCTTTCGACAATGGAATTGTATATTCCTTAATAGGAACGTCTTCTTTCGCTGATCGATAGAGAATTTTCGGTTCGAAAAAGATGCATGGATTATCATCTTTAATACATGATATAAGTAAACCTTTAGCTTCAATAGCACTACGTGGAATAACAACCTGAAAATTTAGAATAAAATCTGATGAAAACAGATATCCCAGTCAATCGCTTCTGTTTTACCTTGATGCCAGGTGTATGCATAAACTGTGCTTCGGGAGATTGGGAGTGATACAATGCACCATGTCCAACAGCACCCCATGGAGCACGAATAGTTAGTTTACCACAATTGAATAAGTTTTGTGAACGGTAACGATATTTTGCCGCTTCGTTTACGATCTAAATCATCATATACCGTAAGAATAAAATGTGCTAAACGGATAGAAAGCGGCCCTCACCTGATCGTATGCAGGAAATATATAATCAGCAAACTGTATTTCAGCAATCGCTGTTGCGCCAGCTACGGCTGCACCTATTCCAAAGCCAATGATACCTTGTTCGCATAGAGGTGTATTAAATACACGATCAGCTCCTTTTATAACGAATAAACGTTAAAAAACAAAGCGAAAAATCTTTTTCTCGAACCATATTTAGATCTCAATTCTGTTGTACACCGGAAAACACCACCAAATGCAACATCTTCACCGAATACAACTGTCGACAAAAATAAATATAATTAGAAAAATAATCGAAAAAAAAGCCAATAGGCCATACTTGCTGTATTATCGTTACCAAGAGTAATATCTAGTGAGTTTTGAATCGTTTGGCAAAGATTCATTTCCTTCGTTGCTCCTGTTAGGTAAATTACCTTTTTTCAAAATAATCGTTTTCAAATAATATACGAACCAAGAGATGCATCTGGTTGATCTTTGAAAAATGTAAAATGAGCTACGTTTCGCCGTAAAAACAACGACGAGCATTTTGGTACGCTAGATACTAAACGATGTAAAGGTAAATTCATCTGAAAAATGGAAAAAATTGCTATAATGTAAATTGAGCATAATTAAAGAAACATAAAAAATTCATTGTTGTCAATTCAATGGTTATAGATCGATGCATCTAGGTGAGAGGATGTAATGTGACGAGGAGGGATGGAAAGGTAGGAGTTGTTAGGAACTTCTCTTTTTTCATACGTGTGTCACCGACCAATAGCGTGTCGATAAGAAACTATTCACTTATCATGTAGACTTCTGTACTGTCCGCAAAGAAAAGAAAATATATATCAAGAAAGCGAGGGCTCGTTTCATTCAATGCAAAAGCAAGTCTGCACATTCTGCAGGCATGCCGAATTACATCAGTATAGAGGGCGTTTCAATCTTGTCGTCAATGGCAACATATATATGCTATTTCGCAAATATTTGCGTACGCTCCAAATTAATCAATACATACGGCAACGAATTATCGCGCCGATCTCATCAATTAGGCCAGTATTTATTAAGACGTCCCCACATTTATAGTGCGTATATTGGGTATAGAATTCGTTACCTTAGAGCTGAGTCGCCTGTGATATTGAAATTATACAAACCAATTAAGAAACATGTTTGACAAAACTCGTTAATCTCGTATTATTTAGCGTATTTAACCTAACTTATATTGTGAGATAGTCTATGAACATTAATCGAATTCGGCATCTAATACCGCTGATTGATGTATTATTGAAAGTCCTCCCGTAAATCCACACGCTCCCCCTTAAAGGTATCAATATTTCACTATACTTCCAACAGAGGTGAGAACAGAACGAACTTTTTCATCCTGTCCTGCCTGCCGCTTCGACCCACCGTTCTGCAGTGCGGACAGAACAGGACACAGGCAAGTTTTAAAAAACTCTTGAGTTCAAATTAATACTATACTTTTTGTTTATGCTTTCTTCGATATACTTCCGTCTGACAAATGTAACAGAGATGTTTGAAACTATATTAAAGCAGAGTAATTCAACAGAAAACGGTCGTTGATTTGTTAATATTATATGTATTATAAAGCGAAAACAACTATATACTCTCACTGACGAGTGGAATCACCATGCTGAGACAGTTTGTAGCAGTATAAATAGCATAGAATTCACTAGATTTCTGCTTAACTATTCTGAGAAAAGAAATGATACTCGCAGAATAGACTGCTATCCAAAGTGATGGTCATATTTTCTTATTGATCTGACCAACGAAATATTGCCCAAGTGATGAAGACTTCGATTAGATCTCTTAATCTTCTCTACTGAGAGGAGGCTTATTTGCATAATGATTTTCGCTTCGAAGAATTGTCTCTTTATATTCGAACTGCTAAGTGATTATGGAAGAAGCACGCTCAGCGTGTTTTTCTTTAAATGCCTTGCTGAGAAGCAAGAACTACGGAAATAGAGTTAGTTCATTTCTAGACAATGAATGTGACTTTTGTTAACATAAATACTGAGTTTATGATCCTCCATCCTTATACAAATCGCTTGTTTCAGTTTACAGTTGTCTTTAATACACTGGAATTTATATGCAGTTAAAATCATCATTATGCGTGCTTTTAAAAGCGTCTTTTGTGATTGCTTCCCTGCTTTTGAAAAGCTTGGGTAAAAACATCATATAAAAAGGCAGGACAAGCCATACAACCTGCCATGTGCTCGCTTCTGATTTCCAACAATCATTGTTTAACCCACAGATAATTGATTTTTGTATAACTATCGGGAAAAAATATGGCATAGTCTCCGTAAGAAACGGCCAATACTATTCTTTATTGTCTACCACAGCTACAATGGTAATGAATTGATTACGTATTAAACAATCAGTCGACGCATTTAACTATCATATGTACTGTAAGCTTCTAGCTCTTCTGTTGACTCGATCTCGTCAATATCACGATTGTACCAAATTCGATTTATAGAAGTGACCAAAAAGTCGATCTTACCAAATACCTTATTATTCGTATAAACGAAAAAAAAGCTATACGAACTTCTGCTTCTTTCTATTTGTGTTGCCCGTTCTCTTGTTTAACATGAATGTTGGCTGATGAATTAAACGACTTCGTGGCCACTTTTGTATCACATTATTTATGAATCAACAGAAAGAAAAAGATGGCATTCGAGTACAAACCAAACTTTATTCTCTTTCATTACCAAAGATAATATTTTCTGTATTTAACAGCGCTCTACCTCTCTATACTTAGCAATTATTTTAAATTATAGAAAGTTTACTAATTAATAGTTAAGTTGTGTATAGAGTACCGAAATGCTCTTATTGTATTTGAATAATGTGACACGTGTCCTATTCAATGATTCTTACGACTACATCGAAGAAACGTAATATTTACGAGGTAGAAAGATATGTGGTACTAATGAATATGAAAACAAGAACTTAATCTTTTCGAAATCAACGTTATCAAAATGGTTTTAAGCATGAAATTATTTATTAAAATAGACCGTCTACAAAAAAAAAACAGCATTCAAAGTTATGGTGATACTAAGGAAAAACGGTAGCAGGAAAAAAATATTTAGAGCAGAAAAGTTTAATCCTCCTTAAGTTATGATTATAATTTGATTGGTACTTGAATATGAAGAAAACCGTCATCTTTAAGTTCCGTCTTCAATTGGTCAACTTCACAGGTTGGGAAAAGGGTCACTTGACGGTAACTATGCTCACCTAAAAGAAAAATCAAAGATTTGTATGAAATCAGTGGTCCATTTATTATTGAATTCTCACTCATATATCGACCGCCATCAGCTGATACTTTATTATTGACATCAATACGTAAATCATATCCATTGAGCGAAATCTTCATTTGGTCCAATGTTGTACCCGGTTTCATTTGTAAACGCATGTAGAGAATCTTTTTACCATTAGGGCCATCAACGAGTGATGGATTCCACGTTTTATTTTGAAGAAACTCTTCGAGTGTATACAGAGCACTGTTATTGCTGCTTGATATTGTCTAGAAGAATGCGAGGAAAACATATTGTAGTAGAAAGCTTGCTTTTATTTGTCACATAAGAATAAGAATAATTACCTTTGAACCACGACGTTCGCTTGTAGTTGTTTGGTTTTGATTAGATGTGTTTGATGTTGTCAAACGAGACTCATCAGTACGTTTAATTGGTACAACCGAAGATTGATCGGTGTTGTGCGTTGAACTTGTTGTTGTAGTTGTTGAAGAATGTGTCTCATTGCTACGCTTAATTGGTACCGCAACTGCTTGGTCTGTATTGTGTGTCGAAGTTGTTGTCGATGATGTCGAATGCGTTTCGGTGTTGTGTGCTGATGATGCAGGAGCGTCATTGTGTCCATCAACTGCTTTAGTTATGGATACTCTTCGTTTTTGGATGGTAATCGTGCCACCAGTGGCTAAAAGCTCTGGTGGTATGTCGATAGGTAAATTAGCCAATTCTATGAATAGTACAAATTATCGTATAATTTAACATAAATCGTTAGCTGATCTTACCCGAACTTGTTAATGTTGTTTGGTTAGTACTTGTTGTCGATGATGAATTTGGTTCACGATGAGTAATTTGTTGATTGCCTGTTGTTGATGAACGGCGTTCGGTTGTATGTGTACTGTAGGTTTGCGAAGTAGTACCGGTTGTTGTATCGGCGCTTCGGAGTAATTCGGCTGCTTCAGGTGGTATATCCGATGAGCCAGTTGTTGTTGTCGTTGTTGTTTTTGTTACTGATGTTCGACGAACTTGTTGACCTGGTGCACCTAAGCTAGTCACATCATTTGTTGTTGATAGTAAACCTTGGTTGTTGTTTGTATTATATTTGTTCAACGAAAACGAGAGACGACGTTGATTGTTGGCGTTTTCATTGATGCTTAAGTGATCGATTTGTGCTGATGGATTAAGAGGAATTTCAACAACGAGCATATGACATGCAGTTATGAATGATGCCATAGAGTCGACTTCGGCATTTGCTGGAATATCGAAGGTTCGTTCGAATTGTTTTTGCATATAACGACCTTCACTACGTTCTTCATAAACGCCTGAAATGGTTAATTTATGATTTTGAATGTAGATCTAAATATAGTTAAATGAGTTTTCTTTTTAAATAGTAAAAATTAGTTGACTTTCGTCGTCACACTTACTTTAATTTGTTCCGGTTGGAAGTTTTCTACATCGAAGGTGATACGAAACTTTTCGGCATCATGCCCGTATTTGTCTTTATAGACTTGTTGATTTGGTCGACTAAGCCAACGGATGCTCGCATCGTCGCCAGGTGCAAAATTGAAAGCATTAAACCAAATATCGTCTTTTTTGGCTGGACTATTTCCAGGTTGATTAGAACGATGAATTGGCACGATTTGAGAAGACATATCTAGATAATTGTTTGTATTATTATAAATAACTGTGGTTTATACGAGTGATATATATATACTAGTTTTTCGTTAGTGGGCGGATGAGTAAGAATAATTGTACTCTTTCTCCCGATATACACAACTTGTCCACCCTCGTTACTTCTAAATGTGCCACAGCTATTTCTTTCCTTCGTTGACAGATATGCTCGGTTTGGGCTTTATTTTTGTGTATATGTATTTCTACTTAATTTGGTACGTAGAAAATATGACAAAGACAATAAATATCTATCTCTGATTGTTAACGAGTTGTCATGTCACATTTGTAAACACAAAAGCTAGTTCGTCAGAAATCTTTCGATGTCTGTCAGTTTACTCAACGAGATAGCCCGTTGGAATGCAAACCAATTACTAACCAAACATATACACATGAGAAAATACTAGAATTTTTCTTGTCAAAGATATGTAAATTAAGAAACACCGCCCACTAAATAGCGTATTGGACTTATACAGTATTATTGGGTACTTTTCTAACTCAAAGTATTTGTTGTTATGTAAAGCATTGTCCTTCAAACCACATAATGGTGTGTTCCAGAACATTCATTCGTTCTGTTCTACGAATTGATAAATCGTTTTGTTAGGTAAGATACTTCAGTAAAGTTTCATCGTCAGCATAACGATCAATGATGATTACGAGTAATGATTTGAAGGCAGAACTATCCATGAATTCATTTATTTCTATTACACGAAAATTGTATTATTATAAAAATACTTCGAGTAAACTCTCTATTTCGGTTCTACAAATCGGACATGTTTCATTCTGATTAGCATTGCGTAGTTTTCTACTGCATGATACACATACACACAAGTGTCTACAAGGTAATAAAACAACTGTTTTCCTTTCATTCAAACAGATAACACAGAAATGCGAATCATTAGTTAGTTCTTGTTGTAATTTTCGACGCATAAATCTTCCATACGATGGTCGTAATGAGCGTTTATCAACGTGTGTTGGAAATGCCATATCATCATCGACATTTTCGTCCGTTCGTCGTCGAACGGAACGATTTGCTGGACGAATGATAAATGTTTTCAATAGAAAAAAACTGACAATAATGAGACAGATACTTGCAATAACACTAATTTTATTCAATAATAATAAATCAGTCATGAATTAAATGGAATCGAACAAGTGAAAATATATCTGAAATTATCATTGTGTATTCTTAATCGTATGAAAGTACCCATTGAAAAAAAAGACGACAAAAATGAAAAGAAAAGACGGGTATATACACTTCTAAACATGTACGAACGGTTGTTTATTTATCATCATTGTTGGTCGAAGTTGAACTATTTGTCGGTGGTCTGGTCGTGACAAATTCGTCGAAGCCATTTGCAAATGCATATACCATACCAACACTTGTGCAAGACTCTGCATCGACGAATAAGGACATTGACAGTCGAGACATAGTTTTCGTGAATTATCGTTCACGTTGCTAAAGAGAACTGTGAGGGCAATACATATAGAATGCGCGTGTGAGAGAGAGAAAGGACATGATTTATATATGTATGTATCTATCTCGATGGACGCGCCATATTGTATTTTTCTTTTATAGAATCATTTGAATATACGTATAGTCGAAAGAGAACAGTTTCATTGTCCAAAAATAAACCTTTATTCACTAGTACAATGACTATCTCAGCACATGTGCTATCAATCGATTTGGTATTCATAGGAGAAAAGAAACTTTTTTTTTGTATGAATGGACACTGGAAAGATGAATAATCTAAAAACATGTTGTTTTGCAATAATTCCCTTTCTTATCACCGAAATTCTTCTTTATTTCATAAAAGAAAAACAAGCGGATTGTTATTAAACAGCTACGCCACGATTTCCTGTTAATGTTTCAACCAATGTTCCTTCTTCATTCAATTGCTTTAAAACATCCAATCCACCGATAAATTGTCCATTGACATAAATCTGTGGATATGTTTGCCACGAGGAATATTCCTTCAGTTTTTGACGAACATTTTCATCTTGAAAAATATCGAATGTTTTGTAATCTTTAATATTTGCTTGATTTAACAGATTGAATAGTTCTTTTGTAAATCCGCATCGCGGTGCTTCCGGTGTACCTTTGATGAACATCATCAACGGTGCTCGATTGATTAAACTTTCTAAATATTTTCTCATATCTTTTTCTTTCTCATTCGACTTTTGTTGGCTCAATTTCAAATCGAACTCGCCGTTTTCAATCATTTGTTTCATGATATCCAATCCGCCGATGAGTTCGCCATCTACGTACAGTTGAGGATAAGTATTCCAATTGGAAAACTTCTTTAATTCTTCTCGAATGGTTTGATCCGAGAGAACGTCGAAGTAAGTGTATTTAACATGATGTTCATCGAGAATATGGCACGCTTGACGACTAAAACCACATTGAGGGTCGTTTGGTGTGCCTTTCATGAATAAAATAATCGCCGATGAAGATAATAATTCTTTGATTCTCTTCTCGACGTTGGCGTCGGTCTCGGTTTTTGATTCGGCTTTATTTGATGTTATTTGGCTTTTATTGATATGATACTTGATCTTCTTCAATAGATCACTCTGATTGAATCCATCGACGCGATCGATTAACTTCGTTTGATAGTAGAAGAGAACCGTTGGTACGGCATGAATGTTTTGTAATGTAAGGAAATCCGTAAAATGATCGGCGTTCAAGCGGCACACGGATAGTTGTTGTTGAAATTCATTATCCCGACTGATGGCTATCAAAGCTTCATTGACAGTTTTACATACCGGAATCTGTTCGAGTTCCACGTGAACGAGTAGCAGTTTATTAACGATCGTTGAAGATTTGATAAATTCATCGAAATCTTTCTGCGAATTCAAGGACTGAACTTCGGAAGTTGTTGAAGTAGACATTGATAATCTAGAAAAAAAATTTGTCAAGAAATAGTCTCTGATTCTTGCTTCAAGTAAAACAAAAAATGGATTCTTTTGGAAATTTAATAGCGACGGTTCTTTCTTGATGGTGAAAAACTACTTGAACGTTTTCTAGAAAGAGAAACAAAATGACGAATTCTGTTTGAGCGAAAGCTTTCCAACCGAGTTCGACGGTGGCGGATGCGGTTCTTCGCAGCTGGTGAAATGGTTTTAATATGCATAAAATTACAAAATCCACTCCGATTACACTAAACAAGTTCAGCGGTCCAAAAATATTGGCAGGCATCGACTCATTCACTTACTGCACCTAATTCATATTGCCGACAGCTAGCTTCTTTAAAATCCGTCACCGGACTAAAATAACACGAAGCTTGTTCAACCGATATGCAAATCGAGAGAATCATCTACCTTAGTTCAGCATAGATAGGCTTGTGGTCAAACCATCGATTGTTCAATTCTTTAACAGCATGTTCGGCATCTTTTTCATATCGAAACTAAAACGTGATTGGAAAAGGATTGAAATATGAACGAGTACTCCGCGGATTGCTTACTTTAATATAAATATTTCCTATTAAATGTTCACCCATATTGTCACAAACGCTCATAGCTTCAATTTTCCCATACTAAAGCAGTAGAAAACGATGAAAAAGAGTGAACGAATAATTACTAATAATTTTCCTAAAACACCTGTAAACACAGAGAAATGTTTATGTTTAGTAAAGTACCTTTCTTTTCGTTCTGATAGAAAAGAGATGTAGAAGTTCTCCTGTAGAAGTGGGAAAAGAAAAATTTATCAATCAAAGCCGTGTGAGACGAATATGGGCGTCGTTGACGTATGTGATTTTCGCGTATTAAGCCTGCAATAATGGATAGAAGCTTAACCAGATAGAAATGCATGAAAGATTAATTAAAAGCGAACAATTCATATTTCCTTTTTTAGAAAGAGACGAACGAGAGAAAGGTAGTTTTCTCGTAAATGCCCTCATAGAAAGTAATTTGCTCACCTTTTCTTCAACTTCTGTGTACACTTCTTCGAAAAATTCGCTAAAATAGAAGAGAAAAACATTCAGTATTCCATGTCACTTAGTTCTGTTTGAGCGATTGTTTACTGCATTTCGCCTCAGGCAGTACTAATGTATAACACTACTATGACGTCAAGAACTCTGTCACTTTCGGTGTGAGTTTCATATTTACTCGAAATGTTTTTGTACTTCTTCATCAGAATGAAGTGGCGCCGTTTGTTGTACGTCTAAAAGAAAAGTATTCTGTAAGGGATGGTAATGAAACGAAATCTCATTTACACAAGTTTTGTCCTTGTTTCTGTTGAAGTTCGAAATTGTTCGGGTTTAGATAAAGATTTTTCAGAAGAACTGTCTAAATTAATCGAAGCTCAATTTTCGATTGCTTTGCAAAGGTTCGTTACCTTACCTGGCTGAAGGTAGGTTTGTTATGCACCCGGCAACATCTAAATGGAAATCCGATAATGCACTATGTCATGCGTAAATAAGCATATTTACTTTTCTCCATGACGACATGCTCCGATTTTGAAATAAAACGAACAATTAACTCTAGACAGAAGATAGTTGGATGAAAGAGAGAATATGTGCTTCAGCTGAACAACTTACTTATCTTGTTCGGTACCGAATATAGATGCAAGATGTTCGGCCATTAGGAAGTCGGCGCTTTTCTTGTAGATCGTTGCGTAAAACAGAAACGAAAGACGTATTGATCGAGAACGATGTTCTCACAAAGGTAAATGACTGCCCTTTCATACATTTTGTTCATTGAAGTGTGACAGATAGTAATTAAAAACTGTTCAGATTAGCTTATCAGCAGTACGAGCCATATGCTTCAAGTATCGACGGTGGCGACACTCGAACTGAACTTTCGAAACCTTAGATTTCAAAAGCACCCGAAAAAAATCGACGTTCTTACGACGTCACTCTTTTTTAGAGAAAAAGTACAGGCCCAGAGGAAAGAAAACAACCAACCAATCATAACACAAATACTATACAGCGTAATGAATATCAATGACATCTAGTTAAATTCAGTCGGAAGCAAAGCGATCAAGTCTGCGTTTAATTACCAGTTTGACTGTAGATTGTTTATAATATATAAAAACTTTCGCACACATACTCATATACATAGCATGAAAAGAAAAATACGCTAGACTAAAAAGATCTACGGTTCACGCAAAATAAGAAAAGCTTTCGGTTCATTGTTTTCATAATGCACGTAGATATATCTGGCTGACTAAAGTACGATCAATTCTCTAATCCAATGCAATTAAGTTCTCCGACAGTTGATCCGGATTCCGTTTGAACGTCGATGCTTCCTTCAAATGCTGATACCAAATGTTCGCCACAACTGCATTCTCAAATTTGAACTTATACATCGATCCTAAAGCACAAACAACAAGTCAAGATTGATTATCGCACAACTTGATTGGTATTACCGCGATTCAAGTCACTCAATTGTATTTCATTGCGATTCTTTGTTTGACTTAATACAATTAGACAATCTGTAATCGATTGACATTTGGATGGATTTTGTTGATAATATAATCGATCTGTTTCTGTTAATGTTATATTTACATTCGATTGCGGATGACTGATCTGATCATTATCAATTAGTGATGTTGCACGATGTAAACGCATATGAAATGTAAGGAGAAATGACTTCTGCTTGTGAAAAAATAGAAAATGTTCACAGATGGCAAGCCAGTACTTTTTCCATTTGGTGATGTTCGGCTTTTTGTAGTTCTTCAGCAGACATTTTCGTTCGACTAAACCTTCGAAGTTGTAATTTGTTGTTATTAACAAATCATTACGAGGATTCAATGGTACTTTCATCGATAATGATGATAACGACAAGGAAATGCCTTGAATAACATGATGATGCTTTGTATTTGTTTTAATCAATTCTTTGCCTTTGCGAAGAACTTCTTCATACGAATCATTCGAGTCACTACCTGAAACAGTTCAATGTCGTGCATTGGATAATATTAAGAAGGTATCAAAGGTCACTGAAATAGAATAACACTCGCTCGTTGGCATAACCTTGCTTTGAGATCAATAAAACAAGGAGAGAAAGTTATATTACAACTACTACATGTTGAGTGGGTCAAGTGGTGGTAGAATAATTTAATCAAATGCGAAATGTTTATGTTTGTACAGAAAAAAGGGAGAGATTTGAATGAAACATTGATATACGATGTTCTAATCAAGGTCGAGCAAATCCCTTCAAGTTGCCGATGATCTATTGAATATGAGTATGTCGTACTCGTTCTGATCAATTCAATTTAGAGGAACGTGTAAAACTTACTCGATCGAGTTTCTTCTATCATGGGATCGGGCAGTAGACTGTCATCTATTAGACTTTTCTTTTCGCGCGTTCGACAAGGTAACGTGGCAGATTTCGTTGACGAAGATGAACATTGCGAGCTATAAGAAAGATCGAAGCATTCCAAGGATGTTGTCTGGCAAAACTTACTGATTGAAATCGCTCATTGTGCGTCGATGTGAACAGGTTGAATGATTGTTGGCATGAGAGAGTTTAAACGATGCTGATTTCTCGAGATGTTTGCTTGTTTTCTCACAGCAAGAGTCGGTTTGATCATCGGGTTCTATTCTCAACGAATGTTCATAATTTTGAGCTTCAACGAATGTTTGCAGTTCTTCCATATATCGCACACTTGCAAGATAATTTTGAACGCATTCCATCGACCTTAGAAAACCTTGACAAACACGAACGATTCGACATGAAAATGAAAATCAAACGCAGCTAACCGTAATTCGACTGTTGAAATTCGGATATAGTTCTACAGATGTTATTCAGCGCATTCTTCCGTTGACTTGTCTCGAGTCCACCACGATGTGGATGAAGTGTATCGATATGAATAATATCCGTCAGATAAATACCTTTAATAACATCAAATGAAAACCTCAATTTCCTTCGAAGATGCTCCTACCGAGGTAAGGAATACACGGAAGTTTCGTTTGATTCAAATGCTGCCTTAAACGTTTCCAATTCTCATCGGAAGAAACGAGATCTTTCAGAGTTGTAAACGTTGAACGATCACGTTTGCTAAGGCCCTACGAAAAACAAATTAACGAAGAGATTAGATATGTTTTTCTTCGTTTACCGCCCATGTTTTTTGTAATCGATATATAGGTGCACTTTGTAAAGCCATCACGACAGCCATACACGCATTGATGTTGTTTAATTCGAATAATTTCTATAAATCGAAAGGTTTTTATCTTCGGTTACAAAACGTCATCTTTGTACTTTAGCAATGCGAATGAAATGAGATAAGATTTCGATACGATTTTTCAAGATATCAGCACGTAATAGTTCACCTTGTGTCCAAAAATTGACCTTTTTCGAAACGAACAATAACAAAACATGTACGAAAAGAGAAATTACTTGGTTAAAACGGCGAGTAAATTGAACGATGTGAAATGCTTTGACTAATTTTGATTTTGAGCTCCAACTACAACTGGTTAATTCCTTTACAAACAACGCAGAAACAGATTTCGATATTTTTCTTCACACAACACTCATGTACATACATCTGGTGTAATCGATTTGAATACTGGAAGATCCATTAGCGTGATTTGAGACTAGTAATGCAAGGAAAGATAAGGAAATAACGTTATTCCTATGTTCAATCCATTAATCAACGGACGAAAGATTTCTAATGAGATAGCAATCAAAGAGAAATCAGTTTTTCTCCTCCATAACACACATCTCGTCTTAGTTTACTTGTTATCAATCGCCCATATATAGCGAACTTATCTTTCAAACATAAATACACATGACATATAGTGTTAGTGTTCATCGAGAAAGATAACACAAGACAGTAAAGGAAGATTATGTGATGTTCGAAAGTTTGCTCAATCAATCGTCGATCAGCAACACAAGAAAGCTTCTGACGTGTTATGCTTTCTCGTTTATTTTCGAAATGATAAGATACTTACAGCGAAGTCTTC